TCATCTATGTAACTAACCAGGTAACTTATCTAGATACCTAGGTATCTAATAGATATCGATGAACTAGCGTCGGCACCTTTCTCGCCGTATTTGCTGGTTTCATATCCGCCACCCGCTCATGGCTTCCTAACTCTGGGGGGAGACGCGCGTTGAGCGATGCTGAGACGTGGGCTTCAGGGCGGGGGATTGCTCACACACACCTACACCCGGAGATTTCGGGAGCCTAGACGTTTCCCTTTAACATGAGCCAAGTAGTGTCGATCCCGCATGCGAAGCACGCAGCAGGTAGGGTCGTTATATGCAGAGCGTAGGGCTATCTAACATGTTTCCTAATCCGGCTAGGGTGGCTTTTCTTCAACATTTCGAGCTCATGCATGCTAAGATTACCAACCAGTCGCATGAAGCCTCTATCTATCTGCGACTACGGCTCCGAGAAATTCAGGGGGCATTCTCATCGGTTATTAAAATAAGGGGGTTCAGCTGAGATCGACGATTGAGATGAAGAGTATCATAGTCTAAAACGTGGAGAAGCCGAGCAGTTGTTTACCTTTCCCAGCAGTCTCACCAAGGTACAGTACTTCCCTCCTTCATCCGAAGTTGCGCTCGTTGGTAGGTACCTACCTATTCCCCAGAATATGTGGACTGCTTAGTATATCTGCAGGAAGAATTCAACTAGACGAGGCGGGTGGGAGTGACTTAGGTGGGATCTCACATGGCTTGTCCTGACTGAGATCGTTGGTAACGGTTGTGACCTGAGCGAGCTCTCTGATTTGCTATCCTGCCAGCGTTCCTGCTATGTGAGACGCACCTTGTACATGTACCTGCCGCCGCTGTAATGGCCTCCGCAGAAGGGGGAGGGTTCTTGGCGAGTGAGAACCTTAAAACCCTTCCACGTTGGCTCGAGGACCCGAAGTAGTGGATGGCTTATGTTGTGCCGTTACCTGCGGAAGGGTAGTGTCAGCAAGCACCAGCACGCGATTTGCCGGTTCTTTGGGAAAAAATCCAAGCTTCTCGCGTCAGCACCCAACCTCGGTAGGTAGGGATTCAGGTAGTTGAATCAGTAATCGTATGTGCGCGTGAAGATTTGAGATATCCTGATATTATATCCACAACTCTTAAAACCGACACTAAATGCAATGGAATCCATGCTGCGGCTTTAGGATTAAGATTAACCTAACATTGCGCTAATATTACCCCGGAATGGGTCAACAGACGTTAAGTTAACAATGAAACATTATGGGGACGAGGGGGTTATTGAGACAGGGAGTAGTTGGGAAATATTGAAGATAGGATCAATCATGCGAGAGAAAGCCTATTAACGCAGCGATCGCGATTTGAATAGACTGTTTATGTATATTTTTGGACGTAATGCAATTCAGGTGGCAACACAGCATATAATCCATATGCAATGTACGGCAGCTCGGCAGCGGACCGGGTGTTCGTGGCTGTCAAAAGCTTAGCACAAGGCTGGCGCCAGCAAAGTTAATGGAAAACGAACATCGGTCCTATTTTCCCGTACCCCGATTATATGCTAGGTATGGTTATGGGTTATTGGGAATAACGGATGATTGAATATAGAACAAGCTAAGAGGCAATAGGAAAAGGTTGACGTAAAAAGACGATGTTGTAGTTATCTGTGGAGGTATATGTTGGCTGATCATAAGGTGGAAATGAATTGATGCTGGTTGTTGCGAAGAGACCAATACGTAGTACAAAGCAATTGTCTGAGCAAGCCATGTGGCATATGCATGGATCCCATTATCTATGGCTTAAGTTGATCAAGTTGACCTAACGAGGCTGAGAATAGGTACACCATGGGAAAAAAGGGGGGCGATCTTCATTGGTGCTCGAGCCAAGACGGCGTCGGAAGAATACCTTGGAGAACGCAGCCGACCATTTGAAATCTCAAGTCTCAGCCCTGAAATAATACCCCTGTCATTCGTCGAAGATTCGAAGGTGTGTGTGTTAGAAAGAAATCTGAGACCACGAGGTTTATTGTGGCTCGTTAGGAATGCTACCGCCGACTTTTCGGACTTGTCCGAGTTGTCCGGTTAGCCATACACACCATAACCGCCACGATAATTATACTGTGCTATGTATGTGTGAGTAGACCTGAATATCTCTTCCGGATAGAACATCCAATTCTCATGGCGCCTGAAATCACGAGTAGTTGACTTCTAATTTTGACATCTCGCGCCCTAATGATCGATATGATTTGTCACAATATGAGTTTGTGGGGACCAGGCACACTTTTAGAAAAGACCCTGCAGAAGATCAAATAGAAGGAAGAAGACTCTTTCGAAAAAGGTATGATGTTATTGATAAGATCTGGGGTCTACTGCCCACGATGTTACTATATCGGCGCCATTCAGTCCTACTAGTCAGGCAGGTGAATAGACTAGTGAATGTTTTTTCTCTGGTTGGTAGTGAGTGATGATGAATTGATAGAGCCGAAAATGATTGACCTGGAGTGCTTGAGGCAAGCTGGGGTGGTTTATTCGAGAAGGATATTCGAAGTCTTACTAGCAGACTAGTAGCCCTAGAAGGGGGGAGTTGGTAGCCAATCAGAAGAGTTAAACTAGCTTTGTAATGGTCGCACACCAAAAATAGTATCATTAGAAAGCACGTGCGAATCAGAAAGAGGGTCTTTAATCGCTAGTCCCCTAGACTTTCCTAGCTAAGGTCCGCCTTTTCCACTGTTACTTCCACACTTCCACTTCCGTTTTTGCTTCTACCAATATCTTCCACCTTCCCATTCCCATTCACCATTTTCTATTTGCTGGGGGCCAAAAATATCGTACAGGAAAAAAACAGATTCATAGCCCGAAAAACGCCAACCCCTTTTTATCGTCTTACCGCTTTACCGCTTTACGTAAGGCGCTTTTGGCGGATTTCTAGCAGTTTATGTGGCATTTCACAGATCTTGATCGCTTGGCGTCTTACCGAACATCATTCCGAAATGTCTAAGCCTCCCTTCCATGCATGATTCTCGAAGGACTGGAGACCAACCGTCTGGAAACACCACAAGCCACGGCCTTGGATTCTTCATGGAATGCCGTCTGCCTATTTCGTTGGCTACGAGAGAACTTCCATGCCAGGGAGACTTCGTATACCTACCTACTGTTCGGGCCGTATCGCTCCAACTGAACAATAAAACGCCTCTGTACTCAGATTTCGGATTTCAGTTTCACCTCATAGCTAAAAATATGAGTCTGAAATGATGAACGCCGTATTCAGCTTGGTGATGACTCGGTATGTCCTATCTACGGCTTTTCAAACGCTTTCGCATCCGGTACAATCACCTGATGTCTACACAGCCTACGCCGAAGAGTGTTGGTACGTTAGTAGGTAGGCATGTTGCGTAGAGATGTATAAGTATAAAAATGTTAGGCGGGTAGTGATGACGACAACAATCATGAATGATATGATGTCCGTCGGGACTCGGAAATCGGGACACGGCCATGATTGTCCATGTGTTTGTGTTCCCATGATAATTTTATGCCGCTAATCATTTCTAGGATTAGCAATTCAGCGCGCATTATAGCTATCAAAGACAGCAACGGATATACACAAATATCCTATTTGACTTTTATGTATCTGCCGTCCCGCTTTCACTCCCGTCAAAGGATCAAAGTATAAATATACATAAGTGAGGCATGGATGTAAAGCGAAAGGCGAGAGAGATAGCTCCGAGTTTAGAAAAGGTCCTACACTACTGCTGTTATGTATCCCGTCACTGCCCGTGCAATCCATCCAAAGCTGGTCTGCGAGTGGTCCGAGTACGCAATGAACTCGCAGACTTGCCGACTCATTTGACACTAATTAGACTCATCGTAGAAATTGTTCAATGAGAATCCATCATGGCTTTAGCCCTAGCGCAACAAAACTCCAGAAATTCAAATACCAGCGCTGGAGTGCGACATTGATCCAGCAAATGACCCTGTCTATCCGTTCAACTTCGCCCTGAGCTAAAATATTTAAAATACCTGAGTCCTATGATAATAGCGACTAGTACCTAGCTTTCAAAGAGAAACAATTAACCTACGTACCTACCTACCTGTTAAGGTTAATTTCATTCAATCAATTGCTCAATCTTTTACATATGTAAAATTCACTAGAATGAACTCTAAAGATCATTTTCCTCGTACTAGTTAGTCCATTCGTAAAATCCATCATTTCTAGCGAATAAAAATGAGTAGGCTAATAAAACCTTCTATGTTAGTGCCTAGCCAGCCCTATGACTAGGCGTATTTACAGGGGGCTCTAGGGGAGCTAGCGACGCTGCTTTTAAAGTAGTAAATCCAAAGGGCGTTACCTCGTAAGGTTAGGCTGGTACTTTGTATTTGGATCGCAAAATTCGGGCAAATTTAGTAAAAGGCCAGTAGTCGCTGCTGCGCAAATGTCTCCCCCTCCTCTAACCCCTGCTCACAGCTCCTCTCGAAGAGGTACAGTACATCCATCATTGTTCTTTAAAATATCACACCCCTCTTTTCCAATTGAACCCCTGTCTGTTCCGCACATGTTCTTCCACCATAGTACATACCGCCCGTACCGTCGTACCCGTTCCACCAGGGACATGGATCGCCCGCTACCTCTTACCTCTTCTACCCTTCCATACCTTCCCTCGGATTTGAGGCGTAGTTGTCTCTCGCACTGGCCCCAGTCTGTCCCCAGTCCCCAGTCCCAAGCGGAAGCTACAACACACACACCCCCCCTTACACTTTTCCTACCACCCCAAACGAGGTTGCAATGAAAGAGCGGACTGCATGTAGGCCCTCCTCGCATTTGAATGCCCTGTCCAAAAGCTGTGCATCCATGCCTGCATGGAGCGTGGAAAGTATATACTATGTACGTAGATACGTATCTACGTACCTACGTACATCCGTACCTCTTGGACCGGGTTCGACGAGGATGGGGTCCTTTCTCCAGCTCGAACGCGGCTTCGATGGCTGAACGGACCTGACCTTCAACTTGTATATATTAGATTCCTTCCTCCCGCCTCAAGAAAGTTATGTGTCCCACCACATCTCGATTCGATAAGTATTTCAAGGAAACTTCAAACAAAGTGAATATTCACTAGTTCGACTGTTCCCGCCTTCCACTTGCTAGACCAAACCCTCGTGTTATAGATAGCTTCGAGCTTTATATAAATACGGGTCTCCCCCAGACTTTGGAACTTGTTCCTTTATATCACAACATGTACGCGATGTCTCAACACCAATATTCATATCCCGCGGCCCCCGCGCCGCGGCAGTATTCAGCACACGGAACGAGTAGCGCATTCTCAAGCTCCGCCAACCCTGATGAGGACTGGACCAAGATCTCGGATCTCGCTGAGCGCCGGAGGATACAGAACCGGATTGCTCAACGCAACTACCGTATGTTCAGCCTTAGCTTAGAATCTCCCCCATTGGCAGGGTAGTCCTAACAGTATCTGTAGGCAAGAAGTTGAAGAGACGTCTGGAAGACCTCGAGAGGCGCGCAGGAACTTCGGACGACGCGTCCTCCCCCACCGGAAGTGATAAGCAGTCGCCATCTAACAACCGGACTACCAAGAAGACGAGCTCTTCCAAGACGCAGAAGTCAACCCCTCAGAAGCCGGTACAACCTCCTCAGTTCACCCCGCCTATGAACCACGACGATGAGATCCTGTTCGGCCACACATACGACGACAGGGAACGGTCACACTCGCCATCGTTCATCGGATACTCGGCCTATCCTCCACCGGACGAGATGACAGTCCTCGCTCCTTACAACGCGGCACAACCGTACCACCACCCGATAACTACCAGCGAGGGCTACCCCAACTATATGGCATCAGCCGTGCCATGTACCCTCCCTCCTATGACACACTTCAACGATGCCATCAAGAGGGAAACGTACCCCCCTGAAGAGTCCATGTCGTATGTGAGCTACGGCTTCGTGCCTGGGATGGATGTCCACGCACAAAATTCGTACGACCACTCGAACCCTCATGTGAGTCATGTGCGCGCTTACTCCCGCCGAGAACCACGTAGCTGATCGGTGTCGCTAGACCCCACCGCTTTCACACTCGTACGACCACTCGGCCAACGGGTCTGAGTCCGGCTACGACTACCCGACTACGCCGCTCTCGATGCCCGGGTCCCCCGGCCTAGGGCATCAACAGCAGCAGCAGCCGCACCAACGGTGATAGGCCGCGAATAGAAGCGACGAAAAGGAAACAGAGGCCACGGTAGCGAGGGAGAGAACCTGATGCAATTGGGCATGGGTAACTGGCATCGGACGGACAAAGAGGCAGCATGGATTGGAATCACGCGATTGGGACGGGTTACGATTTCAAACCTCGGGAATGACTGGCGCGAGATACCACGCACTCGGGACGAAAGGGATTCGTCTTTTGTTTTTATTTTTTCAGGTGCATATAGTCTAGGTTTTGAGGAATATCCGGGCTAAGCGTGGTGTTGTTTATTATTACTGTGTTTTGTCTTTTTTATTATTGCTTGGGGTATTCTTTGAGAGAAGGGGACTCTTGTGGGAATAACCGTTAGATGAAGCATTACAGGGCTCTCCCGAGCTAAGATAGCGATACAGTGGAGTGAGATCGACACGAATCGATTTCATTTTCATGAATTTCAGGACTTTTCAAAACGTATCTACCTACTGCCCCAACCTTCGTAGCTGTGTTGTCTTTTCCCATCGTTTTTTTTTATCACATGGTCCATTGTTTTTTCCCGTGCCACATTGTTATGCCCCAAATACCCGACGGCACGATAAAATGTTGGTGGGAATGCGGCAGGCGCGGGACTCTTGCGCCTTTGTACTAATCTCATTTTTTCCACTTTACATGAGACCCGACTCCACGACCGAGGTCGTATTGAGAAGGCCGTTATCGATTTTACTACATGTTGTTGGTGTTATCGATATTACGGTTCACACGTCACGGCAGTGATGAAGAAAAAAGACCGTTGGAACCGGGGTATCATAGGATAACCAACGACAAGAGGCTCCCTGAGGTCATGCCAAGGCGATCTGGACGTGAGACCCGGCAATAGGTGGTAGGCAATTCATTACGACGAATTTAGAAAGTTCCGAATTTCGCAAATGCACTCCTCGGATCGCACAGACTATGTAACAAAACTAACCTTTAAAGATTTAATGTTGAGAAGGATAAATTGGGGACCTAACCACGAAAAGTCGAATGTTGTTCGATATCCATTTCTGCCCTTTCTGTCTCTATTAGCTTCGCCAGCATTATTAGTCTGCCGGCTTAGGAGCCAACGCCAAGCCAAAAGATCCATCGAATAAACTTGAATAAAGGGGTCGCGGGATGTCAAATCTTGGTTTCGACCTGCGCAAGCCGCGGGTTTCCTTTTTTACAGTTCGAGTTAACTAATTTGACGTTTATAGAGATGGCGGACCATAGGAAGCTTGGTAGAAACTCCGTCATATAGTGAGGCGCAAACTTTCGTAGCTGGACCGCCGCATGGCCGGGCCCCTTTGCTGTCAATAAACGATATATCATATGAGACCTGGCCCGTACCTGATCGCATTGTGCAAGATGCATCCATCTTTCCCAATGCGCCGTACGCGTGGAGGTTTCGCAACTCGGACTATGGAATTGGTCCGGGGACCGTACGCATGGTCGGCGTGAAGGATGGGGAATGGCGTGCATTTTGAAGACTTTAGGTTCGTCGGAAGGATCTCTACCTCGCAAGGGGGATTTCGAGAATGCGCCGGGTCCCTAAACTCCGACTATCCTCGTAGAATCGGGTTCGGCGGAATAGATCGTTATAGTGTTGTAAGCTGCAGTTGTAATTGGTAATAACATGTGTTTACTGAGTAGATGAGTAGAGCGAAGTGTAGTGAATATTATTAGACTATTAACTGACAAACAATAACTGAATATAACTAAGCATAAAATAGCATCATCGTTAATCGGGCAGACGAATGGTCCGTCTATTCCCACTCACCCGAACTACTGATCTGCCCATGCTTCTGCCTTTCCAGGATAGAGGGATCCGAGACATGTCGGATCGTGCAGTCGTGGTAATTCAGCCGAAGAGGAAGTGCGCGATCATCAGAGGAATTGCCTTCGGCAGTATGTGGTAGCACAGACAATGAAGCGGATAGCAGCATCATCGTACATGATTAAGTCCATACATAAAGGAAAATAAGCAATGGAGATAACAGGGAGATAAGGGTCGGCGACTAGGCTCTCTAAACGGAAGTGATATAGAGTTGACCTCATAGATAAAAGACTAGAAGAGAAAGGTGGCTGATGTGATTCGGAGCCACATTACTCCCTTTGGGTCGGTCGGGTCTTGGTACGGGTACCTAGTACAACTCTATAGCCCCACATTACAAGCTTGTGAGCCTATCGCGGCCAGGGGTTCTTTCCCGACAAGGCGGCTATTCCTAATACATTACACATTACATAGAAAGAGGCACAGACATTACTACATACATACATCGATTATCTCCACAACGTACAACTTCGAAAGTATCCAGTTACATATACCAACATCAATGATATAACATTTGATTTTAACGTTGTCAATGAGGTTAAGGGACTATCTAGCGCATATATTGGAAGATTCGAAGAAAATTCAATTCCGCAGCTTGCTTTCGTTCTTTTCTTCCTAACAACAATTGACGACATTATCAAACGCCACCCGAATACCCGGGTGCACGTTATCTGGGTAGCTCATTTTCACTAAGCAAGGTTACGTTAGCACTGACCTTCAGGGCTCTGCTCCAGTACCGTGGATCTCAAGCTTCAACCGAGCGATGTATGATCTGCTCGAGATTCCCGTCCCGGAGCATGTTGGCCGCTGTCAAATATACAATTTCAGCAGTTGAGAGTCCGTGAGATCTACCTACGCGCTAATTAGCTACCAATATATTTATCTATAATTCTATTCACATATACCTTATCTTTCTCCTGATACTTAGAATTTACCCCTTTTATTGGGTTTATAAAGGGATAGTTTCTTAAAAAGCGCCTATTTTCCAACTTAAATACTGTCACGGGATCGAAAAGACTTATCTGCAGGTTTTGACATTGATCGCGCCTATAAAGTTACTTATCATGGCCACGAGCGAACCTAATTTCTACCTATTTGGCGGATATAAGTGAGTTAGCTCCCATCTTCGAATTCAAAAAATGCCAAGCTTGGCGCTTACCCCTTATCCACCGTTGCTGACATTTACACCATAAAAGGTCATGGAATGAGAACGCGTGGAGCTCCTCGGACGACCGCGTGCGCGGTGGTAAGAGTAGGAGCTACCTAGAGTGCTCGTCAGGCTCGAACATAGTCACATTCCACGGCATGCTGGATATTAAAGTCCTGAAGGGGGCCGGGTTTGCGTCTCAGCGCACCGTTGACCCACAGAATTGGGACCTGTTCGATTATCAGGGGCTCCGGCTTGGCGTCGGTGCCAGCGACGGCAAAAGGTACACACTCGTGCTCAAGGATGAGGTACCTCCTAAGCGCACTGAGGACGTGTATGAAGAAAGCACTGTGAGCTGGGAGTTCGATTTTGTACCTTCAACAGACAGCGAAGTTAGTGTGCGGTGGGAAGACTTTAGGCCTACGTACCGGGGCGTACCGGTACAGGATACGGAGCCTTTGCGCATAGATCGTATCAAGCGGATAGGGATTTTGATGCGAAGGTGAGTCATTGCGATATCTTCCCACGTTCCATGTAGCATGCTTACTGAGTTTTGCATAGTTTCTTCGGCGCACAGGAAGGTCCTTTCAAGCTGGAGCTGAAGTATATCGCGGCGATCGAACCGGAGAATAAACCACCAGAGGCTAACCCAAAAGAATGATCAAATAGCATCTCAAAACTAACTAAGTCGGACCGGGCAGAGTTGAACGAAGTCTACGGGGTAAAGCGGAGTGTCAGTTCCGTCAGTTGTACGATAGGCAAAGGCTCGCCGGATTATGACATGTGGCAAAGGTGCGCTACGTATGTACTATTAGAGGGGATAAGGAATAGGGGGAACTGTAAATAGGTGACAGGTGTATATTGCTGTGGCCATTTCAATCTACGAGCCACGAGAGGCTGAAAAGTTAAGATGAACACCTAGGCATATATCCGCGGAGTTACATCTAGAGACTCGAAGGTTTCTATCTATTCGATTACTTCGGTAAAATTTTGACACGTTTTCAAGAACGAGGTAACACTATATGAAATACTAGGTAGATTTACGTATCACGACAGAACTTTGAACCGGAGAACTCGTAACTACGACTACGAGGCAACCAATAACCTGACCTCTAAGGCATAAAATTTGCCTCCAGAGCAACCTTACTTCTTTGAACCATTTAGATTCCAACCCATTTTCAGAGCCACGCAATATGCGGCTCTTGACGCCGTCCCACCCAAGGCTGCCGGTCAACCCGTATAGATCATACCATAATCTAGGTATCGTATCCCCCGAGCCTCAAAAAGCCAAGTAGCCTAGCGCATAGTTTGCATATGACCCTATACCAAATACTACGTGATAATTCGGTGTCGCAAGGGATAAGGGCAGCGAGGCTTTTTTTCTTTTTCTTTTTTGGCCTTTCTGGCGGTCAAGATAGGTAGTGCGATAGTATGGCGATGAAGTTGAGGCGTCCTATTTTGCCTAAAGGACGTCTAGGTAGGTAGGTGTAAAACGGGTTATGGACATTTGTCAGCAGCCGTGCAGGGACTGCTGACTCACGCCGATTCGTCCGTCGATTATCTCCGTAACGATACCTATTTCACTTTTCCACAATCTCTGGCCCCCAAAATGACCTATCGCGACCTTGATATCAAACGGACATTTTCGAGTGGCCATCAAGTCCCGTCGGTATGACTCTAAACAACCTTGCTAAGGCGAAAACAAGATAGGCCTGGTCACCCTAAACCCCGTAGTTAGCCCCTTCGCCTTTAGGATTTAGGGACTACACGCAAGATCTTGCTGGATGCGCGCCCTTATCGTAGCATACCGACTTCCATACAAGGAAGATAGGTTGCCATGGGTCGACCAACTCGGAAATACATACAGTAGGAAATGTAAAATTTCGAGGTGCAAATCGCATACACACACACTTTTACACACACCTGTCCGACGCCCCGGCCGTTGGATTTGTACGGTACATTCCAGACGAGTGCCCCGCCGGTAGCTGCCGTGACACTGCATAGACGAAGCTGACGGCCTGCGTCCTGGGACCCGTCATATGACCTCGAACGGACGTCCAAAGTCTCTGTAATTCCCGTTGGAAATATCGAGACTGGGTAGCTTCGGCGGAACTATCAATTCCGTTTGTTTTTTTTGATACAATGTCGCTGTTATGATTCCGGGGTGTCGACCTATCTGCAAAAATGCACTACCTATTATGTATGTAGGTGAGGTATGTTTCGTGGATGGACAGATACAGATAGGTAGTGATACTCGTCCAAGCCTACCTGGGTAGGTCGTTCGTCGTCCTACGTTACGAGCCGCTCTGCCTGCTGAATCTACGTACGTGGTAGGTCAATCAGCCCTACCCGAGCGCCCGACGACAACAGCGCGGGAAATGTCGTGCTGCTGATGACCCAGGTACGTATGGAAATGTAAAATGTCCGGGACCTATTCGCCGATCATGCCCCGTCCACATGGGCTGCTACATACTACATAATACGTACATACATATATACATACCTACATACATAACGCACACGCGCATATCACATACCTAAACGTACTTACCTACATGTCTGGCCAAATTATACAGGTACATACATCATGTGCATAAAAGTTCACGTAGCCAAGGTTCTGGCCCGCGTTGAGACCGCCCTCGAAGCGTATATGTATAATACATTGAGTACGAATTAGGTATGCAGCGTATTTAATGCCCGTGGCCATCGAAATGGGGTTAATATCAATATAAAATGAACCCCAAGATCAGCCAAGCCACGCTGGCCGACGCGTTTCGCTACCGGTTCGCTTCTTCTTGGGTGTGTTTGAGGTGTGTGCTGCGGCTTGCATTTGCTGGATGTTACGAGCTGGACCTCATTACGTTAGGTACTAGTTACAAAGGTGATGTATCCGTCTTTCCTCGCCGGTTGACAAGTTGTACTCTGCATTTATTGCCTGTGGGTGCTTGTGTAGCCAGCTGGACTTTATACAGACGTTACACGCAACAGTCCCAACATGTCGGATAGGGGCAACACCACGCGCGCCCCTTGATCTCGGGTTTTCGGCTTGCGGGATATACGCACATAACTTTTCAGTACCTATACATACCTTCTTGTCAACATTTCATTCCATACCAAGCACCAAGGTAGGTAGACAGAAAGCAACCATCGTATAAATCGCGAATACAACTTCTCGTTGGTCCCTACATAAGTCCCATACCTCGCCGAGGCGAAAGTGCCAATCCTTCGGGTCTAAATGCTACTCGGTCAGCTCGGTGTGTGAGCACTACATAGGTATATAAGATGTGCATGCCATCCCAAGTCGAGCCAGTGGCGTCGTTCTCGCAGAGCAGCGAAGAAAGGATACCATACCCACCAGGCCTACATACAAACATACATATCTGACAGGGTAAGCTAACCCGAATACCAAGTTTCCGTCTCCTCGGCGCCCAAGCTATCTACCGTCTTGGGATAGGTGTACCTATGTAAGAAAGCGGTACATACATAATGAGTGCTGAGTAAGCCCAACCCGCGGAGAAAGGCGCCGAGTAAAGTTCCCCATTCTCTATGAACATGCAGACGATGCACGTAAGCTCGCGTCTCTAAACCTGCGGGGGGAAAGTGAGCCACGATAGGTACATACTGCTGATCGACCAACCCAGCTCTCCGGCTCGTCCAGTTGCTCCAGCTCGCAGGTACCTATTATGCGAAAAATATGTAAGCCCTAAGCGGAATCTCCTGCATTTACCTACCTTACCTGCTGCTTAGCTGTACCTACTAGGTACCCAGCTGATGACCCCTAACTGGACAGCTAAGCTACTGCTAGATAGCTAATATATTGGTTTCATGTACGTATAATACCTACCTACCTGTAAGATATCTATCTCAACGTCTTTCGACGAAAACAGACAGATAGACATATGAATGGACAGGTTATATATACCACATCCGCACTAGTGCCTCTGCTTTCCTAACCATTACCAATTTCTATGCCATTCCATATGCATGCATAAACACGAATGCAAGCATCTCCACGGCTGAGCATTCGTGGAAAATCTACCTAGGTACCTACTCACCCGTCCAAGTGGCTAGCTGGCTTGCTAAGTAGGTAATAAGCTTCAAAAACAAACATACCCAAACCAGTAATCCTCATCATACCTACCTATATGACGTCCAAGCACCGGCCCCTTCCCCGTCTCTCCATCCCGCAACACCCATCCCGAACCTCCGGGACCCGGGACGACCGGAAGCGACGGGATGGCACCACCTGCGAGGCAAGATCGAGGCGCAGACGGCGTGCCGCAGTGACGTGCAGCAGCAGCAGTAAAAAGTAACAACTTACTTACCTACTACCTATCAATTACTTACCTAGGTTACAATAAAAGGAGCGACCTAAAACGCGACCGGGGCGAATTTCTGTTGCGATTTTTGCTTTTCGTATACGATGTTTCATTCTAGAGTCGTAGTCAATCAGCCGACACGATTAAAAGGCGGGAGAGGGAATGGGGTAGATCTCGTTTCTGCTTGCCTCGCCGCTGTCCTGCTTCTGTTCGAATGGAAATGCTCGCGTATAGTTATAATAAGCACGGGGTAGTTAGACATATGTATGCTGGCACGTAGTATCTCGCCATCTTAGGTTTGCTTTTAGTAATATCTTGTCTTTATTGATTCATTCCGAACAGGCTTGGGTTTATAGCCTTAGCTGGAGACGCGGTCCGCAAATGTTGCTTTGCTTGGAACGTGACAGATATGTAGCAATAAGCAATTGCTTTAATTATATACTATTTTGTCGGTACTGTTGCGCCGCTGAGATGCGCGTCGGATGCACAAGTAAAAACCATCAAGTTGTCCCTGTCCTTCTCTATCGTCTCCGAAAAGCGCCGGCATTCGAACCCCAAGGTTGTCCATTCTACCAGCAGGACCGTAAAGCACGTTCCCGCCTTTCCCAGAACGCCCCGCGAATTTTTTTGAGCCGGACCATGTCCCTCATATATGTATATTGTAACGATCCCGCACGTAGCGCCAGGTCAGGTAAGTTTAGGTTAGGTTAGGTTAGGTGTTAGGTTAGAATAGCTGAATGATATATGTGGCAAAGTAGTCATAGTAGAGTAGAAGAATGTGAACGTGGTAAGCTACGTGGAAGTGGTGATCGTCAATGTCATCAATACATGACCTCCGCTATTCGAATCGTGATGCCCTAACCGTCGTTTAGGTTACGACATGGTTGGGCGATGTGCGGGATATATATGTAGATCGTCGTATCGCCAGACTGGCTGGGACTTAGCCCGATTAAATTAGAAAAAAATAGAAATTGGAGCCGTAGATTTTAAGTAGATGTAAGCAACTCCGTTTCGATCTTGACCTCGGGAAGCTTCTCTTTAGTTGTAAATTCCGAATCGGATGAATTCTCTTGCTCATTCTCGTTCTCGCTCACTGTAGCTTAATTAATCAGTTGGTGTCTGTTTCGACGATATAGAAGTTGTATGCTAATTCAGAGACTAATGTTTATGAAAGGGATTGAAGTCGGCAATGAAAGGATTAATATGAGAGAGGTATGAGGGTATGTGATGATGAGATTGGATGAATACTCACTACTTCCGTAGCCGGTGTCGGTATCAAGGTTCATCCCCATAACACCACGAGTGACGGTTAGACATCGTTCAACCATTTGATGTCTCACGTTTGACTCTAGCCCGCAGTCCTTTCCGGTCCAGATTCTTAGTGTACCCGAGAGGCGCTCAAGCGTGTCACTGCATGCTTCAGCTGCGAATTCGTGGCTTGCAAGTCGGTCCATCAACTTAAAGGTTGCTGCGTAACCAAGTAATCCCATGTCGCTAACAGGGTGGATCTGATCAATCACGGCGTATATGTCGACCGGCTCCTCGGGCGGAGAAAACTTTTGAAGGTGTGCGATAGCCATGGCACAAAGAAGGGAAGTACGCATTTCGGTCGTCATGACGAGCGAAGGAGGAAGTGACTTGATAGGAGTGGGGGGTGGTGACGGAGTACCGCGAGCTGGACTACCGGTAGGACTGTTCGGCGAGGAGAGAACCGGTGTTACAGGGCCAATAGCTTGTAACGCAGCCATGATATTCATGCTTCGTTTCTCCTCAATGAGCAAGGCACGCGCAACTAAGGCACGGTTTTGGGCGATGCATCCGATCGGAGCGGTCCTGATAGCTAGGGATATTTCATCCTCAATTTGCTGAACTGCTTCTGGATCATCCTCTTCCTTGGTAAGAAGACTCTTCGTAAGTGCACCTTGCAGTGTGATATTAGACCACCAAGCTGCAACCGCATCCATTGGAGAGCGGATTGCTACATCGTCTACCACGGTATCCATGCCATCAATGATCCCGATAGCATTGTGGTCAGTCGGGCGGTTCCAAGCGAGGTTATGTACTCTTTGGACGATGCTTTGGTTCAAGACAGCGTCGCAGTCATGTTCAAGGAGGGCAGCTAGATGATCCGGGAGGTCATCATCAGATTGTTCTTGGCCGCCACGTCGAAGCTGTGTTAAGAGTCTGTGCAGTTGTTTCGCTTCGTTCCATTTTGACCTCGCTAGTTTCGACGCCAAGGTATTTAAGACGCCAATTTGCATACCGGAGAGGCCAACTTCCCATAAGAGGACACGGATATGAAGGGCTTTCAGCATTAGTCGCAGCGGAGTTGTGGGGAGGGTTCCGGAAGCCAGCAGGGTTAGCGTGAGTCGGCTCTTGCTGATTTCGACATCTCCTCCGGCAAGTTGAGCGTCTAAAGCAATTGCCCAAGCCTTAACACGGGCAAGCTCCTGGTCTTCAGTGAGGCCTGTTAGCATCTGGTAACCGTGGATTCCGATGAGATTCCGAAGGCTCAGTTTGGCTGTCTTGAGGCACAGAGCGGCGGCCTCGAGGAAGAAGTTGTGGCGAGGGACCCAAACTGTCTGGATAGCAGTGAGCCACGCCTGGCGACGCACGTGAATGGGTGAAGCTAAAGAGGGCACCGCTTTCAAAGATATCTGTTTTTGTTTAAGGCCATCCTTGCCTGGTGCCCTGCGCTCTGCAAATGTAGAAATGATAACCCATCCGAGACAGCAGAATAGCAATGCGATCCGGATAGAGTATAACACTTGGGAACCATGAATGCTATAGCCCATAAAATCGACACTTAGCGAAGATGTAAGGAACCTAAGGAGCTGTATGGGGAGGGCGAAAAGGCCGCGACCCTCTGGTGTCTCGTTGCTTTGCTCCTTCTCGCGAGCAGCTTCCAAAAGCATCAATCCTGCTAGGGAACCGACCATCAACTTTCCGAAGTAGGGACCAGCATTCTGCCAGCCTCTTGCCTGTATGTGATGCTGCTGTGGCTGGATCTGTTGTTGGCGAATCATAGTAGGATTGCCTCTGTACGGCTGTTGTGGTACCGGGTATGGTTGATTTGTCACTAATTGGGCGGCGATAATACGTTTCATATCATCGGGAACTTGGATCATGCCTTGGGGATCGGGGCGGCCTGGAGTGTTCATAGCAGAATTCGCGTAGCCATTAGGTTCGTGCGAGTATTGTATAGGTGTGGACGGTGTTCCCTGCTGTAGGGGGCTAACTGCGCCGTTCATCGCACCAGCCATAAACAGTTTCTCAAAGGCGGCTATTCGTTGCGACATGGCAGAGTTCTCGTCGATAAGCCGGAGATTTCTTTTCTCTAGATGCCGAATATATTCGGTAGCTTTGCTTAAAACCTGCAAAGAGTTTAGTTATAGTAACGACTTGATAGAATGCGATAGGAGACGCACTGTTGCCTTGTTTAACTTATGCGCCGGCGTCAAGCCGTGTAGTTCCTCCCTATCTTCCGTCGTATCCTCTCCCCGAGCACTCTTTGACATGATGCGCAGACTCGGTACACTATCTCGTAAAGCGGCTATCTTGTCGTTGAGATTAGTGCGATACCTCTTTTCGATCATGTTATGCGCAGTTTTCTTCACCGGTTGGTGGCTATCAAGGTCGTCGTCATCGTCATCGTCAACATCTATCGAGGACTTTCGCTTGCGACTATTTGATTTGGACGATAGGCTCTGATCTTCGGGCGACGATATGGAAGACGACTTGTATACGGGACCGGCAGAATCGGGACTTGCTTCGCTCTTGGGGGATCGGTAGTGAATTTGCGCAGGCATAGCAATACTTTGTAGTTTCTGCCGTTGCTCCTCAGTCAACCCTCGCGGCCCGGCACCGTTAGGTCGAACCTGAAGCGTCGTCGTGGCTCCCACTGGACCTGCTGTCGGAAGCGAATTTGACGGACCAGTAGCGATGGAAGACGGGACAACCGCAGCGGATTGCTGCGGCGCCGACACCTGGGGTTGCGACGGTAAGCCATGATCGAGTTCTGATTGAGGACCTAAAGCCCAATCATCTTGATAAAAATTATTAGTGTCGTATGTGTCATATGGAGGAGTATCTTGAAAGGTCCAATTAGGGTCGCTGTAAAATTGTTGGTTGGCGGCGTTAGTTTCGGTCAACGTTGCGTCCCCGTTGCTCGGGTTGTTGTTGTTATCTTGGTAATACGGGCCGTTTTCATCAAGACCGAAGAGGTCGGAAGCTTCTTGCTGATCAGTCATTGTGGTGGCACTGGTGCTGGTACGATCATGAGATGCAAGTATGGTTCGACATCAGCAGGCACCACAGCAAGTTCCTTCAGCCGCTCACTTCCAGACAATCCGGGCAGCCCAGGTCAGGACAAGCGAAAGGAGGGGGTTTGCATAAGGCGGGAACGGACCAGGGGGTTAATCGTCGCTGATGACCTGATCGTACGGCCTAGAATGGTAAAGGGCTAGAATAGTATCTATGGATGAATAGAAAATGGTTGGCTGGCCGGTGGGCTCACGCAATCGATGTCGATATATAAAGTCTGGATGGGGAAGGCGATAGGAAGTAGGAATAAAATGTGGTTGTAATTTTAGAAAGTAGATTTCGCGACAACAAATTTCCCAAGTTGCCCAGGTTGTCAAGGTTGTTCGGGTATGCGTATGGGAAAAAGCGTGAAACAGGGACGGGCAAAATGGGCGAAATGGAAAAAGAATTGACGAAAAGCGAAAAGCTTGCTATGTGACGCCAAGACCCCCCGTTAAAAAAAACACAGCACCCGTGGACCTCACAGCTTTCGAGAGATTGGGCGGAGAAGAAGAGGAGTTCCCTAAATTATGGCGTATGGCGGCGTATTGGCGTATGTAACTAGGAAAAAAAGGCAATTGTGCTAAGTGTGTAAAGGTGCGGAATATGCAGAATCTGTACAGCCCTGGAGGTATATGGAGGTATATGGAGGTATAGGTATAGGTATGGGAATAGGTATTGGATGTAATGTCCACTACTGTATGTGTGTATGTGTGTGTATATGTCGTAGTAGGTGTGGTAGGAAATAGGTAGACGTCAATTTTGCTTCTGCTTTTGCTTCTGCTTTTGCTTGACTGTGCTTTTTGCTTTTGCTTTGCTTTGCTTTTCTTTTCTTTTTTCCTTTCCTCGTTTGCTACACCAACACCCTCGTCGCTCAACTCTACCGCCGTATCCTTCCCTAATTTCTCAATCAAAACCCGACGGTAAGGGGACGAGCGTAGCAATAACAGCAACAAGCTGTATCGCTAGGTAGACACCTTGTCTTTCGTCGCACTCACACGGCGATATTGGAGATTTCGCTCTTCCGAGATCTTGGAATCCGATAGGCGGGAGTGTCAACGAGGCGCGAAAAATCCAATTGCGAGAGTGAAAAAGACGGGGGATTTCTTGATGGAGGCTTGAGGGCTTGAGAGAATCATACGATGGGTGGATGAGTTTAGTTAGAAGAATCATGGGTACGGATTAGATATCGATCGGGCTTAATCGAGACGCTCGGACCATAAATTGATTAATATGGGCCTCGAGGCGGGTCTTGCGACTCTTTCGCAGGTCTTGCCTGCTACATAAGATCTTCGGCTTAGCCGTCATGTCTGTCGAGACCGTTCTATTGGTGGGGGAGCTATGACCCACGTGTCACTAGCCACTGATAACTCGCCAATTTCTATGAGTTCCAGCCACTTTTCCCACTCTTGCCCACTTTGCTCAAGCACAAGATCACTAAGGAGAAAGGGACCAGGTAAGGATCAGGGGAGAGCCTAGGTTTTCCGGGTACGCACCGATTACGTCCGTACCTCTTAGCCGGTAGGCAGGTGATAAAATACATTCATATCCCAATGCTGTGTCACCTTTCAAGGGTTTCTAAGGTTTCTAGGGCATTTTAACTCATCATTCTGGACGGGTGGCTGCTTCGTAGTGCTATACCGATATTGCTTATATTGATTAATAGTCTCAATGTCTGGTACAACTACAGCTTTCGGTTCCCACCGACACCGACTCCTTTCCGATTTAAGTCTCTTCTACAGGTACTTTGTTGGGCAATAAGAAGCCAGTCGTCATCGATAATGGACGGCTTGGATCCGTAGTTTCTGTTTACCAGGTTTCCCATCTATCCGAGGTCTTCCCTAGCCAATCAAGCGTTGAGAATGTCGAATGCGGAACAAATAGTCCTGGCTAGATCCACAACGATGAGAAACGGTTTAGTCTTCCTTTATGCCGTATATCGTGTTCCTATAAAATCTAGCAAATTTAGCTTGCCTCACTTGAGTCCTGAATATTTACATATTACATACCTGTGGTACATTGAGTATATATGGTCACATGCAAGCGCTATCTTAAATCAGTGGATTCGAAGTGCGAAAAGAGCAATAGAGTAATACTGCATGACTAGTACTTAGGTAGGTAGTTTGCCAAATATTCAACGGCGAGCCCCGATAGAGAAGAGAAACAACCATTGGTTTTGATGTATAATTGAAACTCCAACGTTAAATTAACTCCTTCAAGAGTCTCTCAAAAAGTGGTATAATAGAATTATAAACAAGTAAAAAGCTTTGGGGCTGAAAGTAGGCATATCCCATCCCTCTACGTCATTCATCACATTTTGAAACACAAGCCCATATAAAAAAACGCCGGGAAACAGGCTCAGACCAGGATGAGCCCTACGAGACCTTCCATTGCAATCATTGCAACCCAATAAACCCGTTAAACCCATGTCTACCACATTTCGTCACTGCTCTTGACCATCTCCACGGTTGGTGTCTTGGGCTGTAACTGCTTCATCCTCTTTCTGTCTGCTTTCGTCACTAACGATGGTGTAATTGGAACCACAGGCGAGAATGGCTGGTATGGTGTGTAAGGCACTGGTGCACCCGTCCAAGGGGTTCGTAATCCCGAAGGCGATAGAGGCATTGCCCTTTCAAACGTTGTTTGCTTGGTTGTCTGTGCCGAAGGAGAGCTGAGAGCAGGCTCGTAAGCTCGCAGCGGGAGCGCCCCACCAGTTCGAACTGCTGATGGCGCGTTGGGTCGCGAGAAAGACTGTTCTAACCGGGGTGAAGTTGGGAACGTAGCACCGGGTTTTGGAGACGCTGGCAGGGAAGGGAATCTGTTGACACCTGGCTTTGGTGACGAAGGTAGACCAACAAGCGGTGCAGTGGATCGATCCGAGATGGCGGAGATGGCAGAAACAGGGTCAGGGTCTGTATACTGCGAGTTATTGCGCATATGACCCAGACGTTCGTCAATGCTTTGAGTGCTCTCGGGCGAGATATCCGGGGGAGTGATAGGAGCCACTATGTGCTGCCTGCTGGCCCGTGCATATGGTATCTGATCTGTCGGAATCGGAGGCGGGGATGCGGGTGCGTAATGACGAGGCGGAATTGAGCTCATTTCTTCTTCCTCGTGGCGCGGGAAAGTACCCGACATCGGTGTCATGATTGGCGACGAGATGCTGATACCTTTTACATTCTTCTTTCGAGGGGATTTAAAAGCAGATAAGATTGAAGATGTTCTAGATTGAGGTTTCTCTGCTCCAGCCTGTAGGTCGAGGTTCGCGGGCTTATTTTTGCCCCTCTTTAGAATCCCCTGCTTTGGAGCTTGTTGTTGGGACGACAATGGCGCTGGTGGTTGATCTAAAGTGACACCTGCTTCCTTCGCAGCCTCCTGCTCCATCACGAGCCTGTACATCTCTTCTAGCTGTTGTTGCGCCATTTCGCGGTCTGCTGCAACGACTCGTGGGTCTACCAACGGGTTAACACCAAGAGTGCTGGTGGAATGAAGCGACGGAACAATGTAAGGACTTGTCGGCCCTGTGTCGGTCAATGGTGTTGGCGGGGTCGGATATGAGAAATTCTTGATTGGCGATTTAGGCGGATCAAGGCCGTATTGAGTATTTTGGGCGTCTGCGAGCTGAGGCGGTGGAAAAGCGAATGAATATGGATACTGGCCCTCGAGGTCTTCTTCTCCTGCCGTGAGGTGTTCGCGGCGCTTCTTTGCTAGGATAAGAAGGAGAGCAGCAACTACAACGAGTGAAAGAGCATATGATCCGACTATACCACCAATCTGCGCGGGAAGGTAAGTTGTATCCCTCAAGGCACCGGCCGAGAGTGGAGGACCGTCTTCAGGCGACGGCGGCGGATCGTAGTAGTTGCTATGAAGGTCTTGTATCACGCTGGCAGAACAAAAAGGAGTGAATGTTGAGAAAAACAGAAGTAGCACAAACTGAAGCGAGGAATGCTTTCTATAAAGCACCAGTTGCATTGTGTGTGACCCGGATCGTCATGAAAAATACTATATCCCGACTCCTTAGTCAAACCTCCTGACGGATCAATCGAAACACATCCTGATGGAGATTTAGCAAGGTCAGACACAAAGTAGGGAGGACAAAGGGTATATAGCGGCTGGTGATGTTCGGCAGTGTGTCGAAGTGGGCCAGAATCCGCGATGCTAACATGCGAACATTGGCGCTTGTGGTGTGAACTGGCCTCTCACTCGTCGACCTCTTCTAGGTACTTGGCTCCATGCATGACTGGCCCCCAGGGAGGACGCCCACTGAGGGTGATAGATTGCCAAATTCATCTTTGCGGATGGCAGTGGTTGATCCCGTTCTTCCAATTCTGGTTGGATAAGGATATCGGGACGACAGGGAGTTAAGCGCCAACTACCCGAGAATTGAACGTGATTGGCGGTCAACTTCCACAACATCAGCGACCCCGCCGCCACTCTCACCTTTCCCCCTGCGCTTCTGCAGGTCACTCTGACTTTATGATCACCGATTGGTCAAATTCGTCTCTACCGACAGAGGCGTGGTTGGACCCCAAAAGGATCCAGGTATCTCGTAGATGGTAGAGAGGGTTTTTGTTGGCACTAAGGAATAAAATGGTAATTGTTTGCCCTAACCATGGTGACCAAGCCTTAAAAGAGGTTGATAAAAAGTGCTAGCCATTCCCTTTTCAATCTCATCACATCCTCTAACATATCAGATTATCAGATCTTGGTGATGACGATTTTACGGATGTGACTTCGTAAATATTTTATGAAGTGATGAGCGAAAAACAACACTAAAATGAGAATATTCCCTATTGCCGACGATACCGGCAAATGTATGTGATCGAAAGATGCGCGGCGGCAACGAAATCAGATTGTTATGCGTAGCGTTTCTTAAGATCGCTATTAATCCTTGAAAACCAAAAACCTGGTAAGAAGAAACAATCGTCCCTCACAAACCTCATCCTTTGAGGCTAGGATTCTCTGAGGTCAGCTCGTGTGGATTGGTTGGCTGTTTCGAATATGGATTTGAACAATGCCAAAGGATGATTTCGGATCCGGAACTTCCAATTAACTCTCTGCCCCTTTGCGACCTGTGCGACCCGTGCCTGGACACGTAAGCTGTCAATTGATTTCATTGGCTGTAAATTCGAGTTACACATCCTTCGGAATTGCAAACTCTATTATATTTAGATAGCACCCAGAGGAGGTAAGTACACTTAAAAAAGTTAAAAATTCAGTTGGAAATTGCTATTAATAACATATGTATGAATTAACAAGGTCATTCATGAGAATAAAATTCATTCATGCGTCGTAATGATGGATGGAATTGAATGAGGTAGTCACCTGACCTGGCGCTCTGCAAGTACCGTGTCGGTTCTTAAAGTATCCGATCTAAAAACAGCTGTCGCGTCTTATCCCTTACCCTTGTAATCCAGCACGCGTCTGCCTCCTCCCCTCAACCCTGCCATGACATACAATTTATGGTCGTCAGGACCAAAATATGGTCGCTAATTCTCAATTTCTTGAAGGTTAGTGGTATTAACGGATACTTTAAATCGTCTTTTCTTCAATGAACGAGAATTCGCAGCCATGTCTGGCTCCAACAACAATGATTTATTCAAATCATTAAATCAGGCACAGTCTCGTGCTGTCAACTCTCAATCATCGACTGTCGCTATATTGGCTGGTCCTGGAAGTGGCAAGACTCACACGCTCACATCTCGAGTTGTTTGGTTGATTGATCATGTTGGTATCCGGCCACGCGATGTCATTGTCGCAACATTTACCGTTAAAGCAGCCAATGAGATGAAACTGCGTCTCGGTGAGGCACTTGGAGATGGGCGCGAAAAGAATATCGTACTCGGCACTTTTCACAGCATTGCTCGCAGGTATCTGGCTATACATGGAAAGCGTATTGGGCTGGATCCCAAGTTCGGTATCGCGGACGACTCTGATTCGAGGGCCATTATCAAGCGTATATGCAAGAGATTAGAAGCTCAGGTTGATCCAGCTGCTGCTCGTGCTTGGATCAGTAAGCGTAAAGCAAAGGGAACTTCCGACGAGAAGCCCAACAAGGCTAAAGATGGCAAGGATATAAACTCTCAAATGTTCGAAGAATGTTTCCAAGGTTACCAATCCCATCTAGAGCGATCGAATTTGCTCGACTACGATGATCTACTTATTCGCTGTGTCGATCTGCTTCGTCAGCATCCGGACTGTGTCCAGAACATTCAAACTGTCTTGATCGATGAGTATCAAGACACAAACGGGGTCCAGTATGATCTGATGAAGCTTTTCGCCCAGAAGAATCGGCGGATAACGATAGTTGGTGACCCGGACCAGAGCATCTACGGTTGGCGGTCGGCAGAAATAAGAAATCTCCATCGCCTGCTTCGTGATTTCCCCGGTACCGATGAAATATCCCTCGAGGAAAACTATAGATCGTCAAGTTCCATCCTCGACGTATCTCTAAAGGTCATCCAACAAGATGAAGATAGATACAAGAAGGCTTTGTTGCCTATCCATGCTAAGTGTACTCGGCCCGTCCTTCGTATGCTGAAGAACCCTATGGATGAAGCGGAGTGGGTTGTTTCTGAGATTATGCGAATAAAGATGATGTCTGGGGACATGATCAAATTTGACGACATTGCCATATTACTTCGGTCTGCCTCGTTATCGAGACACATCGAATCCGCTCTTGGGAGAAAAGGTATACCTTATAGGATGGTTGGTGGTTTCAAATTTTACGAACGGGCCGAAATCAAGACAATCCTGGACTATCTACGAGTTATCCACCAGCCCGATAATAACGACGCTCTCGCTCGTATCATAAACGTTCCAAGACGAGGTGTCGGTGACGTGACAATAACATCTCTATTAGAGGAAGCTGAACGGAATCACATGAGCCTCTGGCAATTACTTGACCAGCACTTTAAAGGCAGTCGAAAAGCGAAGACAACCATCAGAAATCAAACAGAACAGAAGATCAGCGGGGGACTGTTCAAGTTAATTAACCATTTGCGAAGTAAACTACGACCAGAAAAGGGCGATCCATCTGACCTGGTCGAAATCATCATGCTGCTACTCAAAGACTTACGATTCGAGAAGCATCTAGAAGAAGCCCATGGTCCGGGGTACGAGCTACGATGGGCAAACGTCGAAGAATTTGTGAACCTAGCTACAGAGTTCGTGCATCACGACAAGCCAGAAGAAGATCTACTTCCACTTCTGGAGGACACAGAACAAATGCCGGATGACGATGTACTGGCGCGGTTCTTGTCGAATGTTGCGCTGGCATCTGATAAACAGACTGATGAGAAAGATAAGGAAGCAAAACTGCAGGTTACAGTATCTACAATACACGCTGCCAAGGGCTTAGAATGGCCCGTCGTCTTCATCCCTGCCGTATATGACGGATCTATCCCGCATTTAAGATCTGAGGATAGAAATGAGGAACGACGTCTTCTATACGTGGCAATGACTCGAGCTCAGGCCTTACTTTACTTAAGCTGCCCCCAGAACACTATGGGCAATAAAGATGGTACAAGGATCTCCCCTTTCGTCAGCGGGTTGTCGTCTTCGAATTTCCTCAAAAAGGGTCCGTCGTTTGATCGTTCGGTAATGGTGGAAATAGCTAGGATACTACGAAGGACCCTCCCTTCAGAGGATGCCATATACAAGGGTATGCCTACGATGGCGGCTGTGGAAGATAACCAATTTTCAATTGATCCGAGCAAGGATGGGCAAGATTCTTCGAATACCGTGAATAATCATAGGTTCAATCAACGTCCTGGGCAGAACAAACGACAAAAGACTAGCCATCCTAGTGTTCAGGTGGCCGAGGAATCGGTCGAAGGCTGGGCAGCCCCTTACCAAACAACAATGCAGAGGTCTGCTTCATTTACAGTACCACAACCTCCACAGTCTGGTTTTACAACAGCTGGAGCTCATTACGCAAACGTCACTGCCGCGGAAGCAGCAAAACCCGCCCCCAGGCCTGCCCCAAACCCCCAGGGGGCGGCAACGAAAAGGCCTCCAACCAACCGACTTCCTTCCCAGAAGAGTTTAATAGGATATGGGTATGGCGTAACGGACCATGACAAATCTAAACAAGCCGACGAAATTTCACCACCTGTCCCTTCAAAACTGACGAACGCCCGTCGCCCTTACCAGATCCCGCGAGGTCGCGGGCAACCGACAAGACACTTCTCTCTGCCTTCATCACTCCAAGATCTCCAACCTACAAAACCACCTCCTACGATCTCCCCCGACCTAGCAAGCCACAAGCTCGGCTCCTCGAAACTCTCGACCCGGCCAACTACAAACTACACCCCTACTCAAACAACAGTACAACAAACCCCCAAACCAAAACAATACGCCTGCTTCTCTAGCTCGCCCACTAAACCGCAACCAGGAGAAGAAAAAGCGAGCGCGGGAGCAGAGAAGGAAAACACGGAGCCCCCAGAAGAACCCACTCGTCCGGCTAAGAGCTTCCACGCGACGACGGTAGACTGTGGACCGAAAGTCGGGTGGAGGGGAGGCGGCGGCATACAGCGGCCGGATAAACTAGGGCGAAGCGGGATCACGCCTATGGACCGGTTGAAGAAGCCTTTTAAGCTGACTGTTAAGAGGCCGCCAACATGATCGTGGATCAAGACGTACGAGTATAACGACGTGATGATACTCACCAGGTACCCGTATACAGGTATATAATATAACGAACGGCTACATAATGAACAGTGCAGCTGTTGGTATGAATATAACATCATTAAACGATATGTCTCCAATCATATAATCACAAGCCTTGAACGTAAACATATGTGTTCCAGCGGCAACCAAATAGTAATTATATTACGAAGTAGGCATATACATAGCCGCGATATCCTCATCCCACATAACAGCACGTAACTCGCTATAAACAATCTCCCTCCCCCTCACCACACATAAATCATTATTCATCCCTCTCCTCCCCTCTCCCCTTTCCATCCCCCTACGAAAGCGTAAACCCCCCACTAACCCCCTGAAAAGCCGTAATAGCCCCCCCAATCAAAGCCTTACTATCGCCAAAATACCGCGTCCGATACGTCCCCGGAGCCGCATCCTGCTCCGTCTCCCAACTTATCGTCACAGTGCTGTACCCCAGAATCACATCCGTCCGCGTCCACGTGTACACCAGACTCCAATCCTGGTCGTCCCGAACCTGGACCCAGTTCCCGCTCGCAGAGTCCTGCTTCTCGATCGCCGCGTACGTGCCCTCGAGACGCAGATTGTTCCGCGGGTTCGCGGCCACGAAGGTCGTGTTTACGACTGCGCCCCGCGCGTATGACGCTTTCGGCTGCACGGTTACGTCGCCGAATTTTTTACCTGGCGGCGCGTTGTCTTGTACTACGCCTGTGATGAAGCTTAGGCTTGTGTTGCGGTTGTCGGGGGGTGTTGGGCCTGGGTCTGGCGAGGACGTCGAGTCGTGCGCGAGGTACGAGATCGCGCTTACAGTTAGGTTTATGTACGCGGGGAGTTGCCATGGTCCGAAGAGCGTGCTGGCGCCTTCGTATCGCTGGATCCCGTATTCTTCCGGTGTGGCTAGGTAGTGCGCGTATGTGTTTGCTGGACCGCCTAGTACGACGCGCGGCTCGGCGGTGGTGCCGGTGATATCAGGTGTAGAGACGGCTTTGATGGCGCTGCGCCAGCGGCGTCCTGACATGGTGGTTGCTTCGCTGGGGCTGATGATTATGACGAATTGGCCGACGCGGAGGAGTTGTACGTCGATGATGTTTGGGCTCCATGCGTATGGTGCTGTCATCTCGCCTACGTCTAGGAGAACGGGCTTCGGGTTCTGGCATGCTTGCTGCTGGGGAGTGGGGGCGTGTAGAAGGTCCTTGACGAGTTCCCATAGGGGACTTGCGCTCGGCTCCCCGGAGTCTCCTTGTGTGAAGTCGAAGGCACCGGGGCCATCAGTGGTTCCGGCTGCGAAGGAGTATCCGAGGGATGCGGGACAAGTCTGTACTTCGGTTCCGTTGTCGAGCTGAAATTTCCAGAAGGACATATCGTGATAGTAGTGGAAAGACTTCACTGATGAACCAACTACTGCAGTACCGGATGAATCGAGCGAATCCTGGTGATGGATAAGCGCTAGTTATTATGATAATGAGAATATATGACTTACATAGACCGATCGAGCACCACTGTATTGGCGCTTTCCGATTTCATAGCAACTCTTAATTCCGAGATCGAGCTCGGTGAAAAGAGGACCGCGGCCGTGGCAGGCCTGGGATTTACCATTTGAGCAGGTGCTGTTAACATAGCTGCATTGCTGGCTGGATCCATCGTCACACCTTAAATGAGGTTAATATCTAATCAAAAACCAAAGAATTGTACGGATATATGCTCACCAAGCACCCAACGTATTAGGAGTGGTATCTCCAACGTTTGCCTGAGAAAATCCGGCTACGAATCCGTCAGCGGCGGAATCATCGCTCTCCATAGCCTGCTCAAACATAATCTCCGCGACGCCCTTGTTGTCTCCGGTTACGTGGGTGCTGTTTTGATAAACCGATGTTCCGTGGACGGGAAACCACGTTAGGATACCCATATTCTTGCTATCCGATGCGCGCTGGAACCTGAGGACGGTCATTTCTTTGTCGGTAGAGTCCGCATATCGAGCTCGTTCTTCGGCAGGGTTAGCCATGTAGGCATAGAGACTTCGACTGAGGTTGCCATCCGTGATATTCACCGCCCCTGTTTAAATAATTAGAGACACGTCTTAGACTGTTCGAGTTTAAATCATACCAAAGTCAAGATATCCCTAGTAAAAAAGTTAGTCATGTGTAAGCAACTCGCAATATATAAACTCTTTCACTCACCTCGGTTAGAGATTCATGAGCTCTCTTGATCGACAGAACAGCTCCATCGACAATAGCTTGGTAGCTTTGCTTATCAAACCCCAAACTGGTGACCTGGGGCAGTAGATAATTAAACCAAGCCCCAGGTCCAGAATGAGCGTGTGTTCCAGTAACGGCAACGTTCCCCCTCTTATAGACAGAATATTCGCTTCCTAGCGCAGCAAGCCCGTCGAAGATACCGAAGCTCACAGCCGTATCGCCAGATTGCGCATCGAGAACCAAGTACACGAACCGATCGGCCGGGTTGTTGACATCGCCGACGATAAACGCTCGGGAGAAGATTCGTTGTCGAAGACCGGTGCCGACCTGTGAAAGATCGGCGTATCCTGCAAAGTTGATTTCAACCACGGGGCCGGTGATATCGGCCTTCCCAACGCCAATTAGGTATTTATCGCCCTTCGTTTCGGCCCTAGCCTTGGACTCTGACGTAATTTTCGCTCGCGCCGCATGATGAGAGAGATCGAAACCACGTTGCGGTACCGGTCCACCGATCTTAGTAGCGAAGATAGCTCCGAGGACGAAAAACGAGAAGATCGTGAGGAAGGCCAGCACAGGCCTACCTCTCGTTCGAAAGCTAGAAGGAAACGTAGGAGTCATGTCGACGAGATTAAAAGACCTACTTAATTGACTATCTAAAGCCAACCGTAGTATCTACCTAGTTCCTAATGACTGAGCAAAGAGGTATCGAGCTCGGGGAGATCTTTCCCTATCTCCAGACTTGGCAGCAGCGAGCTTTTTATTTACTATAATTCCCCGTCACTAGAAAGGAAAGAGAAGGGCACGAGACAGCTTTTAGCAGATCCCTTATCCTGGTAAAGAATGCAACGGCCGACGGCCATGGCTGCGCACAGGCGAAGCAAACAGATAGAAGGCGAAAAAAGCAAGTTGGGGGAAAGTCGGACCAGCCATATCGGACAGGTTCCTAAGGTCGAACCCTGCATGGCTTGCATATCTAGGTGAGTTAGGTGGCATACGTCCGGCTGCCGGCTACGTATCCAGGTAGGCAACCAAATAGTGTACGAGCAGAGAGCCAGATTGGTATTGGGTCGTTGTACAATCAGCTGCGGCGTCCTGACATCATGAGCTGAAGTTTGGCGGCAGCAGGGACGCAGAACATCACATGCGCCGTTAGGAGGTAGCTAGGGGTGGTAAGGCACACGATTGGATCGGCGATATGATCAGTACCTACTCGTTTATAGGTGCTTCCTCGGCAAGTCTATGGTCCTTCGCGAGATGGAAGAGATAGCAAGAGTAACAGAGTGAATCAAAAGGACGCGGGGATAAACTAGGTAGGTAGTCAAGGGTAGTCAGGGTAGTATCGGTGATAGTTGGTTGAGCTGGTTGGATGATCGTATCTCCAATGATCATCTAGTAGCGTCATTGGACCTGGGTGACCTATGGCAGATTTGAATAACCATGGATCTTTCCCCTCATTTTATCCCCCCGGCCAATCGTTCCCCAGTTCTCTAAATACAATTAGGAGATAATTATAAACGTGATTTATTATATCTGCAGGTCCCCGTTCTGCTTTTCGTTCGTCCGACATGTCTGATCTTAGGATAAATAAGTCAAGTAACATTTGATCTTATCCCGGAATTGGTTCTATGCTAGGTAGGTAGGTAGGTAAGTGTCGTGTCAGTGATAGACAATAGTTAAGCTCATAGAAGCTCTAATATTAGCTTCTAAGCTTTTAGTTATATAGGGCTAACCAATCTATCCGTTTCTATCTTGATAGGCATCTTGGCATATATGTATAGTATGAAGTAGGTAAATATACCGTGCAGTTTGAGCTTTGAAGAGCTGACTTCGGAATTCAACAATTGTTAAACTTCCCCTTCGAGAGGAGTCGTATTATTAAATAAGCCGACTCCTTCATCTTAAATGTATTAAAATGAGAGGCTGTGTAATATGGGGATGAAATCGTATAAGATGGAACATAGGCCTTGTGATTCAGGATTTATTCCTAGAGGGCTCATGCTTAAGGTACATAGCCTACCATTGGCGGTCTCAAAAGAGGAAGCTCTCAAGTACCAGTTCAGTAAGGACATCCCCACAAGGCTTATCTAATATCTTCTCCAATGCCGCTGTCCATTGCTTTTTAGCGGAGACGGACGGGAGATCCCCTAATCTAATATGATAAGTCACATATGGTACTTAAAAATGCCCCTGCGCTATGAACTTCACATGTATGATATGATACTAGTACAAGTATTAAACTGTCTTACTAGCATTAATGCCTTGGAATGCTTCGATGGCGCTTTCAGCTACTACCTACCACTACCTACCGACCTACTTATTATCTAAACAATGGACTCCCCCGATTTGAATAGCACGCTAATCCGTGAGAATTCGACATAACCCACCGCTTCTTTTCGACTTACCTAGGCACATACCTGTCGCTTCTATTTAGCTGCGGACGAGACGTATGAATCCGGAATGTTGATACGTGCCGAGTGGTAAAGCTTGGTCACCTGAGTAGGACAATAGGGACTTTCAAAAGCACGAACGGACGAAAAAACAAGTAAAATCACTTGGAACACAATAAATCATATCTATATTGGGTATCTTGGGTATCTTAAATCTATCATATGTACATATCTTGAGTGTACATGTTATATGCCTCACGCGTTCTTTAACACGTGAAGATGGGTATAGAACCGCCGACTCAACTAACAGAATCTGCTGCATACGTACGTCTTATCTACGAAATCGACTCTGGCAAGTAGATAGTCTACCTCCTGGTTAGTCCGTAACTGATATCAAATCTCTAATATCACCTTTCAATTTTTTTGTCCTAACCTGTTAATTCAACTCTTGTAAAAGCCCAATTCACCCAAACCATACCATGGCATCCGTGATGCGATAATCCTACACATTTACCCTTATGTTGAAAAATACCACGTTACGCCCCGACGCTAGCTACTCGTTGTGCCTCGGGCTGCGGGGTCAGTCTCCTGGAGATGTCAGGAATTCCGACACGGTCCGCCATTCGGTCCGGAATTAAATCCGGAGACACTGACCGGACCGGATACTCAGTTGCTGGAGTAGCACGCAACAGACGGGATGTCATAGGTTGCGGTGCAAGAATCGTAGGAGATTGAACCTCGTCGATCACAGTCTTAGGAATCGGTCCCGCTCCGGTTCTGATGGTTGATGGCAAAATCTGCTCGAATCCCTGCTCCCTCGCAACTTTCTCGATGCTCTTGAAGTACTATAATAATCAATTAGCTAATGGCCGCTAGATTTTACCCCGAAGATATGCTTACCTTAACGGTCTTCACTTGCAGTTCCAACGTTGCATCCTCGTCACACACTATCATGGGGTGAGGATGTAACTGAAGGCTTGATAATGTCCACATGTGGTTAACGCCCTGCTCAATGCACCTCTGTAAAGCGAGAGCCTTGCGAGCACCGAGGATAATGACAACCACCTCTCTCGCTTCAAGCACGGTCTGGACGCCAACTGTCAAGGCCATCTTAGGGACCTTGTCAATGTTGTTTCCAAAGAAGCGAGAGTTGGCGAGAATAGTGTCGTAGGCTAGTGTCTTGACACGGGTCCTTGAGGCCAGACTAGAGCCGGGTTCATTGAAGGCGATGTGGCCGTCTTCTCCAATTCCACCTAAGAACAAGTCGATGCCGCCGGCACGCTTGATCTTAGCCTCGTACTCCACACATTCTGCTTCAAGGTTTGGGTTGTTGCCGTTTAGAATGTGCACGTTGTTTGGGTTCACGTTGACGTGGGAGAAGAAGTGCTTCCACATGAAAGAGTGGTAACTCTCGGGATGGTCTCGAGGGATACCGACATACTCGTCCTATTTTGGATATTCATTAGCATTCGGACATATATAGATACCTCATAGATGGGAATGTATTAATATTATCTCATACCATGTTGAAGGTGACGACATTTTCGAAGGAGATCTAAGTTAAACTAGTTAGCTATAGCTCCAAATTATTCGTCTAGCCCACACATACATTTCCAGCCTTGTACTGCTCAACTAAGATCTTGTATACACCAAGCGGACTTGAACCGGTAGGTAGGCCAAGGACAAAGGGATGTGCCGGGGTAGGATTGAAGTGTCGGATTCTCTCGATGATATAGTTAGCTACATAGGCGCTGGCTGTATCGGAGTTGTCGCGGATGATAAGCCTCATTTTGGTTTTATTGAATTTGGGAAATTGTGTGTTAGATAATGTGATAGTTGTTAAGGGGTAAGATTTGGATTCGAGGTGAAGATAAGCAGAGATGGATGTAGTTCTGTTTTTACGGACTTATCTACGGAAACAGGAGGAATTCAATAGAGACGCTTAGAGTAATACAGGTTTCGCAGTCATTATGAGGAGGAGCCTCATAGTGGCAAAGGCAACAAAGGCCTCAGCTGGATAGCATCGGACACCATCGGACGTACCGTCGATGATGGAACGTTTGCCCCGGATTGGCCCGTTCTCCACCACGATGATAGTGAACTCACACTTGTAACTGGGGAGGCTCATTGAACGTTGTAGTAACCTGTCCATGAATGGATTTAGGTCATGTGGCGCCCCGGGCTATTTGGTTGGTTGCTTTGTTAGAAGTGAGTGTCAAGCTCCAGCCAACCACACGTTCGGGAGGTCTAGTTTCGATAACGAGATCATTACTTAGTAGGTTATCTGATGCCTTACCCATCCCCCGGAGATCTCGGGTTCGCTTAGTGATCGTGACGGGTACAGGCAGGTAACGCTGGCTGACTGGCTGGTAGGTCGAACAGCTACAGTACTAGACTCCGTAGTACGGACGTACTGTGTATCTCGATGTGCGTGTATGAGAAACATGTCATGTCCTGACGAGTCTCTGACACACTGAGCTAATGCAATTTCGACATCATCTTCCCGTAGTGGGGAAAGCCAAGCCAGGGACTCGTCCTAATCCGGGATCAATGACATTTGGTATTCGATGCGATCTAATATTCGTCTAAGTGACTTTCACTAGAGCCGCAAAGCTGAAATAGGAAAAAGGAAAATAATATCTTCAGCCAAGCAGAGCACTACCGCGAATGTGATCAATATTTTCCCATGGCTTTCTCGGCTAAGGTTGGAGAAATGAAAAAAATAGATGAATATTGAAGATGGAGAAGTATGATACGCTCCCTTAAAAAATGGAATGTTCCAAATTCAGTCTCTTGCCACTCTTGTGGCTTACGTCTATTGTAAGGGAAAGGGCGAAGTCCTTGGAACTCCTGGTACTCCTGGAACGCTAACGAGGACTCGGTAACTATGCAAACTCAAAATTGTCCCAATATGTCTATGCAAACGCCATGTGGCTCGTGCATGTTGGACGATCCTTGCTCCTTTAAATATACTAAACCTTAGACCTAGAACCCTAGAAAGGTTAAAAAAATAGTTGACTTGGAATTCTAGAGCCTACAACGTTACATCTACAAACATTGGCCCAGATGGCAGATAGTACCAACTGGACAACACCACCATACCTTTACCCTTTACTACCTCTACTACCTTTCTACCACCAAGGTGAGACAATGTCAATGTCCGATGTCCACCTCTTCCCTTCCCATTCCTCTTCCTCTTGTATCCTCCTCCTTTCTCTTCCCTGTCCTCCCTGATATCGACAGTTGATTGGTGCGCTGTTCGAATCCGAACCCCTGTCATATCTGATTCTTCGCTGACGGATCTACTACTATCGTTATTGTTATTGTTACCTGCCACCATAACACCATAACCTATATGCGCTCCTTGCCTTTTTCAGTATTATAGCTGTACTTTTTTCAATTTTTTTTACTTGTTGCTACGTGAGTACCACCGAACAAAGCCCTAAGCAAAGAAAAAGAACACCCCCGAAAAATACCATCAGCATCCAGCATCAAGCATCAAGCATCCATGATCTCGAAGTCACCTACCATACCTAGAAAACGGTGGCGCTAGATCTGTTCTTCGGTCCACTCTCTTGGATCCCCATCCCGCCCTATCCCATATCCTCGGGCGTTCTAACTACTATTCTAGTCCTGTTGTTACTGCTTTTGTTATTGTTGTATGTGTTATTCTTTCTGTTAGGTGGTAATACAGACGCTAGTTAGACCGTTGGGATCAAGCATAGCTGTAGGCGCGAGCCACGTTTTACCTAGCTTAGGGGGGATCGATGGTCGATGGTCAGTGTTGAGTCAAGGTTGAGTGAGAAAACTAGACCTCTCACCTCACTTTTGGTGTCTATCTCGACATACATACACTTTCCACTACAAGCAACCCAGCGCAACCATTCTCTCTCTTCCTCGTATCAGAGACTTGTTATGCCTTAAGCGTCCTTCGTTCTTATTGCACCACTCGTTCATGCTGTAACCCATTGGGTCTGACCTGAACACACCCCCCGTGCTCTGAACCTTGGTCTTGGCTCTTTATTCTTTACTTCCCTCCTAGGATCGTACATTACTAGATCCAACCAACGGGGTCGTCTCGTTAACTTCGAATTTGACCGGCAGGTTTCATTTCTGCCGTTCTAGCCTTTTCCCGCCTATACGAGTACTGACGCGGCCCTAAGGAAACATTTCACTCACTACTGCTGTTTCCGATTGCCTGCTTCCGCTGGAACATGACGAATGTTGTTGCTTGAAGACCAGTCATTCCAATCTCGTCTTCGAATATCAGCTGCCTCTCTCATTTTTTTCGGCTCTGCCCATGTCACCTTCATGACTTATATTTATACCCAACTAGACCCTCGAGCCAGTACCCTGTCATGCAGCCACTCACTTCTGCAATGACTACGTTAAAGAAATCGCTGTTAGCGGCTCTTAAGTCCTTCCTTCGGGGACGGTCCTTCTTGCAGGCCATACTTGCATTTTGGATTAGCCCGAAGGCTTTTAAGGAACATCATGTCGACGGAAAGAGGACATACCCGTCGAGGGCTATCGAAGATTTCTTGAAGGAAGCAGAGAAGCTCTTTTTAGGATCTATCGACGAAGACGGGCTGAGAAGATATTCGTCAAATCTTAAGCGCCAATTTCGAGAACGGTTACACGGCCATCCAGAATGCATGCTCCCGTCTTTTAATCACCTACTCCCCACCGGAAAAGAACGAGGCCAATATCTTGCCCTCGATGTCGGTGGATCGACGCTGAGAGTTGCGTTGGTGGAATTAAGAGGCCGGGAGGCGACAGGAAGGGAGAGCGAAATCATTCGAATGGTCAGCTTTAAGATCACACCGGAAGTTAAGAAGCTTGAAGGCCTAAGCTTTTTCGATTGGATGGCAGCACGAATTCACGAAGTCGTACACAATGACCTTTCACAAGAGCAAGACATAATACCTATGGGTCTTGCTTGGAGTTTCCCAGTGGAGTAAGTATACCTCCCCTTTCGACTATGGCCTATATCAACACTAACATAACTCGTAACAAGACAAGTATCGCTAGGCGGTGGACTTCTACTTGGTATGGGGAAAGGGTTCCTGGCTACCAACGGTTTACTGGGCCAGGATTTGGGCGAACTCATCAAATTTGCGTGCAAGAAACAAGGCCTAAACGTCCAACTCGAGGCCATCGTCAATGATAGCTCGGCAACGTTACTATCGCAGGCCTATGTACATGGCTCGACGCGCTTTGGCCTGATCTTAGGAACGGGCACCAATATCGCGGTCCACTTGCCGGTGTCAGCATTTAGTCGTGCTAAATATGGCAAACGACCGGAAAGTTGGTTTGAATCCGCAAGCCACGTCATTGTGAACACGGAGCTAGGCATGTTTGGGAAGGATATCCTGCCTCTGACACGGTGGGACGAACTCCTGAACGCCTCACACCCTCGGCCCGACTTCCAACCCCTCGAGCATTTGTTGAGTGGATTCTATCTCGGAGAAATCTGCCGACTTGCCATAGTCGAGGCCGTTGAGACGGCGGGGCTACTGGGCGGTCAATTACCACCGTCCCTGGAAAAGCCGTACTCGCTCGACACCGAAATCTTGTCGAGAATTGAGGCGTAAGTCCCACATAACGAATACTGATTAATAATCTCAGACACTAACACGTTACTTCAGCGATACATCGCCCACTCTCGAAAAAGCCATATCCGAGTTCGCAACACACCATCCTACTACCACGTCACCTACCTTCTCCGACATCAGCACCATCCGTGCTCTCGCAACCTTTATATCACGCCGATCCGCTGCCCTCCTCGCTGCCTCGGTCTTCTCACTTTGGGAACTACGACATGAGACCGAAGCGGAGACCGCTCCCGTGACCCCAAAGCCGACCCCCTCGAACGATAGCGGCGTAGTCCTACCTTCCCCCTCAATCGACGAGCAAATCAAGGAGATCGAGGCCAGCACCAAGGTCGCCTTCAACGGCTCCGTCATCGAGCACTACCCGGAATACCTGCCCACGTGCCAACGCTACATTGACGATCTCGTCGCCCACAGTCAATACCCCGGATCCGTGGACCTGGTCCCGGCCATCGAGAGCTCGATCCTCGGTGCCGCGGTCGCGATCGCGTGCGCAACTACGGCGTAGAACACGTTACCTCACGGGACGGAAAAACATAGATTATTTACGGTTGTACATATACCTACCTACCTACCTACTTATACCTATTCACGCCATCTTACCTATCCTATTTTTAACGGCCTATTTCCTTTTCCCATTTTCGGATATTTTCGAAAAACATACCTACCTACCTATATACCTAGTGTTATTGCGCACTTTATACTCGACGAATGACGCAAGGTGCGTGAGAGGGAAGGCATAGATTGCTTTCTCCTGTCGCGGCTTGCTGTTGTCGGGTAAGGGTGGCGCGAACGAGCGAACAAGCGAGCAAGCGAGGAGCTTTGATAGCGGGAACATCTAGATGGCGTTTAGGTACGGGTATATATATAGGCACATAGCATATAATGAAGACATGCATTGTTTAAGAAAAGTTGATTTCAACATCTGTGAATAAGGGAAAAGTAAGTGTGGACTTGAATAGATGTAGTAAAAGTACCAACGTTGGCTAGATTGCTGAAAGCGACCAAGAGGCAAATGCTCATTCGCTCGCTCGATATGCCGTATACTAAATAGGTAAGTTCTCACACCAAACTTGCCCTCCATAGGTACTAGGTAGGTAAGCTAGTGGTAGGTAAGGTATAGGTAAAATATAGTACAGCAACGCAACAAACCCGATTAAAAAAGACAAAACACAGACAAGCAAAAAGCAACGACGATAATGACGAACGACAACTCCGGCGAATGATTTGCCCAAAGCGCTATAGATACTACATACAAAGTACATAAGTACTAACTACATACAACATATATAGAACTACTACTACTACCTAACCTAAGGTATATATTTCGAAGCCAGTCCAGTTCCAAGCCGATCCAGTTCAGTTCAGTCGGGTTTCCAGTTATCGCAGAAAATTGCAGAAATAGTTGTGGTGGTGGTGGGGGTGATGATGGAAAAGAATATAGGTCATAATACATACTGAGATATTTCCTCAAAATAAAAATTCAAAAGTTGCGCCTGCTTGTTTGTGTTTGTGTGTGGGTGAGTTAAGGGGGGGAAGTGTGATGGATATGTTGGTGTGATGTAATGTTATTGGGTTGTGTTGTGTCATGCCGTCGTTCGATCCATCCACGTCCTCAGGCCTTGTTCTTTCTCTCCTTTTTGCTCTTCGTCAATTCGCGCACGCGCTCGCTCGCTCGCTCAGTCTATCCCAATTCACTAGACAGATTTAGACAAACAGATATAAGATGCCCGCCTCCTCTTATTCCACTCCGATCCGGTCTAAACTGGTACACCGGATTTTTGGCTCTGGTCCATATATTTATGAAAGGGGTTGATCTGATCCACACATTCGCTCGGCGCTTAGGAGTACATGGTAGGTATTCGAGGTACCTGATGTATATCGGCTTATAAAGTTGGGTAGATTGGCAAGCTAGGTACCCAGTACTCATTCGGCAGAGAAGTATCGCTTGGACTTATTCCTGATTTGTTGCGCTTTGATCTCTTGTGGTACGGCGATGTGGTGCACGATATGTGGGCGGTATACGGTGTCTACGAGCGGTGTCCTGTTTTTAAGTGTAAGTGGGTGTGGTTAAATATCAAGGGGATAATTAGGGGGTGGGGTCGAATTGAAGTTAAAGTTAGTGATATCACTTACCAATCATCTACACTAAGCGGGAAGTACTCATATAATTCCTCTTCCTCCTCTATCGGGCTGCCACCCGGCCCGTGACTCGTGGATGTTCGGTGTAGCCTCGGGCTCGTTAACGAGTCGGTGTTAGACCGATTATTCGGGCTCCGCTCGTCCTCCGATAAAGATAAGTTTATCGGTACGGACGGTGCCGAGCCATTGCCGTTGTTGTTGCTATTGTTATTCTTCGTATGGCTACTTAACGCCTGCTGCGTTTTATGGTTTGATGATTCCTTGCCCCATGCCGGGACGGGAGGTCGGTTTATATTGGGTGAGAGAGCCATTTTCTTCGCCGGATGAGCTTGTGCGTTTTGTTGTCCACCGTATGCGGGTGTTGAGGGCGTTGCCCAGGACGAGCCGGATGGGGTGGTGCCTAGGGATGGTGATGAGAAGTGGTGTAAGTTATGCGCGGAGTCTGACCGCTCCGTCTTGAGGTTTGCTGTCGAACTTGCGTCGCTGTGAGTCCGCGCTCGCTCTACGTTGGCAGGCGTCTTCTTCTCGCCTGTTAAGGGAACGTCCTTTCTGCTATCAAAATTTCGCGGGCTTCGTCCGCGGACGATCACCGGACCGCTCTGGATTTCGGCGATCTTCATAAACTCGCCTCCTGTCTTCATCTTGCCGAGTAGGCTGATCTGCACAACATAGTGCTGTTGTAGTCCTTTCCGGCGGCCGTTATTCGCCGTCGCGCTCTTAAACTGCAGTCGCTTCCATGAGACTGGTATGCTGACTCTATGGCCGTCAACTTCCTGGCCGCCGCTTAGGTCAAGCGCGATCTTAGGTGGGGCGCTGGCGACCTTTGTCTCCTGACCTTCCCCTAAAGCCGGGTTACTGCTTTTCCAGGGTATAGAGATGATCTCAGTAGACTTGCCCTCGATGCTCTCCTTGGCCGATATCGAGGCAAAGAATTCTATAATAGGGATCGCGCGACCCTGCTCGTTCATCACCTGAGTGCAGTGTCGCGGCATTGTTATTTGTCCGGAGCACTGCCATAAGTTCCGCCGATAGCATGTTAATTCTAGCGGTCGCCCCGTTGATTCGCCGCCGAAGACATCCTCGGCTACGAAGAACATGCCATATAACTCGGCAGACATATTAACTTCGGAATATGCACCTAAAGCATCGTCGAGTGGGGTGGCTTTCGCGGCTGTTGCCGAGAAGCTAAGAAGCTTATCGTCCGGCTGTTGTGGTGATGAGCCTTCATCGTGGAAGTCTTCAGGGTGCGGCGCAGCGGACTCGTAGGGTTTAGAATAGTTGAAGGGGTCTTCGAAGGTAGTAGAGAAGGTTTCGAAGTCGTAAGAGGGAGTAAAGGGTAGTGGAGGTAGGTTGCCGTTGACGTTTTCTCTATCGGGGGGTCTTAGCATTACTGTGTTATTGTATTTACCGCCTACACGTGCGACTCTTTTTTCTCTTCGATGCCGCGGATACCATATACGCAAGATCATCCACGCCTATATCCGCATAAACCGGAAAATTCAATGCGCTCATCAAGATTAGACTTACAACATAGATTCGTCAAAGTTAAGATCAGGATCGAAGGGTTCGATGCCTAGGCCGGAGCCGGACATGGCGGCGTTTAATCCCATGGCGTCTCCCGGGCTGGCGCCTGACTGCAGCGCCGGCATGGAGTTGAAAGTTGCCATCGCATCGTATGGAAAGGGCTAATACCCTTCCAGCAAAAAAGGTTTAATCTTGCTTCTGCTTTTCCTAGATTGCTTACTGCTGACAGGTATCGGTTGGGAGGGCTGGAAAGCTGACGTAGACTTTTGACTTTCGACTTCCGACTGATAACGAAGCGAGCCGAAACCAACTCCCCAATGCAGATAGATTGAAAAAAAGAAAGAAAAAAACTTTAGCTTCCACACCGTTATGGGACCAAGTGGAGTTGAAGGGTTGTTGGCAGCGGTCTCGAGCGGATTTGCGGTGGGAATTGGTTAATGATGTTAGAAAGCTTGTTGATAGATAATGTTGAATAAACTGTATGGAGAGTTGAAACGGATTCGGGATGTCAAAAAACAACCAACTAATCACTTGCTTGTCCGAATCTTACCACTGGCTTACCACTGACTGCTACTGGCTACTGGCTGCCACTGGAACACTGGAACTTAGGTACCAGGTAAGCGAAGCGAAGCTAACAGTAGGGCGAGAGAGGAGCACTGGAGCAGCGCAGCGGAAAGTGGAGGCGCGAGAACCAATTCGACCAAGCCAAGCCAAGGAACAAGGACCAAGGGGGTGGAGAAATGGGAATTAGCAAAGATCCGCCGTTCGACTAGGGGCTGGGATTCTTTGGGTCTAGCCTTGGAGGATTATTATCGGTGATAGCCCTGGAAGTTAATATCAAGAAGTTAAGAACCTTGAAGCTAAGAAGCTAAGAAACTAAAAATCGAAAGTAGGCAAAGAAAAAAGAGAGAGAAAAAGGCTTTTAGGACTGGGGTTCCTAGGTACATAGTAAACTCAAAAAGACTAAAAGAACTTAAACCGGGACCCCCCTAGAACTACCTAGTATTCAATCCATTTAATCTCATTTGATAGCCGTCATAGGTCATACACACCTACATATTTCACATACATCAACATGGCTAACATCGAATTTCAACCAATAAGTACAAGCGCAATACCTATAGCGGGCTTGGTGCCTGGGCGGGAACTGGGGTAGGCATGTAGGTATGTACAGTAGAAGCATGTACAATGTAGACGTACATCTGTCCGTCCATGATTCCATAGACTATGATGATGTATGATGTATGTAAAAGCCGGAGGTTACTCAAATTTGGGTTGATAGGGGGGTTCGTCTTTTCGGCCTCGGGATCTCTGGGCGTTCAACTAGATGGGATGAAAGCTACCTTAATGGTAAGTGGATAATGCTCCAGGGCTGCCCCTATCGGTTTATCGGTCTCGTCTCTTTTCTTTAGTCCGTGTGGTACATTACCTAAATCATGGAGGTATGGAGGGGGAGGGGGGGCTTTGGGAAATCGATTCTGCAGAAAACCAACTTTCTACCTTCTGGAACGAGTTAAAAAGAAACTCGGCGGGTGGGGTGATGGACATCCATTGTCATCCAAAGGCGGGCGAGACAGGCCAGAGACAGGCCTTGCTTAACCCCCCTTGGGTCTATGGGGTTATATCACCACATTGCCGAACGACTTTATCTGTCATCTGTCATTAATTGCCTGCCTTTCAAATCCAGACTCTCGGTGCTTCTCTTGCATGTACGTCCGTCCTTACATAGAACTTTCAACGCACCTTGCATCTTCTATCCTTACCTAGGTGCATACCTTAGGGGTACCTATCTATTACTAGGTGCTTGTCTATCAAATACTCGATCGCGCTGTAGTGCGAACAATGGCCTTCTTATCAGTTGACTTGTCTCTCCACATCCATCACCACTAGTGCTATGTAGGTACATACTGTAGTAAACAGATTCCGTTTGTTGAAGATCACAACCCCTAGGGGTGCCACTACTGTAGTATGCCGCGGCGCCGCGGTTCATTTTCTATTTTTAAACAAGGGACAGCCTACAGCTTACGGTCTACGACGACGACGGGGGCTCAAAACTCAATCGGTAATTGTGCGTTTTAGGATTCAAAATCTGAACAAGATTCAATTCTTGATTGGTCAAAATCACGATCCCATTGCCACTAACTCCGGCTCGCTCACCCCGAATATATAAAAAAAATAAAATACATAGGCCAGAAACGTGTGTCGAAACTCTTGTTGGAGCAGAGAAACATTATTGCACTTCCAGACCCCCACCTCCAATCCACTATTCCATTTTCTTCAGGGGAAAAGGGGTACCCAAAAACGTACAGTTCGGTGAAGGACCTCATTCATTCATTCATTTAATATTCGTTCGATAACTTTTTGTGCCCTGGTCACCCCCAAAAAGGTAATTGTTCAACTAAGGTCAGACCACTATCTCAGATCTCAATGATCAGCAAATTTATATCGAGATTTAGACAGGCATAACACTTACGTTCTCCGGCGAATTTGTAATTTCGTCAAACGTTTGCTGAACTTCGAAACCCATAGCTACTAGAGGTTCATGCGCCTCGTCGAGAACCTAAGCATGTTAGTTATAATGATCATACCCGGTATAGCTCGGGTCAACCTACCCAACTGAGCACACTCTTCGCTGATTTGTGCGCCTTGTTTTGTCTCACGCCCATAAATGCCAGTCCCTGCAATATCAATCTAGAATGTGCCGTCGAGGGAATGATCGGGGCAATAATGCCACCAATATCTCCCCCACTAATAGAATGAAGCGCGGGGATATATGTCGACAGCCGGCTCGCTGCTGTGCAAATAATAACTGTTCCCAACAGATTATCAACTGCGTTCTTGGCTCTCACTACTCCGCTCGTGTTCGTTTCTTGAAGCGCAAATCTGTAGAGCTCTACGACTTCGGGTCCCGCGTGCGTTGCTACATGATTCAGTACTGATTCAGCGTTGTCGAGTCCGTGGATTAGGTCGAAGCTAATGCTCGCTCGTTGTATACTCTGTAAAAGACCTTCAGGTGGCGTCCAAGCGCCGAGATCATCGATAATCATGTTCGTTAGTCGCTTAGGAAACTGCGTGTCCCATCCCACGTTGTCGAACCAGCTCTTGTTGCTCCCACTTTCATCAACAGGTACACCTGGAAATACTCCTGGAAATGTAAGCCCTAGTTGGATCGTTTTGATCCCTTGCTTCTGAAGTAATGCTCGTAGCGCACGACGATGTAGTGATCTTCCAATCGATACGTTTCGTTTTGCCGGGTCGACAAAGAGTGCGCCGATAGCCCCAACACCTTTTGTGTAATATGTAGCCACAAACCCGTACAACGTTTTTGTGCTACTATTCCGAACGACAAAATGCGCCTCTTCAATATGCGAGTTGAATAACTCAAATGAGTGGGCCGACGATGTGAGATACGGGAGACTCGGTGTGCTGGAACGGGCTAAGGTTCTTAGTAACTCTTCGAGGGCGGGGACGTCTCGATCGCGGTCGTAGTTTTCGACGAGCCACTGCTGTCTTGTCTTAGAAACCTTCTTGCTCTTCCTCATCGTCCCCGGCATCGACCCTTGAGGCGTAAACTCCCCGTATAGCGCACGGACAAGGGATGCCATGGCTGTCTCGGTGAAATCAAAGGTGCAGACGTATGTTCCGATCGATTTATCCATCGCAAAATCGTACGGCGAACTAACTGCAACTACAATGAGCGACTTCTTCTGGCCCGTACCACGAAGCATGTGACACATCATGGCTACGTGCTTTGTGAATCCAGTTTGGTACATGTTTCGGTTAGCGTCAGCAGTTACTATGATGATCGCTGATGCTCTGTTAATCAGATTTTCGTGCACTGGTACTCTGTTAGCTTGATAGATAGGATGAGACAGACATTTCCCTAACCTGGCCGGAGTCCATTCGCAGTATACGATGTGTGAAGAAGTTTACCGTTGCGCATCCGAGCTATTGATCGACCTAGTTCTCGAAAAACGCCCTCTCCGCTCATGATCGCACCACGTTCCTGATGAATCCATCTTTCGTGTAAGGAGGGATTCCCTTTAGTTCCCTTCTCCAACAAGCTTTTAGTAGCTGCCGAGGCAGGTAATGGCTTGACTAGGGGTGTTAACAGTAAAAGCTCCTCTTCTTGGAGTAGACTCTGCGATAGAGGAAGTAAGTTGTCCTTATCCCGTACAACTGTAATTGAGTGATCATAAGCCTTCCTTGAGAGTGCAAGGTGTGAGGGGTGTATCTTGGACAGCAAAGGAAGCCCAGGAGGGTTCAGAGCTTTCTGCCAAGACGTACACACGCTTTTCATCCTCAACACTCGCTTCAAAGAGGTATGGATCCGGTCTTTCGAGATGATGCCGTTTTCATAACCTAGTTTCAGCCCAGAGATAGCTTCCAGTTGTACATCATGCGCCCTGCATAAAAGCACCAAGTCGTTGCCTGCTTCCACAGCCATCACGGTCCCTCCCTTGACACCATACTCTTGTATAAGCGACTGCATTTCGAGGCATTCCGAGATGGCGACACCCTTGAACCCAAGCTCATTTCTAAGGAGGTCATCTACGACTTGGTCGGAAAGACAGGCGTGCATGACGTTCATTCCAGCACTTTGGATCCCAACCCCGCCGACGAACATGGCATCTAGGCGTCCTGCACTGATTGCATTTCGAAATGGTATAAGAGCGCTGAGGTTGAGTTCTTCTAAAGTCTGAGTAATGATAGGCATGTCCAAACTAGACCCGAGGAAATCGATATTCCCGTAAGATGGGAAGTGCTTCCCGCAGGTAGCCACACCAGCATCTTTGTATCCATTGATGGCAGCGATGCAGAATTGTGAAGCTTCTTGCGGATCGTCACCAGTAGCTCGAACTCCGAGAGGTTGATGCCGAGCATTGGTCAGTACATCTAAGACGGGACCAAGAATGAGGTTAACTCCGACGGCTGAGACTTCGGTGGCTGTAGCTTTTGCTATGCTGTATGCTAGCTCTGTGCTCCCTGTAGCAGCAACGCCCATGGCGCTAGGGAATTGACATATGTAATCCTCGTCAAACAGACTGTTGACACCTCCATTTTCTTGGTCAACAGCTATCAATAACGGCTGGGGATGTCCTGCTTGGTGAGCTATTGTTTGAAGCTCTTGAACCAACAAAGCAGTTTGTTCGGCGGCTATAGTAATGTCGCGTAGTTAGTATCCCTCTGACGTGTACCTCTATGAGCATTGACAAATATCTCGGAGATATGATAGACATGGTATACATTTTAGATTCTTAGCTGTCAATATAATTGAACCTAAATGATGGTTCTCAATGAGGTTTCGAATTTGAGGCGTTACTTCGGTACCATCCCATCCCATAATCAGCATCTGGCCAATCGCCCTATTAGTCGTTAGTGAGAGACCTGCTTTAGCCTTGCAGCCGCATCACCCCGGACAAAGAAACGCGATCATGAGGCTCTTAGGGCTCTTAGGGTTCTTAGTGATGAGAATAGATAAGAACCGGTACACCGTACCAATCGAGATTTTGCCATAGTGGGTCGAGTTCGATGTCCGACTTGGTCATTTTTGCGGTGGTATCGCTCGCTACAACTTCAGAGTATACTAGCAGGCCTTGAGCCGAACGGTGTACGCGTAAAAGATCAGCATGGGCTTTCTCGGACTTTCTCCGTCAACAACGAATATGAGCGTAAGCGTGAACGTGAGTGCGAGAGTGAGAGTTACGGAGGGCCGGAAGTCATGGAGCTAGTTAGTGTGTAAAGCCTGTGAAGTTGGGGTAAGATAGGATTAGGATAAAGCACCGAAGTTGATGCAGTATCAAATGTAGTATCAAGTGTGTTTGGTGAGGATGAAGAAAAGAGTTTACAATGATAGACCGATAAAGCTATGGGGCTGGAGTGAGAACTTCGGCAGTATCAAATTTTAGAATTGTTAGGGGGCTGTAGAGGGGGTAGTAAACCAAGGTTGTATCGCATAAGCGATTGCCCAAATGCTATCGATAAAACTCTAGGCCCTTGATATTTGACAGGTCCCGCCTAACCCACCTAGCCCACCAAAAGTGCCTGGGCAAGTGCTAAAGACCAATTGCTCTTTCTAGAAGGGAAGGTATTGTACCTCGGTATCCGGGGAGGATCATTCCCTGAATTTAGGGGAATGTACGCTATCCCAATTTGACTTTAGTTGACATTAGCCCCACCGGTCATACATTTCTCGGGACGATAGCAGCTATCGGGGTTCCTTTGCCTCTCTCCAAAAGCCTTCTACCACTTCGCAACGTTACCTTCACCACTACAAGAAGCTTTCTTTGATGTACCACGATCCAATTTTCGTTTTCGTTACAATGGATTGTCACACAGCGAAAACGATCTACTGTTGTAGAGGCTCTAGCAAGGGGCCGAAGATAGACGCCGACATCCACAAATGATACCTGAGTATCTAAAATCTAAGAGGGCCTCGTCAAGTTGGTTGCCACCACTTTACCACCACTCTCACACTCTTAGTAACAAACCCTCCGACCTAGAATACCCTAGAGGATGCTGACCAGTCTTCTTAGTCACATGTTGTTACCATTGGCCTGGACATCTTCTACATAGTACACTGGCATCAGTCCATCCACAGGAAAACCGGGCTCCATTGTCACAATCTCAAGACTGACGTCTGACCGGCCCCACCAGACCAGACAGCAGAGAGCAATCTCACTTGTCATCGGCCCTTACAGTGACGCCAGTGACTAAGTGTTCTGGCCTTCCAGATACTGAAACACATGGGTCTAACACGCCGAGATTTTTCGGAATCGATATCGGCCACCCTTCGGAGTCAGCGGCAACGCATCGTGATATCATGAATAAGTACATCTATGAGCCATTTCCCATAGTTTATCGTGTTTTCGTTTATGGAAACTCAAATACTCGCCAAAGGGACAATTGTCCTACAGCCTGATAAAACATAGAATCATCAAACAATCTATTTACAACTACCTACAAAGTACTTACATCATGCCGCACTCTCTGCCGTCGTCGCCCAAGTCGACACCGTCGGATGGTCGTAACGGCATTACCAAATTCACCAACTGTCGTATTTTTAAGAACGACAAGTTAGTCGAGGAGGACCTATGGGTCAACTCCATCACTGGCAAAATTATTAGAAGCCAAGCTGCTTTCTATGATGATTTCATCCTCCCGGACGAGGTTGTCAACCTTGGTGGTCGTATCTTATCGCCGGGTCTTATCGAATCCCAGCTAAACGGTGCCTTTGGTTTCAACTTTTCTACTCTTCTCGAGCCTGCCGTGTACGCGAAGAAAGTCAAGGAGTTGAATAAGCAAATGGTCAAGACCGGCGTTACGTCTTACGTCCCTACTATTACAAGCCAACGGAGCGAACTCTACAAACGGGCACTACCACATCTCGCCCCGTCCGGATACTTGCAGGTTGCCGAAGATGGAGCGGAATCGCTTGGCGCACACTGTGAAGGTCCATTCTTGAGTCCCACCAAGAACGGAGTACATGACGTAGATGTGCTGCGGGTAGCCGAGACATTTGAAGACTTGGAAGATTGCTACGGCGCATCAAACCTAAACCCCGAATCCACATTTCGTCCTCTCCCGATCAAGATGATAACTGCCGCCCCGGAGCGGGGACAAATGACGAAGCTCATCCCCGAACTTACGAGCCGTGGCATCATCTACTCAATTGGCCATTCGGAAGCAACGTACGAAGAGGCATCAGCTGCTGTCGCTGCAGGTGCGACAATGATCACTCATCTCTTTAACGCTATGCGACCTCTGCATCACCGAAACCCCGGCATTTTCGGTGTATTGGGTCTAGCAGAAAGCTTGCCCCGCCCCTATTTCGGTATTATCGCTGACGGAGAGCACTTACATCCCACAACAATCAAGATCGCTTTCAACGCTCATCCGGATGGTTTCATCCTTGTCACAGACTCCATGCACCTCGTGGGTCTACCAGACGGCGCTTATCAGTGGACCAATGGCGAGAATACGAGTCATATCTTGAAGAAGGGTAACAAGCTGATCTTAGAGGGTACCGACCGAATCGCTGGAAGGTAAGAATTAGCCCTGAAAATTGAGATATAATAATATGACTAACTGGCATTATAGTTCGATAACACTCATCGAATGCGTGTCTAATTTCCTCAATTGGTCTGGCGCAAGCATACCCCAGGCCCTAAAGGCTGTCACAACGACACCGGCTGCCATGCTAGGGCTGCAGGGTATCAAGGGCTGTCTCGACGACGGCGCAGATGCGGACATGGTCGTCTTATCTGAGAGCCCTAAGACAGGTGGCGGTATTGACCTCGTCGTGGACGAGGTCTGGAAATTCGGTACCAAAGTTTTTACTCGCTAATCCTTACGCATAGACAAATGTAAGAAGGGATAGAGGGAACGGCCCATAAGTTACCTAGACATGATGAGACAATTTTGTATTTAAAGAATGGTTATGGAGTTAGGTGGTCTATTCGTATCAACGTCAAAACGTTATCGCGATCGGGTTCATATATCCCTATACATGGTAGACTGAGGATCTGGTATACCCCTAGTGGCTTTGTTAGAAGTAGGCCCATTAAAGGCGTCCTGTTAAAGAGCTTTAATTATCAATAAACATGTATATATTCACGTACCTTTAGGTACTATGTCATTTGTGTATGTACGTGCCTATCAAACAACAGTAAGTGTAGCATTTCCTCTAATATCCTTACTCGAGCTCCCAACATGAATAACAAAATCGCCAGGTTCGACGACGTACTTCATATTTATATCCCAGAGCCCCAAATCAGCGACATTGATATCGACACTCACCGTCTCCGTGGCGCCCGCCTTCACAAACACCTTCGAAAACCCGCGTAATTGCTTATTCGGCACAACAACACTAGCCACCACATCCTCAACATAAACCTGCACCACCTCCGCGCCATCCCTCTCCGACTCATTCGTCACATCAACCTCCACCCTCACCACATCCCCCGACCCAACCTCCCTCCTATCAAGCCTCACACCCGCATACCGAAACGTGCTATACGACTTCCCAAACCCAAACTCATACAACGGCATCGGGCTATCCAGCACATACGCATGTCCAAACACCATCGTCCCATCCTCATCCACCGCCCCCGCATCCGAACCCCCACCCGTGCGCCCCGAGTTCAGGTAATCGTAATAAACAGGCGTAGTCCCCACATCTCGCGGAATAGAAACACTCAGCTTCCCAGACGGATTCGCGTCCCCGAAAAGCACGTCGGCTAGCGCGTTGCCGCCCTGCTCTGACCCGTAGAACTGCTGTATCACCGCTGCTGCGGAGCTCGAGATCCAGGGCTCCGTCACGGGCTTGCCGGAGGAATATACGACGATGGTGGGTGTGCCGGTTGCGATTATGGCTTTGACGAGGGGCGCTTGCGCGCCGACGAGGGCGAGAGAGGAGATGTCGACGTGTTCGCCTGTGGTGGCGTTTAGGCCGGCCCAGAGCTCGTCTTGGTCGCGCGTCCAGGTTCCGACGACCACGATTGCGATGTCGGCTTCTTGCGCGGTGGTGATCGCGGTTGGGAAGTCGGATTGCGAGGTCGACCACCGCGTGCAGCCTTGCGCGTAGGTCACTTTGCCGCTGCTGGCGGCGGTTATCCCGTCCAGGGGGGTGGTGCCGAAGGTTTGCGCGGGGTGCGGGATGTAGTCGCCGTACTGGAGTTGGTTAGTTACTGTTTTCTGATCTTCTTTAAGTTGGTATGGGGTAATATGGGATGTGACTAACGTTCATGTAGCCATGGGCCATGGGCCCGATTACAGCAATATTGGCATCCTTTTTAAGGGGCAGGATGTTATTGCGGTTTTCGAGCAAGACGATGGATTCTGTGTCTAGTTGTCTCGCGAGCTCGATCGTCTCTGGTGTGTGGATGTACTTGGCCTGGTCTTCTGCCGCGACGCCGGTGAAGGGGTTTTCGAATAAACCGATTTCGAATTTCGCGCGCAATTGTCTCGAGACGGCTTGGTCTACGATGTCGATTGAGAGCTTTCCGGACTCGACCATTTCAGGGATTTTCTCGAAGTTGAAAGATCCACCGCCCATTTCAACGTCGTTTCCGGCGGGAAGCGCCTAGAGGCTTGTTAGACCCCAGGTGTTGGGTTTACTATTTCGAAGTATTATAGGCGAACTTACCAAGTTTACTATAACTTCAGAGTCGATAGGGTTAGATTTGCACATCTTGAAGTTCTTGCATAGTCGATCTGTCGCTCCCGCATCGCTCATTACCTGTTCATATTAGAACTTACATCACCAGCAACTCAAGGAATCACTTACGAAATACTTATAACCCCATTCTCCCCTTAATATATCGGTCATGGTGTGTTTATCGGCAACGGCGGGAACTCCATCATAGCTATGATATGCCGACATTATAGAAAATGCGCCACCGTCGATAATCGCTCGCTTAAAGGGGGGAAGATATGTAGTTCGTAATTCTCGCTCTCCTCCGTGTACGGGGCCGGTATTCAGACCTTGTTCAGGTGTCGCAAATGCGGCCTTTCTCCATCAATGTCTATTACTCTAAAACTTGAGACGGGGAGGGATGCTTACAAAATGCTTCACCATAGCCGAGACATTGCCTGACTGGAGGCCTTTCACGTAGGCATGGGCTAGTTCTCCTGTTCTAGTCTCATTGTCAGCCGTAGATACAATATCATAATTAATCGAGTCCCATACAGATAGCCATCTTCTCCAAATGTTTCCTCCACACGGCCGAACCGCAATTCGCGAGCTAAATCAGCGAGAGGCCCGAAAATCTGGTTGACGCCTAGGGCACGAGCTTCCTGGGCGATGGCTTGTGCCATCTTCTCCACCAGAGATGGATTAAAAGAACAGGCATGGGCGATTGGCGAATTAAAGATGGTGGCGTTCGGAATTAAGAAACCGTGTATGCCCTCGGACTGAACCCAAGCCGGTATCCCGAGCGTCGTGTTCTGCATCAGATAGTCCTGTCCAATTTTGACGCCATCGCTAAGCGTCTCCCAGGGCATGGCGAGGCCGACATAGAACGAGCCAGCCCGAGATTTCATGTTCCATTCAAGGCCAGTCTGGTTGACATTTCCATTTTTGATATCGAACCAGTTTCTCAAGTCTCCTTGAACTAATTGAGCTGTCTTTTCTTCGATTGTCATCCGCGATAATAGATCAGCTACTCTATCCTCGACCGGAGCCGACGAATCCTTGTATAGTGGCGCGTTGCCATTATCGGATAAAGCCCGCGTAATAGTCACGAAGGAGGCGAGGAATAGAATTAAAGATCTCATTTTGAATTAGCTACCCATTGAACACCCTTAAGATATCACGGCATGAGGGTAGCTTGAGCAAGACTACCCAAACACTGATTGTCTCGACATTAAGACTTATATCGCAACTACACACGTATCCTTGGCTACCATCGCCACATTGAAGGTCAACTGAGGTCTTAGCCAACGGGAGAGCAATCTCCGAATTCTGGTTAGCCTTAACATAGGGCCTGATTTCCAAGCAAAGCAACTAGTTGAAGAATGTCTTAGATATGCAGCCTCTGGCTGTTCTTCATCGCTGACCAGACTGCTGGTCCGTCTTTCCGAAAATCTCGCTGCTTGCCTAATAAGAATCTTGTGTAGGTATGCAAGATCTCAACTTCTATCACGGCTCACGATGGAAAATTGGAGACGGGTCGGGGTCCGGGTGGAGAGTTGGGGTAAGTCCGGGGAACGAAGAAGTATAAAATCAAGCCCATGTCGCCACCATATTCTCTGTTATTGGTGGGGAGGGATTCCACCGAACTGCCCCCCGCCTGGGGTTCGTGGAGACAGCCCATTATTTCTTTCGTTCGTAATTGAACCGACATCTTGTCACCTGCTGCTGTTGAGCTAGTAGTAAATTCATCTCACAGGAGCGGTTCTAAGATGACATTTCTACTACGAGTAGGTATCCATAGATGATACACATATACGAGATGTGTAGGATACTAGATGCTGTGAATCTCTCGCAAACCCGGCCCGGTTTCCGTCTCCCCACGATCATCTGAGCCAAGACCAGTAGAATCCAAGAAAGGAGACCGTTTTGGCATTTTGTGATACTACATGGTAGGATATGCGTCCGATATGCGGTTCAAAGTCGGGGTAGGGTCAAGCGTCACCAACGCCGAATGTTGATCTCATTGGGCTCTCCGCATTCCATATGATGTGAATGCTTCATATAGCATTATATTCTTACATATTATATGCTAGCTTCTCATTATACTCTACTCAGCCAGTTAGAAAATAGTTTCGAGTGATCAAGTGAAAAATATCGTAAACATGAAATTCCGCGATGGCATGTGGGCAGTAGCAGAAGGTGTGCGCGTGGAGTACGCCGAGGAGGTATATGATATTACAGAGACAGACAAGGGCCTAAGCCTGCTATGTCCTTCGAAGAAAATCAGGGGTCGCGGAGATACTCTTAATTGCAGTACACTGACGATTGTAAGAAAGACCACTTCTGATCGGAGCTATGAGCCCCAGCTGAACAAAATCGCAGGATCTCGAAGCACCTCACGATGGCATCATCTCCGTCGAAACCACACACTGGGCGGGCGCCGCCAGAAAAGGTCCGAATTTCCAACTCTTCCCACAAGGAGGACAGAAATTCGAGCCAAAAATCTCCAAAAGCGACAAAGGCACAACCCTCAGCTCAGGCTCACTCTCAGCGACGATCAACCCAGCCGATAACACCTTCGGCATCAAATTTCACAGCACGGAAGGCTCCAAAGTTCTAACCTCCCTCGCCGCGCGTAGCGTAGGTCTAGCGTACAACCCAGCCTGGAGCAACATGCTGCAGACGGGGGACATGACGAACTTCAAGCACTACGTCTTCACACAAACGAACCTCGGAGTCGGGGAGACCATCCACGGCCTCGGCGAGCGCTTCGGTGCTTTTAATAAAGTAGGGCAAGCGATATCGCTGTGGAATGCGGACGGAGGAACCTCGAGCGAGCAGGCATACAAGAACGTCTCGTTCTGGCTTAGCAACAGGGGCTACGGCGTATTCATCGACACGCCGGGGAAGGTCGAGCTAGAGATCGGGAGTGAACGGTGCTGCCGCGCGCAGACGAGCATCGAGGGCCAGAGGTTGAAGTGGTACATTATATACGGCCCTTCGCCTAAGGAGGTGCTGCACCGGTACTCCATCCTAACGGGGCGGCCGGCTAAGGTGCCGAGTTGGAGTTATGGGCTTTGGCTCACGACGAGCTTCACGACGAACTACGACGAGGCGACTGTGAACTCTTTCCTTGAGGGGATGAAGGAGCGGGATATTCAAGTGGACGTCTTCCACTACGATTGTTTCTGGATGAAAGTATGCTATACTTACATTCTTATCCCTATCATACTGAACACTGGGTAACTAACACACCGCAGGGCTTCAGATGGACAGACTTCATCTTCGACCCCGAAAAGTTCCCCGACCCAAAAGCGCAGATCGCGCGTCTCAAGTCCTCAGGACTAGTAAGCAAAGTCTGCGTGTGGATAAACCCGTACATAGCCCAGCACGGCGCGGCCTTCGCGCACGCCGCCGAGAAGGGGTATCTCGTGAAGCGGAAGAACGGGGATATCTGGCAATGGGACCTCTGGCAAGCCGGGATGGGGCTGGTCGACTTCACAAACCCGGAGGCCGTGAAATGGTATGTCGAGTGTCTGAACGAGTTATTCGACAAGGGGGTTGATTGTATCAAGACCGATTTCGGGGAGAGGATTCCGACGTTGGATGTGGAATGGTTTGATAAGGAGGTTGATCCTCATAAGATGCATGTAAGTGCCTATAACATCACTTAACCATCTTTTGAACTTGTCTTAACGCTTAGCAGAATTACTATGCATACCTCTACAACAAAATCGTCTACAACGCCCTCCAAGCCCGTTACGGCGAAACCGAAGCCGTCCTCTTCGCTCGCGCCGCGTGCGCCGGCACCCAGCAGTTCCCGCTCGTCTGGGGCGGAGACTGCGAGTCCACCCCTGAAGCTAGTATGTATTGCTTCAGTACCCCTTTAACCTACTTACTAACCCCACAACCCAGTGGCCGAATCCATCCGTGGCGGCCTAGGCCTCGGTCTCTCCGGCTTCACCTTCTGGTCGAACGACATCGGGGGCTTCGAAGGGTCTCCCGCGCCGTGGATCTACAAGCGGTGGGTCGCCTTCGGGCTTCTCTGCTCGCACAGCCGTCTGCACGGCAGCGGATCCTACCGGGTGCCCTGGCTAATCGACAACGACGACCGAAGTCCCGAGGGGTGTTCCGCCGTGCTAGCGAAATGGACGGCGTTGAAGACGCGGCTGATGCCGTATCTGATGGCGCAGGGGGTCAAGGCCGTGGAGGCCGGGTTGCCGCTTTCGGTGCGGGCTATGTGTGTTGAGTTCCCCGAGGACCCGACGTGTTGGTATTTGGATCGGCAGTTTATGATTGGGGAGAGTTTGCTCGCGGCGCCGGTTTTCGAGGAGGCTGGGGAGGTGGAGTTTTATCTGCCGAAGGGGAAGTGGACGTGTTTCTTTACGGAGCAGACGCGGGAGGGACCCGGGTGGTTTAGGGAAACGCATGGGTTTGGTAGTATGCCGTTGTATGTGCGGGAGCATACGATGTTGGTGCTTGGGAAAGAGGGGATCCGGGGTGCTGTTTATAACTACAAGAAGGATGTTGAGGTTTTGGTGTTTAAATCTAAGGATAATAAGACGGCGAGCGCAGATATCGTGGGTAGTGATGGAAGTTTTGTCGGGACGTTGAAGGAATCTGATTTTGAAGTCGGTGCTGGGCAGCTCCTAGAGGGCAATTCGACTATTAGGCGGATTTAAAGCATCTCAACCTCATATCACACTTGAAAGAATCGTATGTGGTTCAAAATATACAGATTTGGCCGACTCTCCTGGTCCTTAATGACTTTTTATACATCGCTATCTTGATTTCGTCAAGCATGACGCTGCGTTAAATACAAAACATATCTGCAATGCTAAACAGCAATTCAAAAAAAATCAAAAGAAAAATAAAAGAACGGTAGATGATGTGGTTACAAAACCATTAGATGTTGTACATTGTGGAAGGGGTATATCCTAGGTTAGGTATGCTCTTATATAACGCTCCTTAACACCGGCCCCTCAGAAATTCGTAGCCCTCCTCTTTTCCCATTTTCCGTCTAGGTAGGTTACCTAGTATCTTAGTTCAACGCGCGAGAAGCGCTTCTTCATCGAGTCGTCTAGCCAATCCCTGTCCTGAGATTGAGAATTTTCGTCGGTAGCACGGCTGCGGCTCCATAAGCCTTGCTCGCTGAAGCCAACCTCGGGTTCGGAATTCTGAGCGGTGTGCTTGGGTCTCCGTACGGTTTGGTGTGGCATGTCAACTTCAGCCTTGAAAGAAGCCTCTTGAAGTTTTGGTACGGCACCGTTAGGGCTGAATAGATGACTTTCTGTTGCTACTTCGGTCTCGACCGACTTAACCCAGAGTTGAGGGACTGTAACAGCATCGCTCGTCATATTCTGCTTCTGCATCTTCACGGGGACTGCAGGGTGGACGGACTGGGCGGTGGTTTCCATAGAACCAAAGAACACGGGATGTCGAACAGCAACATCGAGATTGGCACTAGTAGGTTGCGCTACCTTGCTCCTAGAGTTTCCTCTACTCCTCAACACCTTTGGGCCAATTGCCGGGTGGATCGTCTCGGCCGTCGTGTCCATGGATCCCATGAAAACGGGATGTCGGACAGTGACGTCGAAGTTGTCAGCTTGAGATGGGTAGCTCTTAGAAATGGCATCCTGAAGCTCAGCTGTCCATTGTGACGGTAGTGCTTGACCACGCGAGAACCTGATCTCGGGGTAAGAGGCCACAATGGCTTTCTGAAGGGCGACAGACCACGCTCTAGGCGATGCGGGCTTACGATCAAGCTTGAACTGTACGCGACTTGCCCTGATAGCTTCGTCGAGGGCCTCCTCCCAATCTTGAGGATAAGACGACCGCAAAGCAATCATAGTGTTGGGATAGCTAGCAGCAATGGCTTCTCGCAGCTCACCATCCCAGTCCGCGCGATAAGCGACGCTCTGACGGTACGATTTGCGGAGAGGGACATTCGCTGGCTTTTTGTGCAGTGTTTCGTCTAGGTTTTTGACAATGAATTCTTCAGGCAATTCGGGCACGGCGGGAACTTCAGACTCTGCCTTCGGAGAATCCTTAGGGGCCTTTGATGATTCCGAATCCTTCTTCTTTCGTCCAAATAGACCACTGAAGAAACTCTTAGCAGATGATGCTTTGGTAGTGCTCGTCTTGGCAGATGATGAATCAGACATAGGAGATGAAGGCGCTGAGCTTGATTCGGATACGGAAGCGACAGAGGGGCTTTGAGGTCCAACGGAAGAAATAGAAATCCAATCTACTTCCACTGATGTGGTCCTGTTGGGAGTCCAAAGGCGATTCGATTCAAGACTTGGGAGGGGTGCATCGTTGACGGCACGAGGCTTTCGGACAATATCTAATGCAGCTGGTTCTGTCGACGTTGTTCGATAATCCTTACGACTTGGGTCAACTTTGAAAAGGCCAGGTATAGTAGGGGTAGGGTTGCTCCATAAAGAAGCACCGGTAGGAGTGTGGCTCGATTCGGATGACTTTTCCCAAAGCTTTGTGCTCGTGAGAGTTGGAAGGGGTGCTTCCGTCATACGAGGCTTTCGCGTCATGTTTATCGCAGCTGGAAGCTTAGATGTCCTTCGATAATCAACTCTGACAACGTTGGCGTTGAATAACCCTTCAAAATCCGAGCTCGAGGTTGGCAAGATTGACTTTTCCCACATTAATATCGTTGCAGTTGATGTTGGGACTTCTCGTGCCTCGATTACCTCGAGGGTAGAAGCAGCAGATGCGAGTGCGGGTGCGGGCTCTGAAGAATTTTCAGACCAAAGAGTAGTTGTTGTAAGCACCGGTAAAGGCTCCTTGATCGTGCGAGGTTTCTTGGACATTAAGATGGCGGCTGGAGCTTTTGAAGTTTTCCGATAGTTGTTCCTGAGGGCGCTAGCATCGAATAATCCTTCGTATTCAGACTCTGGGCTTGATTCTGGCTTCCGCCACAAGGGCATGGACTGAACTTTGATTATAGCTCCCGTCTCACTCGACTGAGCGACCATCATAGACTTTTTCGACACGAATAATTGAGCGCCCTTAGCGGGTTGCGACGAGGTAGTGATTTCCCGAGACCATAAGTTGTTTGTATTTAGTCTGGCTAACGGCTTCTCGACTGTACGAGTAACTCTTTTTGTGGAAATGGCAGCCGGTTCCTTCGCAGTCCTGCGAAAGTCAGGTCTGGCCTCATTGCTGTCAAATAGACCATCGCGCTCAGTATCATAGATGACACTAGGTTTCTCCCACATTAATGAGGACTTGGTCGCAGCTTTTCCGGTCCAGAGAGTCCTTGAGGTTAGCTTCTCCAAGTGTACTTCTACCGCACGTGGCTTCCTCTCCGTCACAAGGGCAGCAGGCACTTTCGAAGTTCTTCGATAGTCAGCCCTAGAGTGGCTAGGGTTGAACAGTCCCCTAATATCCGAGCTTAGAGTAGCAATAGGTCGTACCCATAAGGACTTATTAGATGCAACAGCCTTCATTTTCGGTGCGACAACTGTGACCTTGTGGGCTGGCTTACTTGCACTCCATAACAATCCAGTGCTTTTCATGTTACCGTTCTTGAACTTTGGTGCCCATAGCTCGGTGCTCTCAATAGTAGGAGCATCCTCAGACTGGAACTTGGATCGGGCCATTTTTGCGGGCTTTGCGATATAACTCTTCCAGATGGTAGAATCCGGTTGTGGTAGACCGACAGTGTTAACTTGTAAAGCTCCTCGTTGGGTCCAGAGTAAAGCTTTAACGGATGTGGATTCCGAAGTCGTGCGGGGTAGACGCTCTGCCGGAATAGGCTCCTCCAACACTAGACCATCGTCACGATACTCCTCAGCTGCGTTTTCAGCGACGTTAGTCGACGACACCGGAGAGTTGGCGTACGATGGGCTCTGTAGCGGCAAAGGAAGCAAGCTATTTTTCGAAGGTACTCTATCGGATTTTAACAAGCTTGCAATCTCCCAAAGCGTACTCTCGTCAAAGTCGTCTCCTTCGTTATCGCTGTCCGAGAAGTCGAAGTTGTCGCCTTCTTCTTCTGCTTCGTAATCGTCGAAGAAAGACGTCGTAAACTCTTCGGCTTCTAATTGCTTTGATCTAGCTTCTAAGGCGGCGTTGATCTTTGGTCCTCCTGTGGTCATAGTCCCAGGCATAGCCATGAACATACGAGTAGGTCGAGGTTGAACACTAGCATTTTCGCTCTTCTCACCCCAAGGAAATTGGAATAAACCAAGAGTTCCTCGCTTGTCCGGTAAGGGCTCAGGATTCTCTAGGATGTCCGGCAGAAGTGTGGCGCGCTTATTCCTTCGAGGCGGGCGAATGGTGACGCGGCGAGCAGCGGCTCCGCTCGATCCTGAAGGATCGTACTTCTTCCATAGTCCTTCCATAGCGCTAGTGCTGCTGTTCCTGGCGGGCTTCTCCCATAGTTGTGAACTTTCTATTAATAACGAACCCGAGGCTTTTCTAATTGCCGGACGTACAGACAAGCCTGGGAGTTCATTAAGCGCGTTGCCCCTTTGGGACTTCTTAGCTACGCCCACCCAAAGACCTGAGCTGACCGGATATTGAACAGGTGATTGCAGTTTCCAGAGCTCATGCACCTTAGTCACCGGCTTGAACACCGTCGGCTGCAATTGTTGTACGCTACCAGGAGCCTCATTTTCGTAGTCGGACTCGTCGGTATCGGGAGGACTTGGGCTACCTAGTGCCGCCTTAGAAACGGAAAGGAAGTTAAGATTGTTGCGCTTCATAAGTAGGTCGGGAGTGCTCTTCATGTATTCCATTTGAGCCTCGGCAAGACGGGCTTGCCAAGCGCTGGCCTGTGTGTTTTCGGAGCTCGTTCCGGAGCTTTGGGATGAAGGTGTAGCGGTGCTTTCTTGGCTTTTAGACCGCGAAGCCGTGTTGCGCAGGGAGGCCCTTCGAGACGCCCTACGTTCGGCTATCGAAGGCGGCCGAGAACCCTTTGATGTGGTAGTGCCAATGCTCGACATAGAGTCACGGTCAACACGGTTTTGCCATTTGTTTTCTAACTGCCCCATTTCACGTTCCAGGTTCTCTAGTAGCGCTAGACGCCCTCCTTGGCTCCCTGTTGAGTCCCGGTTCGGCTCTTCAAACTTCTGTAATTGAGCTTGGATCATCTGGTATGCAGCCTCAGGCGACTCCAGTGGTGAAGGTTCCGCAGGCTGGATAATTATCGCCCTTTTGCTACCCTTCCTGTTTAGAATGAGGGGAGTTGGCGGGGGCATCTTTCTCGACCGTATCTTGTCCTTTCTGGTAGAGAATGTCGGGCATTCTTCGCCAATTCGGTGATGGAAAGTTGGGATTTCCTGCACGGTCTTCTCGGGGGACTCCTGTCGATCGACCGGACTATCCGACGTATCTAACATAACTTCCATGACTTCGCTAGGGATGTTCGCATAAGAACTCCGCTCTTCCGGTTCTTCAGAAATACGAGAGCTCTGCGAGTTCTGAATGTAGGTCGAACGAGCATTAAGTCGTCGTGCCTGTTGAATATCAACGGCAGCAACTGGCGAGTGTACGGAACCCCAGATAGTACTCCTGTCGTCGTCTCGGACCCTGCTTTCAGTCTTCATAGATGACATGCTGAATCGACTTGCTACCGGAAGAACCGGGGACGACTTCCGGTTGCTCCTTTCATCCGAAGGACGTTTTTGTCTTTCATTCTCAACCGAAATTCCTGGAAGCCAAGATTGACCTACTTCATCAATTGCATTACGCGAGCGATCAGCACTTGGCATCAGTCGTTGTGGGATGTCTTCGATTCCGAGAATGCTTGTGGTTCGGATTGAACTTCTGTCGGTTGTCTTGGATACTCTCCTTTCGCTGTTAGAGTCGGGCTCACGGATGCTTTCGGTCCTGGGCGGCTGTGTGTCTGCCAGATATGCCGCTGGCAAAGGAGGAATCTGGGGGACTTCAGACCGTCGCATGTCTGCACCGTTCGCCGACGAGGGAGCACTAAGCGGGGTAGTGTATAGGAAACTCATCTTCTCGTCAAACGTCATACTCTTCGTGTCGTTAGGGAGAGGCCGTGATACATTACCAGCACTCTTAGGGGGCGGTGGCAATGGAGGTAGTTGAGTAGGACTTCCGGGCATAGATTGAAGAATGGACTTTCTGCTTGCAATAGAACCACTCGACTTTGGCCGTCTGGGAGGTGAGGGCTCGGCGGGGAAAACTTGGCGATCCCCTTTCCTGGGAATCGGGCGCGGGCGGTTGACAACCGAGTCACGGGAGTTGAGAGGTGCCATCGGTGTTTTCGAAGCTCCTTGCATGATATTATCCACAGCATTCGGGTCATCATATACAATATTGTTGACGAACATCACAGTCTCCTGTCTCAGGTTTTCGGCCTCCTTCGCTGCTTTCATCGCTTGTGCGCGGGGGTTCGATGGAAGTCCCGTTGTCGGGCGTCGTTGCAGAGGGGTCTTTACAGGCTCGGACTTGGGCGACTCGGGTGGTGTTCGAGGTCTTGGGATTGGTATACGAATTGGCTCGCCAGGTCGGATAGGCTGGAAGGTCGACGGAATTGGTGGCGGGGGAGGTTGACGAGGCGATCTCCTCCTAACTTTCTCGGTCCCTGGCGACAGTTCTGCCGAAGTAGATGATGCATTTGCTTCTACCGAAAGTCCTGCGGTTGTCTTAGTAGTCTTAGTTGACACAGATCTCTCCAGTTGTGCCAAAGTTGCAGGTGCAACTTGCTTCCGCTTCGTGCTAATTTCCCTAGACAGTATTCCATTTTGTCCTTCGGAAGTTGGTGGTTGCGGAGCTGGTCGTTGTGCGATAAGAGTAGACCCACGTTGTGCCAACTTGATCCGTCGTTCCCTTTCGTAATTTGCAGCTGTAGCAAGATCGACTGTTGGTATCCTTTGTAGGGGGTTGTTCATGCCTTCTTGCTCCAGAATGACCGGCTTTGAGATTACAAGCTTGCCTGTGTTACCCTTAGCCTTGATATTTTTCTTAAATCTCCCCCGGTCGGCTCCGGGTGTTGGTGTGATAGGGAACGAGACGGCAGGCATGGAGCCATCGTTGGGGCCGGCGTATGCAGCCATGGTCATTGTAGTCGTTACACCCTTCACATCCTCGTAACGGGACGGAGGGTATTCAGCAGAATCTGAAGATGATAAATCCCTACCAAGGTCCCGAGTCATCGGAGAGTCCGGTCGTCGTGGAGGCGGGCCTCGAGAGATTACTAGTGTTCCCGAGAGTACAGTAACCAATGCTTTATCCAATCAGCAATTTAAGGCGACTATCGTTGTGGTGGAATACATACCGACTAGGATCGCCAAGCCAAGTGCAGGGAGTGTGGTTTTCAATACCAACTCAGTTGACTTTATGCCTAAGAGAAGAACGACGCTCGTCTGCGAATAGTTAGTACCAGAGTAAAAATGACAAATCAGCAGAACTAACCCCTATCCATATTCCTAGGCCAATGACAACCATTCCGACACTTCTCTTGGGAGCACGTGGGCTACTCGCACTATCCTTTGCCGAACCCATCGACAACGCTTGGATAGCAAGAATAACGAATATAACGACATCCATTATAATGACAGTAATAGCGACGGGGAGTACCTTGGATACGGGTACACAGGTAGGGCTAAACTCGTTTCCCGTAAGTCCTATGAATGCCATACCGACACCAAATCGCCCGAGAAGGAGGATTTGTGGCACCAAACTTAAGCCCGCCGTCTTCCCTTCTACTCGTGTCGCCCATACCAAATACTGTTCGATGAAAATCTTTCCTAGCTGGTCGAAAACAGACGAGAAGACCGCCGCAACCTGACAACTGGTTCCGGCGGTCGGTTCGATGATGGTGGCGAGGAATTCGACCAATGCCCAAGCGGCAGAAGACAGGAGAAATAATATGAGGACCAGCCTCAGGCCGTCCCGAAAGATCGTCGAACCATGACCTATAACGTACAAAACCAGGGCAGCCGACGCCGCGTTGAACAAGATTCCGAAGAAAAAGGCGCCCAGTAGGGCCTGCGTTGCTCCTGGAGTCGCCATTACGTCGGCGGCGCGAGATATAGATCGGCCAGATAAAAGAATGTACAAGCCCACTCAATGGGTATATAGATTTTTCAAAATATTATAATATATTAACCAAGAAGCGAATCAGTCATGTTGGCGTGACGTAGTGTTGAGTGAGTGAATGTATTACGGCGCCATGGTGGTCGACAACGGCGATAGTCAGGGCCAACACACGAAAGAGAGGGAGAGGAGAAAGAGAGATAGCAAAAACGAGCTGGTGATAATACGAAGTAGGGGAGTGACTAGCCCTCCAGCACCAAGCGAGGGCTTCGAGGGATCTCGGTCTCTCTAGCCATCTCAGTAAACCTGGGCTTCCGCAATAGTGGAGATAAAGGTCTGTGATCCTCAAACATGGACACGGCAGGGTCCTGTTCGAGGTCGTCGACTAGCTCCACAAGGTGGTAAAGGCGAGATGAGTGATTGGGTGAAGATACAAGGCTGAAGAATCCAAGACTCCTGTGGACCATCAACCCTTGTCAAGGGATAATACACATGAAACCTCAGTCGTTACATTAGACAGGGAATATTTATAGGGACTCTCTTTTTTTATCTTTTTTTCTATCAAGACCCCGACTCGTTTTGATTGAGGAAACAACGCAATTAGCTCAATTAGCTTAAGCGAGACATAGATCTCATTAATGTTGTGGACACGGTCACACGAGCGGTTCAGCCGCATACGATCTGGGATTTAAAGTTGACGAGGTAAAACGAAATTGACGAAGATGTTTGGTGTTTTCTAGAAGGTACTGGGAACAAATGATAGTATGAAAGTAACCTGTATTGTTTTATCTCTTCGCAGCTTCAGGGACCTACCTTGGGAGGACAGAAGAAGAAGAAGAAGCACACAAAGCACACAGACTCACACTATATTATCCATCTTATAATCCATATTATCATTATAGTGGTTCATTCGCGGCATAGTCGGTCTTAGGTATCCGATAGAGCGCACAGACCTGTCAACCAGGCTAGATACTAGGTACTCAACGCGAAGAGGGTAGGACGAGAAGAGAGATGGCGCGTTCGACCAAGCTGCCAAGTCAGATGACTTCGGATAATAAAGTCAGGCTCATCCGAACAGTGGCATCAAGATCTTCTTCTGTGACTGCCACCGTAGATCTTAGACCGGTTATCATACAATAAGGAACCATGGATTTGTCGATTTCGTGGAATATGCGAGTGTTCGTCGTTCGAGTAATTGGCGAAGAAGGAATTAGAAAAAGGAATCTTGGAAATCTTTTAATTTAATCTTGCAGTCTCGATGGCAGGCTAAAAAGTGGGGGCTGCGGGCGCACAGCACTGACAATGATAGGCTGCTCAGGGGTAAGTAACCGTCAAGTATTTCTTAATATTAACCTTGGCTATTTTCACTAGCAACACATAATTGAAAATACATCAGAACTACTTCCCAGTTATGTGGTAGAGACATACAGCTATGTAGATGCAAGTAATTCCAGACTTTCAATTACGAGCCTCAACTCAAGAAAATCATTCTGAGATGTGTTTAAAACGACTTCATGTGATACTAATCATAGAGTGTTGAGGGTCATAAAGATATATCGGCGTGAGCAGTTCTAAAGGAATCGCGATCCTGAACGCCAACCTCGGCTAAGTGGGGTAAGGGGTTTCAATACGATATTTAAAAAGCCTCTTCATAATAATAACAAGGAAATTACATGCGCGGGCTGCGTGGCGTAAAATGGGCCAATCGGTATACAGTCGCAGCATATCGCCTTCGTCATAGACACGTTGAATCTAGATATGGTCGCAAGAGACGAAGGATTAACCAAGACAAGATAAACAAGAGTAAGACGAGAGAACTGTTTCCATTACATGATATCTTAGGGGATTGTCGCCCTATTGTACAGGATTCCTCGACAAAAACCGCTCTTCAAATCCTAAGAGATCCATCCAGCTCAGACAGCTCCAAACCCTAACTATTGCATAGACTGTTTCTATATCTCTTCGGAGGGAAGCTCGGGCATCGGCGCTAGAGTCTCTGGTAACTCCGCCACTGGTTCTAATGACGATAAGACCTTGTTCGTTGGTGGAATCGTGTCGGATGCCGACGCTTTTGACATTGGTTTCTTAGATGAATACTGTCGGGTGAGAAACGTAGATTCCGGATACAAACCTACCTCCCGACTTCATTAATATAGGTACTTAGGAAGATACGTACGTACGGACTTAAGATTTAGATCATTGAAATGGTTGTAATAGGTACGCACCTGTATGAATGGCATCCTCGCTCATTAACTGGCGTGGAAACCCACTGATTGGTAACTTCATCTCTCCAGAGACATACGGTGTACTCTGTAGACAGAGTGTTATCTTAATCGCCGCATATTCTTTCAGCGCATTGATCTGAATAGGTTCCATATCGAAATAGCCCTGCTGGTGCATGTTGCGAATAGCAGACCCAGTCAGTACGATATGTCGTGCTGCCGATCCGGGAATATCGTCTTCGATCGAGAGATAAGGCTCAAAATTTCCCTTGAGGCTTGATTTGAGGAAAGCTCCAAGGCCTTTCATCTCTTCGGAGGAGTTCCGGAATCTGCAGTATATTGATCCTGGAGGGTGTCAGTCTGGTAATACTAAAAAGGTATTTAGAAAACACCTACCTTTACACGCGTAACCAGAGGACGTCTGTTTTACAGAACCAACTTCCTTCTCGAAGAAAAAGGTGCTTGCTATGAGCCTGTGCGCTATTTCTTTCACTTCTAGCATGTTCTGCTGGAGAACTTCCTCCGCTTCTCGATCAATTTCATCAATTCTTTGGATGTCGTCAAACTTCGGTGCTGGTATGTTAAGCTCGGGGGAGATGCGGATATAGCGTTGACGTTCTCCTGTTGTATCAGATGAAGTCAATGCAAAATTTCCAGCCATGAACTTATCCCAGACACTGCTACAGATCAGGTCGTCAGTTTTGTCTTCTTCGGATAATTTAGAGAGAGTGTTTCTCGTCGTTGTTCTATGAGACATGCTGAGTGAGGTCGAAGCATCAGGGCTTGGAAACGTGGATTTGCCGCCTCCCAAAGATGTTTTTCTATGCTTAACACTACGGCCAGTGCCAATGGAAAGCATAATATCCGGGGGTAAGTTAGTAACATCACTCCAAATCAGCTTCATTTCCTGCTGTGCTACCTCTACTGGGCAAGCGTTCCGCAAGCTACTTTCAACATATTGGCCACCCGTTTCCGCCCTTTGGAATATCTTGAAGTAGGGCGTGGCGGCAGTAGTAGCGCGAGCACTAAGCCATCTGTTAGACTAGTGGCGGGGATGTTTATTCAAATAGGTACATACGCTTCCCATATCTTTATCTCCTTTGACAATTCTCGGGGGCGTATAAACTCGTAGGGAAGATCTAGATAACGTCAGTGCCTTACAGTCAGAAAGTTCAAGTACACATACTCTGACTAGCGATATCTGGTCGATTGTAATTAGAAAAAACCACGGCTTTGTTTCCACAGACGGTTGTGGAAGTAACAGCGACTTTGATAGACATCTCATTCCGAGACTGGACATCTCCAAAAAGGTTCTGTTCAGAAAACCCTATCCTGAGTGCTGTTTCCAGAGGCTTCGTCTTGTATATACTGCCGTGATAGGTGCTAGACAAGTTTTTGAGGAGCGGTATACGAATCATCTCTCGGGGCGTAAAAGCTTCCTGATATAGCGCTTTGAATTGTTTGATGGTATTGTTAATTGACCCACCCATTACCCCTAATCCAAGGGATGAAATACCACCGGCACTATGGATCAAGCGTTAACAAATCGACTGCTAATAAATACGATTTGCTTACCCTGTGCCGACAATTAAGTCAAAGAAATGTTGAATGGGCAATTTCAGTCCCAGAATCTTCTCAATGGCCTGAAGTACCTTCAGCTCCACGATGCCATTTATCCCGCCGCTGGGTAGCTGTCAGAGTACAAGCCATACCTTGTAGGAAATATCGTATGTCTTCTTACCTACCTATCAAGGCATAAAACACGAACGCCAGCATATGGTGGTTTAATATTAACGACCCACGGCGGATCTGCCATGATCTCACGAACATGAAGAGGGCAGCGATTCAACTCAACCGTAGTCCTTGAACTAGCACGCCCATACGTTTTCACGCATGCTAGACATAACACGTGACCACATGGAAGAACGCATTCTGGGAGCCCTCTTAGACACAAGAAGCAAGCAGAGTGGCTTACGAAGTCGGATGGGTTTCCAAGAGCGCCGTAAAATACGTTAATACGTTCTCGATGCAAAATTGAGGTAATCTGGACTATCGGACGCGATATGAGCTATTTCGATCATCATGACTTAAAGTAAATAATACGCTTTGGGTTCTGAAACTTTGAGATATTATAGATCCTTACCTAACGGGAAAAGGGGGGTAAATGCAACGATTGCACACCTGCTTCAACGCTGGAAATTTTTTGAAGGCTTGAAATCAATTTTACGCTTTCCACATATTCAACGGTTGAAAGCATATAATAGTTATATATACGGAAAGGGTAAAATTGATTTCAAGCCTTCAAAAAATTTCACGCATTGAGAAGCATCTGTAATCGTTTCATTATAGGTAATTTATTATTAAGAATTATCTAATTATCGAGAAAGAAATCTACCTAAGGTACTAGGTCCAGGGTTCGAACCTAAGGGCTTCGATTAATACCTAAGTTAGCTAATCGTTCTTTAGGTAGGTAGGTATGTTAGAGAAACTGATTACTGACCTGATTTAACGCGATAGTACCTAGTACTTGTTCAATTGATTCAATTAGCTTTGTTTTGACGCGCTGATCTGGCGATAGGTACTTACTTGATGCGATTAGGTTGTTGTTGTTGTTGACCTTGTTGACTTTGTTGATTCAATTAACTAGATTTAATACAAGGGAGTTGAACTTACCTAATTTTATTAGATTCTAGATACCTAGGGATTTATTAAATATATTATTAGAAAAGTAGGTAGGTAACTCCTTAGGTATTTATATGAAACTGAACTTACTTTGATGTATATTAAATGTGTATTATTGTATGTGGAAGGTTTATTACTTAGGAAAAAACAAAAGATTACTAGATAATAGGTAGGTAATTAGGTAGAAAGTAAACACCTAAGATTTACTGTGGGTAGGTGGGTAGGTAGGTAGACAGGTAGGTAACTAGGTAACTAGGTACGGTTGCTACGGATTGCTGTAACTGTTGTGGCAATAGCGACTCTAAAGCCTATTTTACTACGTTGAAGCTATTCACAAACGTTATAGCTAGAATCCGTAAAAACTGCTATAACTGTTATAAGGTTTTTGTATAGTGGTGATAACGGTTGCGGGGTTGTTGCAATGGTTTTAACGACGATAAATAGACTGCAATGGTTGTAAAATTTCAACTACTTCAACGCTTAGTGGGAATAGCTTCAACTATTTCAACGGTTTTGAGCCTTGATAAACGTTGTCATTACCACCTTGTACCTTCTCACCTAATTTGTATGGGAAGGTACTTCTAAGCGCTGCAACTGTTGGTACAGCTTGAACTGTTTTCAGTTCAATGATGATTAGTCCCTATTTCAACGCGTTGCAGCTACCCCCCCTTTCCCGGTACGGTAGGGTAGAACTTACGATCAGTTCTTCCTGGGAGCTTTTGGCCCAGCTCATATGCTGCGGCTTGAAGCTTGACAAGACTGTAATGGATCAATTCATTCCATTTTGGAATAAAAACTGGAAGATCGAAATTGGACTGGTATTGACCATAGCCAATGATTTTACCGAATTTGTTCTGGTGTCCTTTCGGATTGTGTCCTGACTTTACATTACAACAGCGCCCTTGGGTTGGTTCGTTTGTGAGATGGCGAAAGTTGCAAGGCCAATATAAATCTGCAAAAACTTGGAGAGCTGATATACAGAGATCGGTATAGGCATTACTCAGTAGCTGAGCACCAGTGCCTTGATTAACACAGATAAGTCAGCCATGCATCTAGAAAGGCCTGTTTTCAACTCATATTGAGGTTACTAACCGAGTCTGTTCTGTCGAACGGCATCGAACATGACACAGGATGCTACCATAGGTGCCAATTTCAGAAATAATTTGTTCGCATCATCTTGGAGACTCTTGTCCTTCGAGTGGTCCCTCATAGACACTGCCAAGTTCAGAATATTCCCTTCGAAGCTGCGTGAAACGGGGTTCTTGCGTAAAGCTTCCTGCACGAAGTCAAATGGCAACTCTAGGTCTTTCGTAAAATGATCAAATGAAGCTTGGAGGTATTCTTGAATCATATCAGAATTAGCTAACATTCTTGCTTGTTTCCTTTTTATATGCGAGTCGGAACAACGACTCTTGATCAGATTGAAAAGCTTCTCAGCTTGCTGATCCATCAACATGTATGAAGTTTGGCGCGGAATGCGGATTATGGTGATGGATGCGTAGTACTGTTTGAGGAGATCCTCGGTGCTTTCTATCTCCTTGCCACGCTTCCGCCAAACCTGTACGTACTCGTCAAGTGCTGGCTCCCGCTCAATTGCACCTTGGATAGCCGATATGAGAGTTTTCGTCGCCGTCGCCACATCCCACTCTTTTTCATCGACATCCTCTGTTGCGTTGAGAACAATGATTGCATGAGGAAGAGCCGGTTGGTTAAGGGATTTATCAACCGATGCTGCACCCCATCGCACAAGCTTGTCTAGGACTGTAGACTCGAATGACCTTCACTAATAAGTGACACTTCTAAGCTACCATTGGGTTTCCATACCTTGGATTCCGTAGCACAAAAACTACTACATCTGAAAATGTATACAGAATTCTCGGATATAACTGAGAGACTGCATATTCCCTCTTTTGTGTCTGGGGGCTCTTCGCCCAAGTTATGTATCTCTGAGAGCTGTACCTTGATCGTAATAGATTATTCATGTCTCTCTCGGATGGAAGCTCTTCGTCACGTTCGTTCTGTGGATGACATCTTAGAGCTTTAGGCATTGCTTCGCCGCCATTAAATCCTTCACAATCTACAAATAGTAAAGGGGTATCAGTGAGTAAAGTCGAAGGTTCTGCATAAAGATGAACGTCCCCCGTGGTTGGGATGTAATCATTGCTTGAAGAAGAGACTGGGCTGTAGTGATTCATTGTCTGCGAAGAGTACGAATTCTGACGATCTATGAGGAGTTTGATCAATGTACTCTTTCCCGCTCCTATTCTTAATTAGTTCATTTATGTATGAGTCGATTACCTAGGCTACTCATTGCATTTTAAAAACGCCAATCTAGGTAGGTAGGAAATGAGATTACCTGTTTCCCCTATGAATGACACAAGCTGAGGGTATCGGTCGGCAATTCTGCTTGAGTGGCTCTCATTCATGATTGCAGCGAACCTCCCCCAATCCTGAAAGATGGGATGGCCGGAAGTGTCCCGGCTGAAACCAAACCATGTTGTCTCCCGGTCTCTAATCAATTCAGCTTCATGTTCTGCTTCCGTACGTACGGGTTCCAAGATTTCACGGAGCCTTTTGATTACTACCGGGTCGGCCTTTTCATGAGGCTTTCCGCCCCCTGCAGAGGTCAAATTTAGTACCGTTTTATTTAGTTTTCTGGATGTCATATAGACAAAGATAGACTCACAGCCGATTGCCCCAGGGGTATGAAGAACCCATTTTGGCCAACAAGCATCACAAAACGCTAGACTATTACACTGGATGCAAGTAAAAGTTTTGGCTGAAGACGTACTGCAGGTTTGACAAGGCGATGAGGCTGGATCGAATTTCTGAAGCTGTACATGAGCCATCTCACCTATTCATTCGTGGGATAATGTAAATCGTGACATGACAGGTACCTAGTTGTCGAGAAAGCACCATGTCGGTAGATTATGAGATAAAATCCGAAATTATCTAGCTCAAGATACCTTTTATCATGGTTGTCTTACACGATATCTCGGGGGCCAAAGTAAAAGAACGGCACAGCTATAGTCCAGTGAAAGAGGTTGGTGTAACAACTAAGCGAGCCCAGTATGCCTCGAGGCAATTATTATTGGCATTGATGTTATAAAAATGGGTCGATGGTTAAATTATACGAGATGATTTGCGCTATACTAGTTACACGAGAACGATGTAAAAATGAGAATGGGATGAAAATGTCTTACTTCAATAACTCATAGGCACTAGTAACGGGGTTGATATTTGGGGGCGAATGGTACCTACTGTAGAGATATTTATGATCCTGCCCGGAAAGAAGCTTCCTATGCCTCAGTTAACTCCTCACCATTTCTAGGGCCTCTTTTATATGAGTAGGTAGGTAGGTTGACATATTCTGCCTCCGTAAGTTCAAGTACCTAGTTATTTTCGATGGATAGGAATAGAGTGCGTATCAATAGGCGATAAAATACTACAGAATCCAAGTCCGTCTATCGCTATAATCTATGAGAGTAATCTATGTCTAGATATCCTTACCATCCATTCATAACCACACACCCCTTGTATTATAAGTACCAGGTAGGTAGTTACATCAGTTTAAGAAACCCGGGAAAAGATATTCGACCTTCTTGAGCGCCTCGGGATTCCTACCTTCCGGCTTAGTGCAGAACGCCACGGCGCCTTTGCTGGCACCCTCCCAGTGCTTAGCAGTAACTAAGTCACTGTTCTCGTGCTTGCATAACTCGTCCAGCACAGCGCCAACCAATCTCTTGGCGTTCTGTCCGTTGCTTTCCATGTAGTGCATGACCATAGACACGTCGACGTCGTCAGTAGTGTGCCAACAGTCGTAGTCCGTAGCCATACAGATGACCTGGAATGCCATCTCAGCCTCCCTTGCTAACTTAGCTTCCGGCAGTAGCGACATGCTAATCACCGAGCCACCCCAAGAGCGGTATAAATTCGACTCCGCGCGGGTCGAGAACTGTGGCCCCTCTAAATATCAAAAAGGAGTGAGCATACGTGAAACACAGTGCAACTGTGGTATTTAATAGAGACCTACCCATGCAAATAGCGGTTCCCTTTCCGTGCAACACAACACCATCGCCTTGCATAGACTTGGCACACTGGCGCACAATCTCCGCAATTTTATCATCATAGGGGTCGCCGAAGGGCACATGTCCGACTAGACCGCCCTCAAAGAAAGTAAAGGGACGGATGCCCTTGGTGCGATCGATAACCTGATCAGGTACGACGAAGTCCATGGGCTTTATCTCCTCGCGCAGGGAGCCGACGGCCGAGAAAGCGACGACGCAGCGAACACCGATATGACGCAGGGCAGCGATGTTGGCGCGCGCGGGGATCTCATGGGGCGCGTGCTCGTGGTACGCACCGTGGCGTGATAGAAAGGCGACGGGCACGCCGGCGTGCTCGAGGATAAGGATGGGCGCGGATGGATAACCCCATGGTGTCAGGGGGTTAATGCGGGCAATGGGAGTGTACCCGTCGATCTTGTACAGGCCAGTCCCGCCTATAACGGCGATGTGGACGGGACCTGCGCGCGGGCAAGAGTCATGATATTAGCTACCTGACATCCAAATAGCTATGGATTTGGATGAGGCTATTGCGAGAAAGAGAGCGAATGATGTGATGGCGGGGCAACGCGGGACGGGAAACGCTTACGGTCGAAGGTTTCAGGAAGATCAGACATTCTGGCAGGCTTGCTTGAATAAAGATGAGATATATCAATTTTATATAATTCAAACCAGCTCTTAAAAAAGAATAAATCACTCGTTATTCTAAGTCAATGCTGATATGCAATTGTGTCCGTCTTGTCGCCGTCTCGCGTTGCGCAATTGATAGAAAATTTACGATAAGGAGTTACTGATAGATCCGATATGCCCCTCCCCCGCTTTCTCTGATACGTACCAGGTACCTACCAACGCTACCACGTGCCCTTTCCCTCTGAAGAAATCAGGGAAAGACGATCTGGATATGTCCACTTTCATTCGGACCATTCACGTTTGTCTTCTCAACACCAAACTCTACTTTCGTAATAGCTTCATTCCATTAACTTGATTTACATGAAAAGGCACATACATTATATCCTTTCCAAGCAAGGGTTTACCTTCTCCTCTTCTAGCCTTTTGATACATTATCATCAAAATCAAGATGGCGAAGCTTAATTATTTCTATGATAATTTCAATCGAATACCTCTCTCATAATCAAATTAGAATGGATATATTCTGATGTATGAAGCTGAAAAGCTTCGGCATCTAGACCAATACGTGCCCTATTACTTCGTTCTTGTACAAAACCAGGTTAAGCTACCTCAGGGTTACTACGATACCATCGTCGCATACGAATTGCCGGCACAAATTGACCATCACTATGTCGGCTAATGAGGCCGACTAATAGCATCTCACGTGTGCCCGCTCCCAACTCGTATCGGAACCATATAGGGAAATTAACGGTTAAGTGACGATATCGCCGTTTCGTCATGGTGTTGTACTGTATGGCCGGAAGAAGTGCATGGGAGGGGTGATTGGTATAGGAGTTGACAGCTTCAATAACTCTTATGTCATGGCATCCATCTATGGGATCCCTTTCTTATGACTACAACTTCCGTCACCCAAGAATTACCGCGGCGCTCTTTTCAAGTAAATGTGAGAGCTTTCCAAACTTATGATGCATTTCAACGCGCTGCTAAAAGCGAGTGTCGTATTTACACTTTCGCGGCTCGGATATGCTCAGACAATTGTCGTGGATGGACAAGTCATCAGTCAGTCAGATCGCGATTCTCTCAAAACCTCAAAGCCGAATAAATGTGAAAACCTTTCCCCGACAAACTAATCTGACATTTACTCCCTGCTCAAAGGCGCCAATGAATCTACCATTTCTCCCGCCTTCGTCACAGTCAACGCCTCCTCTTCCAACGCCACAGCTGATCTCTTTCTTGGCGAAACACACCAGCTTACGGATGCTGTCCTGAGGAATCTCACCGATCTTGGCTTAACGAACATAGTCTTGTTTGGCTTCGCAGACCCTGCGACGGCCGCTAATCATTCTATAATTGGGCCTTGCAAGACCTTCCCTGGGGAATTTGTTGTCTTTCCAGGCCAGATTACTGATCGAGTCTTCGATCTTCTCCTGGGCGGCAGTCTCATTCAAACCAAACCGTTCGCTTCACCGTGCTACAGTGACTACGGGAATCAAGATGCGGCTAAGTGCGATGAGATCACCGCTCATTGGTCCGATAACTCCTACGTCCAGTAAGTGAATCCGAGCAGCCCCTATTTCCAAGTGTACCCGAGAAATTTATTCTAACGCAGCCAAGCACGAATGACCCGACTTCCATCAATGCGATCCTATTCGAAGGGACGTCGTGTGTGCCACATACTGTGAACCCCTACGCGCTTAATTGCACCATCGGTGCTTATCCGAAAATGTCAGTGAACGTAACCACCGTGTCCCAAATCCAGCTGGCTATCAATCTGGCGCGTAGCCTGAATCTGCGACTCGTTATCAAGAATACTGGCCACGATTATAGTGCAAAGAGTACCGGTGCGGGTGCCGTCTCTCTGTGGACCCATAACTTGAAGGAAATCAAGTATTATGAAGATTATGAAGAGGGATCATATAAAGGGCCAGCATTTAAAATGGGAGCCGGAGTGCAAGTCTTTGAGGCATATGAAGCTGCGCGGGAGCACAACCTTACAATTGTTGGTGCGGAGGGCAAGACTGTCGGGCTTACAGGAGGGTACATCCTTGGTGGTGGTCACTCCCCTTTATCAAGTTTATATGGAATGGCTGCGGATCAGGTCTTATCCATGGAACTTGTAACAGCCGATGGCCGTTTCGTCACAGCCAGCGAAATATCCAATCCCGACCTATTCTGGGCTCTCCGAGGTGGAGGCGGTTCAACTTTTGGGGTCGTGACATCTGTGGTCATCAAGGCATTCCCTGAGATTCCAGTAACGACAATGAGCTTCAGTCTAAGCAGCAGTGAAAAAATATCTATGGACCAGTTTTGGCAAGCTGTACGCGCCTACTTCGAAGACTTCGCTAAGTACACTGATGCTGGCAATTATGCCCATTTTAATCTCAATGCAACGAGCGGCACCTATGTTTGGGATATGGCACCATGGTTCGCGCCAAACATGTCGAAATCGGAACTCGAAGCCCTTTCGAAGCCCTTCTTTGACGCAATAAGTGCCATTGGGCTCGATTTAAAGCCGGTCTACCAAGAATACACCAACTTTTACGATGCTTGGGACAAGTCTTTCCCCTTAGAATTGTGGGGTTCAAATCTTGCTCGTTATGGTAGTCGGCTTTTCCCGAGGGAAAATTGGGAGGACTCTACAAAACTCTCGTCTACATTTGATGCTATTCGCCATGTAGTTGATGCCGGCGGGGTAGTATCTGCTTATAACGTTGCTGCCGCTCCGAAATCCGGGTATCCTGACAATGCTGTCAACCCGGCTTGGCGTAAGACAGTTTTACACGCCATCGACATCGCCGCGTGGAGCCAAGATATGTATACGGAGTTAATCACAATCTGGAGCAATGTCTTGACGTCGGATTGGGGTAGTTTGTGGCGGTCGGTGTCGCCTGGTTCGGGCGCATACCTTTCGGAATCGGACTATATCGAGCCTGATTTCCAGCAGTCGTTTTGGGGCGATAAATACGACAGGTTGTATAAATTAAAAAAGAAGATCGATCCTTGGGATGTGTTCTACGCGCAGAACGCCGTTGGATCGGAGAACTGGGAGATGTCGGACTACATCTTTAATAACCTGCCTTCGCAGAACAGTCGTTTGTGTTTGAAGGGGACTAACGATTAATCCCTGAGATCGAAACTACTAAGTTAAAGTAACCCACGAAAGAGGATCAGATAGATCTATGCATCTCTCTACTTGACCGATTTGAACCTATTGTGGTCAGCAAGATCGCTAAACGCCGTGTGGCACTTATCTTAGGCAGATTTACAGGGGTATCTTAACCAACCAGCCTTATCAGTAACCCCCTCTTAGGGAGGGGTGAGGCGTTCGTTAAGTGGTATGGATAACATGTATCTTCTAAATCGTCATGGAATTGTGTATTTCTACAGTAGGTACCTACCTAGTAGTTGACCAAGGGGTCTGCGAGGCAGGATAAATTGCGAATTATTTGCATCATGACTTACGACCTTGTTATAACTAATGGCATATGTGTCACTGCGTCTGATATCGCAGCATTAGATATCGCTGTCGAGAATGGAAAAATAGCACTTCTCGCTCCATCGGGCTCGTTAGCGAATGCATCTACTATTCGGATGATCAATGCCGAGGGAGGATATATTATGGTAAGTCGTATTTCTCATATGTTAAACCTGGTGAATGAAAATCGCCATTGACGATTTAAAGCCGGGAGGAATTGACTGCCATGTACATCTTCAAGAGCCGGCCATGTTTGGGGGGAAAGGAAGGTCTGCGGACAATTATGAATCTGGTACCCGTTCGGCCGTCGCCGGTGGAAATACAACCATCATCACTTTCGCGCCGTTGCAGAAGCACGAGACGTCTCCACTAGCAGCAGTTCAAGCGACGCATGCTCTTGCTCAAGATAACTGTTACTGCGATTACAGCTTCCATCTCCTCATGGGCAACGCAAGCGCGACAGCACTCCAGGAGCTTCCCCGATTAAAGTGCGAAGAAGGTATCAGCTCGGTTAAAATATACATGACATATAAGGCGCTTCAATTACGCGATAATGAGATCCTGTCGATCCTTCTAACTGCACGGACTCATGAAATACTCACCATGATCCACGCTGAGAATGGGGACGTGCTCGATTGGTTAACAGACCAGCTTGAGCTCGCCCAGAAGATAAGTCCGAAGTACCACTCCAACTCGCGGCCACCAATCCTGGAAGCCGAGGCCACGAACCGGGCTATCGCGCTTTCGTCGCTCGTCGCGAATACCCCTATCTTATTAGTCCACGTCAGCGACCCCCAAGCCGCTCTACGCATCCGCGAAGCGCAAACACACGGACAGCCGATCTTCGCCGAGACATGTCCGCAGTACCTCTTCCTCACGCGCAACGACCTCGATAGACCCGGGTTCGAGGGCGCGAAGTATATATGCTCGCCACCGCCACGCAGGAAGGAGGATCAGGCGGATATCTGGCGGGGCTTGCGGAACGGTACCTTTTCTATCCTAAGTTCGGATCATTGTCCGTTTAGTTTCGATGATGTGGAGAAGGGGAAGAAGTCTTGTGTTACGCATGAACATCCAGAGGGACACTTTAGACATGTGCCGAATGGATTGCCTGGCGTGGAGACCCGACTCCCGCTTGTTGCGTCTGCGGGTAAATTGAGGCTCACGGAGTTTGTTGCTGTGGCTTCGACGAACCCGGCGAAGTTATATGGGTTGTATCCGCGGAAGGGGGCGCTATTGCCGGGGATCTCGGATGCGGATTTGACGATTTGGTATCCAGAGGGAAAGTTCGATAAGAATTTTACGTTGAAGAATGATATGCTGCACCATGACGCGGATTATACGCCGTACGAAGGTCACAGGCTCGGGAATTGGCCTAGGTATACGGTGATTAGAGGCAAAGTGGTTTGGGATCGGGATAATGGCGGTGTTGTGGGAGAGAAGGGGTACGGTCGGTTTATTAAGAGAGGGTCGGCTGTTGGGGTTTGGGATCAGGTTGATCAGAATGGGTTTGATTTGGAGGAGCTGTGATGGTTCTCGTATCTTCGAGTTGAATCAATACCTAAGAATTAAGCTAAGAGGGGAAAACAATACAGTAATAGGTACCTAGTCTTGTTCATCATCTGAGACATTTCAGCGGATGCCATCGACTCATTGTAGCCGGAGATTAAAAATCAGCATGATCATTGAAAGTCCGGTTCAAATTCGATCTAGGTCGCACTTCACCTTTCGGCGACCACTGGGCATCTCTAGTAAAAACGATAAGGAAAATCATTAGGGGCTTACTTATTCCCTAAAATGTTCATCTTAATCCAGGCAAATATCACATGGTAGATTTAGAAGATGCCCAGATTCAACCAATCCCGTGTAATGTCCGACTTGAATCCGGAGATGAGGGGAGGGGAGGGGCTTGAAGATTTGTTTCTCAACTTTTTCTTTTAACGCCAGCACCCTCTAAGGAAAACGCCGCCACCAACCTGAAATTCATAAAAATGCCAATTTCTCCACTTCGGGTGTGGGAGAAGCTTCAACACACGGCTCAATGGGGCCGCCTCGAAATAGGCGATCATGTCGGACTCTGCCGCGAATCGCTAACCGATAGTGACCGTGAGGTGCGAGATTGGTTCGTGGCTGAGGCCAAGGATATAGGATGTGAAGTAAAAGTGGACGAGATGGGAAATATATTCGCTATCTTTCCAGGGCGTAACAGTGGGCTTGCGCCTATCGGTATAGGCAGCCACCTTGACTCTCAGCCAGCCGGTGGGCGTTTTGATGGAGCCCTAGGCGTAATCGCCGCCTTGCAAGTCCTTCGGGCTGTTAAGGAGTCTGGTGTTTTGACTAATGCGCCGTTGGCTGCTATCAATTGGACAAATGAGTACGATACTAATCACTTATTTAATTTGCAGTGTATCATAATGCTCATACATGGTTAAACAGGGAGGGATCTCGTTTTCCCAGAATGTGCACCGGTTCGGGAGTATGGTCTGGCGCTGAAGACGTTGAGAGCTCTCATGCGCTGACGGATCTGGCGAATCCATCTATAACCCTAGGCGACGAACTCAAGCGAATCGGTTACCTTGGTACTACCCCATGTTCATACCGTGAGAATCGGCTCTCAGCGCACTTCGAGCTACATATAGAGCAAGGTCCGCGATTAGAAAAGGCACAACAGAAGCTTGCCGTAGTATCTGGCGTGCAAGGCATGCGTGCGTACGAAATTCGATGTCAGGGTGTTGGAGGCCACGCCGGCGCTGTGCCTATGGCACAGCGTGCCGACGCACTTGCAGCGCTGGCTACCTTTGTGGTCAAAACAGAGGAACTAGCCCGCCGGGAAGATGCTTTTGGCACCGTAGGTGTCATTGAGACTGATACTAGCAGTCCGAATACGGTCCCCGGTCGCGCATTTTGTACTCTAGACCTACGGCACCACAATGAAAACACCTTGGATACGATAGAGAGGGAACTCGATGCACATCTATCTAAGCTAGAACAGGACCGACCAGGGATCAAAACATCTATAACGAAAACCAGGCACAAAAAGAGTATCAAATTCGACCCGGAGGCAAGCCGGTGTTTACAGCAAGCGTTGACGAGCACGGTTCACGAGTCTCTAGTTTGTAGTTTAGAAAGCTATGCTGGGCACGATAGCGCTGAAACGGCGGTCGTGATACCAACTACTATGTTGTTTATCCCATCAAAAAACGGTATCAGCCATAACCCAGCGGAGTTCAGCTCGGAGGAGGATTGGTATGTGCCCCTTGATCCTTATTGTTTCTGAGTTGACTGATCAAAGTACAGTGAGATCGGCGCCCAGGCACTTCTTCAGGCAGTGCTGAACTATGATGCGTTTCTTGAAGGCAAATAGGGGATGGTATAAATGGTTCAATGGAAGGTGACCGTGTCCAATCATGAACACGGAATGTCTGTGTTTGAGCGTCTTCATCATTGCGTGATATGTACCTATTTCAATGATATCGCAAATTTTTAGGCATAAATGTAGGGCGAGATACTATTCAGTTTCCTATAAAACCCAAGTCAACCACAACCTCGGGCAATCACGTCACCTCTCGTATCCTAAACGAGTGTGATTTCGTGCCTTTCGAGCGTGTTGCCTTCATGTGAAGGGACTTTACAGTGCTGGAATTTCTGTTTCATAAGTAGTAGCACGTATTCCACCATTTGTTCTGAACTCTGTGGGTCTTCGTCGGGGGAGTCCTCAGATGTTGCCCATATCCTGTCATTCATTAGGTCAAAGGCAAAGTCTAGTAGGCCGATTCTCTGGTAAATTCCCCGGCTGGGCGTTACAGCCGCTAGTATTAGACAGTACAGACGCAATTGCGTGTAACAGCCATCGTCATCTTCGCAGACAATTGGAAGAAGGAAGCAATCCATCGGCTCCAAAGGACTCAAAGCATTTAATTCACTTACTTTAAGTGAATTGTCATCGATTTCAGCCAGAGAAGCCCACCCTTCCATCATATCTTCAATGAAGTTCTCAACCCTACTCCTGAAAGAGCTTGTCTCGGATATTCGTCGTTGCTGGTGTACACACGCGTCACAGCCCTTATGAAATATAGGAAAGACCCATCCGATAAGTCGAATCCATGAATTATGAATCGCTCCGTACGGGTTAGTTCTAATGGTTGGTGCAAGATATGTATCGGTAAAGTCGACGAGTTCCCTGTATTCGCCAATGTGTCGGAAGGCAACCCTTCCGTTGATTGACGCCCATGACCATGAAGGGGCACGATAATCTAGCACATGTCCAAGACCACTCTTAGAATACCAACACAAATCTCGAGCTAGGTTTATCGTCCATAAGCCAGCTAGATAATCCGACCTAAAGGCTGGCTGGCAGAATTTCGCAATCCCAGAAATCGCGACTAATCTATCGCTCGCTACTGTAACATGAGCGGTCGAATAGAAGCTAAGTATCTCGTGCCAGAACAGTTGGGCATCCTCGAAAGACATATTTCTCAGGGAAGCTAACGACCATAAATCTCGGCAAGTTAGGTCGAACCGAAACCCACAGGGGGCTTCTGTGCTGTCCATAGCTTCGCAGCTAAGCTCTTCGGCGCATTCGAAGTACACAAGTCGTTGGGTGAAGCTGATATTCCGGGTCGCTAACAGGCGTTCTTGACACACCCAACCCCTGAGATTGAGTGGTTCTGTATCAAGTTTAACGAACAGCGTGGTATCACTGTCGTTATAGATCAGTGATGCTCCAAGTTTAGATAAGTGAACCTTGTGTGGGCATAGTTGTATCGATGATCGTCTGTAAAAGAGACCTTCGGAGCTGTTGATTGCGGACGTGGCAGCGAGGTTGCAGTATGCGTGTCGGTAGACTAAATCCATCGTACCACTTTCTTGGTCCCAATCATCACTTGAATCTTGAATAATGCACTATTGAAGAAGGTTAATTAAATACCTATATAGCCGTGAGAAGTATAACAAGTTGCGAGAGGGTCACTCACTAAGGAGTCTATCCACAAATATGGTATCTTTAACCTCAACGCAATCACCGCCGCATCGATATATTTCTGAGGCATCTTCTGCTGAGGGATCTCAACCATGAATGCATATAAATTTTGCGTCGTGAGCCTTAAAGTCACGTCTTTCCCCCATCTGTGGCTTAATGTAATATACCGACCCCGAGGACCGTCGTTAGAGGTAAGTATTAGACGAAAGTGAAACTTTCCATTTTCTTCTCGTATTTCTATCAGCCTGGACGGCATATAACTAAGGAGCTGCTGGCAAGATACATGATTGACCTCGCAGTTTTTCAAGCGGCCGGTAACGTAATCCCATGTTTGCTGAGAGTTCGTATTGTCTACCATTGCATGAGGTATATAGTTGGAAGCTTCCTTCGGCTTCCTTCTCCTAGTGGAGAAATCCAGATGGCACAAGACATCGTGTTTGCCGTTTATCTCGAAATGCGCAGATGATTTCCAGTAATGGTCTGATGATATATCTAAACGTGCAAAACTTCGAAATTCGAATGAAGACTCGGATACAGTTGCGTATGAGATATCAGAAGGATGTCCCTGAAGTGAATCTGGTAGTGATTTGAATTCATATTGTAGGTGCTTTAATATTCTGATACACCACCAGCATTCACGCCGAATGCCGTCTATTAACTCTGCTGTATTGTGATGTAGAATTATTTTAACGGAAGGATCTTGCAGTTGAGTCCAAATCTGACAGCGATCGCAATCCATAAGTTGGTGATCAGATTGCTATTATAGAGAGCATCGTTCATCCACTCACATATAATCGTTGATATCACTACAATGAAAGGGGCGGGATTAGGCGACGAGCTAGGTACCTACCTACCTCTTATACAAATCTGAGGGTGGAATTACCGAAACATTTTACGCCCCCAAGTTTTACGAAGTCCCAACACAGCCGAGAATTAGGTATGGGTGGAGAATAACGTAGACCGAGTTGAGGAATCAGGCACTGATGCAGGTCTGCAACTTGCACCAACTGAAGCCCCTCGATTTGTTGCTGAAAAATTTAAAGTTGACTCCTGCATAACTAAGACATTTACAACGCTAGATGCTATGATTTGTAACAAAAATGAGTTTGAGATGTATACGTGTCGTCGATGGAAAATAATACTAAGCATGATATCAAGTTATAGAGATTATTGTTTGTCGCTTATAAGCATAGTTTCATTCAAACGGTATATTAGGAAATCAAATACGGATGACAAAAGGATAGATCAGACCCACTTACGCCACTAACGCCACTATCAATCCGAATCGACTTTTTACTTTCAGGTACCTAATCGCGAGAACCGTAAATTTCAATCATTTCCAAGGTTGTTTAAGAAAACAATTATCAGGTATAAATGATTGACAAATTTCTCGAAATTTTCCCATCATATCAGTTCTGTATCAAATAAACTGCGTCGGCCAGACAGCTGCTCCTCGAGAACTTACCACTTCGTCGCACCCGATTTATGGCGGGGCGTAATACGATTTGACATGAGTCCGGGTTGTTCGTTCAGCGCACAACTTTGATATCGCACTCTTCACAAGACTTAGAAATACCTCCGCCATGGCATCATCTCCCTCTATATCAACAAACCAGGCAGATCCTGAGAAGGCTAATGTGTGGAAAAATGACTCTATCGAGGAACGCATCTTCTCGGCGTCTTTGATATGTCTGGAAGGTCACTACAACCAGGCTCCTACCATGGGGTCTCAGTCTCTTGCTAAAGTAACCGGTATCGTCTCCAAAACTTTAGAAAAGACGCATACTTTCAAGGATGTGAGGTGAGTTACTTGCTACGTGATCTTTGAAAACAAGCCCAGTCACATACCCTGCTAACGCTTGAGCCGTAGAGAGATATTGTCAAGGAATGTGAGAGTATGGATATGGTTACGCCGCGCTGTAAGCGCTGCAATATGCGATCTAAACGAGAAGTCCCTGGGCGTGCGATCAGTGCCATTTGTCCAGACCAGATTTCTCGATATCACCACTCCCGAGGTCACCGCACTCATTATTAAGAACTATGTACCCCTAAAAGAGGCTCTGCAGATGCTGAACAAGCTTATGCATATTGCCCGGAATTTACTTGTTACCACCGATCCTGGAATACCCCAAGATCTATCGGCCGCTATTCACTTTGACCATGAAGTATATGAATCGATATGTCTTTGCGTCAATGTTACTAGCAAAGGAATCGACGGAGAGATGCCAGAGGACGAGGCTTCTAGATCGAAGCTTAACGAAATCACAGAGCTCTGTAAGTTCACCAGTTTGTCAATATCCTTGGCATAACTAACTATTACTAGGTAAGAAGGTTCTTGTTACGTCTCTACAGCAGGCTCATAACTGGATCGCGAAGAATGACCGCAACAAGATGTCATTTTGGTACAAGGTATTGATAGAATCGCCAGACGCCGATAGCAATCCGGGACCAGAAGATCGGCACGAATCTGTTCTGGATTATCCAGCGCCTAGGAGTATTCATCTTCGAGATGAGATATCTAACTGGGTTAAGCGATCAGTACTGATGTGTGACGCTGCGGTCAGGATATGTAAAGAATTTTTCGATTCGCAGTGTCCCGAGAAAAAGGATCAGTGGCTACCCCAGCGTGGTAACCTCGGCGCCCCACCTCGTCAGTCGGACGATTATAACAAGGCGGCTGAGATGGTCTCAAAGTGGGATCCCGAGCAGACTAACAAAGCCGAGCAAGATAGAGCGTACGGTCGTGTATCTCATGAACTCGACAAATGGTGGTACGGCGCGCGTATCCCAAACTCGAACGACTGGAGCTTGACAATGTATTCAAGCATCGACTCTGTTCCACAACGCATTAAGGAATGCGAGGCAAATCTCATGCAACGCTATGCTGCGGCCGAGCCCCAAGAGGAACCGAGCGATGTAATCGAACATCCGTCAGATGATGGCAATAGCCCAGAATGGCAAGGCCAAGCGCCTCAGGCTAACCAGAATTTCGCCCCGGAATATGACGAGTATGAAGAAGAAGCCGACGACGACGATTCATATGGGGAGGGCCCTATGACCGGACTTCTTACAGAGGTGCCAAATATCCTTGATCCTAAGCAGATCGAGGCACTCCACATGATTGTCAAGTCTTGCATATTAGATTCGGCGGGTTCTGGTTTCACGCCGTTCGGCGAGAATCTGCAACAGACACGATGCCGTATCTTCCTCGCCACTGATTGCGGCCGAAACCTTTTGCGAGAAATGCTCGTCTTTATCGCTGTGTGGGAAAAGGACGAACAGTCTCTTATATTTCAAATTAGCAGCCAGATTGTCCAGGCGATCCACGAAAATTCTTTAATCCCTTATGCATGGATGGCTCTTCGAAGCCCCAAAGACATCATATCGCCAGCACAGACGGTTCTGCTTCGGCTTATTACCTTTTTATTTCGCACGGCTCTTGCGCCACCAAAAGACTACAACCCCTTCCCCGACCCTAAGACAGAAAACATCGAGAGTATTCTGGCGAATGAGGATGTTCGTCTAGGGAAAATGTTAAATTATCTATATGGCATCTTCCGAAGTCGTATTGTTCCGGAGTGCGTCGCCCTGATGCAGATCCAAGGCGAGGTCCGCAAAGGCCGGCTAGATCCTGCAGATTTCCCGGTCGATAACTGGGACCTGGAACGTGCTAAGGATGGCTTGGTTCAATACCTCGATTTTCTTTACACCGTTGCGGATATCTTCCCCCTCCGACAACACCTCATCGACTACGAAGCAGTATATGAACTGCTTAGGTTACTAGAAGGCCTCGATGTTGGAGTAGAGAAAGCTCCCTTCCCTGGAACTCGGCGTAACGAGCCTCCCACAACACCCTCCACCACAACCTCGACGCCACAAGCATCATCATCTAGTAACCCGCCACCACCCCCACCTCCACCTCCGCCGATCTCCGATCCACCCCACGAGTTCCCCTGGTCCGGTATTAAAGGCCAAGTCCTATCCATCCTCGCAGCCCTCCTACAACCACCCCCCGGCCAGTCCTCTCCCGGCAACCCGACAGTGCAGCTGCAGATCTTGCAACATAATGGAATTGTGGCGCTGCTGAACTGCTGCTTGTACGACGACAATAATAGGTTCTGTCGCGAGCGCACGCAGCTCTGTCTCAAGTGGCTTATGGACGGATGTCCGGACGCGTCCGCCTTCCTGCAGAATCTCGTCAGCGCTAACCAGCAGCCGGTAATTAGACCGCCACCAGGCACGACGCAGAGCATCCGCGTCGATGGCGTATCCGGAGAGGTTAGGGTCCAGGTGCGCAGCTCTAGCGCGCCGGTCGCTGGTGAGGTTGGTGAAGTAGTGGTTAGTGCGGATGCGGCAAGCGCGAGTTTGAGGAGTAGGCTTGAGGAGAATAAGAGTAGGAGCGAGGAGCTGGTCCAGGATCTCCTAGCGTTAACGGTCGTGGACGAGAATGGTAAAATGACGATTGCGCCGGATGAGGACGAGACGGAAGATGATGATTTTATTTGATGGTAGGGTTAAGGCATAGGCGGGGGATACCTTAGGTAGGGAAATGGGGGTAGGAAGGATATGGCGGCTACGCGTCGTATGGTGATGGGGATCACGGTTCGTGTATGGGCTCTAGGTACATCCTAGATATGTTGCATAGGTGCATTGCGTGGGATTTGTTTAGGCGTTTAGGTATGGTTTATTAGGTACTTCTAGGGATTGTGAATATACACAATCTGATTGCAGCTGGAGATTTCATTTAATCTATTGTGCTATGATGTTACTTGGAGAGAATTGTCGCGAAAGGTCTAGTGGTAATGCAGATGTATGTTTTAGTTGTAGCAGCAGAGATCATTGAGATTTTATGGTCTAAACATCTAGAAATCTACCTAAGGTAGGTATCTATCTAGCTATAGCACGAAGCAAAAGTAGTGGAGTATTCTTGAGGACAATGCCGAACTTGTCTTATCCCTCAATCTCTATAGGGCTCCTCGATTCACTTACATGATCTTAATCACCTGCTCTAGAAGCTCGTCGTTAGGTACGACCAGTGCTAGCAGTATCTCATTCGTAAGGGTCCCTAGGGTGTTCGGGTTTCCCGTGCTTAGCTTTGCTTTGATGAATTCGTCGATTCCCTCTTCTTCATGGACTCGGATCGCTTTTTCGATTCTTGAAAGGCGGGCGTCTAATGTTTCTTCGATGGCTTTACCTTCTCTTGCGTCCTGAGTGCTTGGAGTGCTTCCGATGGCCACCGCGGAGTAGTGATGCTCTGAGGGCTTGCTCTCGGGTTTTACTTGGTATGTGCTGGGTATATGTTCAGATGGCATGTTGTACTGAGAGGTGTTGGTGTATTTCCCACGCTGGCTATGGACATTTGGTTCTTGGTAAATTGCGTTAAGATCATTTCGGGGGTTAGTTTCCTCGATATCGATGGACGCTCGTTTCTTCCTAGAATATCTGGCATCCTGAGAAATTTCAAATGGACTAGCCCTATCCATAATGTCGTACGGATCTGGTTTACCTGCCCTAGCTTGCCTTAATCTCTTGGATGTTAATGCGGTTTCAGTGGCGTTATCGTCGCCCTCTGAGCTTTGAGTCTCGTCATCATCGACTTCGATGTTCTGGTTGACTAGTTCTTTAGTGGCGATCTTGTTTTCATAGTTGTTCTTACTTAGTTGATTTTTTCGTAGACGAGTATTTGGGTATGACTGGTTAGCAATTTCCGGGACGATAGGAGTCGTCTGAGATTGGTTCTCAATCACGTTGATCTTGATCCTCTTCGAAGGATTAGGGTCGTCGGTTGTATGAACATAATCACGTTTCTGACTTGTTAAGTGGCTTGGGTCTCGCTTAGAAGCTGTGTTGAATTCGGAGAGGCCGCTTGTTCTTGCCCTATCGTCAGGTGTTGATACCTTAGAACCACGCTTAGCAACTCGTCGTGTAGTTTTCGGTACTCTCAAGAGAGCTTCCGGGTCTTCTAAGTGATTTATGCGCGAAGCTATGGAATCATCTTTGGCCCCTGGAGTTGTGTTACGGTGTAAGAACGAGAGTTGACGACGAGGAACCAATTTGTCAATGTCGTCTACCTCTGATGTAGAGGCAGGCCTTGGTGGACGAGCGAATCTATCGTCATTTATCCTTGATTTACGACTACTGTGGTAGTTAGGAACTGAATAAGGCCGATCCGATGCGAGCTGCATTGAGGGAATAGGCATAGGGCGTATGTCAGTCCGATTCATAGTAAGACGTTGCATCCGCATAGGCACGGCACGGGGACCTCCTGATGGTGGGCGGTAGTCTGGAACCCATATCGTTTGCGGATGATATCCATGAGTTGGCGGGGGTGGTACAAGCCGTTGAGAATATCCATCGGGCTGTGATCCATATATGTTAGACGGTTGTCGTGACAGTGGTTGAGTTGGTGTTGACAGTCTGCGTAAGTCTGACTTCGGCATATTTAACCATATACTATGTAGAAGAGTCCCTACTAGATGTGGAATTATACCCAGGTAAATTACTAGGTAAGTATGCAAACTGAGGAGTCAGAGACGTTGAGGTTGACGATCGGACTGAGTTCACTAAATGTTATGCAGTCTTGAGGGGTAGTCTTAAGACATGTAGTAGAAGATGAAACAATAGGTATCCAGTCCATACATAAGATTCTTGTACTGACTACTGGTGTCATATTTCATGCGTAAGATATTTGACGAAAAAGGTTGTCGGTTGTTCGTGGTGAATAGAATCTGAAAAGTCTGTTTGTGTGGCGTTTGTATAATACTATAAATGATGAATGATTTTGTTGACATGCAACTATGCAGTACAAATTCGGGATGTCGTTTCTTTCTTGGCGCGCTAATGTAGGTTTGAGGCACATAGATACATAATTATCTATATATACGCTATAAGATAGCTATTAACGGTCTAGTGGACTAGTCCCAAGCACGGACCAGATACATTTTTCTTGGTTCAACACGACTCGAACTCCATCAATTTCCATTTTCGCGATTCAACTATTCCCAGCTTTGCGACGAACTAGACGCGAATTTGTCTAAGTTCGCATCACCCATTTATCCTCCAACCGTTTGTCGCCTCCACGTCAACCTTTTAAATCGCTGTAAAGCTGAGGTTCGCGACCGCGCACCTACGCAAAGCGACCTCAAGCTATTCTGACGCAGCCTTTTCTCGTCATCTTTTCCCTTTCCACCTCTTCATCACCGTCCATCGAGCAAGCAAATAAGCAAGTAAGGGAATAGGCAGGTTAAGCTTGTAGTCAATGCCTTGGCTTACTTGCTAGCCATCTTTACTTACACTCTTTCACTCTTACGCCCTTACTCCCTTCCACCTTTCATGAAAATCTTGTCACTGTCTGATAGAAATAAAGTCCGAATCATCTGTAGACGGCAGTAAGCTGCATTAATCGAACATGGCCCCAAATCGTGGTCTCGCGAATCGAGACGATCTTTATATCCACGAAATCGATCGGACTCCTGAATATGAAGAATTTATTCGAAAACTCACTGCTTTCCATGAGGAACGCGGTACCTCATTCGAGCCCGAACCTCGACTCCCTACCATGAATGGTCATGTGAATGTCGATTTGCTTAAGCTATATAAGGCTGTATTAGAGAAAGGAGGTTACGATGAAATGAATAAGGTGCAGAAGACTTGGAGTAGCCTTGCGGCTGAGTTGGGTATGCATCATACCGATAGTAAAGGAATCGGCCAACTTTCATTTCAATTGAAGCAAGATTTCTATCGGTACCTTGCTGCCTACTGGGTAAAAGATCAGTCCGGGAAAGAGCCACCACCTAAAGAAATACTAGAGCAGCAGTCATGCGCTAGTAAATTTGGTCCTGTTCTCACCCGCACTGTGGAAAACTTTAAGAAGTTCCTGTCCTCCGGTCGCTCTGGCGTAGAAACTCCTACAAGGGAAGAACGTCAAGGGGAAGGTACTCCTGCTTCTGGTGACAGAGCTTCCGGACGTCTTCGCGAAGCTCCTCCTCGGCGCGTACCATTCCAACCCGAAACTGGCCCAAGTCGCCAACCCAGACAAACTTCTTCTCACCATTCCACACCCACCGCGATGGCTATGAATACAAACCATCACGCGAATACTCCTCATTCTCAACATCCTAACCACCACCTCACTCAACACCACAATCCGAACAATCCTCTTCATCTTATACAGGCTCAACAAGCAGCTGTCCGTGGTGCCTCGGGTGCATTTACGCCTACGAATCCAGAGAATGGTTCTCGCTTATCTGAGATGGTTGACCCGCGCTCTCCCATATCTGTTCCTATCCGCCCCGTAAGCACCCCGGCCAATAACCCCGAATTCGCGAAGCGACAACGCCAGTTACGCATGGCTGCCAATCAAGACACACAACTGCCTATTCGTACGGCCATTCCAGGCGGTGGATTTGAAGGACCCAACATCTATATGCGTTGCCTACAAGCCCTTCGTTCGGGAATACCCGAGGAGCAGTCGTTTGCGCTTAATCACCTAGTTAAAATATCGTTTGAACGAGGCGATAAGTACAAGTTCGAGTCCTTCCTGGGCCTAGCCGAAGGCCTGATTGAGAAGGCCCTTGAAATCGGTAACCTCTTCTACCATGTCGAGTGGCAAGTCGCTTACTTCAACGACCCGGTGCCCGAAAATTCGGACATCGCTTTTCTCGATGGGCTCAACGGGACCGGCGATATTCTCGAGCGGATCGCGAAACTATCGCCGAAGCCGGTTCTTGATCACATGCAGTCTGCAGAATTCAGCGACCGCTTACTACGAATTACTGAGGCAGTCTTGACTATTCGTAATATGGTTATGTTAGTCGAGAATGCTGTCTATATGGCGGAAGTATATCCCCTGCGAGACTTGCTATGCATCATTCTCCGCCTTCCGAATCTAGAGATGCTTGTTGAGATCAAGCATTTCGCTCTAGACATTGCCGAGCAACTTACACCTTGGCTCAGTCTCGATTCTGGAGACCCGTTATACCAGACACTTCTATCCCAGTTAGACTCGTCAGATCGAGGCACAATCCTCACCTCCCTCCGTGCCATCAGTCGTATATCAATGAATCTGGATGCGACGAACAGAATGCAGAATGTCCCCGCTGCTGTCTTGCAGAACATTATGAACTGGATTCTGCTTAATGACGAGGAGCTTGTGGATGCGTGTCTCGACTTCCTCTACCAATATCTAGCGGTAGTAGCGAATGTCGAATCCGCGCTCAAGGCTGTTAACATGGAGCATGTTACTACGCACCTTATTAGGCTGTTAGGTCATGGTTCCAAGCGGATTAAGGAGGATCGAATCCTTGAACCGGAACGAATAGCTCCAGCCACCGAAGAGGTTGCGCCTCTACCTCCGGATCTCCAGGAGAAATTGACACATACTGACGAGCCTTTGAGATGCCATCAGTGGCTCCAGAGTGTATTTGAGGAAACTCCCGGTTCTCAGATCACACAGATTGCCATATGGCATGCTTACCAAAATGCTTTTGGTGCCTTAGTCAACGGACCGAGACCCGCCCTTGGCGCGGCAGAATTCATTCGAACTGTTAGTGCGGTTTATGAGACTGCTCGAGCTTCGGTTATTAGGCGCCAACGTCCCGATCAGACTGATATCTTTATTATTAATGGCATTAGAGCTAGGCGTCTGCCGATACATCCCGAGACGAAGGAGGAGTATTCCCCTTGCCAGTGGATGGTAGCCAAAGGCCCGTACTCGAAGAAATGTGGCTTGTTCTTCCTTGGAGGAGAAAAGATGTGGGAGCACGTTCTCACTGCCCATCTAGGCATCACCATCGGCGAAGGAGGCAAAATCAAAGACAGAGAGATCCACGCATCATGCGACTGGGAAGGCTGCACCAAATATGCGAAGCCTTCTCGGATGAAGCTATCCGAGCTCACCCGCCACACAAAGACCCACTTCCCCTCGCAGAAACGTTTACTCGGCGACGGATCGGACTCATTGGCTAAGCGACAGCGCAAGTCCTACGTCGTCCCAGCAAAGACCATGAGCCTTACTTGGGAACAAACAATTGTCACACGTGACGAGAGAAATCCCAAAGTCGAGCAAGCAGCCGGTATTCCATTAAGCGCCGCATTAGTGTTGTGTAACATTGCGCGTAATGTAGTCAAGACGGAATCGGAGGAACAGCTTCTCAAGAAGCATGAGATGGGCGGCGAGGGCGGTGGCTGGAACGAGAGACTGTTCCGCCCTGTTATGCCGAGACTTTACGAGGTCTTGACGGAGAACAAGGCTTTGGTAGGTTTACTTTTCTATCCCCTCCCCATTTGATTGCACTTCTTTACTAATTACGAACCCAGGCCACTTACATCACCACGCTCCTACAGCTAGTGCAGGACGACTAAAAGGTCAACAAGAGAAAAAAGCAAAACAATGTAATTTTAAATTTCGTGGTTACGGATCGGCACGGAAGGAACTTGATCTTTTGTCGCACCGCACATGATCACATGGAGGAACAAGGCAATACCCAGGCGTTACGAAGTCGGGACCAAGGATGGACCATTGTTGCATAAAAAATTCCTAATCCCCCCATGCCATTGACTTTTCTATTTTTCCCTCGTATGATTTGGTGCCCCTAGGAAGGCGGATGTGAGCTTTTACTTGGTCCATAAACGAGTCAGCCGTGAAGGAAATTGGCTGCATACTTGGCTAGCTGAATGTAAATGATCTTGACGCGGGTTTCCCGTCGACTGAGATACATATCCGCCTGACCTAATGAATCGTAAACTCCTCCAAAACGAATCATCGCCTTGTACTAGTTAAGAGACATCAAAATCCCGAGTAGACTCGGTTGTCCCATGTCATGTCATGTCATGTTGTACTACCATAGATAGTGAGTTGAGTAATCATAGCAATTTTTATTTATACCTGCTTGTCCGAATTTTTTAGTCACTTAGGATACAGATAATTCATACGATCCCCTTCACCACCAAGCCTCCACCGACAGCACCGACCCCCGGAGCCGTTCCCAACGTTACGCATTAACAGTTAGCCCCAAGTAACCGCCTCTATGCAAGTAGGACTTTGCTGTATGTGGGACATCTAATCCCGCCTTCCAGCTTGTCCTTCGCGCACGGCCTGGAGGATGAGTTCCTTGGCCTTCTCGCAGCCCTCTTTAGAGCCTAGGATTTCTATAGCCTCATCCTTGGCTTGATCGCGGGGAACGTTGATCTTGCATCCGCTTTGTTTGCGGATCGAGTTAACCTTCGAACCGCCTTGGCCAATAACGTGGCGGTACGTAGACGGGTCTGGCAGGATAAGGTACCCGGTAGTGTTGTTCTTTTGGGCTTGCTCAAGAGCTGCCGCGATAACCTTCTTCGCCTTCTCAATGTTTTCTTGGTTACCCTTTAGCACCCATGGAATATCGCCATCTTCCGAAGAGGCAGTGTCGACTATTGTCCAGGAATGCGCATCGTTCGCAGCCTCTGCGTCATCGGTAATCAAGGGGAGGGCACCCGTATTGGCCCGGGTCGAAGAGGGTTTGGGCTTAGGTGGCACAGCTTGGCCAGCATGATCCACGGTGACTTTTTGGTCGTTTCTAAGTCTACGGAAGAACTGGCCGTTCTCCGAGATGGCATGGTGATACTTTCGCGGGACCTGGACCGTCTCACCTTGCTGTTCCTTGATAAGCGATGAAATATGATCCTTCGCTTTCTCAACATTAGCAGGCTGCCCGACGAGCTTCACGCCAGTCAGACCACTTCCTTGTCGCGGAATGTCAATGGCTACGTTGAATTGCGATTCGAGCTGGCGTTTTGTCTCGCCCCCGCGCCCAATAAGCGACCGGTGCTTTTCAACGGGCACTTCCATAGATTCCGTGATCTGGCTCTCGCGTTCTAACACTAGAGCTTTAATGCTATCGATGATCTTGTCGACAACATCCTGTCGTCCCTCAATCTTGATAGAATTTCCATCCGTATCTTGCTTGGGGAACTGAATAGTTCGAGCCTGAAGCCGTCTATCTTCAGGACCACCCGCTTTGATGACGATATCGCGAAGAGTTGAGCCTGTGTTGGATTAGAAAATGACCAAAACATATTTAGACAAAGAGAACATACCGCCGGGACCAATGAGGGTCTTGTGCCACTTCCTATCGATTTCAACGGTCTTTGTGACTGTTTCATCGAATACTGTCCGCTTCTCTTCGATAATCTTCTTGGCTGCTGCAACCTGTGCTTTAGTGCCCTTGATCTGAATCTCCACCGTAGCATCTTGAGATTCGTTACGATCATTAGGGATATCAATCTTTGCTCCGGTGGTTTGACGAAGTTCATCCATACCAGCACCGCCAGAACCAATCAGAGACGGCAGTTGCTTCTGCTGAACGGACACGGTAGCGACGAACGAATTATCCTTGAGGTACTGGAAAAGCGAGAAGATTTCATCGCGGGCCTCATCTGCGCCCTTCTTGGGTCCCCTGATCGTAACCTCATCGGGACCTTGCTGTCGTCGAGGTTTTCCGGCTTCGCTTGCGACATCAGCGACAGATTCATCGTCCTTGGCAGGCTTTCCAGTCTTGGGAAAGTTGATGTGAACGTTGTAACGATTCTGTAGACGGTGAATCTGAGCACCTTGAGCACCGATTAACTCACGATGATACTTAGGCTCAATCTTCAAGGTGTGGAGAGTTTCATCGGCCCATTGACGGGCAAGGGATGAAATATGGGTTTTTGCCCGTTCGGCCTTTGCTTTGGGTCCCTTTAGTTCAACTTCCCCATTCTGGACTTGAATATCCACATCAAACTTCTCACGCAATTCGTTGATATGGCTGCCACCCTTGCCAATAAGATGGTTGGCGAATTTCTGTGGGAAGTCGAACTTCAGGATGAACCCGCGCTCCTTTTCGTCTTCCTTTTCTTGCTCTACGAAATCTGCGGCCTTCTTCGCAAGAGACTCCACGCTAGAAGTGGGACCTCGCATCGTGACTGTGGTGCCTCTCACACTGACCCTAACAGGGATGTCACCAGCAGCACGAGTGGTTGCGTCCTGCTCCTTTTTAATGAATTTCCGAAGTTTCTCCTGGAATCTAAAGCAGTTGTTAGTAAAGTTTGCACGGTCTAAAACAATTTAGGGGACTACATACTTCATTGGCACTTCCAGAGTCGCTGTACTAATTTGCTCCTGCTTGTTGATGAGTTCAAGAATGTTCTTTCGAGCTTCGGCTAACCCCCGTCGAAATTGTTCGAGCTCAGAAGAAGTAGGAACTTTTTGGGGGATTTGGTAAGTTTGACTGGGAGCCTCCGCACCCTCGTACACCAGGAGAATAGGAAGGTCACCTTCTGCCGCATCCGGGACTATCAAATTGACGCCATAGTCATTCTGGACCTTAGGCCTGATGTCGCTCCTGAGGTAGGAGTGGAAGAAGGAATCCACTGGGACTGTCGCGAATCGAGAGGGCGGGTGGCTGTTGATGATGGAGCTCATTTCTTTTTGGGCCTTGAGCGCGTTCTTGCCTTCTCTCGCATATAGTTCCCATGGGCTGACTATACCCTCCGAGAAAGGTGTGTTGATATGAATCTGGTACAGTTTCTCGAGTCGCTCAATCTCATTTCGCTGGTGGAGGTAACGAGAGACGTCTCGCGAATATGCCGGAGCACCGCCGGAGGCATGACTATGGTGCTTCGCAACGTCAAACACGGAGGTGTGTACTTGCGTAGCAAGATCCATAGCCTTTTCCAATCCAGCATTTACATCATCGGCTCGGCCAATTACAGTTACAGTGTCAACGCCTGGTGAGCTAGGCAAGACCACAACACAATTTGTGTCGGCAAAGAAGTCCTCTGTAGGAATACCACGGTCGCCAATGATAAATTGGTGGGTGCCTTGACGAATTTCAACCTGGTCTAGGAGTAGTTGGTTCTGAAGCTCCTGCACTTGACGCTCAATAGCAGCTCGCGCTGCTTGAACTGCTGCACGATCACCAGCGAGTTGGATATAATTGTCGTTGGTAGGGGGTCCAAAGCTCGGCTTCTGTCCTGCCGCCGGTACCTGAGGGACTGAATGAGACCATGGCTGGTGGGGAGGTACACGAATTTGCACACCATGCTCAGCCTCCAAAGCTGCAGTAAGGCTGTTGTTTGGACCAGCTATGAATGGATAAAATTCGGACGGGATGGACTTCAACTTCGTGTTGAGATTTGCAGATCGTTCCCCCGCTATTTTATTGATAGCATCACGAGCCAAGGCCGCCGAAAGTGCATTGCCCTCAACAATTACATCGATGGTAGCATCTTCATCTTCATCCAAGTTACCGGCAGCATCATCGATCTTCGGTAGCTGAATTCTAGCACCGGACTTTTCTTGAATCGACTTGATAGTGGAGCCTTGCTTGCCAATAATATGTGCTCTTGCAGACAGAGGGATCGGGACGGGAATGGAAGTCTACGGAAAATATATTAGTTAAGTTATGAGACTGGGGGACTTGAGAACAGCTTGCCTTGATCCCGATTTGTTGAACTAGGTCTCGAAGAGCTTGTTGCGCCTTGTCTTGTGGCCCAGTCGCCTCGAACTTGAAGTATCCACTAGGAGCTGGAGCCAACGAAACTTGAGCGCGTGACTTGCGGTTGATATCCTTAAGGATATCTTGGAGGGGACGCTTAAGCTGGGTGCGAGGCAGAACATGGCGTGCCTCTAAGAGGAACGTTTCAACGTTGCGACCGGGTATCGAGACAGGCGGAGGAACCCCAGTAGGCGTGGAGACACCCGAAGCTGGAGTAGAAGTTCGAGGAGTACCATTGGTTGACCATGATGTCCCGTTTGTCTTGCCATTCGCACCACCCCAAATAGGAGAGATATTGGACTTGGAAGCAGCAGCTGTCTTTGGGACACCAAGTTCAGGGAAGGCCTCATGCGATTGGGTGTCAAGAGGACCCGATTCCTTCGCAGGCTGCTTCCCGGATGCCTTAGCAGAGGGAGTCTGACCCCAAGATGCCTTTTCGGCGGAATCGGAAGCCGAAGGAGACTTCAACTCCTCATCAGGAACATCCTCAACAGTCACATGGTGGAGAGGGTTTTCAGCATGCTTTTGAAGAAGTCTTGCGGCAGCAGAACCCTCAGCATTGTTGACCTCGGATGCCATTTCGTATAAAGACAGACGGTGAACGTATTCGATGAATAGGTGTAGTGGAAAGTTGAATTAATGCTCGTAGCTTATATATAGATCTTGAAGCTGATTACAATTCGTCAGTTACATGTTATAAATAATTAGATTACACAAGGTGGCCGTTGCAGAAGATGGAAAATAAAATGGGTATATCTCACTAATCTATATATCTAAGACACCTGTGGAACGGAAGATTCGACGATGAGGAAGAATGCTTCGAGAAACAGGAATAGAAATAGGAACAGGTAATGGCAGGGCCAATTGGAAGAATCACACGTTGAGAGTAATACCGAGACTGCAGACGACGAGAGAGATGATGGAGCTGATCGACTAGAGGAAACTAGAACATGATGCACGAGTAGTAGGGTTGACTTTTTCTGTATATCGATAAAAGGGTAGCTGTAGCTGATAGGAAAGGGGAGAGTGTATATAGTAGTAGGTGATTGATTAACAGAGAAAATCCGCCGGAGTATATAAGAATCACGAAAGATTTTCGAATTTGGAAAATCAAATTCGAAGAGGCGGAATGGCAAGCTTTGCGAGGTAGGTGATGCTAACAACACGACGTAAAGGCGTAAAGGGTGAGGTGGAAGTTTACTGGTCGAAAGTTCTTAGCCAACAATTCTAAAAGTCGATTTTTATTGATCCGAAGCAAATGCCAGGTGGAAGTCCCTTCCGAGTTGAAGACTGCATGTACGCCTGCATACATGTACAATCACACTTACTTTTCTACTGCAAAGTACTTCGCTAAGCAAAATTGAACTAAAAAAAATAGTCAGCGAACTCAATGCGAATCCCCGCTCTATAGCCCCACCTAACCCACACTTGCCTGATGGGTACCCTTCCTTCATGGATAATTCAGCCTTAGCCCCAAATTGTGGCGTTAGAGCTCGTGCCACCAATCAATAGCTCAAGCCACAACCCACCGAATCAACTAGATTGTTCCTGGAGAATCTAAGGAGCTAAAAAGCCACGACTCTTCACAATCTTTGCGACCCCTTATCCCAGCTCTGTATCTTTCTGCATTTTGCGTACAGCAATGAGCATGCACTTCCTACCTGCCATATACTCAAAGAACCATTTACCAACATCTAAGAGAATGAGGATAAAGGTATACATGTTCTCTGTATCGAACCGCCTCCTCTTGTTAGCAGCTCGTATGCCTGGATATGTTAATAGCACTATTACAACATAGCCTAGACAAATTCCGTGTCCTGTGCTGGTAGTAGTGACGGGAAATCTATCGTATAAATACCTAGCTTGCGACAGAGGGTGTTCAATCTGCTGGATATCGTCAAAGTAATCTAGTAGACAATTCCTAGGATGAAGAGCTCGTGGGTGGAGGATATTCTCCAGCGAAGATAAGGACCACCATTGGCGCGCTCTGCTCTAACACTTGTTTTAAATAGAAGCGTGAACATTCGATTACCCAAGATGTCCGTTTTCGAATAAGCAATGTTTGGCATAGATTGATGTGTCATGCATTTGATCGACGTGTGTTGATGTAGGTATCCTCAGCCTATCAACAACAGTCACGAAGGGTTCAACATGCACCTTTCCGGTTGTGCGTGCCTCTATCACTCTCTCAATATTCCAATGCCTGTGATCATGGCATGTTGAACGGAAATTTCGGACTTGTAGCCATAATAAGTCCACGTGGACGTGACCGGCAATTTGCCTGTGATGATGGTTAGCGGCAAAGCCATGGCGTAGTTATGACTAGGAAAATCCATGAGTATCAGCACAACACACCAGCACACCTGCGTATGCTAGGAGCATCGTCTTGCTCTATTTAACGGATTTAATTTTCTGCCGTCAAGCTAATGGTAACGAGATGAGTTCTATGTAGTCTTGCTTGATTTTAGTATATACTGCGATAGGTAGGTACCATGTATGAAGAGAACCTTAATAACTACCTAGGTAAAAGTCTGATGAAATAGAGAAATCGTGAAACATTCTGAATATTACCTACCTAGGTAGGTAGATAATTATTCGAGTGAGGCTGAAACCGTCAAAATTTTCCGGATATCGGGGAGAAACTATAAGTAAAGTGACGTGTCGTGACCCGTGGCCTGTGACGGGTAGATTTGTAAGATGAATCTTGATTTTACTACGGCATCACCCTTAAAACATGCAGGAGACGTTGATAATTAAACTCACTTTGAAAGGTATTCGATCCATAAACTAGGAAGAAAGCTAGAATTAACTAGATCTACTAGATGAAGGGTGTAGGAACTATCTTTCACGATGATGGCCTAAGAGCCAATCAAATCCGGCAACCTAACATGGCGTGTTTATCGGAAGGACATGACTAGCGGTTAGGAGGCTCTGGATCGGAGTGGGGACAGAACCTAGGCGTCAAACGTAACTATTGTTGTCAAGGATAAATGGCGAGCAAATATCCTCCAACGAACCCGTTTCTATTTCATCGGACTGAATCTCATTCAATTTCCTGGGAGATCTGATATCTTAAACTTAGTGAAACAGGACCACCGGACTACCTATCGATTACATAGGTAGGCAAATGTAGGCAGATTTAAAGATACGGGGAAGAAGTTGAGAGAGCTTTCTTCCACACCCCCTGAGTTCGTCATTTTAGACGACAGGTGACGGATAAAGCAACTCATAACAGAACGAATTTCTTGAATATCGATCCATCAGTTGCCACTTTCCAATTGACCCTGTAAGTAATAAGTTATTAGTACAATGCGAGGTCCATGTGAGATCCGATTCGATAGATACGTAAATAGTATTCCGCGTGATACTAGATAATAGTTAAAACTTTAGCGGACGGACATTCCATCGTGGCGAGGTCCTAAGAAGCTCTAACGGGAGCTTTGACAATGATAAATCACAGGAACAGCGGGAACCCTGAGCAGTGCGTAATAATCCTTGGACATACCCCACAGGTAATTCGCACGTATGCAACGCCGCCGAACTCATATCACGACAATGAAGAAAAAGTCGTTCTAGAATTGGACAACCAAGACAAAACAAGAATGAACAAAGATAAAATCAACAAGGACTAACACGAGATTCTCGAACTAAGAACCACTTTTAAAGAGGTTATCGTTAGATCCCACGCACCACGAAGCCAAGCAAGTCCGGTCACCCTCTCCAACGGGCCGGTCAGTTAGCTGCAGCAGAAATCCGCATACGACAACCAACCCTTTGGTACTATCTGCATACATACCTGAGTAGTATACAGATAGTTCGATATTATCAATCTAGTAACCTATGAGCTAGACGATTGTGAGCATTAAGAAACGGACTAAACCTGTAGCATAACAAGTAATTAGACATCTGTAAATCAAGTCCACGTTGCGAGTCTGCGAGTATCATCTTTTACTCTCCTCGCAACATGAAAAGTCTCGAGCTCGTATCAATTATTCCTCAATTTTTCATGGATGTGTTATCGAGGTGGGTATACAGTATAGAGACTGTGATTAAAATGCATCTACCAATCGCAGTGGGAGATGGTGTAGAATTGAGCGAATAAGCAGCCATTGTATAGCCACTATCTCCATAAGCCACACTGTCCCCGCACGTTGCCGACAGTCTACCCGGGCAAGTACTAAAGTACATGGATACATATCCCCATGTATTTTATGTACAATGCGTACCTGCCTACGTTCCTCTATCGCGATATGTACCTATCTTCCCCTCCAGCCGATTCATATGGTACCTCATCAGGTACCTCGTCATAATTGTAAAGAACGAAGAACGAATAGTGATTGTAGAAGGCACAGCAAGCTTGCACTGGACTTAATATTAAGTAAATATAGTGGATGTTAAGTAGCGTATAACGAAGCCGTTTCCTTTTTATTCTTTCCATCCTAGTTCTAGCCTCTATCTTTTTTTCATCATTTTCTCTATACCACTACTACATACGCACCCCCCCTTCTCCCATTTGGTCATTTAGTTCCGACCTTGCCCATTAATGGAATAAATCAAGTCGTTTTCCCTGGGTCAAAAGTGGTAAAAGTGGTAAACGAAGGATACCTGGGTAGATTAGCAGGTTGGCGGATTGGTGGATTGGTAGAAAAATACTAGAGGTAGGCAATGAATGTCCCTATGATAACACCTAACCAGAAGACGGGGAAAATAGAAGCATTCGTAATTAAAAACGAACGTGGAAAGAATAAAAACAAAACACCCTACCTGCGACTACATACATACAACTTGAACACCCCTCTCCCACCACTACCAACACTCCTCTACCGTCTCGTTCAATGTCGGGTGTTTTCTAGTTCTCGTCAGCCCGTGGTTTCATCATTCGACCCATTCATTCTGATTTTTTAATTGTCACTAAAAAAAAATCACCGCCGCCCCCCCTCTCCAAAAAAAATAAGCAAGAACTAAAACTCTGTTTTTCTCTTACCCCCAGTACCGACAGGATTGTACCTACCTTAAAGGTAGAGATGGACAGCCACAGTGCTAACCCAAATGTTAATCTGCAGCAGCAACTACAGCAACAACAGCAACAACAACGCCGTAACAGACTGACTAAGAAACCTCCATCTCAACATCACAACCATAGTCATAGTCGGGGGCATAGTTTCTCACTCACCGCTGATGGTCGCTTTGACGCCCAATCCATTCAGAGCAAACGGAGCTCCACGAGTCTGAGGCGAGCTCCAAGCGCTCCCCACAGAACTCCCGCTGCCGCTGCCGCCGCCGCTGGTATTGGTGCTGGCATTGGCGTTGGTACAGCCACTACCGCTTCCGCTTCCATTAACACAAATTATAACACCATTAACAAAACCACCACTACCACCACAACCACCACAACGCCTAACGTTCCAGTTAACGTGGGCATTAACAACGCGTCGAACTCCTCCGCACCATTGCCATTACAATCACCCCGTCATCTACAATCCGTCTCTACTAACAATAATTATAACAATTACAATAATTACAACAACGATTATACCACCCACTCTTCGCCAATACTATCTCCCGCTCAATTTTTGCCCTCCACATTTTCGACTCCTCATCACCTAGCCTCGTCTTCACCCACGCATTCCCCCTCCAGCAGTGTATTCCCTGTCGTCTCTTCTAACGGTCCCCGAATTGGACCTGGTGCTAGTAAAGGAATAGGAATAGGTATTGGGAAATCGAAGCCACGAGACCAGCGTTTGTCCGATCCTCATATTCTTTCGCCCCTCTCTTCACAGACGCCTGAAGAATTTGTCGGTGCGCCCTTTGACGGCAACTTCATCCTAAACCACTTTGAGGCTACCAAGTCGCCGACATACCAGTATTCCTCCACCCATCCTCATACTCCTACCCACAACCCTAACCGTCCCGCACCACCCCCACCATCGAATTCGAGTCCCGACCCACGTGTAATGAGTCCTCCTCTACGACAATCCGCTAGCTTTTCCGCTCTCGACGCCATCAACATGTCGGAGAAGTCCCATGGCGCGCGCATCAACGAGAACCAAGTCGTCCCTCCAAAACGATACTCGGATGAGGGTAAAGAACTGAAGGGGCCTGGCGTATTAAGAAAGAAATCAGGCTTCTCGGGTCTCATGAGTACATTGGTGGGGTCGCAAAAAAAGCCTGTTATATCCGCACCCGAGAATCCCGTTCATGTCACCCACGTCGGTTATGATAGTTCTACTGGCCAATTTACTGTTAGTTTCGCTCGAGCTGGCTTCATCGCTAGGCCATGTATGGATTGTTACTAACTATGTTTGTAGGGTTTGCCAAAGGAATGGCAACGTTTAATCAACGAGAGTGGTATTCCAGAGAATGCTCGAAGGGAAAACCCACAGATGATCGCCGACATCGTCACCTTTTACAAGGAAACTACAGAGAAACCACATGAAGATCAAGTGTTAGAGAAATTCCATGATGTTAGAGCTCAGGAGCTGCGCGCCCCCTCTGGTGGAATGGCAACATCCCCCGGCATGTATGCATCAAACTATGCGGGTATGTCACCTATGATTAGTCCACCAGCAAGTCCGAGATTTCCAATCGTGAATAATGAAGGCACCTTCGAGAATCCCCGAGCCCCTCCTCCCGTACCCGTCCCTGGGAAGAGTCCCGCACTGCACTCCCTCAAGGATCATCCCAACTTGCAGCCCAGTCGACCCGCGCCGAAACCCCCCGTCTCTTTGCAGACGCGAGCTGCACAGCAATCGCCTTACGCTACCAAGGACTCGGGCATTGGCATGGCGCAAGCAGGCGAAGATATGCACTCGCCTCTTACCCACACCCAGTCACTGAAGGATAGTGTTCCCATGCTCCCCGAAGAGCACCGATCGAGATCGAATTCGCGAGTAAATGGAAATCAACCACATACCCCAGTCAGCCAACAATTACCTACTCAGACATTGTATCAGCAGCAATTGATGCAGCATCAACAGGAGCAGGCAATGGCCCAAGCCCAGGCCGCCATGAAGGGCCAACTAGGTAGATCTGCAAGCACCAAGCAACCCCTGACCCAGCCGATGCCGCCAAGTTCGCAACACCCCATCAACCGTCCGCCAGAGGCCAATGGTGTAGGCGGCGCCGGTCATCCAGCTCGCGCCGGTCCTCCAGCACAGCAATCGCGTCCCCGCCAGAGGGCACGACAGAGCAGCAGCATAGATGTTGCAGCTGCTTTGAAGCGCATCTGCTCTGAGGGCGATCCCCGCGAACTCTACCGTGGTTTCAATAAGATCGGACAAGGCGCTTCTGGGGGTGTATACACCGGCCATGAACGAGGATCGAACCGACTCGTAGCTATTAAACAGATGAACCTTGAGCAACAGCCAAAGAAAGACCTTATCATCAACGAGATTCTAGTTATGAAGGAGAGTTCACACCCAAACATCGTTAACTTCATAGATAGCTACTTGTGTGGCGGCGAGCTATGGGTTATTATGGAATACATGGAAGGGGGCAGCTTAACTGATGTGGTAACTTTCAACATAATGACGGAGGGGCAGATAGCGTCTGTCTGCAGAGAAACCTTGAAAGGTCTACAACATCTACATTCTAAAGGTGTTATACACAGGGATATCAAGTCTGACAACATCCTACTTTCGTTGGATGGTAATATCAAGCTCAGTAAGCCACATTTCTCCAAATTTCTTGGTCTAAATTGTAACCTAATATCTCTCCTTAGCCGATTTCGGGTTTTGTGCACAGATCAACGAGGCGCATAACAAGCGTACTACGATGGTTGGAACCCCGTATTGGATGGCGCCAGAGGTTGTGACAAGAAAAGAGTATGGAAGGAAAGTCGATATATGGTCTCTGGGCATCATGGCAATCGAAATGATCGAGGGCGAGCCACCATATCTTACAGAATCACCTCTACGGGCATTATGGTTAATTGCCACCAACGGTACACCTCAGATTAAGGAGGAGCATAATTTATCTGCAGTATTCCGAGATTTCCTGTACTTTGCCCTCAAGGTAGACCCGGAGAAACGTGCGAGCGCGCACGATTTGCTGAGGGTATGTGTCCTCCCCCACCCTTTAACTTTAATACAGGGCCTTTTGGTGACTGATCTTCCTATAGCACGACTTTATGAAGACATGTGTTGACCTGGCGTCTTTATCTCCACTTGTCAAAGCTGCCAGAGAAGCTCGACTAGAGGAGAAGGCCAGTAAAGGCCAATGAGGTAACCCGCCAACCCAACGGTGTTAGGGCGTTCTTTATTTTTCCTTTTTAGGAGACGTTTTGGAGAAGTTGGAATAATTCGACGTACTCGACTCTAGAGGGATTGAATAAGTACAACTACGACTATCCTGAAGCTCAGGAGTACATCTTGCGAAACCTTAGCTGTTTTGCGATATCTCTGGCCATAGGGATGACTACGTTATTTCCCGAGTCCACGTGGAAGTTATGTGAAGGATACTAGAGGGGAGATGTTGGGCGGCAGGTGATCGGGGTTTCGATATCATCCCTTGGAGAGGCCGCCCTTAACTACTTTTGTACATAGAGAGACGATACCACCACCACTATCACCACCCTCTTCCTTTGGACGAATTAACTTCTCCATTGGACACTAGAGATGAGAGCTAGACGATACGGACTGTATGTCCTCGATGATATGGCATGTCTGAACGAATGCCTTAATACGAAGGACATTTGCGCGCGCGAAAAAACTTATCGGTTCTGATGATTTGCTCGAGGCAGATAATGCTTTGAAACATGTGCCCTGGTGATTGTACTCATCCAAGCTGTTTTCGCACCGGCGAGATGTGATTCGTATAGTGAGGCTAAGTACCTAGTATCTGGAGAAAACGAGATGGCTTAATTCGGATCCCGTAGACCAGTCATGTTCCCCTATATTAAGTAGTACAGTCTAATAATAGAAAGAATAGGGTTCTTCGTCTGGGGTAGCTTGTGTAAGTGACGGATAGCTAGCTAAAGCAAACCTCCTCATCCATGTAAGGGAAGGAAAGGTCGTTCGACACGAGTTTCTAGATACCCGGTAAGGGGTGGGAAACCGCGCCGTCGGCCGTTGATTCTCCGTATGGGCGAGTTGGGTCGGGGGTCGGTAGATGCGATCTGGATGTGATGTAAGTGCGGGATCTAGTTTGATGTAGAAAGGGGGAGGGGATAAAGCTTGTAGTCTTAATTTGTAGCCGTTGTTTTAGCTTAGACGTTATTCTTACCTTACGCGCGTGTATCTAGACGAATAGGGAGCGGAAGTACTAACGTGGGTAGGTAGACAGATACCTAATAGCTAGGTAATCAAGAAGCCCAGCTACGTCAGATTGAGGTAGGTAAGCAAGATCTCTATATCTCAAGAGCCAATTCAAACTGTAGCCTACCTAGTAGGTAGGTACCTAGGTAGGTAGAATTTGTATCGAGATTCAGAGGCCATTATTATCCGGCTTTACTTCTATGACATACAACCTCATACACGCACACAAATCAAACTGTGGGCCAAAATTCGTGATAGAAGAGGAAGGTGTACTTTCTCAATTCGTACCTCCGCGCCGCATCGAAGCAGGCGCCGAAGAGGGTCAGTCATATCCCAACCCCGTAACCCCTCCGCAGTCAAACCCGGGGAACTATCCCACCTGAGGGTAGTTGTAGTGTCTAATCTCTAGATCGAATCTTAAAATTTTTTGTATCCCCTTTTTTGTTCATAAAAAAGACATCGTAGATTCTTTCTTTCCCCTCTTATGATGAAGACATCTGGTATCAACCCCCGTTTTTCCCGCTATGTCTCTTCCGTAGTTCTGAACATGACTCCATATCCTGAATGATTAAGTACGTTAGAGTAGGAAAGAACCAAAAGTAGAAATCAAATCTATGCCGCGCGCGTTAATCTGCATCATCCCGCAAAACGTTAAACCTCAATAAAAAAAAAAGACCATATTTATTTAGGGGATCCCACCCGTGAGACCCGCCGTAGAACCTAACCTAACCACGTCCGTTCGCGATGTACATAGAGTTATCCGGTTTCCGGATAGGTGCGTAGGTGTGTTAGGGGTAGATGATGTGCGACACATTCGTTAGCGATCAGTGACGAGGTTGGTTGAACGGAAAAAAGGCTCGGTGAGGAGGTATCCCGCATGCACGTATGTATGTCGGTATGTGATGTGGGTGTTCAGGATATTTTGGGAACAATATCAATTAAAACTCCTCGCAATGCCACAACGCAACGTAACCACACTCGAGGGCTGTGTCGCGGCCCCCCGCATCGGATGAGACACATAATTCGACTGCCCTCGACCCCAATACCTAGCTAGTGCTGCCACGTAGTACGCAAAACTCCGGCTAAAGGGCCAGAGCCGCAATACTGTGCACACACCATGCCGTCAACTGGTTGTTTCGACATACTTCGTCGAAATGAAAAGCAGTTAGGCACTGGCTAACTTAGTAGCAAGTGTAACCACCGTCGATGGCGACGTTGGCACCGGTCATGAAACCGCTAGCATCGCTAGCAAGGAAAACACAGAGACCGTTGAGGTCATCGACGTTGCCAAGGCGGGCCTGAGGCGTCAAAGAGCGCCAGATCTTCTTCTGGGCCTCGAGGGCTGGAACACGGTTAAGGGCAGTGTCCATGTAACCGGGAGAAATACAGTTGACCCGGATGTTGTACTTGGCCCATTCGGCGGCAAGCGACTTTCCGAACTGGATCACACCAGCCTTGGAGGCGTTATAGCAAGATTGTTCCTGAGGATAGTTGACGATACTACCGCTCATGCTAGCAACAAGAACAATAGATCCGGGCTTGCCGGCAGCCATCATAGCTCGCCCAACAGACTGGCTCATCAAGAACGAACCGGTCAAGTTGATATCGATCAAGCGACGGAACATGGCTGGGTCGTAAGTCTCAGCCTTAATATTGGAATCGGCGATACCGGCACTGTTGATCAACACGTCGGGTGCGCCATAAGTCTCGACAACGGCATCTACGGCAGCGTTGATGGCGGCACCGTCACGAACATCGACCTTGAAGAAGGAAACGGGAAGTTGGGTCTTCTGGTGAAGCTCAGCAGCCGCCTCGTCTCCTAATTCTTGGTTGGCATCGAAGATCACCAGGGCCTTAGCACCAGCTTCAGCACATGCACGGGCCATGTGGTTTCCGAGACCTCGAGCTCCTCTGTTGAGAAATCGTCAGCAGCGTTTCAGAATAGCATTGATGTGTAACGAGTTCGACTTACCCAGTGACAATCACAACCTTATCCATTATGCTCATCTTCTGCATCGTGGGAGGCATTGAGCGGTAGACGGTCTTGTTGAGAGGGGTGACCTCGGTGTCCTCCGGAGGAGGGAAGGGCTTCGGCTTCGCATCGTCGCGGTTCACGGGGATACTGAAATGATCGCTGGTCGAACCGGCAGTGCCGGTGGAATCTGGAGAGTAGACGGAGACGGGAACTTCGGTCTCGCGTACGACGTCGCTTCTAGAACGAACAGAGGTTTGGCTGAGTGCCCGTTGGGCTGCGGGGAATGCTCTGGGGAGAGAAGAAGATACGCGGGATCGGGAGATTAGAGGAGCAGCAGCTCTGGTAAGGCGAAGTGCTGCGCGACCAGACATTATTGCGGTTGTATGTGGGATGTACGTAAGAAATCAAGGTGTAATATAAGTAGAAAAGTAAGTCTAGTAAGTCTAGTAGTAAGGTAAGTCTGGGTCTATTCGGGTAGGAAGTGTCTAGAAATTGTTGTGCGGGTTTAAGTTTGTGATTTGTGGTTTGTGGTTTGCGAGTAATTCGTCAAGGTTTATCGGAAAGCTCTATCAATCAGCAACCAAGCGGCGAGCAACCTTTTATCGGTTGGGGGCAGAAAGCAAACTGGACCAAGCTGGATCAAGCTGGTCAAAACTGGCCAAAACTGGTGCCAATTTTATGGAATTATCAGGGGATGACAGGTGAAAAGAATCCGAAATCGGGGGTAGCGCCGTAAGAGAAATCAGAAATCCCAAAATCCCAATTTTCCAAGGGTTGGCAGGTTGGGTTGTGTGAGATTTTGAGGTCACAAGACGTTCTTCTGTTTAATTGGATTGTTGAAAGTCGGGTTGGCGTCTAGACGGGTATCCAGTATCCAGAATCGTGGGTATCGCGAAACTAGTCTTGTTAGACCGAATTCACTCAGATAATGTTCGTGCTCTGTGCTCCGTGCTCTCGAGCTTAATAAAGATTCGTCTGACCGTCCGCGTAGGCGACTAGGGGTCTTGACAGTATGTAATACGTGTGGGGTGTCTAAACTGTCTCTCGAATTGTTTCAACGAAGCTATTCGACAAGGGTACAATAAAATGTAATGAGAATTTCCAATATGAGCTATGGAAATTCGGAGTAAGACGACAACGACGGTTGACGATGGGATAAAAAAGAATCTAATTGCCAATAGAATAAGAAGAAACAAAAAAGTAACAGTAGCTGAAAGCGATGGATAGCGAGAGAAGAGATCCTTTTCTACTTGTTCGCCATCGCTTATTATTCCCTTCCCTCAACAAATTGTGGATTTTCTTTTCTGACACTTGTCAGGACTTGCAGCCCTCTTTTTCCCTACTTTGCAACACGCTCTGCACTTTGCAGATGAGAGAATGGGTTCAGGGCTACCTAGGTCAGCAGCTAACGATAGCTATTTGCTCCCATCGCTCTAGATCCAGTTGATTAAACTTTCCTAGGTTCGCTAACTCCGAGATACCGTAACGGACTACAAGTAGAAGTGACGTCAAGATAGGTCGACAGCCGCCCAACAATGGTAGTAGAGATACATTCTATACCGTATTCGATACATGATGTAGAGCTATTTACGGGAGTGCCGTGCGTACGGTAGGTCTGGAAGTTTGACGGTGTGTAATATTTGCGCCATCCGTCTCAAATCTATGTACCTTCCTTAGTACACAGATCCCTTAGGGCTTGCCAAGTGTTGGATCTGCTTCTAAGACCGTTACTGCCACTACCGTTACTATGTACCTACTGTTACTACCGCCGCTACCTACATATAAACATGTACGGTCAGAATGTGAGCGATAGCGAGGAGAAGGAGGATGATGATAGTGGCGGATAGCTAGAAAATCTTTCTTGAATTTGTCGATCAAGGGTAGCTATGTGGTAGCCAAGGTAGCTTTGTTGGCCTGTAAGTACATGAATTATGCAGCGCTATGCAGTAGCTATCCCATGGACCCTAGCCCACCATTAACAACCATTAAACCCTAGCAAACTGCCAAGCGAATGCCTAGTCGAAGCCAAGCCGCCCTATAAAACCGAGCCGACGGGGACAAAATTAGATAATAACGGGGTTATGGGTCCGGCATGCAGCCGAATGGATGCGGGTCTCCATTTAGCTTGATTTTAGCTTTTAGCTCCCTGTCTAGAGTCTTCCAGCTTTGTTCTTTAGAATTTCGAAACTAACCTTATTCAACTTTCATCATGGCAAGAACACGAGTAATGAGTGAATATCGATTTTATCCTTGTAGATATGTATATAGTGCAACTTCATTACTACTACTAGGTATGTACTAGGTATGAGACGAACTAGTTTGTTATTCAGCAGGAGGCTCTTGATGTCGAGGATTTGAGCGTGGGGGGTTTCAACTGTTTTGTAGTAATACCTACCTATTTACATACCCAGGTACATACCTACTTACAGCTGAATCCCCTTCCTAATCCCGTTAGATATCAACAAGACTAACAGGTACCTGAACAATTACCCCTATTTACCATCCAGACTTGTCTTCTTAAGAAGGTAATTATCTAGAGATTACGATGTTTACAACTCACCTGAACTTAGAAGGCTTGAACATATTAACTCATCTGAGTATTCGATAACGTCTATCTTTAACAGACATCAGATAATCAGGAAACTCCCGATGCGGTACGGGTATACCTACCTAATAAGTGATTTGGCGTTTGAACGGCGTTCTGAAACTGTTCCTACGCAAGCCAGCTTGCATTTTGCGGGGATAAAAGTGCCTGTTCGTACCTGCGGCTTATATCTTTCGGTGTCATGTGACGGAAATGGTATATAAATATATTGATGCTAAGAAGTAAGTAAGAATGGGGTAGGGCCACACCGCCGGAATGTTCACGATATTTTTGACCAGAGCTAGAATCAATATGTTTTCCGGGGTTGCCCCAGCAAGGGTACCTGATGCGGAGCGGAGATTATGCGTCAAATATACCTCAGATCCGTGGGGTCCAATCACTCCTGTCACTCTTGTCACTCCGTATCGGTGAGCTCTCGATCACTAGGAGCGGGAAAAATAAAAGAAGGGGAGAGAGAAACATCGTGAGATTTCGCCTGGTTACCTACCTAGACCCTCGGGCTCTCGGTGGTCGTATTCAGACGAGATTAATCTATCCCCTAACCCCTAAAAAAGATGTCCAGGTGACCAAAATCCCCCACACTCCCACGTCTCAAGACCTAACTATCATCCGAGAGGCATTTCATTGACAATAGTGCCGCGTAATGTTGAAAATATTATAATCATGTGTTGGATTGTTGAGGTGAAAGAAAACGAAGCAAGCACCGAGATTCCGTTAGTTAAGGGTTAGATAGGGGTTGATTACCTAGTAGGTAGGTGTGTACTAGAATGTCCACGCTATTCTCGGATTACACAAGCACGTTGCACCATCTTATCAATCAACCAAAACCTTGGAAGAGCTACGTGACTGCGTGATTCTGGTCTCATGTACGACATAATAACACATTTCGAATTAAGCTTAAGGAACCACAGTAATAAACGGCGATCAGCGAATTCTGATGTCGAATACATATGTTCTGTGTGTTAAATACTCCGATTTGCGGCTCTGTCCATCTCAATCGAACCTTGCAGCCTCGCCCCCGTAAAAAGTTGTAGATGAGATCCATGATCTATTTACCTACTCACATAAAATATTACACTATGTCCTGTATTACGCGCGTCTCCTAAAGAATGCAGCCAAGATACCTACTTATGTACCTATAAGTGGATTAATTACCATAGGAAAACTCGACGCCGACCCAGCTTAGAATGGAAAGATTCGCCCACAGCTCTTTACAGTTGTAAGGGAGGTGTTTGACCTGTTTTACCATCCTATAGTAATCCTAGAAGATGCCTAGACCGTGATGCCGGGTGCGTGGGATGTAGTATGCAATACTCCATTTAAAATACTGCCTGCCGACTACAACTACTAAGCGTAGGCAGCTAGGCACTTTAATATAGGGCATTCGCGGATCTACGTAGAAGCTAACGCATAACTTTAGTGCCTAGTATATGCCGTAGTACAGTAATAGCGCATAAGTATAATGGGGATATGGCGGACTTTTGTGGGTTTCCGTTACGGCAAGAGCTTCAAAACGGTACTATAGTACAGGCAATTGCGCAGGCTGGCAGGCAGGCACAGGCAGGCAAGGAAGGTAAGATCCCCGCGGATCCCATCTTGTGGGTATCTGTGGGGAAACTTAGCAGCCAGCCAATATGGAAAGAATGAGATCAGTTATAGACATGTACCCAAGTACATCATTAAAAAAGGACAGACTTGACGAGTCTGACTAGGCATTTTAGTAGACACACAGCAAGGAAATCCCGAGATGCGAGATTCAAAACTCATCCCAGCTTCCAGGCGGTGTACGGGTGGGCGTGTGGACCTCCGACCGGTCGCGGTGATGTTACCGAACTTGCGTTGGCGAAATGCACCAGCGTTCAACTCGCAGAGTCGATCTCTGACGGAATTCACGGAGGCTGGGAGGCGATTTTCAATTTTTAACAAGTCGTCGATGTCGATGGCAAGTTAGCACATGCGACGAAGCTTATTTATCCACCACATACGGGTATGGATACCTCCTATCTACCAGCCTACCTATGCCTAGCATATGTATATCTACGTAGGTGGCAGAGTGGCAGAGTAGCAGAGTGGTCACATAAATCCTCAGTCCGGGTCCACAATGATCTGCCAAGATTTATCTAGGTATTTTATCTGCGCTCCTGTCTACATACATACATGCTAGGTACTGTATCAACAGCGGCGCGGTCATCCCATCCATCCTGCCCATCTCGGATAACTGTATTCGTCTGACAGATTGTGAACCCCGAGCGGAACTGGGGATACCCGCCAAGTTGGCGTCTGTTAGTATAAAAAAAAGAAAAAGGAATACGAGCATATCTCTCAGGTCAATAAAAAATAAGAAGTTACTAAGGAGGAAACACAGCAAGCTGACTCTTTGATAGGGTTCTTCTTTTTCTAAACCCCCACCACCATGAAGCACATCCATCACATACCTACATACCTACCTACATACATCCTTCACGATACTCGTGAGCATGGTACGAACTGTACGCCGCGAAGTTGCTGATCCCTTAAATCTAGGATTGGTATGTCCTACCGATTATGCTTACCGAAGGCCCCCCTCCTTTAGGTACGATTATGTTACTTCTCGTGTGTTCCAAACTCTCGCTACTTTACAGGTAGGTGTGGTTAAGGATTTCGGTCTTTCGCTGGAACTGAGGTATTACTCTTACAACCTAGGTAATTGCCAAGTATACCTAGTCTTGTATCTTTCGAGCATGATCGGGTCTGAGTCAGAAGATAATATCTGCAATCAATTCTTGTTCATCTCAACATCGCAGATGACTTTCTAGCGACGGGAAGAACCTTACTAGTTGATGTAGAATAAAGTGATAAGCTTTGCGAGCCCGAATCGGAAGCCTACCGTACTCGGTCTCTCACCCTAGGTCGTTGCCTCTTCCGACGTCCGCCCCGTATTCCACCCCCTGCCAATTCGGTTCTCCTTGCATAGGTGGACTACCAGCGCAACACCATCTAGCCATTCCGATCGTGTCGGCGCCGCCCCTACGTCGTCATAACTATCATCGGGTAAGATCAGCGCGTTACGTCGAGTGCCGTCCCGCTGCTTCTGCTGCAAGCTGCCGAGCGCGATCAGCCCACAATCCGAATTGGCTCCGCCTCAAGACTTCATCCTTGCACACCATGTCCCACCGGGACAAATCCCGGTCCCAAGTTCTCGGTATCCATTCAAGCCTATAATTTTCACCGCTCTCTTCTGATGGCTGTATGGGACCGAAGTTATCCATATAAAAAGTTTCTGCTCCCGTTTGCATACCTAGTTGTATTTGAAATCGAATAGTAAAGAGCGGTGACTGCCTATTACAATAGCTCTCACATTGCTGTACGATAAATCAAGCTGCTTCTCAGTTACTAAATATTGTGCCTTCTGTTAAAAAATTCAAACAGAGGTAGGTACCTACCTAATTATAGGTCAATATCCCTCTAATCCAAGACGTGAGGATAACATTTATGATTATTCGGGCTCAACTGGACTTTGTTCCAGTGTTTCTTGGTTGTAAAAACATGAGACTCGTTTGTGCCTCACTTGTGTGACTACCATGGGGGACGCACCCACGGGCCACCCCCCCACGGGCCACCCCATCTCCCACCAAAACACCTTATCTTTGAATATTCATATTTAAATCAATAAAATATATAGGATTATATGAATAAAACTAATCGAAAGATCTTTGGAAGCTGAATCAGAATATATATTAACTTATATATACGGCTGTTCCAATGGCGAGAAAATTGGGATCAAAGTAATATCTTGTATAATTTGCCTAATAGTTCACTAATTCTCAAAATTTTAGCGCTTAAATTAGGGACCTTTCCCCCTAAAACCCTTGGCCAGACCCCTAGGAATCTAATCTCCTTCGATCTTATTATTATGATCATATTTAATGTTTATAAGACTTCGTAGTAGAAGCCTAAAGCCGATTAAGTAGTAGTTGTTTTTATCTTGAAGGCGTACGGGTTGCTTGAGGGTAGGCCAGCTTTTGATCCGAGCTCTTGAAGTTCGAGGAAGAGCAATATATACTCAAGCTTATATATAGATAACAACGCTATCTCTAATAATATAGATTATATCAATAGATACCCGATGCTTAGTATATTATACTACTAAATTATCTAATTATAATAGTCTTTATACGTTGTATAATGGGTTAAAGTTTTCGCTAGGGTAAAAATCTGGGAAAATTTAGGAAATCGCTTTTTGGTCCATTATTTCGTAACTCCATAACTCCTTTGAATGTAATCCTATAAATTACAAAAAAGTATCACCATGTAGCCCGCCTTCGAAACTACATATCTACAAAGTATTATCAAAATTGATTCAATAGTGATAGAACCTGGTGTAAGTGAAAACAAGGTGTTTTGGTGAGAGATGGGGTGGCCCGTGAGGGGGTGGCCCGTGGGTGCGTCCCCCATGGTATGGCATACATCATCCCATATCAAATACGACTCATATTTATAGGTAGGTGTCTAAGCTCCAGGTAATCAGCACTTCATTTCTGTAGAATCAGGCACATCAGTTCTCATTGTTTACTACCTAGGTACCTAGCTAAGTCGAGCTTTTTCCGATTACCCCTATAATATCGTATGAGGCACTTACCACTGTTACCCCATGACCTCTAGAGGACTTTATTTGTTATTTTAGGACTATGATGTTAGTTCCTTTTGAATGGAATATTTAACATCCGGTTCGAGGAATTAGGTTTGGCTTCACCACTTCGTCAAACATTCGGTAGTGTCACGAGGCGGAACCAAAAGACTAGGAAACAACGACGTTGTTGCGCGAGGAGCTCCTAACTACTCTCGCTATGGAGAACACGGTATACATACAGGTGAAGCTCTTTGTCTGTCCTGCTCCTAGGACTAGCGGCCAACAGGACCCTCACGGGGACTCAACGGGCCGAATCCCGATCCCATAGACCTCTAGCTACTGACCTGGAGGAAGACCGATGTCTGACAGGTAGTATCATGATGCAGCTTTGACAAGTGTTGCAATAAGACCTCTGTACCACGAGGAACTTTGCGTTCGTACCTAATAAATGATAAAAACTTAGAAGAGTTGAAAACGAATATTAAATCTATGTTGTGGGACATTTTCAGTATGATGAACGCTCATTGCCTCTGAAACCCAACAGTTTTGCAACTCGATGGCACAGGGGACTTTAGATATCTACATACTATTAACTACCCCTTCACTCGCTGCCTTCATTGAACATTAGTGAAACCATATACTCTTAAAAAGGGCCTATATACATCTTTATATATAGATTATGTTCACTATGTCGTATTTCTAGCGATATATACCTAAATCTAGGCCATCCTATCATCCTCATCACCCAGAACGTAGCCCGTCTTCATCCTACCGATAGGTACTATCACGAAACAACGCCCCTCAGCCCTCGCGGCCTAAAACCCATCTATCCAACCGTCAATAGTTGTTCGAAGAAAGCAGCCCTGTTATTCTTATTATCTCGGAGATGAATCTCCAAAATCCAATGCCTCCGATGCTTATCACTGCCAGGCGTAACCATCACCTCCTCATTCCCCTTCGTGATATACAACCTCTGTTTATCGCGTGGAATCCTCTCATGCGGGAACTGCCCGACCAGATGACCCGCCAGCCAAGCACCGAATTCCCAGCCCGCGTTCTTCGCCTCCTCGCACGCAATCTCGTATAACCTATCTCCTGTCATAGTCGTGCTCTCAACATCAAACCTCTCCTTAACCTTCCTCCAAACCGGCTCCAGCGAATCCCTTAACTTGATCTTCTCAGGATCATCCCCGAGCACAAACGTCCTCGCGAAATCGGCCTCGTACTTTTCGAAGACGGGGCCGAGATCGACGTACAGAATATCGTCTGCCTCGATCACACGATCGGGCGGGTTATCCTCGAAGGGAAGTAGGGTGTTGGGCCCGGAGCGGACTACACGCTTGTGCCAGTGGGTCCGTACGCCGTGGCGCTTCTCTCCTAGCGCGTGGATCTCGTCGCTGAGCTGCTTCTCGCTGATACCGGGGCGGATGAGCTTCTCCTCGATCTCGGCGAACAGGGAGACGGCTTTGCTCTGTGCGTCGAGGAGGTAGTTTGCGCGTTCTTGTTCCTCTTGCGCTGTGACTATCTTCTCCTCTGTCTTCACATCTGTCTTCTCCGTTTCCGTTTTCGTCTCCGTCATCGTCGTCGTTGACGTACCCATGATGTTGGGCAGCAGGCTAGTAGCGATTTGAAACATGGTGGCGTTGGAGAGAGTAGGAGATGGACGAGCGATCTGGCCAAAATCACGGCGGCTCGGGCTCCTTTAAGGGGTGGGTATCTCAGGTACGTATGATCCTACATGTTGCATACATGCGATTACTATACGCCATACGTATAGCTCGTCACTGGTTGGGCTCCTACGACCGATACAGGAAAGTCGGTTGAGGGGTAGCTCGATCGAATTGCCGGGAAACTCCTATCAGATGTAACTTATTACACAATCAAGACGAACTTAGCGTTGAGCTTACGTAGCTATCCGTGGTTCGCTTATCATATAGAATGATATATGTCCCGAAGGGCGTACATCGCTGCTATACACGTATGATATATCATATGCTGAATAGGCGGCAGTGTATTGCGTGGACCGGCAATCGGAGTTGATTATTGGCTGGCTCTTTAAATAGTACCTTATATTCCCGATGCACGTGTTGATCATTAACTGGATATATATCATGCTCATGGTATGGTAGTTTAAGGGGTTACAGTCGTATTGGTTATCATCTTAACCTTCCCACGAAACGGATACTCGATAGTATAATTATAGGCAACATGGTTGGAGTAGGTACCTTTCAATAGTAAGATGTTTATTGATATACTTCAGAAATCCCATCTATAATCGTGAATATGGTTATAAAGACATGCTCTTTTGAAATAAATTCAAATTTAGGAAATAGACTAAACCGCTATGGACTCGGGTCCTTCCGGGAAATGACTCGCCGCAATATTGCACTGCCTAAACAATCGAACCTCATCCTCGGCGAATGCACCGACAACAGAGTGAAGCAATCCCCGGTTATGGAAGAGCACGAAATCACCCTCTTCCCAGTCGTGCGCATATACCATTTTGGGCGCGATACCTGGGCGTTGCAACCGATATATGATCTCGCGGACCTTCTCTAGGTCGTCGATAATGGTCCCATCTGCGAGGTGAAGTTTCCGGGCTGGTGATGGATGCACCTGTAAGGCGAGTTTGCCCGTCACCGGATTACGCCAACACAAAGGCAAAACCTGGATCTTGTCCTCTTCGATAGGAGGAAGGTCATTTAGGGGGACTTCAAAACCCTGGGAGACCATGCCTAGCCCGGTAGGACGAGACTTAGCTTTGCTGATCCATATGTACGGGTGCGGCGCGTATTCAACCTTAGTTGTGCGCGCAAACTCCTTATCGGCCTCGGAGAGGATATCGTACATCGAATAACCGGAGACAAACGCCGTAGTGCCCAAGGGGACATCCAACTCATCGCCGGTTCCATCATCATAGCGGCAGATCTGACGGCGGCCATCCGGGACTTTAACCGCAAGCAGCGTAGTCACTATCGGAGGAGCAAGTCCGTACAGGGCAGCATCGATGTGCCAACGGTAGAAGCGGGTGAAATCGAGGTCTTCCTCATCAGGAATAGTAGTCACATGAAAGGTTTTGTGATGTGGGTGTTTGAGCTGGGCATTCTTCAAGCCTTCATACTCGGGCACAAACCCATTACCGATAACCTGCACTTGAGGTTGATGCGGAATGGTCTTGAGATCGGGATGTAAAATGCTGCGCTTCGCATCGATCGTCTTGCCATGACCGTACGAGGTTCCGGCAGGGTCGAAGCGTCGCGTTAGCTCGAATTGAGCTTTCGGCGATGTGCCGGATTGGTTCTTAAATACGATTACTTGATGGTTGAAAAGAGCATCGCGAATAACATCGAAGTCGGCATCTGACGGACTGTTAGCTATCATTTACTAAGAAGGAGGCGTAGGGCAGCTTACCAGAGGAGGTTACCGATTTTACGGGTGATCTCCCATTATGTGAAATACTTAGTTCATCACGAAATACATTGCATAGGTCTTACCAGTGAGATGTTCAACATCTGCATTATGAATAATGGCTCCAAAGTTTACGCCAGATGTCTCTGGGAATGTGAGGGGTTCTACAGTTATCTGCGACATTGCGTTGGAGTTGATATTGGTGTTATCGTTGTTGTTTGTCTGAAGCAGTTTCGATTTAATTATTAGAGTTGACAACTCGAAAATGCGAAGGTAATTGACTCCTTTAAATAATAAGGCTTGAGATAAGAATGATGATGACGCAAGGCGCTCTCCGAACGTTTGCAGCTGATAGGTAGGGCTGGCCTATATCGGAGATACACGATAACTTTCACCGGTAGAGGCCGAGTTCCGACACACTGGAATTGATTCGTTTAGGGCTACTCACCTGCGGCACTCGGTGGACACGGGATCCCGACAAGGTACTTCGTATGTGGATGTTTAAATACCAAGATACTTAGTCCCGATATCCTAAGTTCTCTGTCCCTTTTCTAATCCTTACTCACCGTCTCAATATAGCGGTGTTCTAATGAATATTTCCGGAGCTCATACGTGACCTATCTTTACGCATCACATCAGGTGCACTTCTCCTTGAAGCTATCGTAGTACGTGGAAGATGATTATTTGTACGGAACGCGTAACCCAGATCACCCACAAAAGAGATAGATACGGTTAGGTAAGCGATAGGGGAAGCTCCAGTTGCCGCCCGGCTTTTACCCATCCCCTAGTGCATCACTAGGAGGTACCTAGCTCTAAGTGTCTTCGGCGTGTATTGGAAAGATCAGACTGAAGCGACAACCTTGAAGGTGAGTGAGTGACTAACACCCAAAATTTTCTTTAGAGTTTTGAGAATATATAAGGCAAATCATATCAACTCTAAAAACCCATAATAATCAAACCAACTCAAACTCAAATTCAATCATTCGCGACATGGATAATCACTGCACGACCAACCAAACTTCGGAACTAGCTGCGGTAGTCGTCGGGGGAGGTGCAGCTGGTATCGCCGTTGTTGGCAACTTCCTTGAACAACTTCCCCCTAATTCCAAAATTGGATGGGTAGATCCTTTCTTTCAGGGCGGTCGTATCAACGCCAAATACAGAGAAGTTCCCAGCAACACCAAAGTCCACCATTTTCTCTCCTACGGTGAAGGTGTTGAGCCGTTTCTGAAAATCGCAGAAACTACCGAAAAACCGAATGCCATCTCTATCTTAAAAGAACTTCCTCATGAAGACACCTGTTCGTTACAATATGCAGGAGATATGCTATATGTGTTGACAGAGGGCCTACTCAAACATGATCGAGTCGCAAGCTTTAAAGCCAGTGTCATCGATAGTGAATGGATTAGCCAAGACTCTGTATGGTCGTTGACCATACAGGATGAGGCTTCTAAAGCCACTCAACACATTACAGCGCCTTTTGTCGCCTACTGCACAGGCGCATTCCCTACCACTGTTCCCTTCCCTGATGGCCTTTCCCGTGTACCGAAGCTTCTGGATCTTGATATCACGCTCAAGCCCTCTCTTTTTGCCCAGACCATCCCGAACGATGAAGACATATGTATTGGTGTCGTCGGTGCTTCGCACAGTGCCATTCTCGTCTTGAAGAACATATTTGAGCTAAGCCAGAAGTCTCACCCTAAGCTTCGTGCGCGCTGGTTCTCCCGCGCAAGAAAGCTGAAGTATGCTGAGGATAAAGGAGATTGGATCCTCTACGATAACACGGGGCTGAAGGGTATCGCTGCTCAATTCGCTCAGGATAACTTAGATGGAGATAGGCTCCTGCATAGTGACGTGGGGAAGATCATAACTCGAGTCGACTGTTCCGGTGGCGTAGAGCAAGAAAGGGAGGCGTATCTGAAGGAGATGCCGGGATGCGATTATGTTACACAGGCGATAGGGTACAACACGAAACCCCTACCTATGAAGCAAGAGGTGTCGTTCAATCATGAGACGGGTAGCTTCATAGACCCAAAGATGAAAGGACCTGTCCGAGGGCTTTATGGTGCTGGAATTGGATTCCCTGAGAAAGTGGTCGATCCGGTTGGAAACGTTGAGTATGCTGTAGGATTCATCAAGTTCATGAGATTTCTAAAGCGCGTGGTGCCAAGATGGGTTGAACCCATTCCGAACTAAGTCGGACATACTATAGAGTCATAGACATCTACCTAATTCAACATTACACGATAGATACGATAGATACGGATAATTAGCGAATAATTTAATCATTTTCAACTTCGAGTATTGACATCTCATATACGATAATGAGTGTATTTGTTAAATACCTACCTACTATGTACATCGCCTACCTAGGTACCTAGATACATATGTAGGTAGCTATCCGTCATATCTATGCCAAGTATAAAAAGGGGCGTTCCAGCTAAATGATGATTTGTTGCTTCACCACGAAAAAGCATCAACTTCAAGCTCAAACACAGTTTTCTCTCTTCTTCCAAAAGATACGACCGACTCTCGTACATCGTCACAAAGTCCCCCAGGACCGCAAACGACTACACCGACTCTTTTCCACCCGGAACTTACCTCCTGCGCTAACAACGCATTGACATCAAGCCTCTCGCCGACCAGAACCACCTTATCGGCGACCTTGCCGAGGGCCGTGCCGAGATCCTTCATAAGAGGTTCGGTCGCCATTTTCATGCTCCAGGCTAGCTTGACGTTGAAATGCCTATCTGTCCATGCGAGTAAGCCGGTAATCCCGATTCCGCCGCCGATAAGCAGCACGCGGTCACATTTTAATATTTCCTTGTTCGCGTTGCCGCGGTAGGGTCCGTCGAGTAAAACGGGCAAGCTGCGGTGGCTACGGAGATACTTCGTCATCCCGGCGTGCTTTTTTATGTACATCGTTGTCCCGCTATATGCGTCGGCTACCGATGGGGATGGGCTCGGCTCCGAGGGGTTACTCGTCGCGGGCTCACTCACCCCGTCTTCTAGTTCCTTCATATCAGAATTATGGCGGTTTTCGATGCCGTTTCTGCCATTTCTGTCAAGGAGTTGATGATGTTGAGAGTGGAGCATGGCGGTGTGAATTATTGAAAATGGGTGGTTTTCCCAAGGGCGAAAAGGATTGAGCTTCGGGAAGTAAGCGTAAACGTGGTGTCCAGGCTCCGAAATCCATCGCAACCCCTTTATGTCCACGCGAACAATATCCGGTCCGATTTCTTCTATTGTCGCTTCGCGGATACCATTTTTGCAGACTCGCAGCACGCGTATAAGACGGTCGAAAAACCAGACGGCACTCACAGCATACAACCAATACTCATAGATACCGGTGAATCCCTTCCAGTACATGATATGATACCAGCAACCTGCTATCGCAAATACTGACAGGAGAATATGGGACACCAGGAATATCTCATACGACTTGTTGCGAAACCACAGTACACTCTGGAGAAGCAGTAACACGAGACATAAGGTGGCCACAATCCCCCATATCCAGTAAGGCTTATGGACATCGGTGTAATAGATACCACTTGGGATATACGCGCAAAGCAGAGTGATGGAATGAACCACGGCCTGCAGCGCGCAGACACGTGCGACCCAACGATGAAGAACCAAAAATGTCGAGTACGGCCAGTCCGTAAGCCACAACAGAATATTATTCCTAGAGGAGAATAATACAGTCAAGGGAAGGAGGGCAAAAGCGATGTGGCCAGTCCGGTATCCGACATATGCCATGATTTCTCCGGAAGGAGTGAAGCCCCACGGATCTGACTGATCGAACTTTCGATACGAGACTGAGCTGAGTATGATGTTGAGGGCGACGAACATCCCGATATAAAGGCCTTGACCCATAGTCGGCGCGTTTCCCGATAACCGGGGAAGCGGCCGAATGACATACGTGCCGATAGTCGACGGGTATAGAAGGTAGGGTTTGAGCGAATCGGTAACGCCGGTCATGTAAGGGAGGCGGCCGAGGAGATACATCAACAACGGTGTTCCCACTCCAACGGTAATAATGACAATTCTACAACACGGTTATAGAAACTTTCGGAGAGATGATAGGTGATTCTCTTACACGTATGTCGATTGGATGCGTTCTTCCCAGTCAAAGAGGTTATCGAATGACTTTTGGGATTCGTAATCGCTAGAAGAAAGCAGAGCGGTATAATTGAGAACCTCCCCACTTGTCCATATCCTCGTCGGGGCTTGGGTGATATTCGCAAGAGTCGCGCCGTAAGTCCATCTTGGTGGAATAGACGGGTCACCGGTGGATTGGTCGGCCCAATATTTCTCAATCTTCCAAGTCGGCACATGATCTTCCTGGCATGTCGAATTGATGCAAAACGCGAGGGTAGTTAAGAAGGCGACATTCTCGGAGATGCAAGGAGCGGTTGGTGATGCCATAGTCATATCCATCTCCATGTCCATACCACCCATACTTCCATCGGGACAGTCCAGCGGAGCAGACGTAATGACACCGCGACACGCATAACAGCATTTCGGATCGTACCACCACTGTCCATAGCCAATGAGGCCATGTCCACCTAGCGCCGGGGTGAACAGAGATATCGTGATAGCGAGGGAAGAGAGTGAAACCCACTTCATCATGTCTCTCACATTGAATAATATCAGATTAGGGCCAACACTTTTGAAATCTTTCGAACATTTGGGAATATTCTATATTTGTAATTGATAACTTACCCCATACCTAATAACACTAAAACAAATAAGCAGACGATGATTCGACGACTATAGGTGTACAGAGATCCTTACCGAACACTTGGAATGGCTGGACAACTCGTCCCGTTCAGTTCTCCCGACTGCAGACTTCCATGGCCAGCCACAAAGGGGATAACAAGATGAGCAAGTTTTAATTCGCAGCCCCGTGAAACGTGCTCAGCCAAATGTAAGACACATAACAGAAATACACCGAATAATGACAAGGGGTTCACAAGGGTTCCCCGCAGAACTACGCCGTACCGTACCGAGCTGGTCTGGGTAACGGAGATATGGGTTCTCAGATGTGTATACGAGTTCTGGATTTAGATTATCTAGAAAATAGCCGTATCGAAGTTTAGTGGGGATAAAGAAGAGGATGCTTACAGATTTGCTCATGAGCATTACCTATCTCGTAGACAAGATTCCTTGGTCGGAGCGAAGAGCGCCATGTCTAAGGTTAGCTTGGAAACTTGTTACCTGTGAGATTTCTTGGACTAAACATACAAAAGTTCCCAATATTTTAGGGGGTTCAACTTTACCATTTATCGCACAGCACAATACTACCTACCTACTCAATATATCACCATCTACCAATGTGAAGAAAATAATCTAAATTACGATGAGGAATCATAATAACCCTATTTAAGAGTGGATGAAGTAACCTATTAGGTACATAGGCACTCTCTTCGTTAGTAAGGTACCTAATAGGTACCTGGTTATACTAAAATGGAAAAGGGGTTGGCGATATGCTGGCAAGCTGAAGGGGACGATACTATTTCATACTACAAAACTGCAAAAATACGTCCATAAATATCTTATTGAACCACATAATTATACTATCCCTTATCAATAGGTATCTAAGCATTCATGATACTAAAGTTCTTTTCAATGGTACCTTCAAGGCTTTGGCTGTTCGGCCTGGAATACGTCAACACAACTTATAGAGAGTATCTAAGTATCTAAGTATCTACAAATCGTAGGTATTTGTAGTACCTATGTAAGAGATTTCAGAAGATATAATGGATAAGAGAATCAATGACAACCTTAGAAACCAGGTCTACCTAAGGTACCTAGTAGTACACATAGTAAAATCAGAACCCCTCAAATAGATTTCCTCCACTAGAAGCCAATACCTACCTGGGTACCTAGGTAGGTAGGTACTTACAAAACTAACAGGGTAACCTCGATCACTGACAAAAACATATATCAAATCATCTCATGTCAAGGGCAGATTGCAACTTGGAAAGAAGATCGGATAGCTCTGTTAACTGCTGCTTGTTGAAGCCCAAGGGCTACAGGACCCGTAAATGTCAACCTAAAAACCATTTTCAGCATGGAACAATACCTATTCTATGTAATTATTTCTTTATCTGAGCTTCCATCTTACGAAAATAAAATTTTTAGATTTGTTGAGCTGGAAAGCTCGATGCTTCCTTACATCGTTTTTAACCCAATAGAACCCTCTAACTCGAGTAACTACTCCTTAGGTACCTAAATATGCTGGTATCTAGACGTCTTCTTTGTCCTATTGGTTAGAGAATTGTTCTAAGTTTGGTTTGTTATTGAATAAGGATACACACTATGTACTTACCTTGGTAAATATTATCAATGAAGCCTCTAGCATATTCTCAAGCTTATGGTGCTCTGTGACCTTGGAATTTCAGCCATCTGATGTTTCCTTCGACTAATCTGTAACAGAACTGGCAGGTCTCGGTACTAGTTACTGACTGATACTCGCATATATTACGGGGTACTTGCCAAAGTACGCATGTACTTATCATCCATGATTATTACTCACAGGCCAACGACATCATCACGCAGAGTTTGTTCAGTAAAGAAAATCTTTACGACACTGATTTAGGATGGAAAGGCAAAAAGAAAAAAAATACCCATCCCTCCTACCTTGTAGGTACTGAGAGTATTTGTGACTTGTCAGCAGGAGGATAAGCTTCTTGAACTTGCGAGGGTCTAATAGATCTCCGCTTATACTTCTCAGGGTACTTCTAGTCCGGACTCATACTCCACGGTTTGCAATTTATTGCCTCATATCTGTCCTTTTTATTATTATTTCTTATTAATAATTTTCTATACAATACCCAAGAGAGGGGTACAGGAAAATTCTTTCTTCCTTCTTCCATATCTTCTTGGCTTGAAGCGAACAAGAAACCTATTTTCTTCCTCATATGCCTCTTAACTCTCTACCATAACTACCTAGGTACTTACCTACTAAAGCACCTACCCTACCTACTATCTTACCATTTAATGTATAGCAGCCATACCTCTACTTCCTTTCATCAAGCTTCGTTCCTACCTACTTCTATTACATCTTACTCTCTTAACTAACTTTATCCTTCACCTAACCAAGTAATTATCTCCTCTTCTAATGTCTTCCTAATCACCTACTTCCTTCGTCCTTCTTACTCTAATTATTAAATCCGGTATACCTTTAAGCATCTATCTTTCCCGTACTTCTCTTAATATCCTTCTCCCCAACTACTCTTACCTTTTTCTAAACTAATATTCACCTTGGGACTTTCTGTTCTGAATTGGAGCACACGTTACTCTACAAGACAGCAGTTCTATACCTACGTACAATACAAATCACCCAAGGGAGATGAAGCCTCGACTTATCGGGTTTACTATCTTAAATCAGTATAGTTATCCGTTTGACCAAGGCGATTAATCACATAATATCATCGCCGATCACTCATCGGGTAGTCGGGTCTCGCTGCTCGACTCCTAGCAGTGTTGAGGTACTTGTGATTGTCAAATGTACGTGGCCAGATTGCATCGTGGCCAACAACATTGACACACCCACCAAGCTGGAATATATTTCCGTCTATGGTCGCATACTTGACAATTTCCATTTGTAATGGATATATAAGCCAAGTTATTGTGTGAGTAATATTTCATTCTCCGATCTTGTTAATCCCCCCTTCCTTTCGTCTCCCTCGTTTTCAAGATGATCATGATTGCAGAACTCTTAGAATGTCTCTCTAACCTAAGAGTATAAATAGGAATTTAATAGAACGTATCGCAATTCGGAATTTAGATGCCTTAGCATCCTGATGGTTCTACAATACCATCTTGGAGATGTCGATACACGATGGAGTCCGGTATAGCATCTCTGAGGCTTTGGGTCCCGTTTCCTTTCTCCAGATATTAGATTATTACTCGATAATCGCAGCGCTCCTGTATATACTCATGATTCCACAAAGATGCATCCCCTAGACAAGTGTTCCGAGTACCACAAACGCCGGACCCTACCGTAAGAGAGAACCTCCGTCGGTCGGGATGGATCGCAAAAGAAGCAATGTCGACCAATGGATATTACAAAAAACGACAAATTGGTTCGATAAATAGGAGTCGGCTGCAATAATACAGCGTAAGTTGAGAAAACCCCTAATTGTAACACAACTTACCTATGTTCTCTTGTTGTTGCGATCATAAACTCTACACGATGTATTAACTTCTGTCAAAAAGAACGCCGTTTACTTCCGAACCACCAATGCAGCATTATAACCATAATATCCCATACAAGGCCTCACAGAGATCCTTTACTCGACGAACCTCACCGACGTTAAAGAATTATGATATTCCAGTATAATAAATAGCTGGGAGCGGTAATTATGACAGTCATCAATGTAGGCTATCTACCCCTATTCACCCCGGACCAATTAGTAAAACTAACACAGAACAGTTCGAAAAATGACAGCATCCAATATCGAAGATCCAGATTTCGCTACCAGTTCCGTAAAATCCACGTTGGCATTTCAATTTCCTACACGCTTAATCTATAGCCACAGAGGACATCAAGTGCGCTCAAACGAGTCACGTATATTACCACCATAGTCTCCGGCGACCCTCGCAAAGAAAGAGGTCGAATTATTCTTTCTACCTTATTATCCGAACCCGGTCGGCGGGGGATAACCTAATATTTTGGCGAAGATAAACCTGCTCTCGAAAGCTACCCTACTAGATGCGGATAGTTATACCTGCAACGAGGACTACAACGGTAAATACCAATGGTTCCGTGATACCATCACGGAAGGGTGAGCACCAGTTGCACCCTCCTCTCCGACCCCTTGGAACATTTTAAATTGTCGACGCCCCGACCTTTTCAAGTCACATAACGGCCGTATTAAAACTCTTTCTAATTAGAAATTGTTATCCCCGAAACACCAAACACCAATTTCAACAGGACTTCTTCTCCAGAACTCGCAAAGAACAAGGTGTTGAGATATCACGACATCTTCGACGAGTCGATCGTAAAATTCAAAGAACTAAGTTCAATGTCAAGAGAGCGGAAAGCTCGCAAGGTGGTGCTACGCTATTACCCAACATTCGATAACTCCTAAAGGACATTTTCGACACATGCGATGAAGTGGCGGATCGAATAACAACCCGCTACCGCAATTCGAGACGCAGCCATGTCTCAACACTTCTTCTCAGGTTTAATAGGATAACGACTATGTGTAAGCGTCGCGGACAGGATCACTACCTATCTTGATGGCGACTAGTTGAAGAAAGTGAATCATGAGAGGATAATGCACTCCATGGTAGCTGATACTTATATCATAAGGGGTATAAGACCAAGAAACATTTCGGAAGTCATACTCCCCAACTTCCAAATCTTGGAGTTGCTGCACACCATTGCGAACACACCCTCAAGAGATAAGGCACACTCTTAACTAGAACAACCAATAACTTTAAAGTTCGTTCTGGATTCGGGGTTTGCTCCTCAAGAGATTATTACCTACCTAAGTCCTATCACAACTTTTCATCGGCCCCCAGACGAAAGGGTAAATAAAGGTGGATAAGCTAAGGCTCCTAGAACGGGTGCGAATGCGCTGTGGTAATGGAAAGACATCTATCGCACCTTGTAGTCCCGAACCGAGACCGCCGTCGCTATCAACAATATACTCGACGACGTCCCGTCCTCCCTGGGTGTATACAGGGATGAAGGGAATTTTAGGACCCATATTTCCCACGCAGTTTTACGTCCCTCCAACACATTAATATATCTATTTTGATGGTATAATTAAACCAACAAACTTTATTTCTAATCCTTCGGTGCGTAGGTATCAACTCACTTATATAATGAGAGTGGGAATGAGAGCGTCACGAAAGATATTGACGGGAGATAACGTACTCTCGGAGTAATTCTCGGGGATGGAGAAACGAAACGACGAAGAATTGCCAATACATATACCAACTCGCAGCGACCTAGATTGCGTAGCTACGGCTCACAAATAGAAGGTCTTAACGGCCGCGAGGGAAGATGTTTGAATAATAAACACCAAAAGGGGTAGGGATATCTACCGAGTTATTTAGGACTCTATTTCAATCAACTTGATAAGGGAGACAGATAGGTACTTACTTATTAAATAGACACTTAGAATTATAGCAGACAATCATACCTATTCAAATTGAAAATGTTTTTTTAACTGTACTGCCTATGTTTAATGTGTCCAATGTAATAAGATTGATAAACTGAGTTCAAATATTTGGAACGTTAGTAATATGTCATACCTACTCCCCTACTCATAACCAGACGAGTGAGATAACATCTGCATTTATTAGCGAAGCGAAAATGGAACCACCAATTCACCTGGTCATATCCGATATGGTAGACTACAACGCGACATGGTCATTGTCCTATATCTACAGGAGCATAAAAACGTCCATATTCGTGTAATATACAGAGTTAGATTCCTCGTATGAGTGATTAGCCTACTTAGCGCCGAGCATCCTCGGAATCTCCATGTTCGTAGAGGCGGATCCGTGGCCAACCAGAGGCAGTTGTCTCTTCTTATATTGCTCCTCGATGAGCTTGAACCTGCCGACGGCCTTCTCCTTGTCGCCGCGCGTGATGCGCTTCGCAGCCACGAACACGTTTGGTAGCTGCGTTAGGTCCTGGCGCTTTTCTTGGATCTCCTGCGTTAGCGTCTTTGGCTTCGCCGGCTTTTGGACCACGTGGAGCAGCGTCTGGACGTTGGTGATGCCTGAGAGTTGGAAGTCCTGGATGCGGTGGCCCGTGAGTTGGAAGATGCGTTTCGTAACCTAGCAATCTGTGTTAGCCCGACGTCCTACATCCAGAGATAAAACCACTATGATGTAGTAGAACTTACGGCGAACTTGATCCGCGGATCGGCTAGAGAAACCGTCTTCCAGTCCTTCCCCCAAGCCGATCGATACGTCGTGAGTTCCTCGATGGGAAGCGCCGGCCTTCTCGGAGTATGCTCTGCCGCATCCTCAACCAGCGCTTCCAAAACCGCCTTCACGTTACCCTCCAACGCCACTCCTCCATCCGGTTTAACACTCAGCTGCACTTTCAGCGCCTCGTTCATCTCGGCCTGTCCCTTGATAGGCCATTTTGCCACCAACGCCCCCTCCTTCCCAGCCTGCTTCAGCGCAAAGGCCTCGACCACAGCCCTCCTCACCGCAGCCTCTAGGAACTCATCACCATGCACCTTATCGTGCGGCCGGAAGCTAATGAAGTTAGCCGACTTGGGCCAGTGCTCTAGCTTGCTCCACCAACGCTCTGTGCCGCCGACAACCTCGAGCCCGTCATCCAGGAGCGCGGGCTTGTAGGTCTTGTCTGACACCTCGTCCGCACGCTCGGTATATGTGCGCTGGTGAGGTGGGGGGATGAAAGTCGTCCATTGGGGTTCTTCCGAATATTCTTCCAAGGCTTCTTCGGGGTCTTCTTCGGCGACTTTGGATGTGGATTCGGATTCGGATAGGGCTAGCTCTTTGGACTGTTCGCCTTCTTGCGGCTTTTCGGCCTCGGAACTGGGGCTCTGAGAGTTGGGGGGCTGTTTTTCTGTCGAGTAGAGACGGGCGAATGCAGGGCTTTGAAGACTCGCTGTTGGTATAGGTCTGCGGGGTGAGGTCGAGATATTGTGGGAGGATACGGACGGGGATTGTCCGACTAGAGGCGCAATTTGGGACCGAGTGATGTTGGCAGACAGGCCGGATGGCCGTCGCAATCGTGTTATTCGTCGCATTGTGGCTAATTGACTCCCCCGAGTATGGAAATCAAGTTGTTGGATGTCGCAATATTCTGGAGCTTGATATTGAAAGTACGAACTTTTCTCAAGGTTAGGTAATCTGCAGGGGTTCGCTGCGCCAAGATAGGAAGTGTGGAGTCCTTCTCCAGCCACTGAGGGCTGATAGGCGCTAGGATAGTACGTACCTTATCGGATCGTGCATACCCATATCGACGGCCTCGTCATTCGAATTAAGGATTGAAGCTTCAATCATCTACCAACATATGCATATCATACTACGATCTTAAGGGGAGGACATCCGTTCAATTGGGATGACCGGGATCTAACATTTCCCTTATGTAATGTGAAAGCGATCTCGTCCGTTGCGAAATATGATACATGGCCATTTAACGACAGCGACATGATGCGACTCCAGCTCTTTCTACTCCTAATAGGAGTCTTCGCTTCTTACGTCGCCGCAGCGTGTAGGCTACCCCATTACCACTACTCCCTCCTTTATCCGGTGTACTCGGCCTGAAACTAACCATCCTTAGCCGCCCCAACATTCTGCAAATGCACCTGCTTCAAGAACAGCACGCTCATCCAACTCGGACCGCAAGGCAACAACCCTAACACCTTCGAGAACGCAAATCCCAACTCCAAGTCCACCTCCAACCCATCGGCTCCGCCTCCCTCCGAACAAGCCCTGCTCTCCCGCTCCCCTACCCCTGACCTCAACAGCCTCGAGAAACGCGCCGCCTCGGCCTCCTGTACGCAATGCACGCGTGGCTTCTGCCTCTCGCAACACCTGCCCATCTGCAAGGATGCAGAGGAGAACGACGTGGTGGCGATGTGTTTCCAGCGCGACAGCCGCAAGGACCAGATCATCGTGTGGGGATTCATCCTCGGCACCACCGGGCTGTTAGGCTGGGCGGCCACGAGGAGGGTCATTGAGTTGAGAGAGGGAAAGAAGGGTGCCGCGTTAGGGTTAGGTGGTGGAAGTGGGGGAGCGAGAGGGCGGGATAGAGGGGTGTATATGCCTGTTGGGCGAGATGGTACATAAAATATATGACAATATGGTCGAGTTTACTCTACAAGCGGATTCACATCGAATATCGAGGACTTGGCGTTGGAAACGGCGTTCGGGATGCAAGGGAGAGGCGATTTACTATGATTTTCATACATCTTGCCCATATTATATATTAAACACCGGTTCTGATATCCAAAGTATGAAACTGAGAGGGACAAGGAGAAATCATCCATGCATTCGTCTGAATTTTAAAGTAGCCTATGGGTTTTATAACCAAACGCCTAATGCCTGATGCCTTTTTTTTAGTCTTCCTCCCGATCAAATTGCCAAGATCGTTGCTAAACTGACAAATCTCAGATATCATGCACTTACGACAGTCTACCCTCCCCAATGCTTTTTATTGCTTTTGTTCTCATTAACTGCCTTCATTCGCCAATTATTCATGTGGTTAGAATTGGCGAATTCCACCAACTATACCCCTTCTAAAAAACTTATTCCTCCTCTAGGAGAGTGGCCTTGGGCTCTTGGCCGTTGCTATTCGGTGCGCCGTTCTTCTCCCGGCGAGCACGGACCGCGGCCGCTAGGTCTTCGAGGACCTCAACTGTCTTCTCCCAATTGATGCAGGCGTCAGTGATGCTCACGCCCTTCTTCAATCCGGATGGTCCCTCGGCGGGAACCTTCTGGTTGCCCTCGTTAATAAAGGACTCGATCATGACACCGATTATGGCCTTCTCTCCCTCCTTTAGCTGATCACCGATGACCTTGGCAACCTTGGGTTGGTTTCGGTGGTCCTTGTTTGAGTTACCTATCCCTCGTTAGTTTATTCTCGGGCGTCATGTGACAGAGCGCAACCTACCGTGGGAGCAATCGACCATGATAGCTAGCTTCTGTCCCTTCTTAATCAAGGTTTCCTTGGCATCTTGGATGCTGTCCTTGTCGTAGTTGGTTCCCTTGCTACCTCCTCTTAGGATGACGAAACCGTGCTCATTCCCCTTGGTTCTCGTGATGGCAGCCAGGCCCTGCTTAGTTACACCCATGAAATGATGCTTGGAGGCTGCTGCTCCTATGGCGTCAATAGCAACACCTAGATTTCCATCGGTGCCGTTCTTGAAGCCAATTGGGAAGGAGAGACCAGACGCAAGCTCACGGTGTAGCTGTGACTCGGTGGTGCGAGCGCCGATGGCGCCGACAGAGATAAAGTCTGCCAGGAATTGAGGGGAGATGGTGTCCAACATCTCGCTGGCAATGGGCATTCCCGCGTTAGTTAGGTCGCCAAACATCTGTCGCGATATGCGCAGACCCTTGTTAATCTTGAAGCTGTTGTCGATATCAGGGTCGTTAATGAGACCCTTCCAGCCAACAGTAGTCCGCGGCTTCTCGAGGTAAGCGCGCATGATAATGCACAGATCATCCGATAGCTTCTCGGAAAGACCCTTCAGGCGTTGAGCGTACTCATGAGCGACAGCTGGATCGTGAATGGAACAAGGACCAACCACGACCAAGAGACGATCACTGCGACCCATTATAATGGCAACAGCATCTCTCCGGCCCTTAACCACTGTCTGCAAGGAAGCATCGGTCATTGGGATCTCAGATATGAGCAATGCCGGTGGGATAAGAGGGTCCTGGCCCAGGACTGCGGTTTCAAGGCACATTAGCATCTTGTTCCTGTTCGGGATTGTTTTCTTTGTGATACGATCTTGCTTGAGCAGGTAGGTTTATGTAGGACTGAAGGGAGGACAAATGATCTCGAGTAACGTAAGAGAAGGAGTCATTCATAGTTGGAGGTTAAAATAGTGACTCCAAGTCGATGAGAACCGAGTAAAATGCAGAAATGATGTTTGCTATCTGACGTACCTCTCATATCGTCAGCCACTAGAGGCGCCATATCGACTCCTGGCATTGTGGTGAATAGATGAAAAGGATTGGTGGTGATTGGTTATAGAATAAGTCAATTCAAATTTCTAGGGGTTGAGCAGCACGGCAACCGATGTTTGTTGCTTCGAACGACCCGAACAACGGATAAGTGCGTGGGTATACGGTGTGAATGAGCCGTTGTTTCTATGGCAAAGCGATCGATCTCAAGGTGAGTCAGACACGGTTGAAAGAGAGAAAAAAAATTTAAAGGAGAAGAGTTTGTATGTCTTTCTTCCTCGACCCCTAGTAGGTAGTCTTCAATTCTTTGGTTCCTGGTTCCGATACCGTACTTTTTGGTTCTCAATGGTTCTCAAGAATCCTTCAGCTCCTAACGCAACGGCGTAGGGAGTATTAAAGCAACCCAAAATATGTCAATGGACTGTCGTAAGAGAATTTCTATGTGAATGATTATAATGAGAATTAAGTTTAAACCTTGAAGATATGGTTACTTAAAAGATGGTTTAGCTGGTGGTTACTAGAACTGCGATGACTCTTATTGGTTGAAGGGAGTAAATCTAGCCCATACAGGTCCATACTAGCGAAACAAGCTGCGAAGACGGGCTTGGTGGGGTGTGAGTTGATGGAGGGGCACAAATCAGTACTTAGGTACATAGCTAGGTAGATACGGTACTGGGTACATGTACGTACTCGATACGACCCAATTAGGCATTAGGCGATGCTAATCTTGTTCACATCCAATCCGAAAACTTTTTTCCCCTCAGTCCTCGTCCTCGACACCTCGCACCTCGACAACCTCGTCATCGTAAGATGTCCACGGCTAGATGGCGCATTTGAACGCACCAATGGTTTCCAAACTTTGTACACCGCCCCATACAAGTCCCTGCCCCGTGGAGTTTTACTGCCATACTACTGGCCATCCTAAGCTTTACGGAATTAATATTCTGTATCCCGCCTGACAATCTCATCTACTATGCAGTACAGTATGAACTTCAGCTTAGGTCATATCTGCAAGGTCACTGAAATTAAATGACATTTCATCCGAACCTTAGACTCAGATTCATCGCTTTCATGTTGTTATCATCAAGCATCTAAACATTAACGGTTCAGCTAAGACCTCCCATGGCATCGTTGTTAGCAACCCACTGTATGTGTAGAGAAGTGAGATGGAGCTGTATCTTCGACCTCAGACAGTCGTCAAGGCCTATCTCATCATATCGTTTCTTCGATATATGAGTCGCCCATATACTTTCCTATATATTCGATATCACTCATATGGTGATTCTTCTCCGTTTCGTCAAATAAGGCTATGCCGTCTTAAATTGAGTATTCAGGAACCAGCCTTACGGCTAAATTGCATGACTACAATAGGGCAAAATAGCTGCGGAGACATATTATCCGTCACTTAACCCGAGGTCTAAGGTGCGTTCCAAACAATAAAACTCCAAGCTGTCGCCATGGAGTTCTCCTCGATGCCTTGGCATTTCTCTCTATGCCCATTATCATCATCATGGTCTGTGTGTTACCAAATACGCTGAGAAGCCTCAGCTTCAGGTCTTCGATTTGGACAGCATGGCTTCTATGGTGGACTTTATCCGCTACTGCACTTCCTACTTCTCTTGTTGAGCGTCAGGAGGAAGATTCGCATTGGGTAGCAACATGGGTATCGATGCCACAGCTAGTGGAGCCCAATAACATGCCTCCCTCTCCGTTTGTAGGTTGTGCTCATATTTGACAACTTGCTAATCAGCCATCTAATCATGAATTAGTCTGGTTCGGCTGCATTCAAAGACGCTACTCTTCGCCAAACACTTCACTTGTCTATCGGCGCAGAGAGACTTCGTTTCCAGATCTCTAACACATTTGGTGGCAGTGACCTTCCCATTACGGAAGCCTCCGTAGCCATCCCCACAGATGGCAAAACCGGTGTCAATGGCATCGATACGACGACGCTGAAAGCTCTCACTTTCAATGGTTCTGCATCAGTTACAGTCCCGAGGGGTCAAGTTGCTTACTCTGACCCGGTCGACTTCAAGGTTGAGCCTCAGGGCACGATTACGGTTAGCTTATATTCCCAGCCTGGTCAGTCTGGTAGCAGCATCACTGGCCACCCAGGAAGTCGAACTACTTCGTTCATGCAGCAGGGCAATCATGCAAATGCCTCGGCCGTTACAGGAGCGAGCACCGCACACTGGTACTTCCTTACTGCTGTCGAAGCGTGGGCTCCGAAGACGACAGCCGCGCTAGTGATTCTCGGTGATAGTATTACAGATGGACGTGGAAGCACTGATAATGCTAACAATCGGTGCGAATAGAATCCCCATCACAATCGAAGTTCCTACTAACAAATCACAGATGGCCCGATCTGCTTCTAGCTAGAATGCAAAAAGAAGGGATCACTGATATTTCTGTGTGTAACCAAGCAGCAGGTGGCAATACCGTGCTGTCCGGTGGCCTTGGACCACCACTCATGCAGCGGTATAAACGAGATCTTCTCGCGGCCGCTGGCGTCAAGTACGCCCTCATCTTCGAAGGAGTAAATGACATCGGAGGTGGATCCGCGGATTCGGGAACACAATCACGTATCGGAACTAGTCTTCAATCGTCTTTCAAAACCATCGCCACCGATGCTAAAGCAGCCGGTATAACCGTGTTCGGAGCAACGATCACCCCGTTCGGCGGCAACGGACAGAGCTACAGCAACCCGACCAGGGACCAAACCAGGCAGTCGGTCAACACGTGGATTCTAGGCGGCGGAGACGGTAGCTTCGCTGCGACGATTGATTTCGCTAAGATCGTGGCCAATCCCTCAAACGCGGCTAACTTGGCTACTCAGTACGACGGAGGTGACCACTTACACCCAAATGTCGCTGGATACCAAGCGATTGCCGACCAATTTCCCTTGGATATTTTCAAGGGTAACACGACCATTTATCAGAAGCACTGTTAAACTATCTAGCTAGGTATCGTTGTATGCAGCGTTGATCTAGTAATCAACAAGCCGTTCCACCTCTAGAATTCAATCATAAGAGCAATTATTAAAGTGATTGACTTAAGTAACTTGTTTTTAAAATATCACACTACCTAACACTTCTAACATTAATAAGCGTAGACATAAATGAATGATATAATATAGATCAATAGATATCATCATACTCTCGTGGGCCGCAGAAGCCAAAATTTCCCCCTTTTTTAGATACGCCATCAAGACGAGCGAGATAGTTTCATAACAAGAATTTCATCAACTAGCCGTATAATCAATGAGATGACATTGTTATTCGTATTAGAGGGTTTGTGATTATTTCTAGCTATGCAAACAAAATAAAAACAATATCAATGTTCCAATTCATATCCTCTTGACTTCTCGAATTGTTTAGTAATAGACAATACTATTCAATAACGATGTAGAGCCGTGGTGGAGTATAAAAGGCTTGTGAAATACAGAAAGATAGATGCGATCAACTCTTCGAACACACACACACAATAACAACCACAACTACTACTACTCACCAATAGTGTATCGTCAACATGGGTTTCATACTATTCCTTTCTGCCCTCTTTTTCATTCTCCTCCACCCTGTGGTAGTAGTAGTGCTCGCACTTCTTTCATTTATCATGAAGGTGGCTATATTCTTCTACTTCATTAAATATATCCTTCTGATCATTCGTCGGATTGAAGTACTTACCCTAATTATGGCGGTAAAAATCAACCACTTCTTCGCCCAACTATAGAGGTGAAGTAAGATGCGGGGGTAAGGATGTGTGGAGAGTTGTATTGTTTCTGGGTGCCTTGTTTAGTCTTGTTTAAATGCAGTGTGCTGTTTTTAATATAATACTGTTTAAACAATTTCAAAGTGTAAGTTGCTACTGTTGTTCACTGTCTTTGTGCTGTCAATTTATCATCCACGGATAATAAAATATTAGCCTTTGTAGACTTACATCGATCGGTTAGTTTCTTTGTTGGGGGTTATGGTTAATAGGTAGGTACTACAATTAGAACTATGACGACAAGGGCAACTTGAACTTATCTCCTGGAACTTGAATTTTGGTTATATATGGTATTATTGATGTTTTAGCCCGCCCTGCCCCGAGGTCTATCGATATCGATAAAATATCTTGCTTGGTATCCAATGGAGATGACGTCTAATTCTACGTACTTGATTGTCTCTGACTGCATTGACTAAGATCTAGACCATTAACTGGCGATATATTCAATCATAAATTTCTCCTGATGGAATGTCGATTACGTTCACGATAGATGTCTAGTAATTAGTGACCATCCCCAAAAATGAGGGGTAGATACAGAGGTATGTACTAGGTATGATATGTGTGTGTGTGCCACTAAGAAACAGAATCAAGGGTCAAGACATGGAAGAAGGGTTCCAGCACAAGAAACAAGATGCAGAAGTCCAACATATACTTAAACAGGACATGATTAGCATATTGGAATTGCGGTGACGAAGCGTTGTGGAAATAGAGGATGGGCTCCGGCAGCAACGCACATGCGATTTCATGATTCGTATCAAGAGAGAAGCCACTTTCCCCAAATAGCGCCTTAATAATAATAGATAAGAAGTCTTATCGAGTACTTGAATATGAAGCTTTTCCAAATTCTTATCTGTTACCTACCTACATACCTAGGACTTACATAGGTAGGCTATTTGTTCTTGCGGTGGTGCTACTATATGTGCTATATATTAAGAAGCAAATTTATGAAGCATATCTGAAACCTACTGCCAACATGTCACTCAGCGTCAGAATCGTACTGCACCACCGTAATCGTGTGACATCCATGGATCTATTCTCTAACCAGGTATATACTACAACCTGCAATATGTTAATAGATGGATGTGATTATTTTTAACAACGAATATAGATAGAGCGTATATCGAATTCGATATAAGATTAAGCTTAACTATATCGACATGATTGTCACATAACGATCTCATTCTTAAAGTTAAGGTTGCAACTTTCCTGTTAACTTATCTACCGACCTAAGTACTAAGCAGGTAAGATGTCAACTTGAAGAAACCTTGATGGGGTCCCACAAGGTGCCACTCTGCTACATATTGAAGTGGACCTCCTATATGCATAATCTGTTAATAAATACGTGCATAACACTGCTAGATGGCTTACGCACAGTAAAGAGGCTTGGGAAGATATCCAATCGGCAAGGCTGGTGCTCTGATGATCCATTACAGAGGAAACCCTTGTAGGAGGGTTTCCCCCACACTTGTCTGGTGCTGGAACTTGGACTAAGACTTTGGGATCACATATTGGGACCGCCACCGGTAAATCGATATTCTTTCATCGTCAACGTTAGATCTTTGGATTCTTTCTTTTATTTTTAGATACATCGTACTTAGTATGTAATTATGCGCATCACGTAGAAGAATTGAGAACCTTGGAAAAGACGTTAGGCAATTAAAGGTGGATCGAATTGGCTTTAAGCTAATCGAGGTACCCGAGGCAGTGAGCAGCTAACAAAAAGTAAACTCGTAAGGAAAGGATCCATGGATGGTCCCTGCTCCCCTGTTCCCCTGTTTAAAAGCATGTCAAGTCTAAGAAGGCCAGGTGCCTGCCAGCTCCAACCATTTTATACAGTACGTACCTCTCAAAACTAACCAAAGCCAACCGAAACCAACCATTTTAACCCATAAGCGGCTGATCGACGACCGAAGGAACCAAGATTCCAGCTCTCAATTCCCAACTCTCTTCAATTCTCATTCCCACCTCGTCATTCCCCGCCAACCCATTAACCCAGTCGACCCAGTCAACCCGCCATAGCCCTGGACTCGGACACGCCGTTAGCATAAAATGATCAAGGTGGTCATCGCTTGACGTACCACCTTAACAACCTTAAGCACCATTACCCCCGGCCTCGTGTTGTTCTTGCTAGTTTTCCGGCGTCCTTCTAAAAATTTAATACTCCTTGCCATTATCAACTAACATCGTCAAGTCTCTTCATCAATTTTCTTATCGTCATCCACTCTCATAACCAGTACTAGGATCCAGGAACTAAGAACATTTCTCCTTTTTACGCTTTCTTTCTAATTTAACGTAACTACTATTCTCTATTCTATAATCGTAAATATGTTTGAGCCTCAGTGGCAGGAGCTTTCGCGAAAGCGCCAAAGAGAGGAGGAGGGTGATGGCCAGGTCAACATCGGCGAAGCCATGAACGGAACTCTAGGCTTCACTGAACACCGCAATGTTAGTATTAGCAACGAGGATGCATACGTGCACGATGTTCTACTTCCCATTATAGCCTACCAATATCGGTCCAACATTATCACAACTTCCGACTAATTTGCCCATCACGTTTAGAAACGTCTTCAGTCTCTCCCTCTGCGCACATCGCCGACACAGAAGCAATGGGCGGGAGCCCCGGATTTTGCAGTCGCGACATCAGCAACAACTCCTCCTGCTTCTATCAGCCCGACCGATTCCGACTCCGAAGATGCGCAATACCGACAACAGTCAAATTTGTCGATGGATGTAGATAGAGATACGGATATGATGGTCGATTCATCCGAATGTTATCAGACCGGTCCGTTCCACCCAGACTTCGTCGATTCGAGTATTGCCGGACGAATGCCTACGCCTATACATTGCACTTTCGCTGCGCAAGTAAGGGGTAATAATTGGGGTCCTATGAATCAGACGATGCATACAGCAAACGGACCAGTTGATGCTGCGGCAACAGAAGCTCAGCCATTTCCTACGTGTCACGATGAATCCTCGGTACCCCGGTCGTTAGGGGGTTCTGCTGAATGGTCCATGGTTCAAAACCGGCGTCTCCCGTCCCCTATTAGTGAAAGTGGCGGCGAAGAGACGCCGACGAGCCCGGGCATGATTTTGGACTCTCGACAGCCTCAGCGGCCTTATTTGCCTCACATGCCCCATTCAACCAACCCTCATGCTATGCCCATGCATCCCAACATTCAGTCCGTTCCTCCAATTACGGATAACGATTCTAGTATGATGGATTCTGATCCTGGCTCCTCCCCTTCCTCCGCACCCGCTACGCCATCGCCAAGAGGGAAATACGGCCATTCGCGCAGCAAACACACTCTTAACAACTGGACTCTGCAACCAGGCATGAAGAAGTCATTCAGTATAGGTTACCGAGCAGACTGCGAAAAATGCCGCATGAAGATTCCGGGCCATTTCAACCACATTATCATCTCTTAGTATGGAAGTGATGAGAGGCCACACATTTGGTTTAACGGCAAGACGGGTGTTTCTGCCAGAGAAAACCAGATAATTGCACAAATTCGCCGAAATAGGAAGAGCAAAGATACGACTATACTGCCAGTTTTTAGCCCCTCCGAATCGAAGCTAGATAGGAACGAGATTCCATCTATGCAGGATTTTGAGCAGCGTTTGCGTGTCTGGGCTCGCAAATCTTCTCGGGAAGATTGTTGGACTCGCCCGGATGATGCCCGCCTCGTAGAGTTCGGCCTCGACAGACTTTAAAGAGGTCCATATTTCCCTACGCCTTCCACATTACTTTTTTTTTTTTTTTTTTTTTTTTACCACGATAGAGCAACCGATCAAAATTCGGCTTGTCCAGGAGCCTTACGGCACATATGATTTCCTATTATTTGCATCTAGGGCGTTCACGGAACGCTAATATTGCGCTATACTGCTACAGCGTGGCTCTTATTTTTCCTTACAGTCCATCGGATAACATTACTTTCGGTTACTTGCATACCCAAAATTGTCATTCATTACACTTATACCCACAGCACACGGTCGTTATTGCATTTGCTCATCGGTTCTGGGAAGGGAATTCATGCATTCAGTGGAAAAGGGGAAAAGAATAACCCGGTCAACCAAAAACTGGGAGTGGAAGATCTGAATTTGCTCTCATCAGCGCTCTATCATTTTCTTGCTTCTATTTATCTATTATACCTACTCTATTAGGAGTACGGTCAAGGGTGGCGTTTAAGGCGTGCAAGGAGGCTTTACCGATTTGAGGGCTGGTCCAGCGTGTGAAAATTTTCCCTGTATTCAAACACACCTTGGTACTTACTAATAGTATAGCCGTCACTTGACGACCAACAATGGGGAAATATAAAATTAAGTCTTTTAGGCATTCGAACTTTTCTGAAGCTAGTGCTTGCTTTTAATTGTAGAACGTAGGGGGGGAAGTTGGGGGAGGAGTCGAACGTGGTGGACGTCGGAATTCAACATTGAAGTACACGGGTAACTAAACGGGAATTGTGAACTCAACAGAAATCATACCCGTCCACACATAAGACGATTGAGCAGTGTAACATATGAACGAGATAAGCGTATGCGCATGTGTGATCAGTAGAGTGTATTTAATAACAGTACCCAATACTATACACCTGGTTTAATGCTCCGCCCTTCTACTATATATATATATATAGGCACCTAGGTATGATACAGCATTCTTCGCACCACCGCTGAATATGCTAAATCCTATCGCACATACGTACAATTTGAACACTATGGCGGCCCTACGCATATATGCTTCTCTGTTGAAGCCCTTCTTCTGGGCTGACTGGTTGGCCCGCCTGTCAAGCGGTTCTCACCACTCCGAGTTTTTATACCACTACCCCTATATCGATCGAAAAAGCCCGCTTCCACACGGTAGCAATAGCATGCTCCCATTATACCCGCTGCACCCATAAGCCCAGCCGAGTCGCTCTACCACCAGCTCGATTTCTTAGTCTCGCCACCGCTCGGCTTCCCGAGCTGATCCAGGGGCCCGCCGGTTCTTTGGTTCTCGCGCTCCTGCTCGAACGCCGTCTTCGCCTTCTCTTTCAACTCTAACCCTGACGCGGCGGCCTTCGCTTCGGCGTCGAAGTTCAGCCTCGCCTCGCTCCCCGGCTCTTCCTTTTTTAGCCCGCCGAACAGCCACCCGCTCAAGCCCTTGCTCTTCGGCTTCTCGACCTCGTCAGCGGCAGAGAGGCTGCTCTCGGCCAAGGACTCGCCGGCCCAGGCTGTCCTTCCTACGGTTTCGGTTGCCGTGGCCCCCTCTGCTGCTGTGGTGGACATGGATCTGGGTGCGGAGAGTAGTGGAGGCAGGCTCATACCGGAGTCCCGGGCCTTGGCCTCGGCTTCCTCGACGAGGGCGATCTGTTCCGGCGTGGCGGAGTTCGTTATGTAGGCCAGACGCGCGGCTTCCAGACTGTCGGACTTGAGTTGCCGCTGCAGCGCGAAGAACTCGTTGCGCCGCTTGCGGTTGTATACCATCATGTCGGCGGTGGCGTAGATTGTTACGAAGAGGGCGAGGCCTGGGGTTTTTGAGTAAGTCCATGTATTGCGATTACAATTATATAGAGCATGGGGATACTTGGCGAGGGTATGTAATATAATATTGTCTTTTGATATGATTTAGATGTTCGGGGATTACGGGGAGTAGAGAAAGAGGGGCAGGGGTAGGAGAAAATACATACCACTGAACCCAATCAACCCTAGAACAGTGAATTTGTGAGCAGCGTCGAAATACCGCCTCGAAGCATTAACCACCTGGTCGAGCCTCGATGTCTCGTGCTTCCTCGCTGCTAGATGCGCGGCTCGTAACCGACGTACCCGCTCCTCCATGGACTCCGGCGCGGACGGCCTCGGCATGCCTGCCGGTGGTAGACGGCTCGATTGTGCTGGTCGTGATGACGTAGACGATGCGGAACCGGTTTTTGAAGGAGAGGATTTGCTGGAAGAGGAAGAGGCTGATGCGGCTTTTACGTTGGCGTGCGGCGTGCTCGATGTAAATCGCGTAGCGTCGGCGACGCTGCGCGGGGTGTGGTGTGCCGCCATGGATTTTGCGATTTTCTCTCTCTTTTTTTTAAATTCTTAAATCGATTTAGGTGCATAAGCACCTGGTATGTACGAGGATTATTCGTCTATGTCGGAATTGACGCCGTATGAAGCAGATTAAAGGCCTTATTGAGCGAGAGCAAGGTAGGGTGGCGTGTACCGCTAAGCCGTTACGTTTTTCGAGGTTTCGTTAGTGTGATCGTGTAGTGGTGTAGTGATATTTCGATGTTGGAAATTTTTGGAGTCCCAGTTCTTCGGCGAATCGTCTGATCGATAGCCGTTGCGGCGGGCTAGAGCTTCCAGCGACTCCCGCCTGTAGCTTCCACTTGCAGATTTGAAGGGAAATTTTTTATCGATAGGGGAGCGGGGCAGGCTTGATTGACCAATGGGGTCGGAGATTTATGGTTCATAGTTCATTACGTAAGTCATAAGACTCTGGAATGTGGAATATGTGGAATATGTGGAATCGAGGGTTTCTTCCCAACATGCATCTTACAAACCTTTACGACTCTATATTAACTACAAACATCGAATATTTTTCTTAATTAATTCAACCTTTTAAACTGAGGACCCTGAATTCGTCGTTCAATATTAGACATATCACACGATATAGTTCCTAAAATAGACATGCGATAGGTACTCATGTAATGAACGTCAACTATTTATTAATTCATAATAAGTCACCAGGTGTTAGACTTGCTAACTTCATAGCGACCGACAAGTACTTCATAGATTACTCCTCATCATTCCCACTAGGCGGCAATCCTTCAGTCCCCCTTCCATAATCCTCACCAAACTTCTCTCCGTTGACGAATAGAGGCTTCGTATCCTGTAGGACAAAGACCATACGAGCCCAGTTCGTCGTGCTCGGGTTACGCCAAGCGTGCATCGTGGCGCGCTGAACTGCCACGTCGCCGCGCTTCATGAGAGTCGTCGACCCGTCATCCAACTTCATCTCCACTTCACCCTCGACGATAATCCCAAAGTCCAGGGACTTAGTCCGATGCATCATGCACTCGTATTGAGGGCCGAAGTCTACCATCCGGCACACAACGCCGTTCCTGGTGGCTAGTCCCAGATTCCCGCTTGAAATTATCTGTTCGTGAAATTTCACGTCGGCATCATCATTGAGGTTCGATGGGAAAGAGTTGGTGTAAATCTGGTTGAAACCCACTATGACAAGGGGAATTAGTATATGACCTATACGAAATACGAGAGAATCGGAGAAGGATTCCGATTTCCCCTCTTCCTAATCTCCCGGTGAAGTTCACGAGACATCAGGTATATTTATGTGAGTGATGAATGATATAAAGCAGAGGATAAAGTGCTTATAGCAAAGGCATACTGGTTCCCTCGTCGAATGCCTTCCAAGCTGCCGGCCGTGCCGAGTGCACTTTTGCTTTCCCCTCCTCATTGTGACCTGTCAGGTATGTCGTGGTTCTGCGGAGGTCCGGAGAAATCTGCGGGGAAAGTTCAGTCTGCGGCTGTGCCGACATTTTGGTGAAGTATATTGATTTACTTGATTTTAAGAATAAGTAAGACCTCTATTTCTTAATATTATCAGGATACTATTGATTCCTCAAGGTAGAGAAGGGGGTATAGGATATGAAGTGGGGGGTCACAGCATATATAAACCAAGGGAATTGGAGACGACGATCACTTTTTATGATTCTCCGTCTGCCGTCGAAGGATGTCGAAGGAGGCGTTCTAGTAAAGATAGATGAACCTCAAAGCCGACACGTCCATGTAAAAGCAAGTATAGAGAAGGGGGGGCTGTAATTGGGGGAATCCCGGAAATCCGAAAGTCTGACATGAGAACTTAAGACTAGGTAAGTAATTGCCGATTGTTGAGTGAACACAATGTGCTTCGATGTCCGAGACTACTAGGTACCTATTAAACAAGGTCATATTTGTGAATCTTTATTAAAATACCTATCGAAATATCCCTTACGCAAATAGTGTATCTATACCAACTCCCTCCACTAGGTATGTATAAACCAACCACAATCTGTCGTACTTACGCCCGTAAGATAGACATCTCATTATCAGACTCGTCCAACCTCTTGAACTCCTTTCTTCTCCGAAAGAAGCCCGTGCACGTAGAAAAGAACCCGGGCATTTCAGACTCCGGTCCGACTAAGACAGTCCCCGGATGGATAACGTTGAATGAGAGAATAGCTAGAAGCATTAGCATGGCTTCAAGAACATAAAAGTATGTTTCGTTGGTCAATAAAGGATTAGATACTCCAGTTGACCCAGACGAAAATTCAACTAATCGAAATATAATGCGAATCTTAACGATTGGTCAGCAATCTGACTGGTATATGTCATTCGTCGCTTGTTAAATAAGCACTCACAGTAATGCACGTTAAAGATGCATACAGCGTAAGCAGCAGCGGGCGCCAGCCAGACCTCCAACTAGTCTGTAAATTCCTGGGAGGATTCACATTGCGCATATCCAACTGGAACTTGACCGCGAACGCGACGAACACGACGATGAAAAATTGCTGTAGCCCAATACCGCCCATATATATGTGAATGGCCCTCAATTGTTCGTCTTCGGGTGCAGTTGGACCTGCCATGGAACCGCCCGCGAGCTGTATGCAGAAGGCGACGAAGTCTGTTTGTAAGGGTTAGAACCAATGAGCTGCAACTAGCCTATCGACCAAAGGCTTACCGAAAGTAACGAAAGCCGCAGCTAATGTTGGCGCTGGTATGCCGAATACCTTACGCGAAGGGGCAAAGAAGTAAATCATCCGGCCGAGGACCATGTAGTCGAAAGCGTTTACCCCTATCATATTGCGTTAGGTTACAATTGAAGTCAAATACATAAGAGGAATGAATTAGATATTACTTACATAACGGCGACAGCAGAATGAAGATTTGGAATACTAGGTATATAGCTGTGTTCGACTGGTAACGAGTGCTGACGGTGCGGAACAGGTAGGCCATGGTTTCCCAGAAACTAGCCATCACGATAACCCAGCAGAATTTCTATCCCAGTGGCATCAATACATGTTCAGACGGGAAAGGGGAATCAACAATGCCTATCACCTTCCTATACGCTATGCTTTGGTATAGATGAGCAACCGTCAACAATCCGAAGATAATTGTAAAGGCCATGGCGGCCGAGAAGCTTGGGTAGTAGTCCCAAAGAGCATGGCATGTTCCCGGAGGTAGATATCCATTGGCGTCTGGTTCTATAGTCTGGATACATGTGGGTATTACGACGTCTATCGTCTTTGCAGGGTTCGTTGCGTGAGCATTGGTGAATCCGTCGATAGTGATATGTTCTGTAGTCAAGAAGTCCACGCCGGTGGCTGTCGGAGCACTTGTAACGGCTTCTGTCGTTTGTCTAATTGCTACTCGAATAGTTCTGGCGAGACCCTCGGCTGCAAATGTTGATGTTGGTATAGCCATTGATGTTGGGTATTATGTTGATAAAGCGAAGAGAAACTCGATTTCCAAGAGAAAAACCAGACACTCAGTGTACTTGAGTTTTGACAGATAGAATGAATTTCAGCCTTTACCTGTTTCAACATGGAATTCTCCTAAGACTTTTATAAGTCAATTAGAATTACCTACCTAGGTATAATGCATCTTTAGTTGAATCTATCAAAAGGATCATGGGCTGAGTCCTAAACAGTCAAATAGTCCGAACTAACCAATTAGCATCCTGGAATATTGTATAGGGGTCTATATCAAGTTTAGCTGCGCCTCAGGGGCTCCATCTCTCCCGTACCTAACTAGATATATATACATCTCTCTACTATTCTATTGATTTTACGCAGTCGAAGAGCGAGATTTGAAACCACTGATGAATCGTCTTGGGTATCTGCACCAGTACATTAATCGCATGTTATCGTGTACATCCCTAGCTGTGGTAAATTTCTGATGGATTTCGCTTTGGTTGTTTCATGTGTACATTATGATATCATCGATGCTATCTTATATATCGCTATGTTTCAACAATAAATTCAGTCTGAAGGTAAATACTACCATCACGTTTGCGCCTAAAAAACCCTGTCATCCTCCCTCCAATCTCCCGGCCTAGGGCATCAACTTGTATTGTCGGAATAGGGCTTGTGGTAGTGTCCCGTACTCTCACTTCATCAGGGGGTAGACCTGGATAACGGGGTGGCGTAGAAGGCCGGCCTTTCTCTTCGAACAGAAAGTCGTGTTCGATCTCTATTACACGACGACCGACCGCGTACATTGTACAGGTGTCCCACAAGCACTCTCTGGTAGCTCCAAGTGTCTTCATAAGTGACAGTGCATGAGTCCGGGTTGCGAGGCACCGACATCTGAGGACGACGTAGTAAAGTAGTGGCATGAATCCCATTTCGAAGATGAATTTCGGAGGACTTCGGGCATCGCTTGATCTAGGAGTTTTGGATGACTGTAGCTCAATTGCTCGGGCGACTATTAAACGAAACTTATCGATATACTTGTCGTATATCATTTCTTCATATTCGAATACTGTGTCCACCCATATCCTGGAGATATCATATCTTAGAAGGACGTTACAAACCGTCTCTTCCGACCAACTAGCTGCGGATGAAATATCCTTCAAGTCTAAGAAAAGAGAATGCCATCTATCCAACAGAGCCTGTATCTTCTCTTGTTCTTCCAGGAGTTCTGGTGATACAGGGGTATCGCGCATTTCTTCGAGTCGATAACGATCTCCTCGCCGAACTAGACTAACGGTTCTCGTTGTGATTGCGTCTATGTAGAACTGTGCTTGTTCGAGTGATTCGAAAGATGCTGGGAGTTGGTCGTTCAACCCAAGAAGCTTTGGAAAACATGATGGGTCGGTGGCGAAGAAGAATGGGAAAAGGGTCAGCCGACGAAATATTGGCGAAAGGTATTTCTTCGCCCAGGGATATGAAGCTTCAACATTCTCCAGGATGACGACACCATGCTTGCAATGTTCGATTGCCGGTTCTCTGTTCCCTAGCAGAAACTCGATACATACAAATAGGATACAAACTAGCAAAACTAAGGGCTCATTGTTCATGGATTTCAACTCCTTGATGGCTGAATTATAGTGACACAGTGCGAGTCTGTTGTCAGTTAATAACCGTACCGAGTTTGGCTTGGAACATATTTGTTCGTAAAGGGAGCTGATTGCAACCACCGAATGTCTAACGGCCGGTTCGAAAGTGCTGAATTGCATAACAAGATGGGTCCTGCTATAATTAGATAAATCTCCCATAGGCAATTATTTCTTGAAGTTCTGGGTTAAGACATTTCTCACCAGAAGTAAGGGTCCATCGGACCAGATAGAGAAGGTCCGGCAGCTTGACAAAAGAATTGCAAGGCTCGTCTCTCTCCTACATCATTAACATTTGGGAATAGGTGACGCGGGCGATGCCACGATAGAGCCGATGACGATGGTGGCGGCGCATATCCGTCGCATTTACGGCCGGTAGATACGCAGCGATGACAGTGCGGCTTACTTTCATCACATTTTACCTTACGAATCCTATGCACAGTCAACTTTCTGCACACTGCATAGAATTATAACAACGATCATTGACACACTTGCATGTTAGACATCCCGTCCTAACTTTGGTACTACCCTTTCGAGGCATCGATGGTCGTACTAGCTGTTATTTGAACTAGAGAGGCGAATGGGGGCAAGGTCCGATCAAGCCTGTGAGAAGCAAAAGAGTCCCCGCTTGATATAATGAGATGTAGAAAATGACGGGGCACGATGTCGCCGATATACGACATTATGAGTGATCCGCGAATGAACCGTGCCGTAGGACTTATGGGGCTGTTAGATCACATAAGTCAGGATTATGATTATGGCCCGTGCTATCCTGGCAAATAAGTCTGCTGAATTCGGTTGGATTACGGGTCTATCCCCACTATATTTTCAACCAATCAACGCGAATTTTATGTTTGTGGTCTCGTACTTATTGAGTGACTTATCTGAAGATCTACTTGAAGCTATTCGCAACATTGTCGGCTCATCGAAGTTATGAATAGCTTCTTAAACCTTTCGATAGTTTGATCAGTTCAGTTCAATCAACAGTTCAATCAACAGTTCAATCAACAGTTCAGTCAACAGTTCAATCAACAGTTCAATCAACAGTTCAGTCAACAGTTCAATCAACAGTTCAATCAATCAACAGCACTTTGCTTACCTAACCGACATGCGCTGTAATTGTAATTACAGGGCAGTTTTAGTGACTAAATGCGCCATATTTCTACGCCTAAAAGCTCCCTGTAAGCTCCCTGTAATAATAGCGCATATCATCGCTATATGCCCTGATAAATATAGCGTCTTTTAGGGCTTAATGCGCTATAAATATAAACAATAAGTCGAAATAAACACCTCAAGAGGTGCTTATGAAATTTCAATAAGCATAAGTTTTTTAAATGGCTCTGATTGGTCGAAAAATAAGGTACTATGGGACGCTCCACCAGCAAATTTACAGTGGGGATAAGTCTGCTGATACCCCCAAACGCCAGGATTAAATTACTGCTGAAGGTCCACTATAAACCCATAAGTTTCAGTTGACTTATGCGCCATAACAGCTTCTATAGGGGGCGTAGACTGACCAGGATTATACTTGTGGAGGATAAGTCCGAGTGAACAAATCAGAAGCTTTGAATGCTCAGCCTTACAATAATAAACCCACTATTACAATGCGATCACTGCCACATGGCGCATATCAAGAGGATCGTGGCTACAAGAGTTAGGAGTTAGTCAAGAGTTGAAGCCGTAACCCGAGGGGTTGCGTCTATGATATATCCTGGAGCATCGTAGAGCCTCATATTGGAGTTAGAAATACTATAAAGGAAATTCAGCCGATACGAATTACAATATTCTTCAACACGAAGTAGGATGCTTACCTTAGCTACTTACTTACACATAAGAATATTGATAATCCACCAAGCCACATAGGCAATTTCCAAGGATCGTTGTCATCAGCGCCAAGACCGACCGATATGCTGTATTACTGAACTCATTTCTTTCTACTTATTCAGTACCTACCTAGGTATTCAACATTCTTTACACAATAGTTAGCAAGAGATAAATCTATCATTGGCATACGCGCATTAAAGTGAGAGAATATTGGAAATTTGGAATAAAAAGCATCAACTTTTATTTAAGTATCTTGCCAAGCAAGACGAGGTACATAGGTAAGTTACGAAGTAGTGACAGTGGACTATTAATAAGTCACATCCTCTTCGATTCGTCGACCTTAATTAATAATTATACTTTTTCAACCTCCCCTAACGCCTTTGACCATAATTTAGTCTCCATTGTAGCGACCCTCGCCTGCGTCGGTGTACACGACATCAACGACCATGAAGTCGGCGGTGATAACAGCCGAACCTTTGCCAAGTTAGTTACGGATCGGCTTTGGAGAAGCTAGGGATACATGTAGGTTTCATTACTTACCGTCAGACCACTTCACGTTCCAGGTGTCGCCGACGCCAGGGAAGGCGAGCCATTGACCTTCTCCGTCGTTGGTAAGCTTTCCGTCACCAAAGCGGAAAGTGTCCCATTGCGCGACCTGGCCCTCTCCTGGTTTGATGGTGTGAGGGTTGGTCATGTCAACAAGAGTTAACAGGCCCGGAGGACCCATGAGTCCGACAGAGTGGTCGACGATACCAACAGGGTATGTGTGTAACTCATTGAGGCCTTCTTTCTCGCCCTCGACCTTGTAAACTTTGACGGGAGAGACGTCGTCTCCACCGAAGACACCTAAGGTGTTGTTCTTCATTGCAAGGAATCGACCGTCGACATTCTTGTTTGCCGGGCTATTGGGATTGTTAGCAATGGTAATCAAGGGCTAACAACTAGGAAGTGCTTAATTACCAAGATATTTGGAGTTGGTAGAGGTCGAGTTGTCGCTCCACAATAGGGGCTGCGGAGGCGAAAGCGGCAAGGAGACCGAGGGGAAGTAGGTTGACGGGCCACTTCATGATGAATTGCTTTTGGGTGATATTTATGGTATCTAGAATGGAATGTATAGGTAGGGTATGAGGAGAGAGAACAGTTTTATTAGGTCGTTTACTGTTGTTCGCTTTGACTGGAGAGCGTTGAGGAGAATGATGATGATGATGATGATGGGAGGCAAAACTTAGGATCTGATCAGAGGAAAGGGGAGAATTTATGTTCCATTTGATGTCTACGAAAGAAGGAGGGATCCGGCGGATTTCAATAGAGCCAAGAAAAATGTTAATTACCTAGATATACCTAGGGACTTGTCGTGAATCTTGGTAGATGAGGCCGATCTACACATGGAAGGAAGTGGTCATATCTCAAGATTTTGACTTTAATTACATATGTACTTGTACCTAGCAATATTGAATGATGCATTCGTGTTTCTGTATAACGGATGACTACCTAGTATTGTATAGGCATAGGTGGCATCTTTCCATATTCATCGCGATACGATATCACATAAGCCAGCGTCGAAGTAGGAGGTAAGAGGTACGTACGATGGTATCATGAGGTAGGTAGGTAGACAAGGCGAATCATGACACATCTCACACCACACTTAGATGCGAATCGATCAAAAGATATAAGTATGTCCCGTAAAAAGTGACATGTGCATGCGAAATAGATGAGTTTGTACTCGGATCGATCGATATCAGGATACTTGGGGACTTGAGTTGATATTGGTAAATATACGCTCATATGTCAGTCTTGGTCACAGGTTATGGAAAGTACAGGTAACATGTTAGTGAACCCATTTCAAAGTACCCGCCCTGAAAACTTTCAAGGTTACCGGTAGGTGGATGCTGCGGGGCCCCCCTGGGCAATAACCAGGTACACGCGATTGTGCTAATTTTAGTTCTCCACTGACCCAATAGGCTTCTTATCCCACTAAAATGTAGCACAATCCAACCCCTAACTTTCCCAATTACTCCCAAGAATTACTTCAGCCGTAAAGGCTAAAGTCAGCATCTCGCGCCAAGTGTCTCCGCGACGACTTTTCAACTCTAAACATGCTGAAAATAGCCAGACATCAATTTAAAATATCCTTCTTCTTTCTTTTCCCATTCCGCCGTTATGATTCTAGAAGCTGTCAGAATGGAAGATCTTTACCATTGAAGGACCGATGATATCCGTCTTCCTTAGACCTCCATACATATCTGAGATCCAAGAGCCAACGTTGGAACGTCATGTCCTACAAACCCGGAGACGAGATCAACAAGGCCAGACTCATCCAGGTAAACGGAACGCAACTCCGGCCACTGTCCTAATGAAGTCAGATACTAGGCAGGTAGTGAAAGGTGATGGGAAAGGAGGAAATGAACTTCTGGATGATTCTATCTTTAAATTTTCTTAGGTCACATACATCTTCGGTCGGAGCAAAATCCGAGCAAGGGGATATTTGATCACGACCGTCTAGAATCAACATCGCGATGCGTCTTCTACTCACAATGTATAGATCCCTACCATCGCAATTGGCCACGTTACATATCGAATTTTCTTAACTAAAGTATCGAATTCTAAAAACATTTGTCTCTTCGGATATTCAGCTTCAGATTTTATGAGCACGTGCTCTCAGCCTAGAAACGTCATCTTGAAATGCTCGTACTACAGAGAGGCCTCATCGCGGCCTCAGCTGGGTTGAAAATACCAGGCGCCGACCAGGAACATGGTCTAGTAAAAGACATTATGGTTAGCACCATGTTACAGGCGCGTCGACGCGGCACAATTTGGTTGGCAGCACAAAGCGCCACGCGAATCCTGCGCTCTCTGGAATGTGTGCTCGTTTGGTTTGGATTGTCGCCAAATTCCATCGAGCAAAACATAGAAAATGACTTCTTTTCCTTTACGGCCACAGAGCTCACGGACCCAGGTTTTGTTTGAAGAGTTTCTAAAAGTGCACCAATTTTGCGCGACACGATGTCATGGCGAATTCGCCCGTTACTTTACACCGCACCTTCGAGCGGGATCCATCACAACCCGCCCGTGAAAATGGCATGTCGTTGAGTCTTGCTTTAGCATTGCAAGACGAAGCCTTGGGTACTACACCATTGAGCCATCAGCAGACCGCCATATCTCTTCTGAAAGCAGACATTCCCTACATTACCGCTGCCATTCCGCGCATCCTTTCCGCCCTGATAATCTCAATCATCAATCGGGGGCGGAAGACGAGCTGGGCTGATCTACGTGAAGCGATATTGTATTCTCTTTTATCGCTCCTCCAGCTTCAGTTTCTTCTTTCGATCTGTCTCCTCTGGCCAGTGGTACCGGGTATCATTCTCTTACCTTGGCTAAGTTTACAAGCTGTCTCGATTTGGATTCTCCTCCACGTTGCAAATAATCAGCCGATATCTTTCAAATATACCGCAAATCAACTTGGAGATGATGCGCTGATTGACGAGGAGTGTCACTTGGATTGGTTCGTCATAGGCGGTTTAATGGATAATGAACGTATGCGCCGGGAGCTCCCGCCAAAACTTGCGAGGATCTTCGGTCACGATATGCACATTTTCCTACCCCGTAGGCTCGGCTTCATTTTCGATATAGTTCTCACACTTTTTCAACGGAATGTTTATATTCCAACTGGAACATCAGTGGCCTTGTATCAAGCTATACGGACAAGCCTTCTGAAGCCAGAAACAAGCGGCGTGCGCATCCTCGCGCATCACACAGGAACTCTCGATGTTTCATGGCTGCTTGCCCGTCTCTGTTCTGACTTTCCTTCTGGGGCTCAATTAAGCAAGCTTCAGGTGTTTACGTTTGGTGCCGCATCAATTGAAATGACCTTACCCCTTGGCCGCGCTTACCAAAAAAGCGAAGACAATACCAGTCCAAGTTCACCTTCGATTACCCACTTCGCCTTTACAGACGACCCGTTCGCGCAATTTGGGGTGCTTCTGGGGATTCGCCAAAGGTTGGAAGGCCGATTTGTAGGCAGTTTGTATACCATACGCGGAACTATTCAGGTACCGACGAGATCTTGCCTACTTCCTCGGGATTGTCATTATACATTTGATGACTATCTCGACGCCCTAGTGCCCAGTGGAGATCCCCATGCTGGCGTTCTTGGTCAAATATGTAAGGTCGACCGCGAATTGAGCGAAATGCGAGAGTTAGCCGCACTTGCGCAAAGTGTCGCCAACGAACGGCTCAGGACGCGCCGAACACGCCTCAGCTGGACGGCTCTTGGCGCGATAGCAAATAATACGTCTAGTGGACATAAAGGTCACGACGATATGGCGGGGCCTTACTCACTAGAAGAAGTGCGAAAGAAAGTTAAGTCTTTGGAAGGTCTAAAGGGATACGAGGACAACCCGTTTGCAGATGCCGTGATACATCGATACCGGCCACGCCCCAAGAACCACACGCCAACTCAGGAAGCCATAAAAGGGCCAAGAGGCCGTCGCACCGGGATTAATAAGTGTGACAACAGAAGAAGAGGAAGCTAGCATATAATATGATATGATATGATATGCATATTAAATATAATTCTATAATACCTATATTTACTAATATTAATTCATGTCTATAGATGCGTTTCCTGATATCCTTACGCGCTATATTTTTGGGTAGGCCTCCACCACATAGAGCCCCACCAGTCCATACAGTATATTCAAAGCGACCTTGACGACACGTTAATATAAGTAGTGACATTCTTTTCATATCTTCTAGCTTATCATTACCATATGAGCTGTCGATATTTTACACCATAGTCGCATCATTCTGCCAAGGCAAATGCATAGCGGGTTTAGGAAGGAGGCTACTAGTATCTCCAATGTTGCGTTGCAATGCATCGGCCTCCTCAACATAGTCTCTAGAAGAGCTCATAGCTGCTCACTACTAAAGTTTATGATAAAACCCACTGGCGTCCTCCTCAACAAAAAAGAATACCCATGTTAATGTCTTAGTTATATTATAGACATCATGAAGTTTCTAAGTATTGTTTGGCTAGCCAGCATATCCAACGCCTTCGCTCGAACTAGTCGTAATGCAAGTGCCTCATTTGACGGCTTCAAGGTTTATAGAGTGAATACGAGCGGTCGTATAAATGAACTAAATTCAGCGTTGAAGGGTTTATCTATCATCGAGCTCAATCATAACGACGCAACAGTCGATGTTGCAATTTCACCAGAGCACCTTGAGGCCTTCGACACTCTCAACTTTACTACTACAGAGCTGAGTCAAGATCTAGGAGCCGATATTGCGGCTGAGGGTCCCTTGGGCAGCTACCCAGGTTTGTAGTCGCCGCTTAATCTCATCAAATGTCTCATTAAGCGTGTTTCAGGACTTGACGAAAATGGTGTCCCATCAATATCTTGGTTCGATTCATACCACGCCTATGAAGACCATATTCAATACTGGAGCGATCTTCAGGCATCATTCCCCAATAACTCGGAGCTTATTCAGGTAGGACCCTCGTTCGAGGGGAGGCAAATTCAGGGGATCCATCTCTGGGGAAGCAGCGGTAAGGACTCCAAGCCGGCCATATTCTTCAACGGAAATGTCCATGCCCGGGAATGGATCACGTCAAAGGTTAGTTCAATATCGCCGAGTTCGTAAGTTACTACATGGTTAGTCTTTTATGCACTAATACAGGCTACTGTTAGGTTGTCGAGTATCTCCTTTACCAAATTGTCACCGGATACGAGAACGATACGGTAATACAAGCAGTCCTGAACAATTACGATTTTTATGTTCTACCAGTTGTGAATCCTGACGGTAAACAGCCATCTTCTAAAATGTCCGATGAGAATGGCCTAGATTTCATACTAATCTGCCCCTTTAAGGCTTCGTGTATTCCCAAACAAGCAACCGCCTCTGGAGAAAAAATCGGCAGACGCGAGACAACACCACAGCAATCGGCACGGATATAAACCGTAACTGGTCCGTCGGATTCGGAGGCGATGGCTCTTCCTCAAACCCCAGTTCGGAGACTTTCAGTGGTTATCAACCTGGCGATGCGCCAGAAACAGCTGCGCTGATGGCTTACGCGCAGACTCTGGCCGGCGATAAAGGCATCAAGCTGTATATCGACTGGCACAGCTACGCCCAAGTGATCTTGCTCTCGTATGGCTACAGCTGCGACACTTTTCCTCCAAACTATGACAGACAAGTAGCTCTGGCAGGCGAAACGGCTGCTAGGATTGCCCAACCATGTACGTGGAGGGTTTCTATAGTTACCCATTCTTTCTAGAATTTTGATCTATGAATGCCATATTCTTATGGGTAGTTAATTAGGTACCTACTAACACATTTCCTGCAGACAACACAACGTTCGATTATGGCTCTGGTTGTCTCGTCCTTTACCAGTCAAGTGGGAACGGGAGAGACTATATGACCGACGCAGCCGGAGCTGAATTTGGATGGGGAATCGAGCTGAGATCCACCCCCTACGGTTTCGTGCTTCCCGCTGATCAGATCCTACCTAGTGGTATTGAAATTTGGGAAGGTATGAAATATCTCTGGGCGAATCTGTGAGTTGGTAGTAGAAATAGGAGGGATTTAGGGTTAGTAAGTAGTGTGACATTCGCTTTATTTCGGGATATTGATATCGCTACCCTGTTAGGCTTGTAATGGGTTTTAATGAGTTTAGTTTAGAGGAAGCGTTGAAGAGTGTGATTGGAATCTACGTCCACGTATCGCTGAAGAACTGGTTCTGAGAAAGACAAAAATTGAGATATCAATGAGAATGGAAAGAAGAGAGGAACAAATACGGTAAAATATCGGAGGTAATAGGTGCTTCTTTCGGACTTTGTAATTAAAAGAGCTTCTCATAACTCAATTTCTCATCAATTATTAAACTACTAGGTACCTAATTAGAGAGAACGGGGGTCTGTGCGGGGCAACGATCGTAGGATTTAATTGGGACGGGTCTGATGGCATCAGCCGAAGCTGAAAATATTCTTACTTGGTAAAGCTGAAAACCCCTGGCACCCTGGCACCCTGGCTGTCTGGTCTAGGTGAGGTAGGTATCTAAGAATGAATATTCAGCTTGAAACATACCTATTATCATTCTTTCCTTCCAGGTTCTCATGGCATACACGTCTTATCTACCTACTATGGTTAGATGACCTCCCGCGGAACCGTCTCTCCAATAGACGTGGACATGGGTAGCCCATGTCGAATTCAGCTAGAGAATCGAATTGACCCGGACTTTCTCAACGCTCCCCCAACCGATGTCCAGCTCGAAATTACACAGGAACTACCTGCACACACCCAACGGGATACTATTGATCATAAAGACCTATGGGAATTACCTGTCGACGCTCGTCGAGAAATACTAGAATTAGATCTTCCTTCTGGATGGGAAATTCGAGAATGGCCTGGTCTTGCTAGTGTCTCCTACGTCCATCGGGACCGACAGATTAAAACGTGGAAAAGACCTACAGCCGAAGATGACTATACCCCCTTTCCAACCGTAGCGGACCGCCTCCGTTACTTCGACCCGAATACACAACCACCTTTACCACTTGACTTCCGAGTTTCTAAGGGGACCAAACTCGCCCAAGATGACGAACCAATATCAGAAACTCGGGGAACTTTTCAGTACCCCTTGGAAGTATATCTGGTACACACGCCGATAAGAGGATTAAGGCCTATATACCGTGCAATTGACACAGCCTACAATGCCTTTTTCGGGATGTTAGACATTCCTCATTTGGTCAATGGGTTCTTCGGACGCCATGCCTCCTGGGTTCTGCCAATTACACTCCTAACACTCGGGCTTGTCGTCTACTGTCTCTGCTACTTGGTGATCATGTTCATTCTAAGTCTTCCTCTGTTTTGGCGACTCTGGACAAGCCTGTTTTTTATATCAATCTTGACGTTTCCTTTCACTAGATTGTTAAGCACTCTTACGAAACCAGTAGTCGATATGTATATGTTAACAACTGTGGCGGGCACTGGTATGCTTGGACTTAACACTCTCGTAGCACTTGGCAGAGATCAAGCCGCTTGGTCGCATTGGAAAGTTCTAGTGAGCCCACCAATCTTTCTTCGATTCATATTTACTACCTACATACCTAGGTAGTACCTATCCATATCCGAATGGTCTGGCTAACTCGCTAGGTTGGCCCTTACATGTATGAACTCACGAAAGTCCGAAAGGCTCTCCAGGTAAATGGAAATCAGGATGCCGAGATGGAAGAGGACCAAATAGTGAACCATGACAACATAATCGAAGAAGTGCTTGACGAGAGTTTGCCGCTTCTTAATTATCCAAGTCTAACAGCACTGAGAACTGAATTTCCAGCAACTACTTTCACGTCATCTTCCCCGGTGGAAGCGCCGCCCCTTGATTTTGCAGAAACATCTTCGCCGCCGGTCCATATAGTTGCCGAGACACTTATTCAACAGCCAACATGTATGTAATTAGTTTATCAGCCCATAAGGCTTTAATCCTTGCTGTTACTAACGCGTCTGGGTGTATAGCTAAGTGGTCAGGAGATATATGCCAGTGCGTTAAGAGGCATTTGACCGAGGCAGAATACGAATATTATAAGAGCACATACAACACTGTTCTAATCGGCGAAACAGTTATGTTAGAAGATGGCATGGACGAGACAGGTTCGTGCACAGAGAAGTCTTCTCTATTATGTACTAGGATACATACCAGGGATTTACTGACATAATGATTTAAATACAGCTACCACACTGATCAAGTCCTGGCCTGCTTACCGAACCTTTGATACAAACTGCCAGGCCTTCACCCTAAATTTCCTCGACGTACTCTGCGACAGTAACCTATCCGCCGTCAGTACACGTATGGTTCTTCACTTCTCGTGGTTCATCCATATCCCAAACCTCGTAAACATTATCTTAGGGGTCTTGATCTCGTTCGCACCAACATACGGCGGAGAGGGAGAAATCGGCAACGTAGAGCGCTGGGCGCGTCCGTGCTTCGCGATAATCGCTTTCTTCATGACATATGCGTGCGGCTGGACCGTCTTCCAGAATCTGCTTGGGCCCAGGTTCGGCGTGTCACTAGAATCGCGGATCCAGAAATATTACACGCGCGCGGCGCGACGGTACCCGGAGTACCATGCGCTTCAGACAGAAAAGGCGCTGTTCGTATTCATGTTCTTAGTCTACGCGTTCATACACATGGGGATATTCGTTATGCTGACGTATGGCTATTTAATCGAGATGATCACTCCGTTCGTGCTAAACGAAGTCCTCATCTCCCGTGTCATGAAATTTCTCATCGGGTACGCGTCCGGCATAGAACCGCCCTGCGATCGTCTCAGTATCGGTGGGACCTTCGACTTCACCTCGCGCTCCACCATGCACATCATCAAGCTAGCCGTCGCGGCCGTAGCTGTGTTCTTCGTCTGGCCTATCATACTTTACCAGCGGATGTCAGGGGAGCCATCTTGGTTTGATTTCTCGTGGATCACAGACGTGTTTAGCAATTGGGCCGATCTGGGAGAGTTCAACGACAAGCACGAGCAGCTTATGGAGCTAGCCTACCGATACAATATCACGGTCCTCCCGACCGCTTTCAAGGCCGCGGCGAGGAATGGTAGTTTGAGCCAAGTACCGAGAGCAGCGTTTAAGGTTCTCCAGCATAGTAATTTTACGGAGTTTGTGAGTCCGGCGATTTGTTTGGTTTTTGGGGTGGGAAATGGAACGGGGTCTGGATTGGACGGTGAATTGTGATTTGTGTGTAATCATCCGTCTACCTGAGAATACCCATCTATTGATAAGTTGACTTTATTTAGGTACCTACTAGGTAGGTAGTCAGGTTCGTCAATTGAAGTTACACTCGAGCTCCTAAACCCCCTATTCGATCAAAGACGATGGGGTTGTCTCATCACTATAGACCAAAAGACCACTGGGTCGGACTCAACGTGTTGAAATTTGCTACGTTTATTAGTCCAACGAACTTGAATAGGGCGGCTATGACATGTTTACTTACCATCGGATGTTTGAAAGTCCATGTTATTCCATGACTCTGATAACGAGAAAGACCTGGCGGACCCGTCTAGCCAACCCATCCAGTCCTCTGAGGTTGTAGGTTCAAGATTAGGGGCCTTGTTAGGAGCCCGACGATTTTGAATAACAATGTTTAAAGCTTTGGCAGCTTTTTGCGCGTCCTTCGAAGTGCTACTATGCCGAAGCCATATGTTATAAGACGCTTCAAGATACTTCAGGATTTTCTCGATCAGTGCAGACTCGGCTGCTTTTCGGATCTCCCCGGGTGTCTTCTGAAGGTATAGGCAAAGAATGCTGATGGCAAGGAGGAAATCATGAGACACCAGGGACGAAACCCTCCAACGTTCTTCATATAACCGGCAAAACGGTTGCGTCTCTTCGTCAAACATACGTTGGTACTCGAGGAGTTTAAATGACGCATCTAGGATGGCTTCTCTTGAATAATTGAATTGGTGTGGTGTCCGAGTATGGCTAAACTGCCGATGGAGGACTATTTTGGCCCTGTAAAAAATGATTCGTAAGAAGACCTTTTGCATGATCATCTTCGGTGAATCTGCGATGCATTGGGCCATAGACAGCCATTTAAGACAGTCGGGGATAGATGCATGTGCTTCCTCGAGCTTAGCATCTATACTCATCACCTCCGCGTACGTGTGTGGTCTGATATCGGCGGCAAGATCCCATATCAGGCCAAGGGACGACATCATTCGGGACTTGCTAAGGCGATAAAGCATTATCGTTAGCTCCGTACCCGGTCTTGCGGGCGGTAGCTCTACCGTGTCTGCATCAAAATCGCTATCGTGAAGATTACGAGGCTCTTCTGTATCGGCCTGTCCCTCTTTAACCAACCTCGGGAGGCCCATCTGAGCAGAAATTGCGAGATCGAACTCAACAAGGGTTGTCCAAACACGTCTGCGCATCTCTCCCGCAAAGGCTGACATTCCCTCAAAGTGCTTTGGGTCTCTATGGTAACCCATATGCATAGCAATCTGCACAATAGTGCTCAAGAGGATCCAAACGCCAATATCGGCATCCTTGCAGAGGATATACTCCTTCATGAAATAGAGGATCATTGTCTCTATGACATATGTGCCTCCTCTAGTATACCTACCGAGGATGAGACATTGTACCGTATTGTGCCTGAACATTTCCATCATAGCCTGCAGATCAGTCTGCGGGGGCGTACTGGGTCGGAACTGCTCCCCAGGGTCTATTCTGGACACCTGAAACTGAGCTGAGAGAGACATGATGGCGAATAGGAGACCCAACCAGATAAAGGAGGTGGTAGATGGAGATTCCCAGAATTGCTCGTACTAGTGTTACGCGGTCAGTAAAAGATGTGAACATAAGGCACATATGCGCCCAGTTACTTAGACGGTTATGATATTTATATGCCTACCTCTTTAAGAAACTGGTGCGAATGCAGGATGGCTAATTTAGAATGGTCAGCTTTTACTGTATCCGCAGCACGATTTCGCGACTACACCAACCGGGAGACATTTCGAAGGAATTAAAGTAATGAGAAACCAGTCGGTCGGCAACCTGCCTTGGAGGCACAGAAGCCAAAAGCTCCTCTTTATTTGCGTGCCTAGAGCATCCATATAGCAATTGGGGTCCCGTTATGTCAAATTCAGGTGTTTCAGTGACTTGATGCGTATTTTGCGACTCTTCCTCCTCGAGATGATCTTTAAGCTCACCGATCCCTTCGAGAATCGCCGCCCAGTGGGCGCTACTCACATAGCTTACGCTCGCTTCGCTTAATCTCATGCTCCCGCAGTCTGATGCTGGCGAGGCATCTTTGAGGATTTGTTTGGTTGAAGCAGGGGTGAAAATAGAATCAGTCGACGACATAGAACTTGGCGACTCAGGCGTCGTGTTTATTCCCGACGTCTTCATTAAGTCAACTACAAGGCTCTCCAGCTGTTGTATCCTATCCTGCACACTTAGAGGAGCCTTTGTCGACTGATTTGATCCATCGTGAGATGGCAAATTTGTAACATAAGTGCAGGACGAACCCAAGCCTCGTCTCGTGCATGCGCTACACGGATGCTCTCGGTCACATTTTAATCTAGGGAAGTTAGGTAAGTCGATCGTGGTATTTGTGGATGCCGTAACACATACTTTCGTTTCCTGCAGAGGTTGCAAGATAGTTGCGGTTTATCCCGACGCCTACTTAGTGGTAGACGAGCACGGCCTCTAGGCGTAGTTCCAGACCCACTATAGGGGATCCGTCCGTCTTGATCAGGCATTCCTTATACGAACTCGCTTCGAATTGGAAATAAGAGCAGATTCTTGGTATCGTTTCTATACATAAAGGATTTAATATGAAGGATATATATTCCAAGACTGAAAGAAATATAGTGATTGTCGATATTATAATCATCATCTCCGTGGTCCGATCCTCCGCTCCGATCCTCCGTTGCTTCCCACGCCTCCTTATTCCTTGCATTGCCAATCGATATATGCTGTAAGATTTTCGGGGATTTTCACGTATATCATTAATGTCTGTAAGATGAGCAAAGTACCTACCCAAGTATATATGGATTTCGTTTGAGTAAGCTTTGAGAGCTATCAACTCGATAACTGATCGTCATGAACCTGCATGTCATGTGACACAAATTCAACTCTAGGTCATAACGTTAGAAGTATTAAATACACGAAAGTTCTTTCAAGCGGGAATATATCTATATAAATACATCTAGGTACCTACGTACTAACTACCTTGCTTGTAGCGCCTTCCCGTGCCTTTGGCACTACTTAAGTGAATGCCCAGGTGGTCACACCCGACAGGACTGGCCCTATATCACAGGAGGTCAGTGTACTATGAGGGGTCCCTAAAAATAGCAATAGAGGCCACTAGCGACTATATTTACAGTGATACACAGCCAAAGATAGGTAGTAATAAAAAGGAGCCTGAAATTGTCAACTATAACGTACCTATCTACATAAGTATCACCATTCACTATATAATATTATATGACCAAAATCTAATGATTCTTAACTTTGATCAACCTTGGCAACTTTCTTAAGGCCAATAGTCATTATAATTAAATTGCTCGCACCTATTCTTCACAATTAGGAATTAAATAGTATGTGTTTCACTCGGTAAGGTTAACGTTCTCAGTCGACAATTCGGTGACATGCTCTCGGCGATCTTCTACATCTCCAAGTTGCACCCTCCTCCTTGCATCAATGTACATCATGTACTCCTGGTATGTATCTACATCATTACAAGTTAGTTATATATTTGGGGCTTGCGTTGCACAATTCAGTGAGTATGCGAACTGTTTATTTCCAGGAGAGTTGGAAACAATGGTGGCAAGGGTAATCTAAGTAGGGGAATCGAGGTGATAATAAACACATATAATAGCAAGAAAAACAGACATTGTATAGAATAACGGGAGAAGAATGAAGGGTAAAACATACGAGGTAAGACCTTAACATCCTTTGGCACCAAGAACGTGTAGTTAAACTGGCCCGTTGGCTTCGCGTTCCCATGCTCGACGTCCCGAACCTTACTATCTACCCTAACATGCAGCCGCGTCATCGGATTCTTCGGATCCCTCTGCTGCGGCTCGCTGCCATCTTCCTCTAACAGCGACGGGTCCGTGTACACGACAGTAGCCGTTAGGTACAATACGCTGCCGACGGGAACCGGATTGCGAAATGTACACGGATCAGCACTGATAAACGTCGGCCGTGCGTGCGCAAAACTCGCCGCGCAGCAGAAGGCTAGCTCGAACGTCTGTTTCAGGTGGAAGCCTCCGAAAATCATAGTCTGATGCCGGTTGCGGTACTGCGGCTGCATGATCGAGGCGGTCGAGAGCTGGGTCTTAGACATAGAGATCACGTTCGGCGGCTGCCGGATACTGTTATTAGGATCGTGGTAGGCGAGCTGCCGTAGCCAGATCTTGTGGATTAGGGCTGATTCGGGATCGTTTGGTTCCGTCTCGAGAAGGGAGGTTTTGAGGTTCTTTTTCTTGGCCAGGGCTTTGGCTTCTCCGGCTTTGAAGATCACCTCTTCCGAAGGCGTGGAGGCGAGGAGACGCGGTATGTTGACGGGTTTCTTCGTCGTCGGGTCTAGGGCTACCATCGTGAAAGTGCACGTGAGAAGCACGTCTTCAGGCTTGCTAGGCTCGCCTTCGTCCCTGGCCCTGGCGACCTTGCATGTGATCTCTACGCTGCTTCTCCCAGATGCGTATGTTACTTGCCCGCTATATTCGAGATCACATATCTCGGTCAGCGGGTGAGCGATAGTGATACGATCGAGAGCGGCAGTCACAACAGTAACGCCGGGTCCGGTGTGTTTGTAGACGATGATGCCGGACAAAGCATCGAGGTCCATGAATATCGTACCTAACCTATATCACATCCATCTAGTTAGAGGATGCGCCTATTGAATGAGAGAAAGGAGCCTAGGACCTTATTTGACCCGATGAGTTGATATATGTATCACTAAGCCACGGGTCTCGTCCCAGCGGAAGCACAACTCGGTGGTAGCTATCGCTCATTTTCTTAGGTGTGAGATCGCGCTCCTGCGACCGAGCCTCGTCAGAAGCGATGTTCTTCCCTTCTTGCTGGAGTCTCCATGCTTCGATCCATGACATGGGTAGACGGTCATCCGTGAGACCGCGGAATACACCGTCGGTGAGGCGGGAAGATGTGACATGGAAGCATCTCCTAGGATAGGAGTGAGGTTTTCTCAGGAGAGCACATCTCTCTAAAACTTCAAGCCGGGAGGCTAAGACAATTAACTGCCGGATAGCGATTTTGCTGCAGATCATGGTAGAGAAGCCATTGATTGGGTAGAAGTTAGTTTTATTTATTATTTGATCTAGATTAAATACCGATGACGCAAAACAAAGTATCCATGTACTTCTTACCACATCAAATGTGGAGATTGATTGTCAACTGAGATATCATAGAAACTAATGAAATCATGCTTCCTTCCTACCTACAACCTACCTCCTATGCAAACTGAGGTTTAATAAGACACGCGGCTCCCATTATGACACCTAACTTATAAACTCAAAAATAAACATCAAACAGTTGGATACGGAAACACCATTGTTAGGTAAAAAAGATAACCGAAATGGAGAGAAAAAAAAATATGCAATTATGCGCCTCAGGCGGGGGTCGAACTGTTTTATTGTTAATGATGATTCACAGGAAACATGTGTCAATGACCTGGAGTTGATATGCACTTACCCCGCAACCTTGGGATTCCGCAATCTGATCGGATAAAAGTCCCACGCTCTAGCCAATTGAGCTACCAAGGCAGGCACATTGATTGAGGTGAACTCCGAGGTACAACCGTTAGGATGATTACCATTGGATGATTACTGGGGTTTCTTTTTGTTTTATATACCAAGTTTTCCTGGCTAAGGTTTCTGGGCTTACTTAGTGCGTCCTGTGTCTTACTAAGATTCAATGGTTATGTAATGTGACTCGGATTCAAGTTCCAAGTTGGGTGGCTCTCTACGTAGAGAGTAATTAGCATACTACCTAGTAGGTTAAAGCTATATCAAATTGCAAGAGACTACATAGTAAGTACCTAGGCAGGTAATTACAATTTGAGGAATACTATAGACAGTGAATACTTTCCAAATAATCATCTAGAGACTGAGACATCTATAGATTAATATGAAGAATGCTTATTAGTACCTAGTAGTAGACCATATGCGAAATATAGTCGACATAAAGGCAAATACATAACACAATCAGTATACTCAATGCTGCTATGAAACAATCTGTCATATTGACATAAATAGAAACTCAGTATATATTTGTTTAATTAATACATAGGTCGTAGTATGACAGAGTGTGATTGTAGATACTATGTAGAAAGCCACATGACTTGCTCTGTCACTGAGAACGTTCTTAACTTTTTGCACAATGCAGACACTCCATTGCCCCGCCTATCAATTTCAAGTGGATCCCATTCCGGCACCCGGAATAGGTACCTGTATCTCGTACCCAATACATCAAATCAAGCCACTAATGACCCCACATCTAACACACAAAATCGCACAGCCACTTTTCAAAAATTGTAGGGTTTTCAAGCCCTTCAAAAAATTTGGCGAAAGTGCGGGTTGGTCTAAGCCTGCTACTCTAAGGAAATTCTCGTGCCTCCAATCCGGGAATTGGAATTGAGTAGACCTGCGATCCACGACCATTCTTTCCATAATCACCAACCCTTGATCGCAATCAGTCACAATGGTTAGTACTATCTTTCGATTGCTATGCTGCTATTAAATACACGAGAAATTCCTCATTTCGAATAATCGATACGCTAACATGTCAATTTACTACAGGCGATCAAGCACAACAACCAGATCCAGCACAACCGTATGTCAACCCAAGGCCATCCCTCGACGATAACCGAGCGATTGCACTAGAAGTAACAAGACGAATGAACTAACCAAAGTACATAGATTTCCGAAAGGATTGGCAGCGACGGGTTCGAACTCACTTCAACCAGGTATGGATACGAATGTCTATATAAAAACCATACCGACGAGATTATAAAATGCAAGATATTCTAACATTGTGATGGAAAATAGCCCACCCAGAAGATCCGCCGCCGCTCTGTCCGTGCTGCAAAGGCCGCCGCTGTCGCCCCTCGACCCGTTGACAAGCTAAGACCTGTCGTTCGATGCCCGACTATCAAGTACAACCGCCGCGTTCGTGCCGGACGTGGTTTCACTCTCACTGAGTTGAAGGTACATTCTTCGCAAATTCAAACTCGACGTGTAATTTTCTGGATTATCTTTCCTAACATTTTTATAGGAAGCCGGTATCCCTCGTCTCGTAGCTCCCACCATTGGTATTTCCGTCGATCACCGTCGCCAGAATCTTAGCGAAGAGTCCCTCGCCGCCAATGTTGCCCGTCTGAAGGCCTACAAGGCCCGATTGATCGTCTTCCCTCGTAAGGGCGCCAAGCACCCCAAGGCCGGTGACAGCAAAGACATCGACCTCAGCAATACCCAAACCGTTTCCATCGTTGGATCGACCCTCCCCATCGTTCCCGTCGGCGAGGGCATCTCAGAGATCAAGAAGAGCGAGCTACCCAAGGCCATCGAGGGTGGTGCCTACGCGAAGCTCCGCAAGGCCCGAAGTGACGCCCGACTACAAGGCGCACGGGAGAAGCGAGCTAGGGACAAGGCCGAGGCCGAGGCTAACAAGAAATAAGATGGGGGTTGAACTCAGACAGGGTCTGCACGGGAGTACGGACGGCATCATCAGGGTTCTGCTTTCGTTGTGTTGTTGGTTGGTCATGGTGGGTTGGCTTGCGGTTTCTGTGTAGCCAGGAGAGAAAAGATATCACCCTTCTCTCGCCACACAAAAAGACTGAAGCCATTATTGCATCTTCCGGTTTGCTCTAGGTCTTTCTCAATGAAAAATGAATGGACATGATCTACGTCTTCGAACCAATGTGACGTGAAACCGCGAAGTGCCACATGAGCTAGGGCATAATGTTGTAATGGTTAAGCAAGCTCAACAAATTTTATAGGGATTGGTAGAAGAGCGTCATCCAACGATCAGATCTACCAGGATTTGTATTCTAAAGGCTTCTAACAAACTTGATCTTCTAACCTTTAGGACAAGCTAAACCAAGCCCATAATATCGACGTTCTACAGATCGGTCTTCCCATGTCCAGGCTTAACGTCTCACACCTTATTCTCATCGTTAGCAATTAGCTCCCCATCCCGTCTTCAATACACGCCTAAATTTATTTATTGCCAGAGTAGGCAATTCATCTGGACACCGTTTCAACAGCTCGGCGATAAGCACTAGCCCGTTCTCCCGGTCTACCTTCGCCATGGTTGCCGCCTGAGCCGAGTCAACTTGCTGCGGCTCCAACTGGCCCAGTCCACTTAGCGCCGAGAGGTCGGGTGTAGACCCCGGTTCTTCTTCTTCTTCTGGGGTATTCTCTTGGACGATGGCGTCTTGGTCTTGGGTTCCAGGTGCCTTCTCTCCGTTAACAGCCTCGACGAGCACGTTCACGATCTCAGGCCGTTGATGCAGGAACCGGGCTACGACACTGGCACCGGAAGATGAGCGCGCCATCAGCGCAAGCACAAACCATAGCTCGGATCGGAGGACGGGAAATTTGGTTTGTAGCCCAAGATACAGAAGCGTGTCGGCGAGCGCGGGATGTACGGCATAAAATTTGTCTATTGCAGACAGGGATAGAGACGCAGTTTCTTCTTCGGGTAGAGGAGTTGCTGTATCAGAGGCAGGGAGCAACGCAGAGCCTACCGGCATAGAGGAGTACAAAACCCGGCAGATGTTGGCTACCGCGCGCGCTGTCTCCATCTTTATTGGGTCTTGATCTGCTTTGCGGTGCAGCTCCATCAGCTCGTGGAGTGGTGTCCGCTGCTCTTGCGTGTCTGTGGTCGGAGTTAGGGGTAAGCACACACGACGCACATTTGGTGCGCAGTTCACGAGGAGAAGGCGTGCGAGAGAAACCCCGTCAAATTGAATCTGTGGTTGCGTGTCCATGGCCCAGGTCTGGGGGAGCATGGCCGCGCCCAGGATCCCAGCCGAGCCTAGCACGGATTTGTTGCTAGGGGGAATGGATAGATTCTTTAAGAAACTGAGCGCGGAGTGGAGGAGCTGGAGGTCGGGAGTTGAAGAATCAGAGTCGGGGGGCGAGAGAATTGCGATGAGCGGCTTGTGGATAGATAAGTTCTGTACTAGGGCGATGCTGGAGGCGTCAGAGCGGGCGAGGTTGCCGAGCGCGAGACATGCTGCTGTTTGCAACTGTACATGCTGAGAGGAAGAGAGCCATCGGAGCAAATAGTCGACTAATGGTCCATCTAGGGGACAGAGAGATACAAAGAGAGGGTTTCCAGATAGATCGGCTAAGGTCTGGGTATATGTGGCCTGCAGTTGGTTGAGCTGTGCTCGTTCTTCAGCGTCTTCGGTTTCGAAGATACGGGGGGCTTCGATGACTATTTGAAAGGCTGCAAGGAACACTTTGATGGAGTCTGGGGTTTCGAGGAAGCTCTCTTGGAAGTTCTGATGGGAGAGATATGTTAATGCGGCAGTAGATAGTCCTACGAAGCTATCTAGATCTGTAGATTCTGGGTTGGAGGCTTCCAAGGTGGCACGAGATAGGAGAACATGAGGTGCTTGTGGGACGAATAAATTAGGCTCGATATCTTGAATTCCGTTAGTGCCAAACTGCGTTGGGTAGGTATCTGGGCTGAAAGTTTGCTTACCTTGCGCTGCTACAAGGCCTGCCAATTTATATAAATACGCCGACGCTCTATCTTGTAACTCTGGGTTTATGAGGAAGTCAATTATGGCTTTAGTCAAGTTCGCTTTGGATACAGCTATCTGAGCAGGTTCTAGTTAATAACTCATTAGAAGACATCCATATATTTGCGATCCAATTGAATATCCTCACCGTAATCTACACAGATATTATATAGAACTGGAATGGCGAATTGTAATAAAGTGTGATGATATAACAGACCGACTAGCTCAGGTAGACGACCTGAGTCAATAACCCGTTGTCGGTTTTCATCTATTATATATAGTAAGCATAAGGAAAACTGAACTGGGCTATAAATCGGACATGCAGACCTTTGTCTGCACAAGTATTCCCTATGATACGAAGTGCAAATGCTGTAAGATCCGGATCTAAGTTATCCCCTTTCAGGAGTTCAAGGAAAAAATCTAGTAACCCGGATTTTCCAAGCGGTATTCTCCATAGTACTAAGAAAAGGATGTTAGCGAGGTGCTTTCTATAAGTATTATGTGAACATATAAAGTTATTTGGGAAATATGTGAATGTTTAAGAAGTGAAGAAGTGAAGAAATGAAGAGATCGTTCACCTTCTCGACTTCCAATAGCAATACTTGCAGCTAAGATCTGAAGATCTGGAGACCCCGCTTCCTTCAGCTCCTGTGCGACATCGAAGATCTGTTGTAGTGTCTGGGTTCCTAATTCTTCGTTTTCGGGGATGTCCTTAAAGAGGACTTGTATCTGATCAGGCGTCATGATCTGCGGTCCATCCCAAATCGAAGTTCAAATATGATTCCTGCGGTCACATAAACAACCGTCGTGAGGGGGGGGAAGGAAAAAAAAAGAAAGTCTCCGACTAGGTGCCTAGTAGTTGACAAATGTTTAACTATTAGGCAGGTTTATTACATAACTAAGTTTATATATATTTCTTTAGATTTGCGGCAGTGATGATGGCGATAGATGTGTTGGTGCCTACCAACTCGAGATTGGTTTAACGACGAATGATTGGATGCCCGAGCTCGGGAAGGTCCCCGACGAGTAGTGCTTCCACTAATCGGAACCCTATCCGGGAAAAATTAGGTGAGCAACGTGAGGCTCTGTACCTTTTTACAGCGGGTCTGGAAGGTGCCCGCCCACTAACTAAACGAATAAGCTGAACTAGCGGGGAAGACGCGTCACCCTCTCTTTCCCTACGCGCTTCCCTAGATACCTCCATGGCTGCTACTTCTATTTTCCAACTGATACAGCTATCCTGAATTTCAATATTCCCTTTAGGAACATTATCCTAGAATGAAGTAGAGAACTTCCAATACCCATCGTGAAAATCAACTCAATTACTAAAGGATACCTATTAATCTAGGCTCACTCGGTCAACGAGGAAAGTCCAAGAAGTATGACTACAACAGATCATTTATAAAATCCATCGAGATCCTATAAATACAGATAATTGGTATAATTATTTCAATCTCCCAAGCTCTTATAGCCGACGGTCTTCTCTATGATGCTTCGAAATTCCAAACGCTAGCTGTCAGTACTTATTTTACGAGAACTTCGATCGACCCCGGCTTTCGGGGCCTTGTGAGGATACCGTACTCCAGTCTATCGAAATGTCTCGTAACAAGTTACACGATTTAGGAACACATTCGTGGTTCGGGGGACGGAAATCTGAGACTGTTACATCAGATCACCGTAATCTAGAGATTCTATCGCATCATAAGAAAAAACTGGTTGCCTATATGTTTGTCAGAGATGTCATCACTCACTATCGGTTAATTTGTTTGGCAAGGCTACCTTTCGTCTGTTCTACGGGAACGTGATGACTTAGAGAGTTTTGAAGCACATTTGGCGTTTGTGTATCGAGCAAACCATACCGTACGGAAGATAAGAAGGTACCGAGGTCCCTCGTGTTCGTGATATGCCTAATTTCAACGATCCGGTGTGTGCGATGCTAGGTTTCGCCGCGAGAATCCGTTTTGATCGGTAACCAACATCTCTCGGGTCGATCTTGGCGAGCAAAGAGAATCGTCTGCTCTGCTCTTCTGAATTAGAAGTTCAACACCTACGCGGCAACTTGCCTGGCCCTTTTTTGTGATCCATAATGCTAATCTTTCATCGTCTAGATAATAACCAACACAAAAATGAATTTTAAAAATCCTCCCAGTCTCCTGGAGCCTCGAATCAGGTCATAGCGAGTCTATTATGTCGTCACTTACACTCGTGATATACCTACCTACCTAGGTAGGTAGGGACGTATTCAGACGATTCTTCGTGACCCCACGATCCGATGAAAATATGGATACGTGTCCGTCGAGAATTGTTCTTAATACCTAGAATGGCAGCAATAACGCTTCCTGACACTAGTTCGACCACTCGCATGTTTCAGCGATGATCTAAGTCATACCTTGTAATCTCCGTTATCCTCGTTGTATGACACAATCTCCATAGTGTTTGGAGCAAACACATTGATCTCAAGTTCTAGTATACCCATTCTTCAAATACAAAGCGGTGCGCGTGCCACCCACATTTATCACGAGCCCAAATTGAAATGCTCCGTTAATCTGAAGCTGGTTCTGCGGAAAACAGGATGTAGAACAATACAACATAGGGCATGTCCTAGGCGGGGCGGGCGAAGGTATTGTTATGGATATAAAAAAAGGCGATTGCCATCTCTCCGGCCAAGCACCCTCGGTCTCTATATCAGGTCGCGACGCACTCCTCACTGTCTCTCGTTCACGATGGCCATATACTGGCTGCTGTCATTCGTTTACCTAGTAGCATCCACTGCGGTTGCGCAGGATTATTTAGGAGGCGATATTTTAGATGCCACCACCACAAAAAGCGTTACTGAGACGGTCACCAAATATCTGGCTCAATGTGGCATCACCTTTACCCCGTTCGAACTTCCGGATACGACACTTCCCGGCACCACTACAGTGACCAGCACATTTCAATCCACCATCTCCGTCACCGTAGCCAATGTGACTAATGCCTCGGGCGTCGCTCCCGTAGGTCTAACTACGATTCAGCCTAGCATCAATTATACGAGGTTTAGCTCGTACTCTGTGGTGGGAACAGGTGGCTATCCCTATCCTATGGCCAACACTTCCACGCCCCCTGCAAATACCACGAAGGTGCCTTGCTCTACGGCGACAGGTATATTGATGACTCGACGCTTTTGCTTTAGAGTCTATTATGAATCTAACACAGGGTATTATAGTTACCATCACACCTATTAGCGTTCCTATCTCCCATAGCACCACTGCTGTTCGTAGTACATCTTCTATCGCGGCAGCAAGCGTATCTCCGACTCAGGTACCAGTCAGCCAGTCATCTTTATTAAAATACGAGACGATAATGCAAAATGTAATAGGATTGCTGGGTATTGTCTTCATACTGACTTTTGGTTTCCTCTGAGAAAAGAGAATTTACTAAAATTAAAAGGACGAGAATAGATGGACGGGGTTGGCTTTCGGGGTCTTGATGTATAGGTACTACTTAACTCCGTTTTGCTCTCGTCCGGATATTCTAATGTTTTCGAGGCGATGCTTTTACGATATTTTAGTGGGATAACGACGGCAATGTCGAATATACCTAATGAGTTCTTACATTAATGGAATCTCCTCATGTTACTCACACTCGTAGGGGATGTTATGTAGTGGCTTGGGAGAAAGTAATATCCATGTCCCTGTCTCACCAAACACTCATAGGCCACATAGACGGAACGGTGGTAGATAGGTAGGATTGAGGTTCATAGATCAATACCCAATTATCGTACATAAAACTGCCTTAATTAGGCCAATTAATCATACTCACCCTACCTAGGTAGGTAGGTAACCTAACGCCTAGTTCTACCTAGTTTTAGCTCTGTCTCTTTCCCTGAGTACGATAACATTTCCCATTAACCCCCTTCTACATAACCGTCCTACACTGACCTTCTTTGTTTTCACTTGGCTATCCGTAAAAATAGCCCCTTATTTGAGATTCAGACTAGCTTCCAAGTTTATTACTATGATTCCTTGGGCCGGGTTGATGCCCGAGAGTGGCATTTAGTAAGTAATGCTCTCGGATTTGGTTGAACAGTGATTCTTCTCGTTCCGCCCCTATTGGTCTAGCAAGTGCTGCAGTACCACGTTCTAATCACATTAGATAGAGTATACGACAATTGTCACGGTAGAATCAATGCCATCTATATATAAAATGTGACATAATGACAGGAGAAAATGTCACTGGCTATGGTAACATCACCCCGTCTCGGTTATTTCCACACTAGACCTAAAATAACAGCATTTTCTAATGGTAATTACAGGTATCCTCTTTCAAGTCTCTTCTAAAAGCATTTTCATATAACTAAATATAGGTAGATATCTCTCTAAGTTTTCTACTCAAGTAAACATAATCAAGTTTCCGATCTCCTTATCAAAAGTAGAAGACACAATGGATCATTAGACACCCCTTGTTAACCATAATTCATAATTCATTACACCCAGTTCCTTAACCTGGCCGAATCTAGCACACACGCCAACCATATCCTACTATACCAGAAGCTGGGACCATGTGTCATATTTTTGAATGACAGGTACCTCCATATAACAACTATTCGAAGAATGGATCCTCCTTCTAAATTATGCAGATCTCGGTTAATGATGTCTGCGTCTAACTTGATGACCGGGTCTGCAATAGCCGCCGCAGCACTCGTGGTAATATGGTTCATGGTGACAATGATGTTTATAGTCAATGTGATACCGCACCCCCACTACAGGTCCTGCCGACCGACCTCTCGGCGAACCCCTCGGTGGCGGTGGCGGCGGCGGCGGCGGCTGTGGTGGGGGTGGGAGTTGATAACCGTACGGTACACCTTGTGGTATGAACGGTTGTGGAAGGGGTCTGAGATTAGGGGCAGTATAGCTCAAGAACTGCATACCTGCCGCGGAAACCGGACCCAGCCCATACGGACCAAAATGACTGGCTAGTACGTATGCTAGAGGTGGCTGCGCGGGAGGAACGTAATAGCCATAATTGCCCGGATAGTAGGGCTGGCATGGATACATTGCCAAATGTAGGTATCTGGTAGGATGGTGTAAGCCCCGAAGAAGTGATAGTAAGAAGATGAAAGGCTAGGCTAGGTAGGTAGTTGATAATTTTTATAGGTAGGGTTGTGATATGTTGGACGAGGTTGATTCTACGACCGCAAATCGTGAACATTAGTGACGCGTGTCAGCGCCAGCCTAGTTAGCTCGGACAAACATATGGAGCGTTTAATATACTGCATATAAGATAAAATTTAATTCAGAGTAGAAACAGCTGGAATCGTTGGGTTTTTCTGTACGTCCGTGGGTATACCGAAATGCACATGAAATGCACATTTGTTCAGCTGGAATAGGAATAGGCATAGCTGACTGTTGCAGATGTTAACAGGAAGGCTACCAATAGGAAACGCAGGTGACCTTGAATATTATTATGAGTTACTTTTCTATAACATCGGTTATATGATAGTAAGTAAGTGGACAGCTCGAGGCATTGTTCAAGGCATTCCTCTAGGCGTACTTAATAAATCATAAAGAAGTTAAAATTTCCACCAATGTGAACAGAGGTTGTATTGGTCGTTATCGCTTACCCCTGAGAATGCACTTATCAGTGATATCTAGTTCTTAGATGTATAACTCGTTAAGGCAGATAACTGGGTTTAGAAAATACCTACCCAGGTACCTACCTAGTAGTAATCATGTGTCCTTTGTACCTTGTTCCCTGTCCCCAGTCCGCGTCGCGTGTACTGTACTTGTACAATATTACCAGTCTGCCAGTAAATGGAAATTAGAAATTAGACTTGAACAATACATATCGAAAACTGGCCTCGACAAGATCGCGATCGCATACACAATTGTCCAACACCAACATTCCCGTCGCTCATTTGATAATCTATCTACATCGGCTAATTCCAAGATAAGAGGGGATTCTTATACTTATCACACTTTTCATTTAGTTGTGCACGGAAGAAGTACGCCAGTCAACATGACGCGCGCACAGCAAACTATCTCCATTGGCCTTCTCGTCACCTCCGTACGTCAACCTAGGGTTCTAATATTTAATTTATATATACTAAGTACCTGCTAATATCTTATTCCAGCTCTACCTCTCCTTATATCTGCAGCTCGTTCCGCTTCCCGAGGTTGTCCAGACCGAGATCGTCCCCGTTGTACGTGCAGTTCCTCTCCTTTCTAATTCCTTACCCATTCTATACTATTCAATTGGCAGCTTCGCCGACTCGTCAATAATACATACGTCAAACATATCCAAAAGGAAAAAAAAAAAAAGAAAAGGAAAAGAAAAAGAAAGAAAGCGATAACATGATATAGCTAACCTAAATTGGAAAAAACAAACAGCTCCCCTTCTGGGCCCTCGTCTCTTTCGGCGCGTACCTGCTCTTCCGCCTCGGCTGGAACGTGATGACCTTCCACGACGTCCCCGAAGCCCACAAGGAATTGACGGCCGAGATCGAGCTGGCTAAGACCGACCTTCGGCGTCTCGGCGTCGACGTGGATTGATCGGGTCGCATGTGGGAAGCCGGAAGGGTTACCGGAATACTTTACGACATTTGTGAGGGAAACTGATGCGGATGGTGGAGGAACGAGACGAGACGGTCATGATGTGCTATATACTATGGATTTTGCTACTCGAGGAGGATCCCCACAAGTATTAAGAAAGTCGCCTGAGTACATGCTCATATGAAGGCTTGACGTGCTGTTGCGCCCGTAACCGCCTCGCATTAAGGTATCTTGGAATCAACAAAATTCCACACCAGCTCTATACTCCGATCCTTTCAAACGAAGTGCTTCCTACGCTATACTATGAATTTTACCGTCGCAGGTTTTATTGTCAGATACAGATGAGGGGCTAAGCGTCGTGTAGTGTGTAGCGTGTAGTGTGTAGATTGTAGCTCCAAGGTTCCTTGACCCAGCGACCTTGACGTATTCCAAAATATCAAGCGAGGAGCAAACCTACCTACCTAGTACCTATGTAGGAGGTAGGTATCTTGTATGATGCCAGATAAAATCCGAAGTCCGAAGTCCGAAGTCCGATGCATTGCTCTCCCTATCCTAAAGACCCGTCATATGCTCATGAAACGTAGCCCGCCATGAGTTCACGGCTCAACTTACTCGCAGAACGTCATTTGATTGTTGTTCTTTACCTACTGGATAGGCGTCAAGCGTTCACCCCTCGCCGACTAGTAAGGCGACCACCGTTCTCAGGGCTTCCATTGGATCATTGTTCTCCCGGATTAGTTTATCAAACATGCCTGGTATACTCGTCAAGCTACCTCTCGTATCGTGCCCACGCCCTGTAGAAAGGTTAGATTATTCTTTACATAATGACTACTAAGAGGTTTGTTTGACTCACATTTCGCCGGGACCCTGAGCAATAACTCCATCTTGCTCTGCGCCTCTCCCGTCCAGTCGAACTCAATACGCCACTGGATGCGAATACTCGGTACCTCTTCCGTGCCGGTAGGGTCAGACAATTCCAGATCTAGATTCGTCCTACCCAATTGAGGAAGTAAATCGGTTTTCGTGAGGCGTGCCTTCTTAGTTCCCAGTTCCTGCTCGTCCTCCTCGTCATCGCTGCCATCCGCCGCGGCTCGCCGACCTAAGCCTCTTTTCCTCGTATCTTTTCGCATCTCCGTAGCACATTTCATAAGGCCCTCACTGCTTCCCAGGTCTCTCTCGACGGCGCACCAGAACTGTGCTCTCCTCGTCGCGACACGGAGCCACTCGCTCATAGCCCAGGTGATGATGCTGACATTTCTCGTCAGCGCGCTGGTGCCTGGGCTATGAACAACTTTTTCTACGAAGGGTCCCAGCTCGGAAACTGCGGATGGCTCGATACGAGGTACACTCAATTCGGTGATGGACAATGATTTGGTATTGACCGTCATTTCAACCTTAGCGGCGAATAATCCGGGAGGCGTAGACGAGACGGAGACGACATGCTTTTGCGAAAGAGGCCCCGGATATATAGACTCGTCTCGCGGTATTATCGACACGGTAGAAGTAAATGTCAAGGGCGTGAAGACCTGGAGATAAGGCAATTCTTCATCCGCTGTCATGGCGATGGGATGGTGCGAGGCTGGAGGTTTCTCGGTCTCTTCTTTTTCAGTCCTTTCTGGCTGCGAAGCAAATAGGATTGGAAGCGAAGAGTCTGCTTTGCTAAATGGGAGGAATGAAATTGGATTTAACGCTGCTTCAAGCCAGTCTTGTGTTGGATCGGGAGCCGCCTCCTTTTCAGGTGGTAGGATGTGTCGACGTAATAAACCGAGAAGACCATCTTTATCTTCTGGGCCTCCTAGCCTCGAACTACCCCGCCTTGTTTGTTGCAACTGATGTAAGCGATTATTCTCACGAGTAGCAAGTTCTAAATCTGATTTCAAGTGAGCAATTTCAGCGAGCAGCGAATCTCGTAATGTCTTCTTATCAGCTAATGGGTCCGGCTCTTCAACGTTTCGAGCCGAATGCGATTTTCTTTTTTTGTTCCTTTGCGGTTGTTCCCTTAGAGTTCTTAATTTTACTACTGCGCGGGACGGGGACTCCTCGCGCAAAGATTCTTTGGTAGGTCCTTTGGGAAAGAGAGGCGGTTGCTTGAGGGGAGAACTCTTAATTCTCTCAGCTAACGCTCTACTTCTTCTAGGGCGTTTTGTAGGTGTATTATGAATTCCCATAGGAGAGGTGTTGACCGAGGCAGGGTCGGATATCCCCTTCTGTGTCGGCGTAGGGGGGAGTTCTTGTTCTTGTTCTTCTTGCTCTTCGGGTTGGATTGGTTCCTCTGGTTCTTCTGCTTCCCCCTCTGCCTCCGGTCCTTGGGGCTCCTCATGTATTTCTCGTCCTTCTGCTTCTTGTACTTCAGGCTCTTCTGACACGGGCTCGCCGGGAGGCGGAGAGCGCCTCAGTGCACGGCCTTTGAATGGATTCATCAACTCTAGATTTCCTGCTGAAGGCTGTAGCATTGGTTGTGCCGATTGTTTGTTCGGGGTTCTTCGCGGCTTAGAAGCCATAGCCCCTGTAGCGCGTCGAACCGGACTCCATGGCTGATCGGCTGGCGTAGATTGCGCGTCTTGCGCCTCACCACTGGTCTGTTCCGTACCATCTCCCGCTGGTCTGACCTCCGGGGCCCTCGAGGCACTTCTTCGCTCTAAGATGTCGGGATTCGATCGCGCTAGACTAGCTTTCGTCGGCGACGCGAAAGACGGTCTATGTCGTTGCGCAGGTGGTCGACCAAGCTCATTCGAGGTCGGTGGTATGTTCGCATCGTCTACGGGAACGTTCGTCGTGGGCGAAGTCTTCCTTCGCTTCGGAGCTGAAGAGTCCATTGAATGTCTTCAATAATTTCCCTTATCTGATCATGGCGTTTTCGGTCATGTATGAACTTCATGGACTCAGTTATGTTAGCCGGATCTCCACTCGATCTCAACCTCAGCCAAGACTAGACTTCCTAAGTCTCAACGCCTGTTATTCTCTTACTCCACCAATTGGATGTGGAATGTGTCTGACATATGAATTTAGATGCAAATCCATCAATTTCAAAAATAGTACTATTCATCAGACTCAATGCAACGGATGATGCCCTCCTTTTGTTTGCTTCAATCTAATATAGATGTTGCGGGAACAATTTCAACTCGCAAGACGCGTCTAGAATGTGTAGGTGGATGCTGACGCGCCGATCCCCACATTGATAAGTACGTACCTATGTCCACTTTATCAATACATGCATACATAATCTATGCCACGTGATAAAGCCCCTCGCCCCAATTTTAGTACTTGCCGATGACGTGAAAGCCCCGAACACTAGCCGGATCTCCTAAGGGGGAAAACATACGTTCTTAATTCTTTTCATTTACGCAATTGCTCCTACAACCAACATAGATATCCTAAATCAACCCCCGCCCAGTCATTTTATACTGCGCTCCATAATCTTCATAATGCCGCTCAACACAAGACCCTTAATAAGAGCCTCTAGGCTCAGCTCACTCGCCTGTCAACCCCAGGCCCCTCGGGCTTTCTACTCGAGCGGCGCACGACTTCCCGGAGGCACCCTCGGTGAAGCCTCTCCCGGACAAGCAGCGCCGCTCGGTCCCTATTACGAAGCCATCCTCAACAAACCGCAACCTATTCCCGCAGCCAAGCCCGAAGAGCCTCCTACCTCGTCGCCTAAGTCGCCGCGGACCACCGTTAGGAAGATACCCGCGCGGAAACCTAAAGAGAGCACTGACGAAAAGGCCGCCGTCTCGCCTTCCGGGCCTCAAACATCTGCGCAGCCGGCCACAGCTCAGGAAAAGGCACGTATAATCTTTGGCTCGCGACTCGTCGGCCCAGCCGAGCGAGCCGAGCGCCTCGCCGCTATCCGGAACCGCAGTACGCTAATAGCCGGCGTGTTAGTCCCCCCGCGGCCAGAAGAACCCGACAACTGCTGCATGAGCGGGTGCGTTAACTGTGTCTGGGACCGCTTTCGGGACGATATGGAGGAGTGGGTTGCTGCGTCGGCAAGGGCTGAAGCGGCGTTGCAGGCTCGGCAATCGCAAACGGACCTTACTCCAGACAATGTTGTGGAGGCTGTACGGGGCGCGGAGGAACGTATGCCAGGCCGGGCTAGCCCGACCAGCGCAGTATCTATGGATGATGACGGTGGCGGCAGCGAGACGAACTGGAAAACGGATCTGAAGATGGCAGATCAGCCCAAGATCGCAAAGGACCTCTGGGATGACGACTTATACAAGAACGTCCCGGTGGGTATTCGGGAATTCATGAAGCAAGAAAAGAAGTTAAAGGAAAAACACATCAAGGAAGGGACTTTCGGCGCTTAGAGAAAAGATGGCTACATCATATATACCCTCATGTCGAAAAATAGAAAATCCGCCAAACTCCCAGGTCGTACTCAAGTCTGACTTCATGAAATTCCTTCCGATATTTCGTTATTCTTCAGTGCTCGGTTTATTCGGGTTGGGCTATTATTTCCTCGATGTGTATCGAGCGTGCCCTCATGTTGTCTATCAACAGGCCGTATCTATCCTACCTACCACCTACCCGGAAAGGAAATACTTTAGCTGCATTTCTCGTCTACTTACTCACTGCGCCTATGCGGCGCCATTGCTATTTAGTTGCTTCATTGCCAGCTCGTCGTGCGCATCGATATCCGTCGCCTCCCATGGATAACATATCCATTCGTCGCCTATCGTTCGCGCCGCCAGATATCGCGATTCCTCCATCATGTGGGAAGGCAGCACGCCCTTCTTCTGCTTATCCTTGTTCTATCAAATCCGTCAGTACTTCACGACCCAGGCAAATCTACCGGGTCACCTTGAGGCTCAAGTCTACTTACGTGTAAGACGAAAACGCTGAACTCTGTCTTCTCGGCGTGAGGGCCTAGCTTTTGTCGCGCTTCTTCGACATCCTTCTCTAGCTCCTTGACGGCATACTCTAGCGTCGTTCGGGTGTCGTCAACCTCGTCTACGATCAGGATGCGCTTTCCTACTAAATTCTGGATTTCGCCAAGACTGCTTAGATCCAACCACTGCGTCCGAGTGACCTTGGTTCCAATCTGGTCTACGGCGCCGGTAGCTTCATTCGAGAGGTCGGCCACAGGAAGCTGCTCGTATAAGGACAGGCCAATGGCTTGGATGGGGATGTTTGGACTACCAGGTTGCTTGAGGAAAGAGCGCAAGATTCGGGCTGGTACGTAACCACCACCACCGATAGCGATTATGAGTTGGGGCTTGAACGAAGCCAGGATCCTCGGGGCTGCCTCCTGGCAGAGCTTATGGACCTGTTGGTAGCAATATGGGTTAGAGAATGAACGACAAACACATAAATAACCTCGTTCGGAGCTGCGGTTCGACTTGCGCCGACTTGCAAGAGACGAACAACACCGCGGGGTAGTCATGAGGTAGTAATAAGTAGACGGGCAAAGATGAAGATCTGCTTACATCGTTGTAAGTGACGTAGATCTTCTCCACCATCTTGGCTACTGCAGGCGTTCTGATAGTGGGGGAAATATCGGTGGTTTTGCGATTTTATATTTGTAGGATACGCAGGTAGGAAGAATCGGATTGCAGAAAGCGAAGAAGTCGATTTCAAGGGAGGATATAGAAATTAGAGAATAAGGATTTGTCAAGTTCTTGTCTTAAAGAAGAGAAAAGAACTAGAGGGGGGAAAGTTCCGAGTTAGAGCGAGTTAGAGCTTCCTGAGTAGGGAAAGAAACTTTTTATGGGGCAAGGTTTAGAGTGTGGTTTTTTTTCACGTGGGGCTTAGAGGGGTTGATTGAGTTCATTTAGGGAGACATCCTGTGCTTTCCTGCGTTCCCAGGCGCGTCAAGCTACTTGTACGGACAAATTAGGCAAGTCATTATCTGCTAAACCTAGCGAACCCAAAGACAATCTGCACCGTCACACTGCAGTTTAGTTACCGACACTTTAAATTCGACGGCCATCTCCGCTATCCTATAAACTTCGTAAGCTTTAGACCCTTACTGCTACTTTTTAAATCTTTAATAGGACGAATTTTATTCGCACATACATACCTAGTACCTACCTACACCCGCACACCACAAACACACCCACATATACATTTACATATGCCATAATACATGAATCCTTACCGATTTACATAATTAAACGTCAGTTCTAATATAGATATTCCACAGTGGGTCTAGCGTCATTCACCAGAGATAGTAACTCCAGAATATACGTATGGAAAAAAGTTATTAATTTACTAAGTATACAATGATTAACATAACTACCTGGGTAAGCACCTAGTAGAATAAGACTAGTTAATAAACAGGTTGTGTGTGATCTGTCAAATCTCCAACCTATTCCTGATATTCTTAAGGTACCTAGTCAGGTAGTCAGGCAGTCAGGGTACATAGGGTAGCACCGCAAACAACCTTAGAACCTTGATTCAAGCAGGTAGATCAACGTAGTGGAGAACCCCGGTGGTGATAGTACATTATAGCGAGTTTTGTCTCCGACTCCGACTCCGACAAATCAAATTCACGCGCCACACAACCCTTCACGTCTTAAACTTCACCATATCATATTTTCCAAACTTTAGTATTCCCGGTAACCTATGATTTTAGCTTGTTTATTTGCCTATTCGCTATTTCACGACTTTCGTATAAGGGTAAAAAGTACGATCGTGTAATGCCATTAATATTAATCCTCCTTAAGTAAGTACTTACTTAGCTAGCAAATTAAGAAAGAGTCCCCAACTTAGAAATGTTCAAGACAATTCGGCGGTAGCTACTAATAGGTACCTACTAGGTACCTAACCAAACCTTAAAGATCGGGCGATACTAGGTAGGTACTAGGTAGCTCTCAAGTGCTTACAAAATCTCAACAATACCCGCGGGACAGTTCCCATTCACCAACTCTTACCATTATGATTGCTATCCGGTTCATCAATGTCAATTTTGCTATTTCAACTCGATGTCTATACATTCATTTCAATAAATCATATCAAACATACTTATCTACCTAAGTAGGTACCTATACAAGAACTTTCATGTTATCAAAACACTAAATGCCTACCCATATGCTCTTATCGCTGCCGCCTCTTAACAATCATCCAGCATGGAACCACTTATACAGGGAGAGAACTTTCGAAGTAGCTTCATTTTTGAAGACTTTTGTCGAACGAACGAAGATTGGTTTGTACCAGACGAGCAGTAGTATGATCCTGGGGTGCGAGATGACGGAGAACCGGAGACTCGAGAACAGAGAGCAGCAAGATATGCACCTCACGAGTACATCACAGCCCAGCTCGATTATAATCGACCAACACACCTTAAACAATGTATCATAGATATGCTACCGTACGCGCCACAATATGGCCCCTATTTCCACGTCCAACTTCTCACGAGGAGAGCTTTAAAGCACTGCAAAATGATTCAAAAAAGAAAAAGCAGAGGCGTCTTACACATACCACTCGAGGCGTCGCTGCCTCCTAAACAACCAGAAGTCGGCCCTGTGCAGGTCATCAACTTTGCCTGGTTTTGGGGATACTGGGTTATCGGCGATAGAAGAATCCCCATAGTCAAGTCGAGACAAAGACCACTAGACGAGGAGCTTCTAAACAATAGCAGAATAATAATGCCGATCCGGTTTGCTCTATACTTGAGAGGGATACTGTGGCCGTGGCAATATGACTTCGTCGAGCGGCGCGAATTGGTTTCTAGGGCGGAAGAGCTCAAACAGCAATATGGGCAAAGCTTGGTTGTCCAAGCCTTATTCGAAGATATCTTCTCTATCCTCTTTGCCCTTGAACGGAGAGTCCTCTATGATCCAGCATGTCTAGAACTTCTACATCACCGAGAGTGGACATCTCCTTACCAAGAAAGGCACGTTAAACGTCAGGGAAAATTATACATGTTTGAAAAGGCACTCAGAAGATACAACAAGCGCATTCAGACCGGCACGTTTGTGAGTCGCATTGGGTATGCTATATCGGAAGGGGGCGAGCCTCGCGACTGGGATGAAGTGATGATAGATTATGAGGAATACGGTGGTGAGAATTATGATCATGATGGATTCGAGGTCGAAGAAGAGGAAGAGGAAGAACCGCTGGGAAGAAGGCATAGCTGGTAATTGGATGATCGGCGCCGCTATCCCTGTAACTGTACGCTGTATACCTGATTCGTCGTGAAGGCTTGGGGTTCTTCTCATTTATTTTAGCGTTAAAGCTGTGTGAGCGCTATAAGGACTGACCAGGTTTAATAGCGTTGGGCACTCTTACAGCGGTTCCGGGTTCATAAGAAAGTTCATAGGTAGGTACCTATATAGACTAACTGTAAGTAGAATCAAATTTTGAGCGATTAACACTAAATGAGTCTTAGCGAATCATAAATCAGATCCAAATGTACCTTTTCTTTTCTCCTGCACAACTTTAGCAACTGCAGTTCATCACATTGGCGGGGATGGGGTTGGGGTATCGTACATATGTACAACCAGCCCCACGATTTATTAATATCTGTCTCATTGTTTTCTTTTCCTATATAGCTCCTACGAGATATCAATCGTTGGATGCATGTCAGAAGTGCGCCTTTGGGCTTCACCCCACGAAGTCCAAGAAGCCACCGCCAAAGAAATCTTCCATACTAGGAAATATCGCATTATCAGACATGTCAAACGATTGAAATATCGACTCAGACTCAAGCGGTTCAACACTTGATCCGAACATCTCGTTTGCGTGGTACCCCGAGGCTTCACGGGTGGGCTTGCGAGCGCATCGACCATCGAGCCCAGCCGGTACACTAGTTCTATCATCCTGGCAACCGTTCCGGTCCTCAACACGTGCTCTCATTGATGGTTGTCGAGGTTGATGAGAAACTGTTGAGGTTAAGCCACCATTTATCCGCGACTCTATCTTGTGCTTGGCTAGTGTGCCGTACTTGTAAGACCAGGCCTTACCGGGAGACGTGGTAATCCATTGATCAATCCGCGTGATCAGATCAAGACTTATTTGATCCGAGACCTTCGACTGCGATTCATCGTGGTGTGCGAGAAGTATGGCACAATATCCAATACAGAGACATAAGCAAGTTGGGACCGCATCCATGAGGAAAGACGGCATTTCTAGGAATGTTTGCAAGACTACCATGGCGTACTTACACGCATTGGCTCTCAGAATATTACCGTCATTTTCTTTAGTTCGTCGGGAATGTAACGGGGCGTCGTTCTCGTCATCACTTCCATTATCATTATTGCCATCTGCTCCTGAAAGAAACTCGCGAGGCCGTAACCCCTGGCCCACTTCTTCAAGAGATCTAACGGCCAAAATAAGACAGGCAGCATGATATCCAATACGCAACATTGACGAAGTTGAAAGTCCTATCACGATTAGAAAACGCTCTTGGTAACGCGTTGCTGTTTGTAGCTTACCTAGCAGATGGTTCCATTTCTCTTTCCACGCCAGAAACTCTTTGCATTCACCCCCATCCCCGAGATACGATTGATGCGCGAGCTTTTGATGCAACGTTGAATACAAGAATATTTCGGCGACAAGCATCCCATCTTGCATAGTAGCTTCATAGAAACTGAGCAGAATATTGCACTGGTCTATGTACGGCATCGGTATGATTGATGACCTGCCCGTCGTTGCGGCCCAACTACGTTACAACCGGACGTATTAGCCGTCGAAGGGAAGTCCGAAATGCCGAGGCTTCGAAGAGAACTCTGAAGAAGGACCTACTGAAGATGGTGGAGGCATATCTTAGACCACAGGTGGATGGCTTTGTGGTCTTCGGTTGTCAAACTACCTTCCTTGATATTGTTAATTATCTTAGAGAAGCTGATGCTGAGCATTGCTTGCTTGGCACAATAGCCGGTCAACAGCCAGCTATCGACATATTCAACGCCGTTCTATCCCTAATTAGATTAACCGCATAAACACAAGTAAGTGGCACCGTACTTACACTGCTTGGACTATTCGCATTATTACTCATGATTAGCACGGCATTGATTTCTTCGAGATTCAATGGACTAGACAGGAGGGCTTGTCCAAGAGTGATCCGCACTTGTTCGTAAATCTGCCTGTGTATTGATGTACCGCATATATCATCGCGATATACCACGCCGATTAGACAGCAAACACTGCGTAGGAAGTCTGACACTTTACGGGTCTCATCGCTTGCAGACAGATCCTCAATACCACAGACAAGAAGGTTATGGCCTTGGTAACGAAAGAAGCTTGGTACCAAATCAGTAAATAAGTACGTCACAGATCCGAAGGCGCGTAATATGTCAAACAGGAAAGGGTAAGGACACTAGACTTACAGCTGGATCAGTTCATTGACGGTCTGTTCGTCAAGTAGCTGGAGCTGCACGAGGTCAATATTGATATGTCTCAACAACCTTCTGCATCCTCTCGTTATTTGCTGTGATATCGATCTCAACACAACAACGGGCGCAGTTTGGGCCCCTTTATCTGCAGGAACTGAGAGAAACTCGGGGCTTGGGCTCTCCTGCCGAGTATTTGATACACGTTCATGGCTATTATGAGTATAATCTCTAACAGCCTGCGTTCGATCATTCCGCGGTCCAGCACCTGGTGTCAGATCCTTGATCATGGATTTGATCTCGCGCAATTCATCTTCATAACGTTGAAGCCTAACCAATTCATTAGCTTGCGTGGCCAATAGTTTTATGGATACCTACCTTTCTTCGACGTTAGGACTAAGTTGCTCGGCAGGTGTGGGATGAGACGGTGTCACTGCATATTCTCCGCGGAGAGAACACTCGATTCTTTGTGAATATTATATATTAGTTCGTGCTCCCCAATGCATACGTAAACTGCGATCCGAATCGCCAAGCCTATTAATATAGGTACTATGTACTAACCTCAAGGTTTGACAACGATGACAACCCTGCGCACCAGTGTCATACTCGCATCTACACTTCAATTTTTGGCACGATAGGCAGGAGAATGCTCGTCGACGCCGTTTCTGAGGGGGCTTTCCGGTGCCGCTCTCTTCCCCACTGCGGCGTTTCGAGGACGTTGAAGATCCTAACGGAGCTGTAGGCATGCTTGAACTATACACTATGGATACCAACTGATTTGCGTCATGTTGGACGAGGAGTAAAAAGCGGAAGCACCTTCGCCGGCGGAAATCGGTGGTATCTAGAGGAAATTTGCATTAGGGCAGTCGCAGCCCTGAGAGTATGGATGCACTTCCAAGTTGACTTCTACGGCACTGTTACTACCTAATTGAAGGAGCCACAGGCCGGTTTGTCCCGACCGGCAATGTCCGTCGGTTATCGGCGGAACTACCTAAAGCCTTTACAAATGTTAAGTAATAATTATATTATATTATATTAAGTTATAATTTTTACAATTAAGCAAGTTTAAGTAACACGTAAATAACACTAAATATGGAAAATAAATATTATTATATTAAAGTATAATTATTTCGATTATATAAAAATGCACGTTGTTACTTAGAATTAGACCAGGATGTTGGTATTTGCTTTTTTTATGGCTTTCCTCTTGTTAGATCCACGCCATTCTTCCTGGCTAGATGTGACCGAGTCTTTTGAACATTAATAATATAATAAAATCAGTTCACACGCATTCAAGTACCTGAACTCCCGTTCTTTTTTTTTTTTTTTTTTTCCTCATTAATACTTATCCTAGGCAATGACTAGACACGTTCACTTTGATAAAAAATTTCTGTTTGCTCGTTTGAAAGCTTTAGGTAGGTAGGCATCTCTTTCTAGGTTTTTCTTTTTATCTGCTACGATGAACGATAAACATCACCTGCATTCTATTAATTGCGTACGCCAAACAAACACCTGCTTAGTTTGCCTATTTTTACCATTCATCTCTTTTCATTATGGACTTTCTCATTCAGGTCTCTACAATATCTAGCTACCAGAAAATTCATAACTCTTTTAACATTGACCATCACTAAATAGATAGGCTTCTACCGCAAATTATTCCCCTACACCACCAATATCATATTATTTCTTATTAGAATACTACTAAAAGAACAGTATCTTAAGTTCCGGTGCTATTATATCTTTGTAATTAAAAATCACAGTATACCTGTAATTTCACACTACTTCATCTCACTAATGGTGTTCTTGCGCCCCCCTTTTCTGGTTGTAAGTCAGCGCATTTTCAATATCATTGGTACATTGATTACCAGATACTCTACCTTCTTCTGATACTGACTGTTACCAAATGTCGCATTGAATTACTATATTACTTTATATCACGGCAAGGCAGCTGCCCCCTTTTCACCTTTCCCTTTTATCCTTGCCTACTCACCACCCACCCATTTATACCTTCTCAACATTCCATTATTCCACCAAACTAATATATTTATCATTAGAAACTTGAATATGGTATCTTCAGTAGTCGAAGTATCATCTCATACCCCTTGGGTGTCAGTTAATGAGGATAAGTGGGAGGAAGAAGAGCAGTGCGGCAACGAGGATCAGGCAGAATTTGAACGTCGCTTTAAAGAAGCTTCTAAAATATCTAGGCCCCCTACTATTGATCTCACCGAAGAGCAGGGAGAAGAAATCGACCGAGTAGAGCTAGCTTTCGAGGAGAAGTTGGAGCCTGAGGTTGCTAAGGTCATTGAAGTCATCGATCTAACCACAGGGAATGTACGGCGAAGACCACGCAAGGTGACCAGTCCGCCGAAAAGAAACTCTTCCATAAGCTTGCCAGACAGGTGCCTAGATAGCTACAGCTATAATGGCCTAGAACTCAAGCCTGGAGGGGCGATCGAGATGATCCCAATTCCACATCTCCGGCATGCTTCATTCCTGCTCATTCAACTAATCATCCACACGGAATCCGGTGTCATACTTCGGGGGCTCCCACTTACTCGTACAAGGAATTTACGGGGACAGTTGCCGCGACTTCGCAATGAGGTTGCATTGGTCCTTGAGATTGATAGGGACGACCTCAGACCCTACAGAGAGCAAGCTGCCATCGAGATCCCCTTGCGTGCGATCATCAAGCATAGAGTCTGCCTCATCACCAACAAGCCTTTTCCAGAGCATCGCTTTGCTAGCAAGATCTACGAGAGTATTCAGGATGTCGAAGATAGAGGGGTTCTAATCTGCCGTTGGAAGGTTAGATATGTCTGGGGAGATGCTGCTAAGCGCTGCAACAAGAAGCCGCCTAATGAGTTTTCTATATCGCGCATGATCTCCGAGGAAGTCCATAAAGAGAGGTATCGTACTTCTGATTCATACCTGATGAACGCATGGCGGGGTGGGAAAGTCCGCGGAGGTTCCTACATCCCGGACGAACCAGATAGCTCGCGCCTAATGGTCAACGTCGACGACTCTGAAAATCAAGATGACACGAAAGGGGACGATTGGATACCGAGGAAGCCTGGCCAACAGTACACTTTCGCCGACATGTTCTGCGGTGCCGGAGGAGCGTCCTGTGGCGCCAAGAAAGCCGGTTTGCGTATCATGCTAAGCGTCGATAACGCGCAGGGGGCGTGTAATACATACCGCATGATGTATCCGGAAGCAGATTTACGCCAGCAAGACATGTATGACTTCATAATTGAGATGAGGCATTCTCATCTTCATGTCGACGTGCTTCATCTCTCGCCGCCATGTCAGTATTGGTCTCCAGCCCACACAACCCCCGGTGTCGACGACGACGCCAATATTGCCATCTTGTTTGCTTGTCACGAGCTAGTTAAGATTCTACGCCCACGGGTATTTACTGTAGAGCAGACATTCGGCATTCTCCATCCAAGGTTCGAATATTACTTCAACTCTTTAATCCAAGGGTTCACGCGACACGACTATTCCATTAGCTGGAAAGTGGTCAATTTGCTGACTTGGGGCGCACCGTCGCAACGTAACCGTTTGATCATGATAGGTGCTTGTATAGGGGAAGGGCTACCCCCTTTTCCGGTCCAGACACATTCAGAAGAACCAGTGGAGGGAGACGGAACAAAGCCGTACAGAACAGTTCAGCAAATGCTCCAGACAATCCCTCGTAGCGCTAGAAGGGATGACGAGCTCCACAGTCCAGACAAAATGAAGCGCTATCTAAGACCACGATGGGATCCTAAAGTACCTCTCCTTCGTACTATAACCTGTAGCGGCGGTGTAGGCAATTACCACTATACTGGATTGAGAGATTTTACGCTTCGAGAGTATGCAGTGTTGCAGGGCTTCCCCCCAGACTACGATTTCCGGAAGCCATCACAGAAGAGGCAGATCGGAAACGCATTCCCACCCCTTGTTGTCAAGCAGCTCTACAAGCACCTCCGAAGGTGGCTAGAGCAGAAGGACCGCGTGCATGCTGACAACGGCGAGCTTTCGGGGTCCGAAGATGAGGAATATAAGACCGATTCTGATGCAGCTAACCGCGAGCTGGAAAGTGACGATGACGATTTGCAGTATCTTGGTGAGCGAGGAATCGATAGACAATTAAGCCTAAGCGAGGTGGAGTTCCTGGGAGGACGAAAGCTGACTCAACAAGCCAGTATCCTGACTATTAACTCGGAATCAGAGGATGGTATGGAAATCGACGCAATGAGCCAAGATGTTCTTAGCCCGAGCACTTGTATTGACGTGGCCCAGACAAAAGGGGGAGGTCGCGATAGTCCCATCGAGCTTGACTGAAGTTGAGGGGTATTCTTTCTACTCAGTTCGTGAGCGTAGCTTTAGACCTGGGTAAGGGGCATCGGACGTAGCCATCTCCAGGGGATGTTTCCTGGAATAAAAGGGCTGGTAGAAAACGGGAGGCATGGTTTAGACATGTTGTAAGATGATTATAGAGGTAAGGCTTCTGATCCTAGAACAACTGACGCCACAATAGCTTCGTTGTTCTAACTTGCACAAGCAGGTCATGGATTAGAATGCAATGTGTGCATATTTCATATTTAAGACCGTACGACATGATCGTGCTAATGCGAAGAATCTCACCATAGGGATTGATTCTCTTAATAATAAAAAATCTAATACCTAACAAGAAAGAAATGAGGTTTCGAAGCTTTTGTGATGGAAATTTCTGTTGCGATGTCCCCTGACATTGTCATGCAGAGCTAAACATCCCTAGACAGCATGGCCCAATCAAATATGACTGAATCTGCATTGAAATATCATGAGAGCGTAGGAAATGTGAGGATTAGATATATTAACCTGCACCCCTGACTACTGGGCAGGTACCTACTTTAGACGGAGGGATCGCGAAAGGAGTATTACTCAAATCGGACTCGGAACTGTAAATAGTAAATTTGGGAGGGGGGGTTAAACAAAAACGGAAAAAAATCCAACTGACTTCCAAGGCTCCTATAGAGGATATGTATATAAAATAGGTACCTATTCTATAAGGAATTTACTATACATTGACGATACCTATTCTCGATAATACGTACCTATACCAGGTGTCTTTTGGGGGGATGATTCTATAGGGGTTTAAGAACCGGTAACTCACGCAACTAACACAATGAAGAAGAATAGGATACGTACATAATTACCTAGGTCCTACATAGGTAGTGTCAATGGTCCGCCTAAATCAGTTCACAGACATTGCTTTGTTGTGGTAATACATCCACTGTGCGAGTATGTATGCGGACTAGCTGGACCCGTCGGACATACGAGCTGCAGTTGCTTCGTAAGCATGAATTGAGACCTCGGAATGACTTCAAGTTCAGGGGGCTATCTATCATGCCAGTCAAAACGATACTTGATCAGAACCAACATATCTATCGTACAAAGCTAGGATATTAGGCTTATGGTTAATACCCCATACCTACAGGTGTGTATAGTAACTGGTTGACCGACCTGTCAGATTCTGATAGGCTCGCATGGAGAGATCGATGCGTCCACGTTTTGTAACCGAACTTGTGTTCTTATTGTCACCGTTGTTGAAGATCGTCTATAGACTCATGTGAAGTCGGCGATATTAACGCGTACTCTCTAGTATCCCATTCAAAGATAGGACATCTACAATCCATCTTACAGTAAAGATAGGATATTCGAATTTAACATTGCTAGCTAATACGGAAAGACTAGAAGATCCGAAGAGGAGACGGATTCAACTAGCTGTAATACACAGTGTCCACCGTGGAAGTAGCCGTAAGGTGCTACATGCAGTAGCACTAATACGCTAAGTCGAATTCGACTCTGACAGAAACTGATGAGAGTTTGAAAAAAAATAACCCCCACCGTCGACACGTTGAATACCAAAATTTTATTTAGACCGCTGCTCAACAAGTCAATGATAACACACCGCACCACTAAGGACACAAACCAGATCTATATTCCGCTTGTTAGGCTTCGATGTTTCAATAGATTCAGGAAGTTATTAATGGACCGCCCAATTTTCGTGTTCTGGTTCTTCTGAGACATTTGGAAGGCTAAAATAGTTCTGGATGGCTAACTGTTAAGGCTAGACTAGTACCAGAACAGCCCTGGAGAGGCATCGGGAGTGCCCGGCAAATTCGGCACTTATCACGCAGTCTTGCCTCCAATACTACCTAGGTAACTACCTATGTATGCATTTACATACATAGAACAGGATTAAGATGAACGAGCAAGGGATGACAAAAATATCTGATGACTGTTAGCAAATTTTTTACTATTTTTTTTCTCGTCAGCAAGGCGAATAGGTAGATATATTATAAGACAGGGATCATTTCACGTTTACGATCTGGGGAAAGGGTCGCATGCGGCTGCGTACGGAAAGGTCCATCTGAGACACAACGTGTATATACCCGGCTGTTGGCAAGTCTAGACCACCCAGTGTCGTGACGGACACGGACATAATGGCTCGAGCTGTGCCAAACTGATGGTAACCTCTCTCAAGAAATGAGGCGCTTACGGAGTACACAGTGAAAGAACTATTGACCTCGCTTCCTTAAGGAATGTGCTGGTATTGGTCTCGAGTTACAGGGTTGTCATAATACTGTGTAGAAGATAGATCTGATATGTCAGTATTATGTGTGGTTTATTATGGCAAGTCGGAGCGAAGCATAGCTAGGTAATTTCCACATGCAGCTGTTCGAGATACTGCAGCTGACATGCCGCGCGAGATCCTTGAGGAAGTAAGGCCGCCATCGATCAAATTGCAGTCAACGGAGATATTACCAGGTAGGTAATAACGAGGTAAATTATTAGCAGATGTTGTGATTATGCAAGTCGATTCACTGGCTTGCTCTTTGGAGCTGGTATGGAACCACCGAAAGCTTCAAATCGAATTGACTAATAATAAATCATTCATAACCCCGTTTTTTTTCTTCCCTACTAGATATTCTCTTGCATTTTTGGGTACGTGTGTCTGTGTGTAATAGTAGGTACTAGGTAGGTATTGTACAGTAGTATCAGAAGGGGGGAGGGGAATAACAAACCCTGTGAGAAAAGCCATAAGAAATTATTCTAGAAAATTACAATACAAACCGATTCACACCAACATAAGACGAACAGAAGATTGTCAGTCGTTATGATAGATTAGTAATTTAAAACATATTTCTCATCGTGATCTATTAGTGGACATACCCAAAGCCCAGAGTCCCAGACATCATCCAAGCAGGTACGCTTCTTACCTATGAAGTGTATCGTTCCCAGCTTACGATACCGATGCCTACCATAGATCTTATGAGATCTCGATAGGATTCCCGTTCAGAGGTCACCTTACAAAATATGCAACAGATGTAAGGTAAAAAAGTCCAGACTCAAATTTATTGAAGCATACGCAGCACTACAGCCGTCAGCGTAGCAGTAATGCAAGCAGTGAGACCATCAATGATGTGACGCGAGACGCGATTCTACAGGTCGACCTCTGGAAATAGGGCTAATATTCTATGGAAAGTATCGGAAGATTTACCCCTTAACCAACAAGAAATGGTTGTGATGGAGACACTGACATGTCACTACGCTGGCTTAGCTGGTCCGCCACAGCGCACACCCCCTGAAGAATCCATTGAAAGTCCAGCTCAACATGGAGAGCCCTGGTCCATGCCAAGCTACAGGGTGCCGATCACCATTTTAAAACGCCCGTCAGCCACTCCTATTGCTACTATGATTGTATGATCAAACATTACAGGTACATCCACAGCGCATACGAATAAAGTGGTCTACCGAAGTACACGAGAGTTTAGCCTTTTAGCTCATCGATGTTACAGAAGCCGGGCAGAGGTGTAAATAAACGTCATCCGAACTTGCCGATTATTCGGCAGTAAAGAGGGAAAATGGGTCATCTCAAGTAGCTTAAATGGGTAATAAAACTGATTTACTATGCCGGCTCTAACAGAAACCTGATCACCTAACATACCCCCTTGTACTTGACATGAACAGCTAGCTAAATTTGGCAAGAAGTGGACCCTGAATAAAAGTCAATGATTGGCTAAATTTCATGAAAAAAATTACCCACCTCGTTCACCTGAGCCATTTATGTGCCGAGCTACTGCTTAGTAATACGCTACCGCGCATGGGGCCACCTTTCCTAATTGGGTAGCAACTATTTCAACTATTCTATTGAATTACCCAGCTAGTTCTAAGTCCCATAATTAATCATTAATTAATCAATGATTAATCAGTGATTAATCACTGATCAATTAGTAATTAATCACTAATTGATTAATGATTAATTGTCAAAATAATAGGAACGGAATTGTCATAATTTTAACTTCAAAAATGAGAAGATAATATAAAGCTTTCGATTTCAAAAATATATTACTGAATAAGGCTAATAGATGCGATTAATTCTTAGTTGATGAGATGCAATTGGCTGCACGCAATTGAGTATGACGAGTGTGTGGCCCAGGTGTGGCCCAGGTGTGGCTAATGTGGCTAAAAGACTTTTAGTTGGCCTAAACGTGGCTATAGCCCACTAATTCCCCAAGAGGGCTAGTTGTTTAGGTTATGTACAGGGGGGTATGTTAGGTTATCCCCCCTCTCGCCCCCTTTTCCTCTCCAATGCCCCCCCTGGTCTCTTGATGGAGCCTGTGCGTATCCGTTCAACCCCACATCCTAACGAACATTGCAGGGTGCCTAAGGAAGAAAGCCCCTGTCGATTAGTCTGTCTCCCTTGGCGGATCCACAAACAGATATGTTCAGAGGCGACGAGGAGAGGCTCGCGAGTGGGACAGCAACTATGTAGGCTCTCGGACCACTCTTTCAGGGAATTCGATGCTGAGGAAGTATTGGCTAGGCCATGAACCTCTGCCATAATGGACGATCTGAATTAGGTCAACAGGACCTGACCGCTTTAGTCGCCGGGGCAGGAAGGCTGCGAATGAACAGTCAATGTCAGTCATGGCTAATCACGGGTGGCCGGGTAGCCATGAGTTCCCCTTGGTCGGTGAAGTGATGGTAATTTCAGTCGAAAGAATAGAAAAGACAGCCGGTGCCGTCCTTACCATCGGTTTTTCTTTCTTTCCTCACTCCCATCAAGCTTCGGCCCAAGACAGTCATTCGTTTGTGCTTTCCGGCATCTTCACGCTCTCTTTTTGGAATACTATTATTCCAGTCCACTCTTTAGTGTTTGCCGTTTCTGCGCTTCCCTAGAAAAAATGCGTTTCTCAACCCACGGCTCCGCGGCCGTGGCCATGGCGGCCTCGCTCGCCAGCGCCACCGCGCCGGTCTCCGAACGAGATCTCCTTAACCTCGACCTTCCCAAGGACCTCAGCCAGCCCATCTCTGCCAACGTCGACCTAGGCGTTGACCTGAGTGGCACAACTCTCGCTGCTGGTGTCTTGGCCAACGTGGCAGTCCCCCCTGTCCTGGGCGCCGCTGCTGATGTAGAGGTTGCCATTATCTGTGACACCTGCTACACCAAGGGTAACATCAACGCCAGCATCAACCTCGAAAACGTCGTCCCGGCTCTCAGCCTGTCCTTGACTGACATCGAGGCCAAGCTTGACTTGGACATCGAGATCGGTGCCGCCGCTGTCATCGCAGTGAACCTGTTCACTCCCCCCGCCCCGATCTCCCTTCCCCTTCCTGGTCTCAAGGTTGACGCCTTGATCTCTCTGGATCTCGTCATCGGTGTCGAGACCGCCATTGACCTGTCCGCCGGTATTGACGTGAAGCTTGTTGACGAAGCCCATATCGAGACTGATATCTTGGCTGGAAAGATCCTGGACGCTGCCTTCTCCGGCCTCTCCGTCCAGGTCTTGCCCGTGGAAGTCCGTATTGGTTGCACCAAGCTATTGGCTGACCTTCGTCTCCGCGTCGAGCTCGGCGTCGCTGCTGAGGTTGACGTTGATGACATCGTCCCCATCCTCGACCTCCCCGAGATCGGTGCTGGTCTCGAGGTTGCCGTCTTCGCCAACTTGCTCGAGTACGTCGGTTTCTTCTGCGCCACCCCGTCGTGCCCTCTTTCCAAGGAGTCGTACGGTCTCAACATCGGTGCTGCCGTTGAGCTCGATGTCGCTGTTGAGGATCTCCTCTCGCTTCACCTTGCCCCGACTCTGTCCACCGCTCTCCTGAGCTACCCCACGACCACCCTTTGCGAGCACCCGTCGTACACTGCTTCGATCCCGGCTATCACTGCCAGCGTCCCCGCCGGTGGTGTCCCTACCGCTAGCCTTCCTGGCTCTCTCCCTACCGGCTCTGCAACTCTCCCTGGCTCTCTCCCTGGCTCCGGCTCCGGCTCTGGTTACCTTTCCCAGACCGTCCCTGCAGTCACCTCTGGTACCGCTGCTGTCACCACCCCGGCTCCTAACGGTGGTGCTTCTACCACCTCGACTGTGACCAACACCCAGACTTTCACCGTCACCCAGTGCGCCGCCAACGTTCCCAACTGCCCTGCTGGCTACGCGACCACCGCTACCCTGGTCCACACCACTGTCTACACGACTGTCTGCCCTGCCACCCAGACTGCCCCCATCACTGCTCCTCCTAAGGCCACTCACACCAAGCCTGCCACCCCTGTGACCGTCACCAAGGAGTCTGTCACTCTTGTGCCTTGCTCTGGTGTCTCGACCTTCACTCCTCCCAGCAACGTTCCCACTGCTCCTTACCCCACCGGTGGCAAGCCCGCTGCTAGCACCACTCCTGCTGGCAAGCCTACCGGTTCTTACCCCGTTGGTGCTCCCAGCAACAGCATCCCTGCCCGTGGCTCCTCTTACATTGAGGCCCCTCCCGCCGGCTACCCTACTGGTGAGGTTCTCTCTGCCAGCGAGACCGTCCCTGCCGGTGGCTACCCTTCCGCTAGTGTGAGCGTTCCCGCTGGCACTCCTTCTGCCAGTGTCCCTGTTGGAAGCTACCCCTCTGCCCCGGTTCCTTCGGCCCCGGGTGCTTCCGAGACTCTCCCTGTCGGCAGCGCCACTGCCAGCTACCCTGCCGGTGGTGTTCCCTCCGCCAGCGTTCCTGCTAGCACCCCCAGCTCTCCTGCTGGCTCTGTTCCTAGCTACCCTGCTGGCGGCGTCCCCGTCGGTCCTACCGGTAGCTACCCCGTTGCCGGCACTACCGCCCCGGCCTACCCTACCGAGATCCCCCCTTACCCGACTAGCACCCCTTGCACCACCCTGGCCACCCGCCAGCCCAGTGCTAGTGCCAGCTACCCCAGCACTCCCAGCTACCCTGCTGGTGAGACCCCGATCGCCACTGCCGGTGCTGCCAAGCTCGGAAGTGGTGTCGCTGGCCTGTTCGCCCTTGTCGGTGCCGTTGCTGCCCTCATCTAAGGAGGAGTGAATGAGGAGGATTAGTGTAGTGATGTTGAGGAGATTTGCATGCATGGATTGGAGGTCTTATAATCTGTAATGTTTCATTGACAAGCAAGCGTTGGGCGTGTTATCATAGCTTGGGTATATACCATTTATGTTCATGACAGCTTGTAAATTTAAAGATCTTGGTCGTTGCTCAATTGATTTTCCAAGTGCCTATACCATGTGGACCGTTCGTCTAATGAGTATGTCCGCGTTGTGAGTTCTTGTGTTGTCACAGTGCCTTGCTATAATTACCTACTCTACCTAGTACTAGTCTGCTGTGATCGAATTTACCCACTCTAACTAGGTAAATATGTTGGTTATTAGGTATGAATCGACTGGTTCCTGTTGTACTATGATAATGCGAAACATCTTACTTACCACACGTCGCGAATTTCGCTTTCAATACCTACTTAGGTACCTATTTATTAGAAGCGGCATGTGCTTTGAAAGCACCTAGCTAGATTTAGTTGTCTGGTCTGAAATTGTGAAGCCATATATCTTTTTTCCACCGTACAAGAAAAAAGAACTGAAAACTAGGTACATAATTCTCTAGGTACTTACTTAAATGACTTCCAAGGTTCTTAACAAGCAGAGGTCGAATTCAATCGCATTATTTTTACCCTAGATGTTATCTTGTGTTGGATCTATGTCGCGCTAGGGCCCTCACGACATCAAAGTCTCAATCTGCATCACGTTTTCGACGAGATATCCTAGATACGTGCAAGGTTTGATGCTTTTACAGGTCTCCTCGTACGTTGATTAGAACCAGTGTGGGCCCTCGAGTAACCCCGTGTTTATTCCCATCGAGTAGGTACCTAGCAGGTATGTACTAACATCCTCTAAGTATCCCCAATTCAGTTAGTTTCTCCCTTTGCCCTCGTCCATGCGCTACATGATAATAGTCCACGACATCTCACCATCTTCCCCCGCACTGGTCCCCGCTAGAGACCATTAGGAGGATTCTTAAGCCTGTAATTACCTGGGATGTAGGCTACGACCGAAGGACTACCTAATACCTAATACCTTACGCGTGGATATTTCCAAAGCCTTCCTTCCAGCTCTATATGAAAAAGGTTTCTAATTTCTTCGCGCGTGTTTGACTGTCATAGACGCAGAGTTGTGTTGCTATCAACCTACGGAAGCAAAGGCTACCTTACCCCTATTTCGCATTTCTACGTTACGCGCTAAGGGTACGTAAAATTTTTCAAGTGAGTTAATAAAAAAAAAGGAAAAGACGTCGAGGCTCTCATACTCTTTCACTGAATAACAATGGCGCCTCCGTTTCGCGCCGAGCACTTGGGCTCGCTGCTGAGACCTGATGAATTACTCGAAGTGCGTGCTGCTATTCGGGATAAGGGCATATCTGCGGAGGAGGCTGGACTACCAGCTGTCGAGAAAAAGGCCATCGGTGAAGTTGTCAAACTGCAACAGGAATTGGGTCTTAAGGCTATTAACTCGGGCGAGTATAACCGCACTCGGTTCTGGGGTCTCTTCTGGGATGAGATCGTAGGCACTATTGGCTTGCAAGATGCCGAGGCTAGCATGTTTCGGTTATACCACCCTGATGTCGTGAGCTTGATCGAGAAGGATAGGAAGGTTTTCCCTGGGGAATCTGTCATTGCCGGAAGCAAGCTATCGCACGACCCTAGCAAGTCGATTTCTAACTTAGACGAACTTCGGGCTGTTCAGGCATTTGTTCCCGAAAGTGAATGGGGCAATATCAAACTCACCATGATTGCGCCATCATGGTTCCACATGAGGTACAAGCAAGGACGTGCCTACACTAAGGATGCCTACGCCAACGATGCCGAATACTTTGCGGACGTAGCCAAGGTCTACCATGCCGAACTACAGCACCTATACAAGGCTGGGCTGCGAAATGTCCAATTTGACGACCCGGGAATGGCCTGTAAGTCTATTTCTTTCAAACATGGCTATTGCCACAGCTTGTAACATCAGAAACAGACTTTTGCTCTCAGGACTTCCGGAAAGGATGGGAGGAGGACAATGATAATATTGGAACCTGGGAAGACCTCTTGGATGCCTATATTAAGCTGTACAACGACTCGATACGCGGTTTACCAGCGGACTTCCACTCTGGCATCCATCTATGCAGGGGAAACTTCATAGGGGGTAGGCATTTTGCTACCGGGGCCTACGACATCATCGCTAAAAAGCTCTTCGAAGAGCTTGACGTCAACACCTTCTATCTCGAATACGATACTGAGCGCTCGGGCGGGTTTGAGCCCCTTAAGTACCTTCCCAAGAACAAGAACGTCGTTGTCGGCGTCATTAGCACAAAATTACCGCAGCTGGAGGGCAAGGAGCCCACGAAGGAGCGTATATATAAGGCGGCGGAATTTGTTGCGGAGGGAAGCGGCCAATCCCGCGAAGAAGCGCTGAAAAGAATCTACATCAGTCCCCAGTGCGGTTTCAGCACCCATGAGAGTGGATATCCCCTAACAGTGGAGGACGAAAAGAAGAAGCTATCATTAGTTAGGCAGATTGCTGATGAAATTTGGGGCGAGCCTTAAGCATGTATATGACATTTGAGTCCTGGATTGGTAACGTTGAATATCATTGGGAAAGGCTTAGCGGCGCATGCTTGGTTACTTCAACAGTCCAAAAATGGGTTTCACGGCTATAATATGGGTGGTGGTAGGGGTTAGGACGGGCGAATTTAAGGGGACATACATATAGAGAATCAACTTCTAGGGCAATTATAACCGGTCGTCTTTCATTCGGGAGACTAGCAGGAATAATTTAGATAGGCTATTATGAGTTAGTTGGTATTGGGTGACTCTAGCGAACGTTTCCTGTGCTGCCAGTACAACTGGGTCGTCCATAAAACCTCTCCGGTATGGAGGCGGGGGCGAGGTGCCGTGAATCTTAAGAAATCTGTGATATCAAAGTTATTCGGCTTGGATACGGTGCTTGGATTGATCATTGGTGCTTTGGTAGAATCCGTCATGGTTTCTTCCTCAAGACGAATCCATGGTAAGAAAAGGAGCTAGTGCCATCACCCAGAATATCCAGTTCGATATCCCAATCGGTTCCCTTACAGTTCAGAAGAGGTCTTATAAAGTGTGGCTGCCGGTACGTTACGTAAAGAAATACGCCATCATCCTTAAGCACTCGGCTGACCTACACATTATTAGTAACGTCTTTCATTGGTCGCGGATTTGAGAAGGGGCTATTTGAAATAGCCAGCATATGAGAAGACAGGTCTTGTAGAGTGGATTCGAAGCGGCCATCCACAATAAGACTCACCTCGCGAATATATTGGCTAGTGTTGTCCTTCACATCGTCTGGTGGGCACCACGGGCTACCATAAATCATAGCATCCAACGTTCCCTTATCGAAGGCAATGTCTACGGACTTGTCAGGCAGGTCGTCCATACGACGGACATCCGCATATTTCCATTCAATGCCTTCCATACTTGAATGTCTCTTAGACATAATACCCACGACGGTCGAGGAAAAGTCAACACATAGCTGATTCTTGTAGCCCCTTTCATAGAGCCCCACCGGAACATCCTGTTAAAGAGTCAAAGATGTCAGCCAAACATATCCAGGGGCTCTTCTTCATATTCATCGATTGATCTCCATTATTTAAGAAGACATACACTATCTCCTGACCCCAGATGTAATATCTTTGGCTTTGAGTCTGGGTTCCGATTTTTAAAGAGTCTGATGTTGAAGAACGAGTCGAGATCACCGAAAGTTCGAAACCACTCGTGAGTTGGCCGGTCGCCGTTGGCTTGACCGTAGCGCTGATCCCAAAACTCGGGATGCGCCAGACGCGCATTCTCCTCGTCGGAAGACCCCATGGGATTACCCGCGATTCCTCCTAATTTTGTGTGTCCTTAGACTATAGTTGATTTATCTACGATCGCGGCCTAGTCTAGTTGTGAATGTGGTATTTGTGGCAGGTACAAGTCACGTGACGGAGCCTAAAGGCTAAAATACCTACCTAGGTATGTACAGAAGAGGGGGAACGTTATTCCGAATTTGATATGTAAACGATACCTACATATATGTACTTATCACCCCAACCACATGATGTATGTATTATGTAACGGTTCTTATTCTCAATTTCTCATCCCAAGAATCGTGATCGCCACAACGAGGAAAATCTCCCAGGCCGCTGCTGAGCTCCTAGGTAGCTAGGTAATATCAGGAACTAATTTGTTGGAGCCTTAAAAGTTGATTATGTCTTGTAAATTCTACCGACCTGACAGCCTGATAGTCCTGACTACCTGAATACCTACGTAGGTATCTTGGCATTCCCTTTTCGATATGATCGTCATTGACCGCGTACGCCGTACAATGTTACTCGCACCTCCAGGGCTGGCATACTTGATTGGAGATGTACTGCTGCAGCTTTCCGTCCCTTGAGACATCGCTAATGCAGGTCCCGGAATGGCCATGCGCGTTAAGTATGGACCTATCTGCCCGGCTGCCAGGTCGATTCCATGGTAGCATGGGCTACGATCAAGACTGCAAGCGGAATACTAGGTACTTATCATTCGACAGCGAGAATCTACTATCCAAGATCAAGTACCTCGGCAGGTACCATCACGATCATTGAAGATACGTATTCGTGTGTTTCTTTTAACCAAATTCCATGGAACTAGCCTAGATTAGGCAAATAACTCGATACTGTGGACGGATTTCCCCAACAGGCAATTATGGGTTGAATATTGCGTCACTACTCACATGTAGGTATTTAAGTATTATGCGATATTCAGATGATCGATAATACGTCATCATCTTCAAACACCTCTCGTCTAACTTTAACGACATGACTCCAAATCATTTTTTTATTTTATTTTTTACTATTATTCAACTACCTAGGTGGTTTAGTTATTTGTTTCAGTGAATCAATATAGGTCCTAACATATACTAGCTTTGAGAACTTCGATCGAAGAAGTCAAGAAAGAAGAAGGCAAGACGATGGCAGAAATCGCAGCAGGTGCAGTGGCGGCCGAGGAGGTCGTCTCCACGGGTGTCTATGCCGGGGCAGCCGGTCACGCCGTGACGAAACCAACCATGCCTCTCAGGGCTACATTCACGCAGATGGGCTCTACGTCAGACCATACCTCGTCGTCTTCGCTTATCAGATCCTACCACACACTCACCATTCTGGGCGACAAGGCTTACATTTTTGGTGGCCGAACGAGCCAAGGTGTGCTTGCCACTAACGATATCCATTCTTTAGCCTTGCCAGCTGCAAGTACTTCTACCCCTGACTATCAGATGCTACCAGCTATTGCCGCTGAACAAGATGGTCTGGTACCTTGGCCACGAACAAACCATTCAGCTTGCGCCGTGAATACCCATCTTGCTATATATGGAGGTTGTGACGAAACCGGTAACGTTTTGGATGAGGGAGCCAGAGTTTGGTTATATGATACCGAGAACTTTTACTGGGAAAGCGTCGAGAATGTTGCCCATCCTGAGAGGGTGCCCCCTCCACGAAGTAACGCAAGCTTGTTTGCACATGACGGAAACCTCATCCTACTAGGCGGAAACGACTCTGCAGGTGGACCTCTTGCGGATGTCTGGCATTTCAATTCCTCTGCCAAAACCTGGAATCAACTACCACACGCTCCTACTGTCATATCAAGCGCTGCACTTGTAGGGGATACAGTATATGGAATCTCTAGCTCTGGTGGTCTAAGTAGCGAGGTCCATCGTCTGGAGGTTGATTTGTATGCCGAGAATCCGCCGTCATGGAAAACCATCTCCTTCCCTACGAACCCTCTGACACCTGGGCCTCGACAAAGATCGAATGGTGGGTTGATACCTGTTACAACCGGCTACGGTCGAAAGTATCTCCTCTATTTCTTCGGAAATCGTACGGGCACGACTGAGCGCGGCGACATATCCCTATGGAGTGACTTGTGGACTTTCCAACTCCCATCCGGCGACTCGAAAATCCGACGGAGATCCAGTGTGATGGACGCGATCAGGCCTGCCAAGATTAAGGACCAGATTCGCTCGAAGTTCGGTGTTGATACGGGCGGCTTGAGTTGGGCTGAGGTGGAGGTACAGCCACCAGGTGATCTCCAACAACACGAGGGCAAGGTACATCCCGGACCACGAAGTTCGTTCGGTTACGATGTGACTGCTGATGGTCGGAGTGTGGTAATGTGGGGTGGTAATGATCCAGCAGGAGAACCCGAAGGCGACGGATGGATTATTGGGTTGTCATAAAGGGGTCACCGGGCTTATTATCAGTTCCCTAGGGATCAAGATGACTGGGGCAATGGGGCATGTATTCATTCACCTTATAATATCAATACTATTGTGCGTCTTGAGCCACCCTCCAAAGTAAGGTCAAGTGATGCCATTGGTGCTTCTATCTCGTTGGAGAACTAGGGGAAATCAATAAAGCGGGTTTCTTTCTTTGAATAGCATTGTATAGATTCACAGCTGAAACCATATATCAGTTTCGGTCATCAACAAAGAGCGCTCTTTGGAAACGAATATAATATAGGTATCGACCATACCCTACACTTACGCGAGCGGAAATTCCGTCCACTTCTACGGTTCGCAATTTTTCTACGAGCTTTTTCAATACGATATTTCGGTAGAACTTCGAACAATATGGCTAGTGGTTATAGTGAAGGAAACTATGTTTACAACGTTAGGCCATACCTTTCTCAAGCCTATTGTCTGTCTGACGACGGGCTAGAAGACGATGTCTGCGTTTGGGGAGACGGCCCAACACATTCTGAGATATTTATGAGTGAAGAACGGCTTTCATTCTATGATGAACCGAATCATCCTACTTTAAATAAGAAAAATGCCCAAGGAGATGAAATCCCGGTAATCGCGCACGATGTCGTGAGTGAATCCGGGAGCGACGAAACGGAAAAGGCGGGAACGTCCGCCCAGGATCCAGTCGGATTGACTAACGAGCAATACCTACAGCGACAGACTGCCGATGCTCTCTTCACCACCCAAAAGAATCTGACAAGGATGTTGCAGTTCATCTTAAAATTAGAGCGCCGCGCGGGAAAGGTCACCAAAGAGGGCATTCGACAGACCCTTGACGCGACTGTCGCTAGTAGCACCAAAACATCTGAACAGGATCGTTTCCTTTCTCATTACGAGGAGATAGAGAACTTAAAAATACTGAGTGAAAACGCATGGAAGCGCTTATACCTTGTCGATAGACAATGGCGAAGACAACACCGCCAAGAGCACAATGGCCAGGAACCCCAAGAAAACCATACAATACAGATCGAAAGCGAACCGGGTGTAAAAGCCTGGCTTCAAGAAGAGGTAAGGATCAACGACACGGTGGGCGAAGACCCCTGTTACTACACAGTCGCGGATCTAGCCAGTGGTCGCAGCTTCGAGGACTGGGTCGCTTACCTGCGACGCTTCTGTAATTTCAAGGATCACCCCGCCGATGAGGCTAAATTAGTAGATCTGGCTTGGCGATTTTTAGATCGTAGTCTCCGAGCCCCACAACTTAGTAGTGCTGCACGGGCGAGTGATTTTGTTCTTCAGCTTGAGGAGAAATCGCGGAGTGGCGCTTTTAATGAGGCGCTTGAGAACCCTGGGAGGCAAGTAGAAGATGATAAACAGGCTTGGAAGATTATTAAAAGGTGTTTAGGGTCAAAGATTCACCATTATTCATAGTACTTACGTCATAACTGATTCATTTTAATTACTTATTAGGTACGTACAGGTTTCCTACTTCAAGGTTGTGTAGGTATGTACTTATTTACATACTAGGTAGGTAGGTAGGTACTGTACCTATGTAATTACCTAGTGTGTGGCTAAAACAGTTACCATAAAGAAACGTAAATTACCTAAATATTCATATTGTATACAGCGTATTTCTTTCATGCTTATTAAAAGCCTCCTTTATACATTTTTTTACTCAACATCTTTCCGACTTCATCTTCAAAACAAGGCATTGTAGTTTTCATTGTGCTCATAATACGGATAATGAAGTGTAATGTATCCACGAATTATCTTTTACATAAGGACAGTAACGTCTCATATTTTCTGTACCATTTCAACAGGCTGTTCTATCGACTTGTCGCCAGGTTAGAGGGATATCTCAATCATGCCGCCTAGTCACCGAACCCCACTCTTAACATTTGCAGATGGCGTAAGCTATCACACTGCTAAGCTAAAAGCAAAGCCAACAGTCTCCGTTACGTTTGAACCGCCACCGCCGGAACTATCGATCAACGAGGATCACTTAGTCGACATTGAAAGAATCACCAATTACTCTACCCCGCCTTCAACTTCTTGGACAAGCTCTTATGAAGATAGCCATGATATATATTTCTGTGATTATTGTGCTCAGCATAACTTACAACATCACCGAGAATGGCAACCTGGTGAGTTGTGGAAGAAATGCATGGAAAATGAAGGATCGCTGGCGGTCCTTGAGTTTATGATTGCTTTTCAAATGCGCCTTCTTACTGTATTAATACCCCTCATTTTATTGTTCACGTTAAGGATATATATGATTGGGTATATTGACGATACGTACGCTAATCAACCTCGTTATTCCTTAGTATCTAAAAGTTTTATATATACAAGTACTTAATAACAGCAAGTAAATAATAATAAATAAATAAAATGCTATTATAGTATATTTATTTAACTCTTATTAACTAACGTAATTAACTGCAACGTGTTTTTTTTTCCTTTTTTTACTCCCTGCTTTACTTACTATAACTACTAGGTATCACTGCTACGCTGAAAATATCATCACATTTCCCAACTGGTCTGACCCGTGGGGGGGGGGATTACCCCGAAAACTGTGCATACATACCTTTAGTATATGGGTACCCAGGTAAAGAAGTTTAAGGGTGTTAGGTATATATTCTCCTTTTCCTGACGCTGATATGTCGGTTCTTTAAAGCGTCTGCGTGAAGACTAGGAGCTTTTCATAGGAAACCCCCCTAACTCCCATCCGAATGAGTATCCACATCCCGATATCCCCAAGAAGCGCCATGGAACAACCTCAAGAATTGTCATCATTCACGTGGAACTCATGTAGTGGCTTTGACGACCAGAGGAGAATTAAGATAAAGGAAAACGCTCTCGAGGTAGGTATTAGGTATTGCGAGCAACTTATAGTGAGATTTGAAAAAGATTCCTTTGGCAGTAGGAACGTGAATCACGAACCGGATTCAATCGTGCCAGGACACAAGGTCATCGAGGGATGGATTACCAACTATAGTACGTATTTCGTGATGTTTTAGATACTGAAACTGATATCATTGTCAGGAAACCTCATAAAACGTCGCCAAGATTTTCAAGTCACTGTCGGTGTTGCCGGATCTACTGGGAGTGGCAAGACATCTGCCCTAAACGCGCTTCTGGGCTATCGTGAGTTGTTGCCTACCGACAATGCAGAAGCAGCCACAGCTGTACCAGTACGCGACACCAATATTTTTTCTTATTCTTTCTTTGACTTGCTTCAGGAGCGAAACCCTCCAAATTGAGATGATGAAATGGCCATTTTTTCTGGGACATGCTATAATCATTTCCTAAAGAGAGGTTTACTAATTCCTGTTGCTTTAGTGCAAGATTGCTTATAACAGCGATATCAGACCTGAGTTCAAATTCCGAGCACTCGTCACCTTTCGCAAGCGAGAAGACTTAGTGAAGCAACTAGACCAGCTTTTCGAAGACCTAAAGGGCAGAAACGAACTTCATGATATTCTTTCAAAGTCAGACGAGGATCTCGACGCCCTCCGACTCATCAATTCCATCGTCAAGCCAAGCCTTGAGTTGGTCAAGACCGTGTTTGGTCTCCGGGATGATGAGATCAAGGGAATGACAACTGATGATCTCCTCGCCCGTAATGTAGACGTTGATCGGGTCTTAGGGACGACAAAATGCTTCCACGGTAGCAAACCAGATGAATTTTCTGACACGGTCAGACACTACATGGATTCCACCAGTGCGAAGCACGGCGACCATGGCCTTAATTTCCCAGCTTGGCCCCTTGTGGACGGGGTAGAGATTCTAGTGAAGTCTGATATCCTTCGTAATGGTGTAGTGCTCGTTGATTTGCCTGGCCTGGCTGACTCGGTTGAGAGTCGTGCTGCAGTCGCCGAACGATACTTCCCACAATTGGCTGCTACTCTTATTGTATCCCCTGCACGTCGAGCGGCGGATGATTCTACCTCAGTCAAACTGTTATCTGATCATCAGGAACTTCGAATGAAACTTGATGGCAAGTTCCATAAGCGCGGTTACTGCGTCGTTGTCTCTCAAATTGACGAAATTGAGCGGAGGTCTGATTTCAAAAAAGAATGGGCAAAGTCCAACAAAGAGCTGCAGCAGCTTATCAAACGAGAGCAGGAACTCAAGTCACAGAGGGCGAAGGCCGAAACTGAAAAAAGGAAAGTGACAAGTAAATTATCGAAGCTCAAAGCAGAATTACAAGGTGTTACCAGTAAACTCAAAAAGATAAAGGGACCTACCAAAGGTAATTTCGTACCCTACCTACGTTCACCTATAGATATTGGTTATACATACCTAATCTACTAGGTAGGTACCTAGGTAGTTAGGAGCTAACAATTCCACATAGAGTCCAAAATTTCATCTCGAAAGGTAGCTTCACTGAAATCGAAACGGACCAGCGCCATAACCGCCGTAACGGAGCAAAAATTGGCTCTCACGAGACTGAAAGAGGTAATTTACGGCCTGGAGAAAAGTATCAAGGATGTCGAGGGGAATATAATATTTCTCTGTGTGAAAGAAAGAAACAGGATTTTGACGGAACGAATTCAACAAGATTTCCAGACCCGTCAAGCTCTATTGGCTTCTAATCGTGGTGACGAAATGAGAGTCACATACGACGGTCAGGTGTCCATATGTCCGATCAGTTCCAAAGCATACTGGCAGTGTTCCGATGAAGAAGAAATCCTAACCGGGTTTCCAAGTCGCCAATACTCGGGAATCCCCAACCTCAAGGAGTGGATATCTCATTCAACGATCCCGGAAAGGGAGGCCCATGCCGATAGTCTCCTCTGTGACCTCATCAATCTCTTCAATATGATCCAAACATGGTCTAAGGAAGGGGGGAGCCAGAGTCGATTATTTATTAGCAAAGAATTAGCCGAGAAAGAGATCATGTCAAATGCCCATGATCATATAAAGAAGGTTTGTCTCCCTTCCTAGCCTGCGTACCTATCTAGCCGTCCCTTGCCACATATTAATAGTGACAGTATAGGAGCTTGACGAGTACTGGGAGAAATTCAACCAGACCGTCCAAAAGAAGAATCCGCTTCAAGACAAGAAAGGAACCATAGGTGATTGCGTCCGGCGCTGTATTAAGATCGTGCGAGGCTGGTCTTACAAGCACCCCGGAGATGATGCTTCACCAGCAAAGATTCATTGGAATACCTACCAAGCGAACATTCGTCGCAATGGTGGTAGGTTTACAAGTAGATCGGGCCGCGATCGCATGGAGTATTACTGGATGCAAGACGTGTAAGAGAAGCATCCTTTGATTGCCTAGCCTTCACGATGAATTGCTTACCGTGTATGTATTAGCTCAGATGTGCTCCTAGAGACAATTGTCCAAGATTGGAACAATGCTCTGAATCATGATATCCTTAACCTTGGAAACGAGGCTTTTAATGCCATCGATGCCATCTGGGAGAACTTTCTTACGCGATTACGAATTCATGTCCAGGAAACTCTCCCTCAACTTCTACCTTTCCTAGACGACGTGATTCATAGTCTTGATCCCATCAAATCGAACATCAGCGATCAAGTCCGACAGGCGCTAGTGGCAATTTCTAAGAATGCATCCCACGTGCACCCTGAAACCGTAAACATGATCCAGATGACATGGAAACCTGCCTTCCGGGATGCTTCGGAAGAGTGTGGTAGGTGTCTCAAGATATCCCCTTTCTGTAAAAGAGAAAGGTTTACTAAGCCGCTTACCAGGTTTAGGGTCCTTAGCGAGGCGAAAGCATGTGATTGCAGAGTTTGCATCGAAGAACAGCTGGGAAATGTATAATACCGCCTTCACGACATTGGCTGACCGGCTCAGGAAGAGCTTCGGTAAGTTCTCCGGGAGGTTGGATAACATATCTGCCTTGGCAGTGAATCAAATAGAGGCTCATATTCATGCGTTCCTGGACAATATATCTCCTCAGCATGACGCAGGGAATGGGGCACTTATGAAAAAAGCCGAGCTCCAACAATACGTCCGCAACATCGTACTTCAGTGGGACCTCGAATGGAAGGCTCCCGAGACATTTACTAATGGCCGGATGAATGCCGAGGATGTAGTGCTTCCAACTACATACTACCAGACAAAAGAAGACGATATAGAGTTGGATGATGACGAGTCTATGACAATGGACGATGGCGATACTTTATTTACTTGACTGGATACCTAGTATAGAAGATTTGGTGAAAGGTTTTTCTTGCCCGAGCAAATATCAAATTCTAAACCATGCTGATAAGAATAACTAATTCACTAGGTAGCTATCCTTAAGAAGATTCTCTCTTGGCCAGAAGGATATCTTACTACTAGGAGTAATTTCTAAGACCAACTTTTTTTTCTCCCGTTAAATCAAATATTAATCAAATCACTCGTTGCCTCCGGTGTCAGGGGTTAAGTACCTACCTAGTAGGTAGGTAACTTTCATGAGACCAAACGTGAATAAGGGATGAACGATACTTCCCATACCTCACTATGCCTACCTACGTGACGTAGCATCTCGTGTGCTGTATCCGCTAGCCAACTAGGGGTCATTGTATCATATTCCTATGTGCACCATGAAAGGGGGATGCCATTCCTTTCGAGCTCAGCAAGATATGTCCTCGTTTTCTATTGTTCGCATCACGTTACGGAGGAGCCTAATTGGTAGGTTAGTGTTTGGTTTCAAAGAATCTAAGTAGGTGTTCCTTTAAATACCTAGTATATATTGTAACATAGAATCAAGTCACCTCTAAGCGACGCCTACACATATATTTGCTGTTGTCTTTCACCTATCGCCACCCATAACTGCCAGCAGACCTTGGCTAGGTGCCACAGAGGATTATATACCCATTCCACCCAACCCAATTTAATTAACCCATAATCAAGGATCTCTCGTATCCAAGGCTCCTTTAATGCTACTACCATACCAAGGACTGGTGGTATTAAGAAAGGCCAAAAGGAAGTGCTGATCACAACCCACTTCAACAATGAGAGTCAACTATCTTTTCTATAGAAAAGAGTCTTAGGGGATTCAAGTTTTTTTTTGAGGGGGGGATAGGTCGATATTACATACCAAGAACCAAAATGCCCAGGCCGCAAGCGCATCTTCAATCGCATTTTTCTTGTCGAGAGCGACGAGCCCCTCGCGATAGACGTGACAAAGAAGCCCGCCGACCAAAGTCATATATAACGTAACAGCCCAGCGAGTTGTCCGAAGGAGCAGCTGAACGTCACCAAGCAACCCAAGGGCGAGGACGACGATCCAGACGATGATGGCGGCGAGGACGAGGAATAACAACATTTCCTTTATCCTTTCCCCTCTGTTATCCGGGCCCTAGAACCTCCAAATGCTATTAATATGCAAAAGGGCGTGTCCGTAACGCAGGGGCTTGCTATCTTTAAAAAGTTCCTAGGCGTATATATTTGTTAATTATTAAGAGGCATGACTTGTGTTTTGAGACTATTTTAATCATCATCATATGCTAAAAAGCAAACGACAACAGAGACCTCTCCCACCCGGAAGCATTCTCAACAGCTGTTTCGTCTGAATGCGGGTAGGCTCAATGATTGTATTGTATGCCTGTTTGTCCTGAAAGCCTTTGTCTAAGAAATGCTTTTCTAGATGAGAAAACCAGTAGCCCAAACCGCTGAAACAAAGAATGCGTCGTAAAAACACGCCCTTTTATCATTATCACCACAGACACATAGATACTATGCAATTCTACCTACTCTCTGATAAACAAGCCAGCCATGCCCATCCCGGTACCAATACACATACTCACCACACCCACTTCCCCGTCGCTTCTCCGTAGACCGTGGAGCAACGTGCTCGTCATCCTCGCGCCCGTAGCACCGAGCGGGTGCCCTAGCGCAATGGCGCCCCCATCGGGGTTAATCTTACCCTGTTCCCAGCCCTTCTCTAGTCCTAGCTCTCTCACGCAATAGATAGCTTGGCTAGCGAAAGCTTCGTTGATCTCCCACCGATCTACATCGTTTGCCTCGATGCCGAGCTGGTTTAGAAGCTTGGGGATGGCTAGCGCAGGCCCGACGCCCATCTCATCCGGGGCACACCCCGCCGTCGTAGCAGCTACGAACTTCCCGATAATACTCGACGTTAACCCAAGTTCGGTCGCGGTGCTCCGTCTCATGAGCAACGTAGCAGCGGCCCCGTCGCTTACCTGACTCGAATTCCCCGCTGTGCTCGCGCCGTCCTCTTTAAAGGCTGGCTTGAGCTTAGCAAGCCCCTCGAGCGTCGCGTTGGCCCTAATTCCATCGTCTTTAGTGACCTCAATCTGCTTCTCCTCCCCGACCTTGTTCCCCTGCTTGTCAACCTCCTGGAACCTCGTTCGCACGGGAACAATCTCCCCGTCGAAGAAGCCTTCGGCCTGCGCCCTTGCCGCTCTGCGGTGGGACTCGACGGCAAATTCGTCCTGCTCCTTGCGCCCGACGCCGTACCTTTGCGCAACGTTCTCGCTCGTCAGGCCCATCGGCATAATGCAGTCCCTCGCATCCTTGACCTCGCTTTCTTTCAGCGATGGCCACAAGTCTACCGGTATGGCCTTCGAACCGTAGTTTCTCGTCATGCTTTCCATGCCGGCCGCGATCCCAATACCGATCATCTCGTCGCGGATTTGCGCGGCGATAGTCGCTATGCTCTGCAAACTACTGCTACAAGCGCGATTGACGGTGTACAGAGACGTGCTGGTGGGGAAACCGACGTGGTTCATGGCCGTGCGGGCGGCCTTGCTGCCACCAAGCTCTGAGAGTACGACACCGACTGCGACATCATCGATTGCTTCGGGCGGGAGGTTCGGGTTGGCGTCGAGGGTGGCACGTAGTACGATGGAGAGTAATTCCTCGGGATAGGCGTCCTTGAGCTGGCCGCGATACGAGCGGCAGATGGGCGTACGCAAGGAAGAGAGGATAACAGCATCGGAGGGCGACTTTGCTAGTATAGAAGAAATTCCTTTGCGAAACCCCATCTTGGCCGAGGGGAGCGAAGTTGAAAACGGGAGGAGAAACAGTTTACGAAGAAGCCCAGGGAATCATGAAATGCGTTAAGTGTTGCTCTGGGAGTAAGATATGCAGAGAATGAACGTGAGACTGCTAAGACTGGTAATTGAAAGCATAGTTGCCAAGTAGGACGTACGTAGGCTCTAGGGGTAGGTATGTAGGCGACGGAACAGCGGGAGAAAAGATTGTTGTTGATTGTGTAGAAGCAATAATTGTTAGCATAGGTACCTACCTATTCAAACTGCCGGTCGCCGGTTCCGCAACGCGGGGTGATCTGGGTCCACTAACCTTGGTACCTACCTAGGTAGGTACCTACAATCCATGGATACAGTACCTAGTAGCACTTGAGGAGATCGACCCGCATTACGGTTATTGTACGATACAAATACATCGAATACAACCTACCGAGGTATGTACTCTGTAGTACCTAGCAATATTATGTACCAAGATAATATACTTCCAGGCTGTTGATATCCATCATTCATATCCCCCTAATGTTTGTATGAGGTCCGTTTGGGTTACGCCCATCAACTTACAACAAACGATGAAGAGTTTATAGCAAGTTGTCAGGACTCGGGAGCCCGCTCCAGATATCTTCACTAGGTACCTAGTACGTATCTAATTACCTATGCACCTGGGCCTCTCGGTAGTATGTAAGCCGCATCTTTGATTGTTAGACTAAATCGTTCTTCAATTGAGGTAGATGTCAAGATGTACTTCGTAGCACGAACCGAATTATGTGATATTAATATGCACCAGCGGAATTGAGCGCCCAAGCACGCTAACGCGTGAAGTAGGTACCAGGTATCAGAAAAGCTTAAGCGAAAGCGAGTAAGTACATATAGGTATGTAATATACGAAGCAGCAAATGAACAAAACCCCAGATATATTTCGAGTTGTTGCTCTATCCAATACGATCCTACGTCAAAGTCATCAAAGTCTAGAATTGTGATCATATGCAGCTCATAAACTCACATTATCAACTACTTACCTAACTATCGACAATTAATTTAGTTACTTCCAAGGCTCTTCTGAAGTAATATCATTTAAACGCTACAGCTGACCTTATAGTTTGAGCACGTTTCTTCATTTATTAATCGTTTAAGATTTTACTTGAACAGACTGAGAATACGACTTCAGAAAGGCCATAAAAATAGGATGAGATGTTATATTCAGTGAGTTGATTTTAGACTTCTAGTCTAAAGCTAAAATGCTACATACTTGGTTCACACCTTCCTCGCAAGTAAACCCCTGTTGCACTTTTGGGGAGTATGATTCTATTTATATTGCATACCATGCACTACTCTCAGCCGCATTCATCTAATCTTGCAGTTTTGTCAGTACACACATACCTAAACATATACCTAGTATACATACTACACAAAGTATAGTACTTAGGTACCTGATAAGTAAGTATGAACATGTATGTAAGTATTATAATAGGAGACGTGATACATCTAATAGTCAAGTAGGTAATTATGGAGGGAGCTACACTGCTACAGCCCTCCTATACTTGAACCATGAACTTTTTTGCATTAGTATGTAGATTCTTTCTTGAGATTCTGTGGGTACCTAGATATAGTAGGTACCTAGGCAAGTACATATACTGTATCCACCTACCAAATCCGGCCAGAAAATACCTGCAATGTCATTGGACTAAACTGAGACATCGATCCTTGACGTCCTTGATGCTGTGTCACCAATAGACTTGTAGAAAAGTTCAAAGTTGTTCTCTGTCGATCTACATCCGCTATTGAGAGATGGACCTACCTACCTAGGTAATAGTCATTAAACTCCATGGGGTTACATTAGGAGTAACGCCTCATCGTTCCGCTATATGGATGTGAACGATCCAGAAAAGAGTCAAGAAGCATACCTACCTAGGTACCTAGGTCTTAGGCACATAAAATCTGCCATTCTCATACTCACATCCCTAGAACTTCCAGGCAAATACAGGTAGATGGCTAAACAACCCATCAATTCTATCATCGCCATCAAATTACTCCTTACTTAATATCGTCTCTAGCCAGACAAGATGCTGTCCCCGGTCATTACTACCCTTACTGTCCTTGCTGGACACACACTCGCTGCTCCTTCGCCGTTATCCGCCCGAGTCGGGCAGGCGGCAGCGCAGGCGTTTACGACAACTTCAGACCTCAAAAATAAACTTAGCGCCGTCGACCCTCCGTTGCCTGGCATCGGTAACCCGGGAGGCGCATCAACGTGGAGCTTAAGCATCGATGACACAGAAGCCGGATATAAACAAAAAATCAGCGGATTCGGTGGCTCGGTAACAGATGCAACAGTCACCGTTTTGAATGCACTTTCTTCAGACCTACGGTCTCAGCTACTGAAAGAATTGTTGACTTCCGATGGAGCCAACCTTAGCTTGTTGCGACATACAATTGCAGCGTCAGACTTGTCCGGTCCCCCCGCTTACACATATGACGATAATAGCAATAGCGCGGATCCTAGTCTAAGCAGCTTCTACTTGGGAGACCGTGGGACGGCTATGGCAAATTTGCTGAAAGAAATAAAAGAAATCCGCTCTGATGTCACCATCTTCGGAAGTCCGTGGAGTGCGCCAGGCTGGATGAAGCTGAACAGGGTAAGCAATTTTAGTTTCGCATGGTGAATCACCTATGCTCATCTACTGCCGCTTAGGCACTCACCGGAAACGCCAACAATAACTCGCTAGATTCTCAATACTATAGCCAATATGCCCAATACTTTATAAAGTATCTCCAGGCCTATGCCGGGCTTGGTGTCACCGTCGATGCGATCACCATTCAGAACGAGCCACTCAACAGTCAAGGGAACGGACATATAACCATGTTGCAGAAAGCCGACGAGGCTGCAAGGGTGACACGCGATTACATCGGGCCAGCTCTACGTGGCGCCGGCTTGAATACACAGATTTGGGCATACGATCACAATACGGACACGCCTAGCTACCCACAGACGGTTATCGACGTAGCAAGCGAGTATGTTCAGGCTACTGCGTGGCACTGCTATGCTAGCAATCTCGATTGGACTGTCCTTACCGATTTTCATAACGCAAATCCCAGAAAATCGCAGTATATGACCGAAGTATGTAACATCGAGGGTTCTTTGTTCTCTTTCAATATTGGTTTATAAGAAGGAAGAAGGAGTTAGGCACCCCAATCCAACTGTCAAATGAGCGTTTTCCCGCAAGGCGTGTTTAAGAGCTCCCTAGGATTCAATCATGAAAAAGTAACCTAAATACTAACACCGAACGTCGTAGTGCTGGACCTCGCCTCGGACATCGTGGTATCAGTCTTCTAAGAATACTGTTGGCCCGCTGCAAAACTGGGCCGAAGGCTCTCTGATGTGGACTCTAGGCACATGGACCGAAGCCTCGGACGGCACCTTTGGTCCTTACATACCTGGCGGTTGTTCAACATGCCGCGGCCTGTTCGTGGTGGACGAAGCTGCAAAGAGCTATGAGTACACTGTCGACTACTACATCTTAGCCCAGTTCTCTAAATATATTCCCACGGGCGCAACCATCCTAAGCGGTTCTGGTAGTTATAGCTATGACGGGTACTCGGGCATCCAGTCCGTCGCCTCGATGAATCCAGACGGCACGCGGACGGTCGTCGTTGAGAATACCTTCGCCAGCGATGTTTATCTTACGCTGAATACCACCAGTGGCGAGCAATGGAGTGGTAGCCTGCTTGGCAATAGTGTCACGACTTGGATTCTACCGTGATTTATGTGCTGTGGTACGTAGGTATCTACACGTCCTCTTGTGGCCACCCTCAAATTATTTCCAATCAGCCCATCGGCAAAGCGTTACGTGGATCCCGGAACAAGCCGCTGGCTTAACCATACTCTAGATCGAAGAGCTTGGGTTTGCATGTGGGCGAGTACGTGTGGATTCCCATTTGTTTCAGCAAGTACAGGAGTACGAAGGTCGCTGGCAACGACGGCAAGTCGTTTTCAACGCAGTCTACACGAGGAATGACGTATTTTTGATGACATATTTAGGGAGGTATAAGAACTCTGCGCGGTATTCGGATGTACTGCTTTGTTATTTGTCCTCTCATAATAAGGCGCATCGCCTCAATAGAGCAACAAAGAGGATACCGGCAAGTAGGCAGGCTTCGCAGTCGGCCATTCAAATTCGAATAGACAGACTACTCTACTTCTTGACGCGGTATGGTCAATATTATTGGTATTCCTCCACCCACAGTCTTAGGTTGCTTGAATCCAGTCATAATCCGTTGTTTCGTAGTACCAATCACGACAGGCCCACTACCACTGCCGAGTATCCGTATTGCAGCTCTGCACCGACTGTTCACCACAAATCAAATCGCACTGCAAGACGTGAACCAAGTTCCACGGGACCAAAAGCGGCGGGTATTACGCTACACTATGGGGAACCACTTAATCTTCAAGGTAATGGGCTAAAGATGCCCACGTCAGACGGAACGTCACGCCAAATAGCCGCCCTTGGGCGGTGACCTTTTCTATTCAGACATCAATAGATACCTATTTATATATAGGTATATTTTATTCATCTTCTCTCTTTATATCTCTATCAACCTTTATTCTACATTGAATTCTATCCGCAATCAAGGCCGGCTGAAGCAACCGACGGACTCTACTATAAACAGGCATGGATTCACGCCACGGCGGCGAAGCTGCTTCCTATTATGGCGAACAATCCAATCCTCAATATTCCCATGACGGATACGGGGATCGATACGATGAGCGCCAACATCATCCAACTTACCCTGGGCCCGGTCCCCAAAATGCTGCTCCCGGGGAAGACGGCGAGCGCGGTTTAATGGGAGGGCTTGCCGGGGCTGCAGCGGGTGCTTACGGAGGTCACAAGATGGGTCACGGAGTTATTGGGGCCATAGGCGGTGCTGTCGCTGGCCATAAATTGCAAGACTACGTGCATGATCGCAAGGAGAGGAAGGAAGAGGAAGAGAGACTGCAACACCAGCTGCACTCCGGACCGCCGCCACCCAGCTACTCCCCGGGACCACAGTACTCATCTCAGCCTCACCATGGAGGACATCATTCCCCGAACCATGACCGGTCGATAGGGAGTCGCACCGGAAACTTCTCTTCTTCATCGGATAACATTCATCTTGAGGGTAACTACGAGCTTCACGCATCCTGCCGACGCCGGGACGGTCATCACCAGACCAGCAGTCTGAATCTTAATAAGATCCTTAGTAACGAAAATGGACGCTTCAGCTGGGCCAGAGGTGGGTCTGGTGTCGGCAGCATCACAGTTCAACATGGAGATACTCTGGCGGACATAGCGCGGCGTTTCGGCTGTAGGGTCGACGAGATGGTGAGGATTAATGGTCTCAATAACCCGGATATGATTTACCCCGGACAGAATCTGCAAGTGCCTGGCCAACCAACCGGCAACTTCGGTTCTACAGCGAGAGACGTCCGTCTCGTCGATAATGGGCGAGTTCTCGAGGCAGAGCTGATGGATCTTGGGGGGACTTGGCACAGGCAACGGCTTGATTTGGACGAGTATATAGGAAACGAGGATGGGCACCTCCGGTTAGTTTGAGAGTTGTTCTAGGGCGCGATTCGGGTTTGAAATTGCTGTGAGCATCTAAGATATAATGATACATACTAGAGGTACCTACTTGCCTACCTAGTGCCTATCTTCCCGAGAGAAGTAGCTGGGTTCCTACTCCTCTGATTTCTCTTTGGGTGGTCTATAATGTTTTACCAGGAAAACAAGCCCACGTGATTGATGTCCTGCTATAGTACAAGCCTCTATTTACATGTAACTAGTGTTTATCTGAACGACTTGCTAAGCCGAACTAGGTACCTACTTTCATTGGAATTTTAATTATCTTGACATCATCTTATAACTATCTCTCGTACTATTCAATTCTGTCTACCTACCTGGGTACTGCTGAAAAGTTAGATACGCTACAAGATTGAATACTAGGTACTGTAATTACCGCGGAAGGGTTAGGTATAACCATTTAGGGATTTATTTCCTAGAAGTAGATTTATCAACAAAGCCGAAAAGTCACATTGTCGAAGAGAAAAACTAATAAATGCTTTTACGTAAGATACCAAGAGTGAGTACTGCTGCTAGGGTGTCTTAATTGAGAAATAATTCACCGGGTGTCGTCAGGGGCACATACGCTCGCTGTATTAACTACCAAGGGCTAGTAAAAAGAAGCGATATAACACGGCCTTTGGTACCATAGACCGTGTAAGGCTTTAAGAGGTATCGGGGAGAAATGTGTATGCGTTAGTCGTTAATCGAATACTGCTATTATACTGTGAGCTGATGATGAACCATCACGGCACAACCTTCAACTACAGGCTCAATCCTCGTCATTTATAGACTTGATATTATTTCCCTAATGTCGAATTTATACCTCATAGCCAAGTTCATAGTAACTAGGAAGCAGATAGTAGTTATTGTAAATATCAGTATCTAGATTCTATATTTATAGAAGTCGGTTGGACCTCGAGGAGTGTTAGAGCTACGTAGGTAGGCCGATATGATCCAGTTCTAGGGCTCTCACTTTTCCCGCACCCACCAGGTCGTTGCCTACCTAGTAACTTACTAGGTACGTAGGTGCGAAACTGCTAGCCAGCTCCCGTACTCATCCATGGATATTTTGTTAAGGTGACTAAAATCGTAGCGCAGAAGCATTCCAGGTCCGAAAACAGAATCCAGGTAGTACTAGCCCCTGAGGATCTTTCCAGTCTCACTCGGAAAGCCGGAATACCGAAGTTAATACCCAAGGCGGAGCAATTCCAAGTACGAGGCATCCATTTCCTATTTGCAGACTTACGTGTGTATTTACCTACATACCTAGTAGGTACAGTAGGTTAGGTCTTACTTTTACCCCTAGATCGGGAAGTATACCTAGCTATTATCTAGATTAGCAACGCAGTTCACCACTCTACTAGTATATCGGGAATTTAACTATGATACCTACATAGAGAAGTTCTGCATCTAGCTTTACGATGGATAAAATATCAAGAGCTAATAAACCGTGGCCTTGGAAATGTCGCCAAATGTTACCGACTATTACTGGCTACCTAGGTAGGTAATTTATCCATTTAGTCGCATTTGGTGAATACATGCATGTATCGTTCTTACTGATAGCAGAAAAAATCCAAAAAATCACGTCAGCTGGCGATGTCCATGGATAAGAGGATTCTTGAATATGTTTCCGATATGAGCTTTCTTCTCCATCGTATAAACACATGTACGTTTCGATGGTACTTAGGTTAGCATCGGCTTCGGGCTCGGGGTGCGGAAAATGTGGGATTCCCGAAAGGTAGATTTTTATCTTAGGTCTCGCTCGGGGATGTGTTATAAAACTTGGAACCGGACACGGGGAGATTTCGGATGTTTTTCTTCTTTTTTTCACACATGTAAGTACTTATACTTAATAACTAAGTATAATACATACCTACCTAGTACTTATGTAAGTATTTACGTAGTTTTAAAATATATTTTATTATTATTATTATAAAATATTTTGTGTATGTACATGCATATAATTAACCGACTTTGTTATGTTTGAAAGCTTTTTTTTATATTCGATTAAGAAATACTGTGTTAGTGTTGTGATGGAAAGATTTTTTAGTATCCTGTATTTTTCCCCGGGTTGTCGGACAGATCTAAGACCCCGAAAATCTGCGGCTCCTTAATATTTTCGCATCGTTTTCGGATTGCACAAATCACCGGACTTCTTTCCAGATCCGGGACAAATCTGTGGCTTCCCATTGGCTTAAAATGATGAATGAAGATTTCATAAATGTCTAATCTTATGTAGCTCACCTTCCCAAAAACATGATAACGGGTGATGGGGTAAGAGTTTAGTGCGACTAACGGCTTCTTAATTGACTCATGCCTTTTTTTTTTTTTTTCTTTTTCGGGTACTAAAGTATTTTACTTAAAGGAGACATGCTAAATCAATGTTATCGTCGCGTGATGTTAAATATTTATGTGTGTAGAACTACGTACCTAGTAGCGTATTAAGTGATTACTTAACGAGTCACGACGATTCATATGTCAGTGATGATGATGCATCCCTTTTGCTTTTTGAATTGATAAAGTCTCTTCAAACTTTTCGTTGCCGCTAAGCATACATACCTCTTATCATATTCATAGAATTCTCCCGCTCCTGTGAATCAATCTTCTCATATTCTGTTCCTTTCTATTCCATCTTCTACTTTTCAATACACACTTAGTAATTTCGTGCTCCTACATGCTCGCTAGGATGTGTTGAAAATCGACTCAATGAAGAAATCTGTTGGAAGGTTCTAAGTTGTTGTTGTGTTGCGGTATCGATAATTGCCCGTCGACCGGGTTCTTATAAGTTTGACGGGCTGCGGGCTTGAGCCGAGTCCGTCTGGGGGTGACTGGATGATTAGCGAGGCAAGAAGCGGCGGGGATAGATACTTAGAAAATACCTTGAATTTGCAGGGATTATCGCTCCATCTGTGTAGACCATGTTCATCTTACTACGAGTCATGCTGCTGCATGGAACATCGAGATCGCTAGCTATTGCTTACAAGCTTGTATTTTCAATGTATAAGGCCTTAGCCTGCATCTCATGGATTCATTAATCCCCCTAATCTCACTATCGGAGATTGAGTCCAACGGGCAGAACTTGCATAACTTGATAAGAACTAACTATATTTATCCACTTAACCCACATATCCAAGTATCCACTCCACCCTTACTGCCTTATCCGTCTATCTATCCACCGACCGGGAAGTCCCAAGCACGCGGTTTCCCGCCCGGGTTGCCCCTGATGTATAATGCGCACTCGGTAAGATTCGTACCCATGGAGCCACATGGAAACTTTGTACGAATACGTATCTTGTAACCTAGCAATAACAGTATTTGCTAGAAACGAGTCGAGTCGAAGACCCTGATTGCATACATATGTATGTGTATGTACGTAAGAATACGAAAACGAGCCGAATAATATTAAAAACAACCCTCCGCCCTGATTCTTGATATTTTTTCCTCTTGCAGTTTCAGCTCATTGACTATTCGCTAGTTGAGGGTGTACTCTTTTCCTTTTACTTTTTCCTCTTTCGTCCCCCATTGAAGCTCTAACCGTTAATAGGAGTTTCCTTTTTCCCTAATCACATTTTTAATCCCCATAACCTTATTCCTTAATAACTTGGACCTAAAAAGCTTACAAACAAAGGCTTGATACCTGTGTCATATCCTTGTGCGCACGACATCTCGGAATAAAAAAAGGAAAAGAAGAAGCAATATCGAGAAGAAATTGGGGAAGGGAGGAACTTTAGAGTTCAGAAAGCAACTCGTGATCGTTGACGGGTGGTGATTGGTTAGAAGCTTAGGTGGTTCAGGGTATAACCCCCCTGCTTCTCTCAACATGTCCTTCGTGGGCAACCCCTTTACCAACTACGATCGAACTGCACAAACATCAGGAGCACCCCCAATGGCGTATTCGCATACCGAGGAAACTGGTGACGAGAAAGGAACGACAACAGCATCTCACATATCTCATAACGATGTAGAGAAAGATGACACTGCTGGCTCCAGCAATGCCACCCAGGTGGAGGATGATTCCGAGTTGGAACGGCGCGAATCTATTGTACACGAACTTGCCCGCAGGTATACCACACAGTCCAATGCAACTGGAGCCACCGGACGGAACCCTTACTTGGATGTTGCCAAGGACTCTCCGCTCAATCCTCACTCTCCTAGCTTCAACGCCCGTGCTTGGGCTAAGGCTGTCGTCAATGTGGCCGATCGTGAGGGTCAGCAATTCCGAACGGCTGGGGTTTGCTTCCAGAATCTCAACGTTCATGGCTTTGGAGCTGCTACCGACTATCAGAAGGACGTTGCCAACATCTGGCTGGAAACGGCTGGGCTCGTCCGCAAGGCCATGGGACGAGGTCAGACTAAAATTGACATTCTTCGCAATTTCGACGGTGTGGTTCAAAAGGGTGAGATGATGGTGGTATTAGGGCCTCCTGGGTCTGGTTGTTCGACGTTTCTGAAGACCATTGCCGGCGAGACTAACGGTATTTACGTCGAGAATGACTCGTATTTCAACTACCAAGGTAAGAGCACTATATCTAATAGCCTCAGAAACATGGCACCTAGGATTAACGCCGATAGGTTTGACTTCCCAGGAGATGCATAGTCATCATCGTGGAGAGGCCATCTACACTGCCGAAGTCGATGTCCACTTCCCCATGTTAACGGTCGGGGATACGTTAACGTTCGCGGCCAAAGCGAGGGCTCCGCGTCACCTTCCTCCGGGGGTTGACAAGACGACCTACGCTACCCATCTCAGGGATGTTACGATGGCAATGTTTGGTATTTCTCATACGGTGAACACGCGTGTCGGCAACGAGTACGTGCGTGGCGTGTCCGGAGGTGAACGGAAACGTGTAACCATTTCCGAGGCTGCTTTGAGTCGTGCTCCTCTCCAATGTTGGGACAACAGCACGAGAGGCCTCGACAGCGCCAACGCTGTGGAGTTCTGTAAGACGCTCCGTACCCAGACTGAACTTTTTGGGACTACCGCGTGTGTCTCTATTTACCAAGCGCCCCAAACGGCCTACGATTTCTTCGACAAGGCCCTCGTCTTATATGAGGGTCGCCAAATTTTCTTTGGCAGAGCCGATGAAGCGAAGCAATACTTTGTAAACCTCGGTTTTGAGTGCCCTGCCCGTCAAACCACGCCCGATTTCCTGACCTCGATGACAAGTCCCACCGAGCGCGTTGTCCGACCTGGGTTTGAGGGCAGGGCTCCGCGAACCCCTGACGAGTTTGCGTCGGCTTGGAAGAATAGTGCCGAGTATACGGCGCTCCAAGCTGAGATTGAGGAATACAAGACTGAACATCCTCTCAACGGCCCGGATGCTGAAGCGTTTCGTGCTTCAAGAAGAGCGCAGCAGGCCGTATCGCAACGACCGGCATCGCCATATACGTTGTCCTACTGGCAACAAATTCAGCTTTGTCTTTGGCGTGGATGGCAACGGCTTACGGGAGACCCGAGCTTGACAATCGGCTCTTTAGTCGGAAACTTCGTTATGTCTCTGATTATCGGAAGTGTGTTCTACAACCTTCAAGACAATTCCTCTAGTTTCTATCAGCGGGGTGCCTTGTTATTCTTCGCCTGCCTGATGAACGCATTCTCTAGCGCCTTGGAAGTAAGTGTCAAAAATCGAGAGTTTCTTAAAATCACCATATGCTAACTATATCTAGATTCTCACACTCTATGCGCAACGACCGATCGTGGAAAAGCACAGTCGATATGCTCTGTATCACCCTTCGGCGGAGGCCGTCGCTTCCATGCTGGTCGACATGCCGTACAAAGTCGTCAACTCCATCGTGTTCAATATCAGTCTGTACTTCATGACTAATTTACGGCGTGAGCCGGGAGCTTTCTTCTTCTTCTTGCTCATCACATTCTTCACTGTCATGGTTATGAGTATGATCTTCCGAACCATCGCTTCTGCTTCTCGCACACTATCGCAAGCTATGGTCCCGGCTGCCCTTTTGATTCTCGACCTAGTCATTTTCACCGGTTTCGTCATCCCTATCGACTATATGCTGAAGTGGTGCCGTTGGTTGAACTATTTGGACCCTCTCGCGTATGCTTTCGAGTCCCTCATGGTGAATGAATTCCATGGCCGTGAGTTTAGGTGCAATTCATACGTACCCAGCCCCGCTGTTCCTGGATATGCGGATGTCGGCCCTACGAACCATGCCTGCAGTGCTGCTGGAAGTGTTGCCGGAAGAGACACTGTGAACGGCGATGCATACATAAACAGCGCATTCAGGTATTACAATGAACATCGCTGGCGAAACTTTGGCATTTTGATTGGCTTCATGATTGGCTTCCTCATCACCTACATGGTCGCTGCGGAGCTCGTATCCGAAAAGAAGTCAAAGGGTGAGGTATTGGTCTTCCGACGTGGCCACAGACCTGCCCAATTTAAGGAGAAGAGGGGTGATGTTGAAGAAGGTGACGGCCCTCGCGTTGGTCCTAGTGTAACGAATGCTAGCCGTGTTAATGGCAACGGCAAGGAAGCCGGCGCTATCCAGGAGCAATCTAGTGTTTTCCATTGGAAAGATGTTTGCTACGATATTAAGATCAAAGGCGAGCCTCGCCGTATCCTGGACCATGTGGACGGTTGGGTAAAGCCTGGTACTTTGACAGCTCTGATGGGTGTTTCTGGTGCTGGCAAGACGACTCTTCTGGATACCCTCGCTGATCGAATCACCATGGGCGTTATCACTGGTGAGATGCTTGTCGATGGACACCTCCGCGACAATTCGTTCCAGAGAAAGACGGGTTATGTTCAGCAGCAGGATCTCCATCTGTCAACCACCACCGTCCGCGAGGCTCTCAACTTTTCTGCTCTTCTCCGCCAGCCAGCCGACGTCCCGCGCGCCGAGAAGCTCGCCTACGTTGATGAGGTGATTAAGCTTCTGGATATGGAAGAATACGCGGACGCAGTTGTCGGCGTTCTCGGCGAAGGTCTCAACGTCGAACAACGCAAACGTCTCACTATTGGGGTGGAGCTCGCAGCTAAGCCTCCTCTACTTCTCTTCGTAGACGAGCCTACTTCCGGTCTTGATTCTCAAACTTCCTGGGCCATCCTAGATCTACTAGAGAAACTCACCAAGAGCGGGCAGGCCATTCTTTGCACCATCCACCAGCCCTCGGCCATGTTGTTTCAGCGTTTTGATCGACTGCTCTTCCTCGCTAAAGGTGGCAAGACCGTCTACTTCGGCGATATTGGTGATAACTCTAAGACTCTGACTAACTATTTCGAACGACATGGAGCTCCTCCCTGCCCTCCCGAGGCTAACCCTGCCGAATGGATGTTGGATGCCATCGGCGCTGCGCCGGGTAGCGTGTCCGATATCGATTGGTTCCAGACTTGGCGCGACAGCACTGAATACGCAGAGGTGCAGTCCGAGTTACAAGCTCTGAAGGATGGCGCGTCGAGCCACCCTCCCTCCGAGCACGACCAATCCTACCGTGAGCACGCCGCTAACTTCCCGACTCAGCTTTGGGCTGTCACGCACCGCGTGTTCCAGCAGTACTGGCGGACGCCGTCTTACATTTATTCCAAGGCCGCGCTATGTGTTCTGATTGCCCTCTTCATCGGGTTTGTCTTCTTCAACGCGCCAAACACTATCCAAGGCCTTCAGAACCAAATGTTCGCTATCTTCAACCTCTTAACTGTTTTCGGTCAGCTTGTTCAACAGACGATGCCTCATTTCGTTATCCAGAGATCATTATACGAAGTCCGCGAGCGTCCTTCGAAGGTTTACGGCTGGAAGGTGTTTATGCTGTCGCAGATTATCGTCGAGTTGCCCTGGAATACCCTCATGGCCGTGCTGATGTTCTTCTGCTGGTACTACCCTGTTGGTCTCTATAACAACACTCTCGAATTGGGTCAAACTACGGAGCGTGGTGCTCTTATGTTCTTGCTCTTCTGGGCCTTCATGCTGTTCACGTCAACATTCACCGACATGATTATCGCTGGCTTCGAGACTGCCGAAGCTGGTGGTAACATCGCCAACTTGTTATTCATGCTGTGTCTGATCTTCTGTGGTGTCCTCGCCAGCCCGAGCAGCTTCCCAAGATTTTGGATTTTCATGTATCGCGTCAGTCCGTTCTCGTACCTGGTGTCCGCTATGTTATCTGTGGCGCTCGCCAACACTCACGTGCAGTGCGCTGCCAACGAGTACGTGCACTTCGACCCGCCTGGGAACATGACCTGCTTGGAGTACCTCGACCCCTATAAGAACTTGACGGGAGGGTATATCGAGGCTGGCACCGAGAATCGACTGAGCGATTGCAGTTTTTGCACTACTTACGAGACGAACACCTATCTCGCCCAGGCCAATTCGTACTATAGTAAGTTCTTTTCATTCTTTGCTTCCTCCCCGGCTAGTATTGGTCACGTGATACATATGAATGTACGTTTGTCGATTTGAGCTAATGTTATCTGCTTCAGGTGAACGGTGGCGCAACTTCGGTATCTTCTGGGCTTACATCGTATTCAATATCTTCGGCGCTCTGTTCATGTACTGGCTCGCACGCGTCCCCAAGGGGAAGAAGAAGGAAGACAAAGCAAAAAAGGAGTAAAAGCAAGAAAAGCAACTATGATCTATTGAGACGTCGCTGCATACTCCCCTTCATCACTTCGTTTCAACATTGACATCTACATTCATATCTTGATAGCTTTTCCTAATTCATACCGGTTTATATTACATGTTACGACCTTTACATGTTGCGGTGGACGTCTTTTTCTTATATTATGTAGATACGCATTGTACTGGGCGTTTTTGGGTAGCTAGAGTAGATCGACGGACAGTCGCTATGATTTTGTGGTCATGCCGCACGTTGGATGGATAGTATATAGACACGTGATATAACCAATAGAGGAATGGGCTCGGTAGATTTTTATCGTGTAATGTTTCACGAACCACTATGGTGTATATTGTGAATGCGATGCCGAGCAAGCTATGGCAAACTGGAGGTAATGGTCGGATTGTATGATTTGGATTATAGGATGTTTACATTTTTAGATGAACGTGTTGCTGGCCTTAGAACGAGCGAACGTATTTTATTCTAGTTTCCCCTAGGCGGGAGTAGATGTTTATTGATGTCGCCTTTCGACATACTTGAAGACTGAGTGAGAAGTAAGAAATAGTACTTCGTGTATTTGTATCTCGTATTGATATATCACGTTTATCCTGGCCAACTATGATATAGGTATTTACCTACCTAGGTAGTATATGCGCATCGTTGCCCTTATTTTCATGGTATCTTTCAAAACACCTCGCGCCGTCCCAAATGTTTATTACAAAAAAAGACCGTGCTACGATTGGCTTCGCTTGATTTCACCTCGCTTTACCCTCGCCCTCCTAATGAAGAATAAATGACAATATCGTTCTCATTCAGTTGTTCGGTCGTCCTATAATTGCAAACGGCCAACGGAATCGTCCTTCTCGTAGATATCTTGCATCGTAAGTTGGACACCAATAACCTTAGCCTCAAAAAACTGGAATAGCTGGAAGAAAGCTGTAAGAAATTGAAAAGACCTGCTTGCTGTCAGCGCAACGAAGTTCATGAAAGAAAGAAAGGTCGACGGTTCGAAGTTAAAGCGAGAAGGAAGAGAGAATGCATGAGAAGAATGGGGTCAGATGTAAGAACTTACACGAGAGAAGCAATGAGGCCTATGGTGGGTGGCCACAAGCCAACGTATCTAGAACCCCACCAAGGATACATGATGTGCGCAGAGTAGACGAGGAAACCCAAGGTGGGAATAGCAAGGAGCATATCGATGATGGTAAATTGTATGCGCTTGGTGCGCCTCCTTCTCGCACCGTCATCCTCGTCAGGGCCGCCGAATGAGACGATAGTTCGTCCATTCACCGCAAGGGTTACGGGTGGCAACCCAACGGTGCGACGCGGCGATGGCCAGTAGGTATAGCCAAGTATACTAGACAGTCCGTGTGCTAGGTTCCAGAATAGGGAAAGCCAACACAGGGAGAATAGGACCTTGTGTTCCCAGGGCCACCAGCCGGCGTCGATAGTTGTGTGGACACGGATGACGGTGGCGAGACCTAGGATGGCGTTGAAAAGCCGCGGTACAGCTATTAAGGGGGCATCGAAGCGCGTCGCGGCAGTGTCGCCCATGTTAGAAGAGTTGTTGCAGCATTTTTCGCAGGGGCAACTATGTATCGTTACAGTTGTGTGATCGGATGAGGATGAGGTACGCGTACTAGACGCTGTTTGCGGACTTCGGCTTCGAGATGTTGATGTCGAAGCCGACATATTGTTATCGTTGGTTGTGGTCGTTATGGCTGATATTGGTGCTTGCGACGCTCGATTTTCTCTCTCTTCCCGTCTCTCTCTATTCTCTTATTTTGAATTATTGTGTCTTCCCTTCTTTCCCCTTCTTGCTCTGTTCTTTTTATTTCCCCTTGATTGCCCGTCCTTCTCCTCGGCTTTTAATACGTAGCTGTTCGCCGATGTATTCGTTACTAGTCCGTTCTAATATACTCCGCTATAACCGCAAACGAAACGCGCCGTGGCAAGGATGAATGTATATAATGTTTCGATGGTTATATGTATACAAGCATATGGGTTTCTCACAATCTAGAATGATTACCTATAATTGATAGCAAGGAAATAGGTATCATGTGATGTATTTCGTAGGAGTTTCTCTTCACCTAGGTAGGTATATTGGATGTCAGTCTTAGATGGATGAGTTCCAAAATTAAGAGAGATAAAAGAAAGGAGAAGAAAGCTACTACAGGTAGTAGACTAGTCTCTTAGTGGAATACCTATCTTAGCTCTCTTTGCTGCGCCCCCTTTTACAGAACTGTCTAATATTGTACCTAGGTACTATGGCTGTATGGGTTTCTTAGCGGGTTTAGTCCGACGCTAGCAGAAGCGGCAGGGCTGTAGTTAATAGCATAACGTTTAAAAAAAAAATAGAAGCATCCATACCAGGTACTAGGTACAGACATAGTAGGTAGGTACTACTGCTACATGATTGATGTATGACGTTCCAATGCTAGGTATGTACAACCTTGAATGCACAATAACCTGCCAGCCTGCCTAGGTCCTTTCCGAAGGATTGTCACCTGCGCAATACCATACATATGTATGTGCACTACCTAGGTATGTAGTAAGTACCTATCATTGTGGCTATGTGTCTGTTTTCTTCCAACTGTTATTTTCCTTCCCTTCCTTTCCTTCTTGCTATGTATCTATAATAGAACAGAATTTCAAACCGACTTCAAACAAGCATCATTCCTAAGCCTCAGTTATAGTACAGTAGTAAGAGCAGGAATAGAAGCAGATCCATGGCACAGGAAACGAGCGTGTGTACGTATGCGTGAGAGAAGAAGACGACAACCTTCTAGAGGATTTTCAGCTAAATTCCTTTGCGGGCTTTTGTGCTTTTGTGTAAGGCTTGGTGCGCCCGCCAATTTTGGCTATTTGGGACAGGGGGGGCGTTCCTCTCCCCAGTCAGCTAGGTGACCTATGCCTAGGTATCTTAGAAGGTTGGAAGGTGCATAACATTTACAACATAAAGATCTTCTATTAATGCTTCGCTCCCAAGTCGGGCTAACTGAAACTACAGGAACAAGGCATAGCCATAAAGAACGACATATTATTATCGCATCCCCGATTGCGGACAGTCAGACGATCAACGCATAGTATGCGTACATACATGGTATACCGAAAGATGTGTAGATAGGTAGGCAGATAGGCTGATAGGTACCCCTAGGTGCCCTAGCAGCCTAGCAGCCTAGCAGCCTAGCAGCCTAGGTACTAGGTAGGTATTTCGCGACGTCTTAACCTATCCGATTGGAGGATTCAGATTCTTACCTGCAGAGCATGTAAAACACTTCTATCGGCAACTCTCATAGGATACTATATACTGCAAAGTAAGCACCAACACTCTTCATCCCGCTCGCTAATGTCTAACTAGGGATATAGGTAATATCGACTGGTCGATATAATCTTATGCCCATTTTCGGACCGCACATAGGTACAGGTAGGCAGGTAGGTAGGTAGGTAGGTAGACCGTAGCATGGCGGATTGTTTGGTTACCTACTAGGTATATCTAAGGTACCTACCTACCTGTCGTCTGAAAGCGGTAAACTGACGATATATAACAGCAGTGTTTCCCTGGCTGTCTATTTACCTACCTATTGATCTACCTATTGATTAAGATTATAGTAAGAAATAATCCGAAAGGAAGAATAAAAAAATGCGCATCGCACAAGTCCAGTCTTGGCCTGAGGGACCACGGTATGTCAGAGTTGATGATCTGCCTGCGCCGTCGAAGAGCCAGATCCAACTCCGCGTCTTGGCTACAGGCGCTCACCAAGTAGTTCGTTCCCGCGCCTCGGGACAGCATTATTCAGCCAGGGAACTCCCTCAAACCGTTGGAGTCGATTGCGTCGGCAAGGATGACACTACTGGACAGCTCTACTACTTCTTTACTCTTCAAGGGGGCACATTTGCTGAACGCATCAATGCTGAGAAATCCGTCATTTATCCGCTTCCAGGCGACATCGATCCTATTTCCTTCGCCGCGAGCGTCAACCCTGCCATGAGCAGCTGGATGGCAATCACTCACCGCACCAACAATCTGCCTAAAGACTTTACAGCAGTCATTATCGGTGCGACAAGCGCCAGTGGTCGCTTGGCCGTGTGCTCTGCCAAGGCTTTGGGGGCTGGAAAGGTCATCGGCATCGGTCGAAACGCCGCTGCCCTAGAGACTGTTGGTGGCCTCGACGATTACGTCGTGCTTCAGGATCCAGTTGTCGAGACCGACTTCTCCAAAGTACGTGACGGCGATCTCGTCCTAGACTACGTCTACGGTGATGCGACCGTACACTTGCTATCGTCATTAAGCAGATCCAAGAAAATGGTGCAATATGTTGAGATCGGTAGTCTTGCTCAAAGGACTGCCGAAATCCCAGGGCATTTGCTTAGGTCCTTCGACTTAACTATTCGCGGGGCTGGCGCCGGGTCTTGGAGCATCTCGGCATTGCAAGAGCAGCTCCATGTCCTGGTTCCAACGATGTCTCGTTGGAAGCTTCTTTCCGCTCGCTCCGTTCCATTGAAGGATATCGAGGCAGCTTGGAATGACGAATCGTTATTGAGCGAGGGACGCTTAGTCTTCGTGCCTTAGATACATAGCTACCTATTCTTACAACATCGAAGTCATACGCTATCATGTATCCAAATTATTGTAGACGAAGGCAAAAATTAGAATTAACGCAAAATACCTACCTAGGTACGCGTACGCGCTGGTTTCGATTCTGGAGCACGGCTGGCTCGTATTACTACCTACCTAGATACTTAGGTACCTATATATACCTATCTAGTATGTATGTGCCATAATACCTAGGAAATACAACTAGAATCTATAGTCTTCCGGGACCACCAACAGACCTAGAGTTGCCCAAGGAACTTATAGCCTCCAATGCCGCCGGTGGAGGGATCATCTCCGATTCCAGCCGAGTTCCTCAAACCTCATTCCAAGATCTTACAACCCGAAGCGTAGTTCGTCGCATTTTCCGAGGCCAGTAATTTCGAAATATTGAACATCTTGATCATACTCTTTCCCGTTACGCGATCGATAGTAGAATTGTCGATATTTACGCAGGTATTCTCATAATCAACGCTCACCGAAGTATCGGATACCACTTGTTTGATCGAAGCTACACACATGTCCCCCATCGTTCTCTTCCAAACGATCCCCCACACTAGCTCCGACTTGTTAAGATACGAGATTTCTTACCACGTCGAAAAGGAGGCCGCGCGGAAATTATACATGTTAACTCAATAATAGAATCTCAATTGTCAATTAACACCCGGGGCAAGTGTTCGCGGTCTATTCGAACACCCTAGTTTTTTCTGCCATTTTGGCCTTACGCCTTTTAAACCATACATACAAATGCCCCTGATATGATACTCAAGCGCTAAGGCTGCGATATTCACCACACCTTAACTACTTTGACTAATTAGGTAATATTTCCACCTCATGCTTCAACTCCGAGGCCAGCCCGACGCTCAAGCGACATGCGAGTCCACGTACCGAAAAAGAATATGGGAAATGTGAGACTTGTTACAGAGCGCAAACTTCAAATTTACAAAATATACAATAACCGTCCGGCACTGACCTCACCGGAAACAGAAAATAAGGTGAAATTGGTATCTCGTTGCATTTCGTGAATGTTACAGGGGCGAACCACACTAAGTTAGAATCGAACGACGGCCGGAAGTAAGAATTGGGCACGCTGCTCGAGCCCCTGTTGATTAAATCAAATCATACCACCCGGTAGATTCATACCAGGATGTTTTGCTCCCTGAGTCACGGCCTGCCTGGGCGCAGGAGGGCCGACGTTGATGGGGGTTTGATTATTAGGAGCCTTCGATTGCATGCTTGGAGCATCGGGAGCAATGGAACGTAACCGTCTGCGCTCAGGCCTTGGGTCGTCCCTATCTACATGACCGACGCTATTATCAAACCCGCCATCATTCCGCCGACTGAGGTTATCGAAGACGGCTCGTGTGCTAGAGAAATCCTGTCGCCGCCTTGGGTTGATAGGGGGCAGCGGAGGCGCCGTCCGACTGTTGCTACGAGACCTGTTCCTTGGTGCGTCAGGGAGGTCCATCGTTGGAACCCGAGAAGTAGACATGACGAACGTTGGATCTGAAATGTCTTTCGTCTTGATTTTGCGTCTCATCGCATCACTTATATTGGAGCTCCCGTTCTCTTGACCACGGTTTGGCGAAGCCGACGGGCGAGGCGAAGAAGGTAATGCAAGAGGGGTCGACGGATTGTGGGGGAATGGAGAAGGTATGGGCGAGGCGGGTGAAACTTGGCTAGGCTCGTAGCTACGGGCTGTATGGACATGGAGGTTAACGTTTGATGTGGAACTCGATTGCTTGGTCTGGGTAGAGCCTGGATACGGTCGGGGTGGCATTATTGGCGAGCGTTTAATATCAGTTCCGGGGAGACCAGGTGAGCGCATTGGGGGTCGAGCCATAGTTCCGTTCAGGCCAACCTGCAAATTCCCACGGACAGAGGAAGAATTCATCGGTCTTGTTTGCCAGCTATTTGCTTGTCCGTCGTTGCCCGAATCCGACCCACTCTTGTCCCCATCAGACTTCGTCTGTCCTTCATGTACAAAGTCACGGCTTCCTTGTGTCAACTCTTCACTTGTTGATCGTTCCTTATAGAATATTGGAGGGGGTTTACGCCCTCGATCGAGTGAACTTCGTCCAGAGGGGCGTTGTTTACTTGGTGTTGACCGGACTGAACTACTATCAGGTGCGGATTCCTCCTGCTGATGATGCCTTGCCTGCGTTTCTTGCTCCCTCATCTTCTGCAACTCACGTCTTGCTTGTCTAAACGCACGAAGTCCAGCATGGGCTTCGTCGGTGTTATCTGCCTTGTCTTCTGTCTCGCTGTAATCAAAAGAATTCGGTGTCTTCCCGCTCTCTTCCTTCGGTGGTTCTCGTGCCGAACTTACTACTTGGGAATTGCTAGACGCACCTAGTCCAAGCATTTTCATGGCTTTCGATTGCGATGCATCTCGACTGCGGTCAATCAATGACCCCCGACTATTCTTTGGCCGTAGAAGGCCGAGCCCATTTTGCCGTGGGGGCGGCGGCTGATCTCCAAACGAGTCATTAGAGTCCCCTAGTCGGCTAGGAGAGGCAGAACGACTGTCGGTTTCAACATAAGTAGTTAAACGCTCACGCACTCTGCGAGCCCCATCCGCAAGCTGACTTGCAAATTCATCTCGATCCTCCTCGCTAGTATTGGGTATAGTACCGACAATAATGCCAGGCAGGTCCTCAGAATCGGGAACGTTGGAAAATCGGAACTGAGCATCTGGCATAGGCTCATTGACGTCCAAGTCCAAAGTCCAATCTCGACCAGCATCGGACATATCCCACGGATTCGCAGTAGTTCCCAACTCGTGAAAAGCCTCGGCGGATCCCGAATCTGCTGGAAATCGTGATTCGAAGCCAGAGGTAGGAGGGATCATACCGTAGATTGACGAGGCATTACTATCGCCTCGGAGATGCTGCCGCACCATACCACTAAGGCCAGCGCCTGGAGCTGGTCCGAGGGTAGGGGAATCTGCAGGTGAGGGTTCTCTTGGATTTGGCGAGAGGGACGATGGATTCTCTGCAATTTGAGGAGTTCCATCACTGGACTTTGAATCTAGCGATAAGGGTGTCATGATAGTAGAGTCGCGAAACGCCGGGTGTTCGCGGTCAGATGGACGCCTCAGGAAGACTTGTGGAGACGGAGCTGGCTTAGGTGACACGGCAGGGGAGCAGTCCGAGTCGTTGGGATCTGCTAGGAATGATGTTGCCGGTTCCTCGTATGACGACGATTTAGCAGCTTTGGCGGTAGCATCAACATGGGACTCTAATTCTCTGCTCCGCGCCGACGATGACGAACTAGATCTTTGGTTTGTTAAGGATGTTCTGGTATCATCTCGAGATTTAAGCGTTGGTGTCTCTCGTCCTTGTTGCCGCTGTAATTGTCGTTGGGCATACCTCGATTCGTCGTATGGCTGTAAAGGTTTCTGGAAGACCCCCAGGGCGGTAGCCTTTCCTCGATCGTTAGGGTGTATGGATAATATAGAATTCTCCTCTGTTTCGCTAATGGGTGGGCTTAAGGGTGGTGCTCCGCCAAAATTTGATCGCATTTCAGTAACGCTAGGTACACGAACGCCTAGGTCTGGGGTGTCAGCTGAAGAAGCTGTGGTAGGAGGGCTCATCGATCTAAGGTTTGGCGCGCTAGACTTAGCCAAGATCTTCCGCTCACCGGCAAACCGTTCCACAAAACCAATAGTGGTAGGGGATGGGGAATTCTGAGCTAGATCAGGTGTCCGAGTCCCGAAGGTGCGCTGCCGAGTTAAGGTGTCGATACGGGACAGTGCTGAAGACTGCTGTTCATGGAGGTCGTTGTTAAGCCCGGATTCATACAGTCGCCTTGTCCGCGTCACGCTTCTATCCACAGCAGGTCCAGAGCTAGCAGACGGTTGCCATTCTTTCAAGGATGGGGCGCGATGAGAGGATGTCACCGACGTTGCGGCGGTCGAGTTCCTAGCCAGTGATGGTATGGAAGACGTCGTTGATGAGGTCTCTCGCTTCTGGTTGTAGTTGCTAAGGATTGGTGATTCTGCGCGGAAGACGTCTATTTCCATCTCTCCCGAATTTCTTCTTTCACTTCCACCTCTATCCTCTTCAGACGACTTGCGCTCTCTCTCGGCCTGTCTCCATTTCTGGAAAGCCGACAATGCCACGTCGTCGTCGTACAAGGCCCGCCCCCCCATACCCCCACCAGGCGTTTTCGCCGGGTTGGTGCCAACGGGAATTTTGTAAATCTTCTGACGCCCACCAAACAGGTTGTTCCCTTCGATCGGCTTAGAACGTCCCATAACGCTGCTTGCTGTGAATGAATCCCCGTCGTCAAATATGGAAAGGTCTTTCCCGGAAAAAGGAGCGGCAGCCCTGATAGATTCTACTTCGGCAATGTCACCTAAACCTCGGAACCCACCATAGTCCAGTCTCGATTGCCTCTTGGGGAATAGGACGCTATCATCGCTCGCCTTGCCAATCTTTGTGCTCGGGTCATCCTGTTCCCTCAACATGGAAAATCGGGCGGATAGGCCGGTCATTAACAAACTCGTGCGGAATTCGTCATTGGATGGCAATGCAGTCGAGAGATCAATCTCGATTTTCTCGGGTTCCTGCGTTTTCTTCCCTTTCCTAAAGGGTCGGAAAGGAATGGAAGACTCGGAATCCTGCGAGGGTCTAGGGGCCGAAATCTCATCCTTCACCTTCTTCTTGGTCCGAAATCGATTCATTATGGATCCTCTCAATTGTAGATCCACCCTCGTCCCCTAACGATTAAACCGACGGCAATAGTGAAAATAGCGATACAATATCTAATGAATGACTTCGGGCCTCGGTTGGAATACAACGACTAAAGCAACACCACCCTCTGCATGACATTAACGAAAGTAGGGGGAGCTGGCACAAAAAGATCGACTAGGGTAAGTTTACACCAGCAGCTTTAAACCCATTAGTCAATGCGGGTAGAGTTGAAAGACACAGGAACCAACGGAATGAATGAAGAGATTTCGACTTGTAAATGAAGGGATCTGTGATTAGAGATGTCAGCTAGGATGTTCATTACATAGCGTGTTAGGGGGTAGTAGTTTAAAAAAAAAAAGAAAAGGGGGGGGCTAATCCCGGTCTCATACAGGGGTTCAAATACAGGTTAATGCTCGACGGGATGGAATGTTGCATACTGAAAAGAATCCCACTATTTTGGCCCAACATGGAATTGTAGAACAAGTTCTTGGATGGAAGAGGAGGGGAGGGGGGGGGAGGGGGAAGACTAGAAAAGAGAACAAGAAATCTATTGGAAAACTTACCTGATGGCGGGATGAATGGTATCGAGAGTGTTTCACAGATCAATGGGGGTGGAAGAAATCAAGCATGAATTAACAGATGGACCAGCAGACGATCAGACAATCGAATTCGGATGATGCTCCCGTCCTTTTCTCAGAAACAGACGATCGAGCTCACCAAGTCCTAAAAGACAAAGAGAAACGAAGACGGATTCAAGGAGAGACAAAAAAGTCTGAGAGAGTTTGATCAAGAGACGGTATTCGTAAATTCGTGTGGAAGATGGTCAGAATGTAAATCATTGATTTGTCGTACAGCAGACCAAATCAAACCAATGGTTTGTGCAGGATAGGCAGGTAACAGATGAATGCCGCAATCCGATGTTGTGAAAGATGAATCTGCAAAATCCGCGACTTTAGGTTTCGGTTTTGGATATGGATATGGACTTGGACTTGGACTTTGGTGGAATGATAATTTCGTTGTTTTCTCGTCTTGACGAATGTCGAATGCCAGGTGACTTTCTCCTCCTCTTCGTCCTCTTCAATAACCTGCCGTGTTTGGTTCAAATAGAAATTGCTCCAATGGATCGTTTTCGCTAGTATACTAGCTCTCCTTATTATTTGTCTTGTTGTCGAGATCAAAGGAGTGACTATGGTGAGAAGCGGTTTGTCGCCGTTGGGAAAGGAATAGTCGGGCGTGGGCGTGGAGAACGTAGGCCGGTAAAAGAACGTAGGCCGGTAAAAGAACGGGTAGAACAGAGCAAGAGAGAAAAACAAACAGGACCTGGTAGAAATGACAGGTAACTAAATGAGGGTTAGATCAGTCTAGAGCACGCCGTATAATACCAATCAACTCAACAGAACAAGATCAGGCCAGACCAGATTAGACGAGACAAAACAAGTGAATTGAAGACTGGTCAAGGCGAAAAAAATGCGAAAATGGAAAAAAACCGAGCGAGTGGAACATTGAAAATGGGGGTTGAATAATACGCACTTAGATGTTTAACAAGGGTTAGGTACCTACATATGTACATAGGTACATATATACCTAGTATTGATGTATGGAACCTTGAAGGCATATACCTAGATCCATTATTAGGTATTATGTACCTCCTGCTTAGGAACGTATCCGTTGCATAAAGCATAGGTACCTAGTACTAGGTATTAGAGGTAGGTACTACGCACATAATATTGCAGTGCGTACCTAGTATGCCGTAAGTGAAGGTCTTGCCAAGGGATTCCAAAATGAACCTTGTCCTGTAAGAGAACCCCCTCTTCCAAGGTTCCTATCCCCCCCTGTTCCAAGGTTTCCTCCCTGCATGAAGAATCACCAATTACCTATTCAGCTGAGGTCTTGTCACATAGTACCCACACCAAAAACATACCTACGTACCTAGTACATATGTATGGATACAAGAAACCGAAGAAACGGCTGTTCCGTAGCTGGATAAGTAATTGAACGCGCATAAGCTTTTCTTCCGCCAAAACTCAGGAAACTCAATAGCTTCAATGTTGGTAGCTTAGTGATCTTCTGGCGTTGTCACACGACATCCGGGGATAGCACTTCAGCTAGCATGCAGCCATATATCATCTAAGCTTCTTCGGTTTTGCATCTTCAAAGAAGCCTACCTAATAGAGAACAGCGTCAGAATAAACGGGCCGTGTGCGAACCACCAGAAATGATACTGTATTACACTGTGTCAAGATTCACCCCCTGGATTATCTAACTAGGCAACTAACGATTTTGCCACAACACCAAATACATGATTTAGGGGATAAGTCAACTTACAGTGTATCACAGTAGTATTAATACATGGCTCGCACATGGCTCACTTATTCTGACGCTGTTCCCTAGGTAGCATATTCTGATAGCTTTCAATGGACCTAGAGTGACTGGCCGTTTCATACACACACTGCGGCTTACGGCGGCGTCTAAAATTTTGGAGAGCTGAAACTCCAAGTTAAAGCGAATTATTGATCATTTGGGGAACATAAAAGAAGCAATTGACACTAGAATGACACAATATGGAAGTCCCTTCCCACCGGCGATTCAGGCCAATGCAGCCACGGCAAATCACCCGTCTCCGTCACCCTCCCTGCCTCCTTGCTTCCTAGCTCTCTTACCAACTAATAGGTACTGTAAGCATATTGATTCATACCACTAAACTCCTTCAATCCCATCATATGTTTATACGAGAGACACGGTTCCTGTCAAGACGTTTGAACAATGCAATTTGCTCTTGCTTCTACTTACAAAGAGTCGACGATTTTGCTTTTTAAGATTATTAAAGTGTTATGTACCTTAGTATATAGGTAGTAGGTATGTACATATGTGCGTTTTATCCCAAGTACAGAACATCAATTTGCCATATTATAAAATCGTGGCGTCTAAGACATGGCAACCACGGGTAGTTTGACACTATTCATACATACCGCACCACAACGACCAAGGCGATTTGATCGCCAGCGATACAGCGAGACTTCAATACGAAAGCTTAAGGTTGACGAGTAACAGCGCAAGAACCTAGAAGAGTAGAGGCTATATTTCAGACCTACCAATATGTATATGTAGTATTAGCAGCATACCACTAGCAATACCTAGCATTGAGACTAACTAGTTACACCACGCCATGACATCGCAAGGTAATGGATGCAACATTATTGTGGAATAACTAAAGAATCCGCGGTCCAATCATACTCATGTTCCTGGCGCTTAGCCGCATTAAGTTTTAACCTTTAAAAATGGTGGGTAATATCTGCGCCCCATTTTTATTTCAAGTAGTTTTAAACTAGCGCCGCGTTATAAGCTCGAACCACTTTAAGCCACAAATAAGCCACAGCGCAGCGACTAGTCCAAAGCCAGTCATAAGCAATTTGCAAATATTCTTACAAGCTTTACAGCGTATAATTCCTTGACCCAAGCACCAAGCACTCGGATCGAGGCATAGATCGGCAGAGCCGAAAAGTAACATGGCCTTGACAGAAACCAACAGCCACTTATGACCGTCGTACAAGCGGTAATATGCATAAACCGAATATGACTATGTCGCTAGAAATAACTTGTTCCGTCTAATATAAGTATAAAAGATCAATGTCCCCGCTAAAGAACCATTTATCCCGATGAGATATTTTTTTCTATGGCATGCGGTGACGACGTATTACTAACAACGTGCCTCACAGGAATCCAAGGACGTAGTATTAATTATATTCGATATTATTTATCATCAGTTGGAACATCGTGTATCATAGTACTACTGGTACCGGTATCGCAAACTGGAAGTCGTTGATTGTTCAATCTCTCGAATTCATTAAGGTCCCCTACACAGACGAGGTAATATTGTACCTACCTGGGTAGGTAGGTAGTCACTTCGACCGTATCCCTGCCGTGTATCGATTCTTTATTCAGTATACATCATCATCCGATCCAAGGCACGCGCCTTGTCCTGCCCCCAGAGATGATTGACTATGGCGTTTTTCCAACTCCCGATTTTTCCCGCAGCGTTACGGCTAACGAATCTCATGAACGGAAGTCCGTGGTCATCACCACCGTCACTACAATCACTGTCGTTGCCACCGACATATGCTGTTCTAGGCGATATGTGTGGCTCATCCATCGCGATTATGTGTTGCGATGGGCTAAGGAAATGGAACGCGCCAGTAGTAAGTCCAGTCGTCTGGGGATGAGCAGAAACGTGGGGTGTGGCAGGCTGCGAAATCGCCGGTCACGCTCCCAAGTTGATCCTTCACGATCACCCCCAACTTTCAGCCTTTCCTCTTAAGTCCTACTGCATCTTAGCCGCAAGTTGTGATTCGTTTCCACGGATTAAAATCCCATGCGGGGTAGTTCTCCTGTGGTGCGACTCACGCGCAGTTCGTCCGCTGGACCCTGCACGGCGAATATGACTACCTACCTCATGGTTTGGGTAGGTATTTTCCTTTTAGTTCTGGTTCTGGTGTGAAGGGAGGGAGTTCGCCCTTGCACCATATGGATGTATATCAAGCCCACACACCCCGTGGTAGGAGCCCTCGAGGCACTTATACACTCTTCCTCCTGATCGAAATTTATAGACACAGCTTCCTCGACAGCCATTAAACATCTGCATACATACATACGCACCCATACCCACAACGATCTGAATCTCGACATATCAACACTTCAACCAAGCTACCTCTTCATCATGTACGCGGCACACTGTTGCAAATGTGGGGGAATTTTCGTTATCAACACGAACTGCACATGGTGTAAGCATAAAGAATGCACCGAGTGTCGTTGAGCCGGGCTGTCTCCAAACGGTGAGGGTGATGGTGATGTTAAGAATAGGTCAGGCCCGCAGCTATCCTTTTAGATGAATGTTGCTAACCACGACACAGCCTTTTCCCTCCTTTCGAAGTTTTCGCGGGACTAAATATCCGTGAGAATAGGTCACGAGCCAACGAAGGTCGCTATTTAGTTGGCTTATTCTAGTTTCCTGGCGACGGTACTATGTATCAATGGTAATGGGAGAATGGGAGGCGAAGTCTAATATATCCACGCGCTGCGTACCTAGTATAATATCTTGCGTATGGCTTCCTTCGCCGTGATAGGATGTACAATACAATAGTCTAGACCTACTAGTTAGGTGCCTTTCGAATTAATTACATCTTGTCGAGATACGCTTAGTAGTTTAAACATGCCCAATGGTGATTCGATGACGGGTTTCGTTTATGCCAAGACTATATACTACATGAGTACATCCTAATCCTACCTAATTGGAAGTACCTATGTAATCAGCTAATCAAGCAGTTTCCTTCAATATGAGATTAGCGAGGTGGAGGTGTAAAACCTTGTGTTCCCACTACCTACCTACCTAGGTACGTCCATGTACCTGTACATCAGTAGTCGTAGAAGGGTGGAGCCTGTAATTGTACCTAGTACTACGTGGATAGGTATTCTCCACATAATGTAGCAATGCCTCAAGATCCTAACGTACATACATCCAATATCCACCAACCAGATCAGCCAATAGATAAAGGATCGTAAATCATTCAATGTTGTTGGCCTCACCAATCCCTGGATGATTAACTCGGATTGTCCGACGTTGTTAATATTTACCAACTAGTAGTCATGGTTTCACTTATACAATTCGCTTCCTCCGAAAGAAACAAAAAAGGAAAAGAGAAAGAGGGAAAAAAAACCACCTATGTAACTTACCTAGTACTAGGTAATTAACTAACTTCCTAACGTCCTTCTTACTCTCGACAGAGGTTTCTCGCAAGTTATTACACCATCGGTTATACGACAAATGTTGCGATTTCTCTCAGATCTGTGGAAAGTCCGCAATGCAGGTGATTTACTAATCTTCAACCGGAATACCAACATCGAAAAAAAAAAAAAAAAACGCACCATGTTATCGATCAATCAAGACTTAGAAACTTCTCATATTCATAGTGCTAAGTGCTTTAAATCCACTTATCAGCCCTGCTTTATTAGTTTATATAGCGCCATATAAGCCACGTTAAAGTCCACTATTCGCTAACAAAGTAGGCAAACATTACATAGAGGATAGTACTGGAATTGGCAGTTGGACTGAATAACGACGACTTGTAAGGAAGGTCGAGGAGTCCGGCCTTAGCTTAGTCGCCCTCAAGATACCGGCACTGCCACCAGGTACTCCCCACTCAGACGATGGAGACAAACACGGAGACGAATAATCATAAGAACAATATACAGCCTACCTATTAATTATTATATTCCTACCTCCCCACCTCGACAATCCAGTTTGCATTTAGTTTGTGATTCATCTTGGTATGCGCGGGGGTTAGGTTCGGACTCTTGGGAATCAGAATTCGCTAGAATGTCTTCTTTTCTTAGTTCAGATTGATGACCAAGGTCGCTCCGCAATCGTATAAATCGAGCACTCGGAACGTCTATTTCGCTTACTTCAACTGGTGTTTCTTTGTAAATAATAACTACCACCTCTAACATGGTAAGCAATAAATACTACGGACTACGTTACCGCTCTAATGAGACGCCTAGGCAAAGAAGGAAAAATACACTCTCCCGATACGGGAGCTACCCCAGGAATGTACCTCTCAAGCATCATCCCCAGGTAAAGGGGTTGTCGAGGATGTCCAAGTTAGTATACATCCCGTGCCAGCTCACGACGGGGTTATTATTTGCGTACAGCCACCAGAGAGGTCGAATGACCCCCAACTCCATCATGTTCCATGCGACATCGTACTTGTTATAGATATTTCCGGCAGTATGGATTTGCCAGCTCCTGCGAAGATGAACGGAGATGAGTATGTAACACCCAGAGCCCCTTTTTCCATTTTCCGGTATCGTTTCCGCTCGCCTGGAGTAACTACTCGTGAGACATGCATTAAAAACAATTACTGACTCCTATTTTTATAGTGGAAAGTTAAGTTTTGAGAACTTCGGGTTGTCAATACTCGACATGGTGAAGCACGCTGCACGCACAATCCTGAGCACCTTGGATGAGGGGGACAGGCTCGGGATCGTGACGTTCAGCAAAGATGCCACGGCAAGTTTCTCAAGTGCCCCGCGCCGAAATGATTATTTGTTAATCAGGGGCGGTCATTGAATAGGTGGTCCAGAAGTTGCTATCGATGACCCCTAGCAACAAGGAATTAAGCGAATCTAACATCGATATGATGACACCGGATAGTATGACCAACCTTTGGCACGGCCTACAGAAAGGAATAGGCCTTTTCGAAGGGGAGGAAGACACGGGGAGAGTACCTGCGGTTATGATCCTAACGGACGGGCTGCCCAATTACCTGTATGAATAATACCTACTCTAAACATCCCAGAGAGAGAAATCACTCACATGGTTCATAGGTGTCCTGCTCAGGGTTACATCCCCAAAATACGCAGCATCTGGGAAGATCTGCCAGCAACGATCCATACGTTTGGATTTGGCTACGACATTAAATCGGGACTTTTAAAGTCTATTGCGGAAATCGGAGGGGGTAACTATGCTTTCATTCCTGACGCTGGCATGATAGTATGAGGACCACGTTCGCTCACCTGATACCATATATCTAGCTAATCTGATCCAGGGAACAGTGTTCGTTCACGCGGCCGCCCATCTCCAGACGACGTACGCCACAAAATGCTCGCTTCAAGTAACCATGCCAAATAATATTCGTTTAAGAACAACGACCGGTAAAACTGTCGACCAGCAGGTCAAAGACGTGGGGGGCAACAGGAAACTCACCGTGCGCCTTGGAAATTTACAATATGGCCAGTCTAGAGATATATACCTCGAGAACATCGACAGTCAGGGTTATAAAGCCGTCTTTGATCCCACTACAGGTACTACTATCAATGCCATGCTCAGGTTCACCCAGATGAGGGCCGCGGAATTGTGCAGCTTCGGGATAAAGGATGTGCTAGAAGATTCGATCCTTTCAGAGTCCGAGATGGCCTACCACCGGAGTAGATCGATGATATGTGACTTTATTTCCTCATTTTTCCCTCTTCGAAATGACGGCGAATACGAGACTCGCAAGGATATTAATGTGAAGCGCCATGCGCCAGACTTCCAGCGGTTGCTAGAGAACATACCAGCCAGGCTCTACGACGATAAACACAACAGATCGCTGATGGAAGATCTCGTGGGAAGCTTACCATCTGGCCAGGTATCTCTGGCTTTGTCTGATGAAAACTACTTTCGTCGATGGGGTTGTCATTACTTCTTCAGCCTCTGGAATGCCCATGCGAAGCAACTGTAAGTCTTCTTGTTAGGCTAAAACCTTGTACCTCCCGACTCGCTTAGGGTTGACATATATTCTAACCGTTTGGGCTTCCAGATGCAATTCCTTTAAGGACCCGGGTCCGTTATTGTATAATCAGAATCCTTTTTTTATCAGATGCAGAGATCGCCTTGATCGATCCTTCGATACCATCCCCCCACCTAAGCAATCCTGTCCCAGTGTGGCTACCACCCCTCATATTTATATGTCGCGGTTGAACACCCGGAGTGGTCCCTGCTTCACTGGTACGAGCAAGGTTACGCTTGCCAACGGCCACCAAGCACTCGTCCGCAAGCTGCGACGGGGTTCAGCTGTACGCACGCCCATCGGCAGCCGGATCGTCGCAGCTGTGCTGAAAACAGAGATTCGCGAAGTTTCCATGTGTAGGATCGGGGACCTCGTCATCACGCCGTGGCACCCGATCAGGATCGACCATGCGGGAACGCCTGCTCAATGGACTTTCCCAGCTAAACTCGTGCTTGTGTCCGGACAAGTTCAGCTTGTGACCTACTCAGGACCTATTTACTCAGTTCTACTGGGACCGGATTGCAGCACTGAAGCCCATGCCCTTGAGTTCGGTGGTGTCTGGGCGGCAGCGCTGGGCCACGGCGTTGTCCGGGGAAGAGACGTCCGTGCCCATCGATTCCTTGGAGATTATAAGAAGGTAGCAAAAGCCATCGCAAGGTTGAAACCAAGGAAGGATGGTGTTGCGTTGTCTGGTGGGGTGAAAAGACGGGATCGTGACGGCCTAGTCTGCGGATTCAAGGAGTACGCTACTACCCTATCTTATGTCTAGGTAGGTAAGTAATGAAGGGGATGTGGAAGAATGGTAAACTAGAGAAATCACCAGGAAATTGAGGATAGTACCTATCGCAGCAACTCAACAGACGAGGTCTATTAACAGAAGCTGATCAGTGATAGAAAATTGGAGTGGTTTATCTAGATCAGCCATCTAATATTTATCTAAAATTTTGAGCGATTAAGACGTAAGTTTCGAGCTACACCAGAATGACGAAGGGAAGGTAAAATATCCTCTTTCTGAATAAAGGTTCGAATTAAAGTCGAGAGATATTTCCCGAATGACTACCATAGACCACAGTCACGACCGCTCATCCTTTTTTATACCTTGCCCGACATGGCATCCTCACCGTACCCCATTGCCTACCGAGTAGGTAAGTAACAGCACCGTACCGAGTTCCGAATGTATTTTGTGGTATATATAGGATGAACTGTCGAGCATTGTGAACATTGAAGAAGCTAGGTACCTGGGCACCTAAGCAAGCTTGAGAAATATAAAGTTTTTTTAATAATCACATATGTATTTAGGCGGGTATGTATGTACTAGGTAGATTAATGAAATTCGATTCCTTGCACTTTCAGGAAGCTTTTTCCGGAGTCCGGACCCGTTCCTGACAGCTAAACGATGATACCTAGGTACCTTTACTTTTCAACACGGAACAGCCAAGCGACTGTTCAAATTACCGGTATTGAATAACTTATAGGACATAGAATCTTACATTCCAAATCATCTTACATCGTTGTTTAGCTCAGTTACTATTAGACTCTAGTCTAGATAGGTACTGACTTAGGTACTAACTTAGGTACTAACTTAGGTACTAACTTAGGTACATACCATCGTCATATTTCGTAACGAACCTAAGATCTATTTTCCCCGGCCGATGCTTAGGTTCTTCGAACAACCTACTCTCTGCTAATCGACTACATGGTGTGTACTTGAATGCCTACGTCTGATTCTTTAGTCAACCCTCTCTCTGGATGGCCTTCGCCCGCCGGCGTCCCGCCATTTCTTGGGTTTGCAGCTCCGGCTGCCGCCACTAATGGTCTGTAGCGGTACTCCTGTGTCGGCCTGAAGCCGTGTAAAATTGTCGTTTCCGTAACTACGGCTCCGCCACGACGATGGGCTCAGTGTCCATTCCTTTGTGAGTATTTTAGAAAGGTATGGCCTCATGAATGGGAAATTCGCAACGAGAATCGCTAACTCGGGCTCAAGCACGGTCCACAGTAATTCCAATGGCAGTGTCCATGTCGGGTCGGTAAAGGAGATATTCATGAGAGACTTAAGGCGGATGATAGACATTGCTGTGATGCTGCGGACTGTTAGGCTTCTTTCCTGTGGGCCCCTACAGTCATCTCCTTGACGATCATTGACAAGGCGGAAGTTACTGACAAGAGACCGAGGCTAAATGTAGCCGTGAGTACGATACGTTGAGATATTGGGAGGTTTAGCTTCCAAATTATCGGCACGGGCATCAGCATGACCATCAAGTCCGTCAGCATGTTTGTCGCTCCGGCCACAACATATACAGTATTTCAATCGCCACAACTACCCTCCATAGATGTATCCCAGTTGTACGGGAGAGGTCGACAGAGAAGAAATGTCTCGAGAACCACCGAAATCATCCATAAAAAGACGATGACCGTCTACAACATTGAATATCAGTATTTCTTCCTTTGTGGCGATGGTTAGGAAGTTTTCGAGAGCGAGTGCTTTGAGTTGGCTCGGTTGGAAAATTATCGCTCCTGTGATAGGCTAGAAGGGGAAGCAGATAACCCAATGCCGCATACCGTTACACGTGCGAACCACTGAACCGACGATCTGTTGGCTCCGAATACGTGCTGATAAAATAGTAAGATAGACCATTTAGCGAACATCAGAGTGATGCCATAAAGGGCCTCGAAAGGGATAATAAGCTGACGGAAAGAAAATTTAGTATAGGACAAAAAGGGGAAGAGGTGAGCCGATCTACATCATATTGCTTACCTTGAGGGTAAGGACTGCATCCAACATTTTCACATCTTCTATATGTCTGCCAGTTCGGCCTTGTACTACACCTGTTCCAGCGTTAGTCGCGACTAATCTAAGGTTGTAGTCTCCTAGCTAGGGAAATGATTTACAAGCCTATTGAATGGCGAGAGACGTGAATGTCAACAACTTAGATATTCGTGAGAAATGATTCATTGGTAGGAATCGTAGAGACATCTGCATACTAGAGCAATCAAGAGATATGGTTCTTGCAGGTGAAATTTCTCGGTCCTTTGCCGTACAGAGTATGCCCGGACAATGCAAGAGAGCAAAGCAATAACGCCGAATAGTGTAGATACGGCTAATGGACCGCCAGTTTCCGACTTGTCTGGATGATAATACACCATTTTCGGCAATTGAAGATGAATTAAAATTGAGGAAAAAGGAAATTTCCCCCAAAGGCCCTGAAGAGGACTTACTTACGCGTAACTAGGTACATAAAGGATCGTGAAAAAGTCCTGTCGATGAGGTAAGACGATAAAAACAATCGCATTTCTGTTGAGTCGGACAAGGGACTTAAATGTGCTTTTATCCTCGAATCTCTGGACTGCTCTTTTTTCTCCCTTTTCAGGGATCGAGAGGCTCGAGGGTGAGATATCGTTCCAGCATCTTGTTGCAGCTAATCCTAACCCCTTATAAATCGCCTACTGAAATACTGATATAGTAAACTTTCTTGGATATTTTCTTAACGTCTACCTAGATAACTTCAAAAACCGTCTCAATACCATTTACTTATAAAGACTCCTAACTTACAAAACGTCAATTTTGAAGCATATAAATGACAACCTAAGGTAGATGAATCATGATATGCAATCCTGATTGTATCGTACATAGATAAAATAACTGCTGTAGTAGCATTATTTCGGGGTTAGTGTGGATGCATGTTGGGTGTTGCATTACGGCATAGACGCATATCATCATGCCACCATGAGGCTGATTCGTCCAACTTCTGTCGTCCCCAACGTTATCGCAAAACTCCATCCGGACCGAAGGAATCTTACATCGCAAAGGAGAGTAGGGGAATTTTTGTTTTCGCAGGTGGTCTGCTTTATGATTCTTGTTAAACGCATCACTCCGGCTTGAAGAACGTCGCAACTTATCGCCTTTTTTTCTCATCCCTCCACCCGTTATCCTGTCTCCTTACTCTGACAGCCCCTGTTCTCTCTCCTTCTCCGCGATTTCTTATTGTCGAGGCTTTCTGTGTCTATAGACTATGGCTGCCGTTGAAACCTCTTCAACTGCTAATTTAAGTGCGGAATATGACTACGTTGTTGTTGGAGGTGGGACATCGGGACTTGTGATCGCTTCGAGGCTGACCGAAAATAAGGACGTTCGTGTCCTGGTCCTCGAGGCGGGCGCGAACCGCGTAGGCGACCCGAAGATTTCTATCCAGGGCCTTGCGGCCGCTCTGTATTTTGACCCAGACTATGATTGGTGCATCACTACAGAGCCTCAGGTACAGACAATATCCCCAGGCTCACAGTCTTAGAATTAATGTCTAACATACAGCGGCTGGCAGGTCGGGCTTAACGACCGCAGGCTAGCACAACCTCTAGGGAAAACTCTAGGTGGGTCCTCGGCGTAAGTATACGACCTACATAACGTCACTTTCAAGTTGCTTGCTAACTCAACTCGGGCTCGAGTATCAACCTTGGTATGGTTATCTACCCGTCTAGGTCAGGCTTCGACACATGGGATAAGCTGGGGAATCCAGGCTGGGGGTGGGAAACTATGGAAAGCTATTTCCGCAAATTCCACACATTTAGTGAACCCCAATCGAAACTCAAAAAGGAGTTGATGCTAGATTACTTGAACGCTGCTCAAGGCACGGATGGCCCCATCCACATCTCTTACGGTAGCGAGGAAGGATACCCTCCCTTTGCCCAGGCCTGGCCACGAGCCTGGTCGGCACTATGCAAACCCATCGACGGCGACCCTATCTCCGGCACGGCCACCGGAGCCTTCAACAACGCTGCTACGATCCATCCAACAACTAGGGAGAGGAGTCATGCTGGGAATACATACTTTTCCGACAGTACAGCCCGACGACCAAACCTTCGCGTCGTCACGGAAGCGTTCGTCGAGAAGATTTTATTATCCCAACGAAATGATGGAATTAATAAACTTCGAGCTACTGGTGTTACGTTCAGCACGAAAAATGGCCAAAGGCGGCAGGTCACTGCCACGCGTGAAGTCATTCTAGCTGCTGGCGCCGTCAAATCGCCTCAGCTGCTGGAGTTGTCAGGAATTGGTAATAAAAGCGTACTTGCAAAGTACAAGATTGATTGCCTGGTGGACAACTCCAATATAGGCGAGAACCTCCAGGACCACGGCTTTGTACCCTTTTCCTGGGAGGTGGCTGACCCGATGACGTCAGGCGATCAGATGCGCAACCCAAGCGTGGTCGAAGCCGCTATAGAGGCTTATCAGCAGGCTAAAGCAGGACCATTATCCGTGAACGCGCTTGCATCAGCTTTTTTCCCGCTCCAGGATCAAGATCTTGTACCCGTATCTGTCGACCAGCTTCTTTCGGAGCTTGGCCAGACAGAGGTCGAGCCCAAGGCCCTCCGTGAGCAAATTTGTACTCCCGGTGACTGCTCGGCGCAGTTTACGCTCGCGCCGTTCCAACTCAACCCTTTCCCTGGGGATTCCCCTTCACAGATCTTCGGCTTAGGCGCCGATGGCTTCTACGCGTCCATTGTAGCCGTTTTGAACCACCCATTCAGTCGCGGGTCGGTTCATATACAATCAGCAGACCCGCGTTCGTCACCCATTGTAGACCCACGTGCCATGTCAAATCCGCTCGATTTGGAATTGCATGCGCGGCACGTATTGCTTCTCGAGAAGATACGCGATACCTCACCACTGCGGGAACTCTTTAAGGAAGGAGGGCGACGTCTGCACAATGACGGACAAAGAGTTGAGACGTTGAGCCAGGCTAAAGAGGCAGTTAAGAATGGGTACACCCCCCATTACCATGTTTGTGGAACTGCAGCCATGTTACCTCGAGAGTCTGGCGGTGTGGTGGACTCGAAATTGAGAGTGTATGGGGTAGACGGTCTAAGAATCGTTGATGCTAGCGTCTTCCCGCTGATTCCAAGAGGAAATATCCAGAGTTCTGTTTACGCGGTTGCTGAGAGAGCTGCTGATATTATTAAGTCGGGCGAGTAGTGTAAGTAGAAGTAGTTATTAGAGACTATTAGTGGGTTTAGTATTAAGAAACGAGAGCGAGAGACGCCGCTGCAGGTAAGGTTCAGATTGGCTAATGTCTCCTTGGTTTAGCCGAAACTAATCAGATTCTAAGGATCAATCCCTCCCTTTAATAACTACAATATAAATTTAGAGATTTAGGAGCTCACTTCCTGTTCTAAGTAAGTCCACCTAATTAATCGAATTTAATCAATTGATTCTATGCAATAAGCACCGTTTTGATTCATGCGCGAGGAACCGAATCGAAATGCCATAAGTGGATCAGTGCCAGCTGGCGTCAAGGCAAATCACAGCTGCAACCTACTTTGTCACCAGGTACTTATATTTATATTTACCTGTAGCAAAAGGTTTTAAATACGCCCTTTGTACATAAGTAAGTAGGAAATTTTAGATAAGAAATTTGGTGGGGGATTACTTCCGACATAATAACGTTTCGTAAACTTTAAGGTATCTACACAGGTACATAATAGTGCACCATTTTATGGGACCGTCGCGGTGGGGTTAATCATCGAGATCTTCAATGTTCCTAGGAAGTAGGTACTGTACATAGGTACATTAATATGTACAGATAGATCAATCTTTGTTAGTTATAGCGCACAGGTGCAAGCTCACTCGCCAGCTATGTCATCAGCTGGTTGAAAAAGGGATCGATAAGATCAGGATAGTCAGACCAGAGTAGACACAAGTTGATCCCCCTGACTATCTGCCTGGCGCAACGATAAGTTCTTATTTATTTCATACATGACTCTGGGGTACCAATGTATCCTGTTCTCTAATTATTCTATAGAGCCACTTGGGTTCAATCCCGAGTCATGCAATTAATGCACTACCCATCCAGCCACCTCGCATGTAAGCATGTACATATGTATGTGCTAATGCTTCTCTTATCCTCGATTGGATGTCAACACGGGTTTGTGGCTTGATGCAGATTTAGCGTCGCTTGTTGTGCTTCGTCAGGAAAAGGAAAAAAAGATTTACTTACGTACAACATTTTCGACATTCGAGAGCTTGGCCAGCCTTGGACTTGTCTACCCGGACAGCCGGGTCAAAGCACGACACGCATGATGTGATGAACCATGCAAAGTTCGACCCACCGAACCGATTTCTGGTGAAGCTTAGTGAAGCTAACTGCCTAACTGCCTGACATTCGTCGATCTCTGAAAGTCGACCCAGATATCTAGGGCAACGAATTACCGAAAGGGAGGTCTGGGCTCTCATGGTAGCTTCAATAGGTAAGTCTCATCCGAAAGCAGCGCCACCAATTTTACTAGACAGGGTATGGTGAACGCTGTCGTTACGACGCCTCACCTCACTACCAATCGGGGAAAACCCCAAGCGACACATTTTGTAGAAGTCGCTAGTCCCACGCTCTCAGACACGAGTCTCCAGAATGAAGAATACTAGTGTGCCATAAGAATCTTATACCTTACCAGATCTCGCCAAGTGCCGGGTGCCGATCACTCGGGACTAACGTCTTTCCCAGTACTAGAACATGAACTAGTATAGCCCTAAAACCCGCATCCCATGGATGGATTTCTTCATCTGTTTGACGATACCCACGAGGCTTGCAGACAACTTCTCCAGCTTGTCTTATATCGAACTATTCGAACAACCTTAGACAACGCCAGAACGTAGCGTCAATATCATTCAGTATCCGAATAGATTCCTATTTGCTTGAGAATGGGCTTACTTACGTAAGTTTCTCTTCGTGAGTTCCGTTGTGTAGGAAAGCGGTATGAAGCCAGGCCCTTTCTTAGCACCACGCTAGATCTTGCCAACCCGGAGATCTGTATCTTCTGTCGTTCTACCATTAGAGTATTTTGTATTCAGGGGTTTCCCAAGTGGAACCCAGTGGAGTAGCAGTATTCACGAACGAGCAGGGACATACTTTGTCGGACCGGCTTTCTTGAACATAATAGTTGAGTCTCTCTCTTAATCTCAATCTCAGGAGCATGTCTTCGAGATTTATTATTATATTGCTTGGTATTCTGGATGTGATCACTTGTTTTGCTGGGTTTTTCCTATTGCACTTTTTTCGATGGATTGCATGCTCTTATAAGTGTCGCGTTCACCATACACATTTTATCACTGGCTTTTAATTCCTCCTCTCACCTAGTCCATCCATAAATCGAAGGCTGGGTAATACCAAGGTGTATCAGCATGGCCACCGTCGAGAACCGAGGCCCGGAGTTGATGCGAGTGTGCGTCGCTCTGTTAACGACAGCAGTGATAGCTATCTCTCTCAGATGCTACACACGATTAGGCATAGTCAAGGCCTTTGGAGCCGATGACTGGACGATGATGGCAGCAACGGTACGTTTCCCTAGCTACCTAAGATTAAAAGGGGGTTTGATTCTAAACGGAACAGGTCTCGTTCATCTTGTTCTGCACTTGTGCGATTACTGGTATACATTATGGGACAGGGCGTCATTTTGCGGATCTGGAAACCCCGGACATCGAGAAGGCCATGATGGTATGAGCAATCACACACCTCCTACGAGTAATATTGGACACTTTAACTAAACAGTGTGAAGTACTGGTGGCTCTGTTATATATGGTATTGCCTTACCATGATTGCTTCTAAGATCTCGATCGGTCTTTTCCTCCTACGAATCGCCGTTCAGCGAATTCACCACTATATCATCTACGTCAACCTCCTGCTTACAGTCGTCACCGGCCTCGTCTTCTTTTTTGTCACCCTTTTACAGTGCAACCCAATCCCGTACTTCTGGCTCAGGTTTGGCGGTACCACCCAAGGAACCTGCATCGACGTGAATATTATTGCAGCTCTTACGTACCTCTATAGCGCCTTCAACGTAATATGCGACTTCACCTTTGCTACTCTACCAATAGTTTTGATCTGGGGGCTTCAGATGGATAAGAGAACCAAAATCGCTTTGATTCCTATTTTAAGCATGGGCTGCGTGTAAGTATGGCGGTTACATATTGAGGGTACAAGTTAATAATGTCATGACTATAGAGCTAGTTCTGCTGTCGTCGTTCGTCTAGCTTATATCAAGGACTTTAAGGATCCGGATTTTTTATGTAAGTACGCAGTTTCACTTTTTCCTATTAATGGATACTGACATGGGGAAAAGGGGCGACCGTCTACATCGCCGTCTGGTCAACGACAGAGCAAGGCCTGGCGATCACAGCAGGCAGTTTAGCAACACTGCGGCCGCTATATCGAATCGCCGCCCAAGGGCTCGGTATGTGGAGTTCAACAGCAGGAATTGCCCAGTCAGACAACATGCCGAAAACGATTGGCAGCTCGGGTGTGGGGAAATTTGGTGGTAGGTACGGGAAAGGCAATCAAGGCAGCCGCGGATATACTGGTGGATTCGACTTGACCACATTCGCCCAGGATGAAGAGGCTCAGGACAGTCATCGTGAGGAGCAATTGAAGATGAATAACACAATCGTCTGTACAACAGACATCACTGTCAAAAGAAGCAGCATATGGGGATCATCAAAAGAGGGCCGCTCGAGACATAACGAAAGTCAGGAGGAGCTACACCTTAAATCATCGAAGGATACGATGAACGGGTTAAAAGCCGTTCCTAAAAGTTTTTTGGCCGATGGTAGATCATCGAGAAATAGCAATGGTTCTTAATTAAGTGTTGTCGAAATCTTTTTCAGTCACGAAAAAAAGATTAAACATTTATTATATATTTAATTAATTTTTTTAATCCTTTCGAAAGACATTTTACACATAGGCACTTAGGTAATAAACATTAAAAAGTTTCGTAAAAGGAGGTTTAAAAAAAGGTCAAAAAGAATTTCTTCGCAGAAGGCGATATATGGGGGTTTAAAGGGAATAACAGGTTTGAAAGTAAAAGGAGGTCAGGTAAAAACAAAAGGTAATATCCGCCCGAAGGAATGGGAAAGTTTCCTTGCGATGAACAGGTTCTTCGAACTTGATCCAATCCTTAGATCAGTTCAAACGTAGGTTGAAAGGAAGGTTCAACAGTCAGTAGATCAGTTCGTAAATAAGTCCCTGATCTAGTCCCTGGATCAGTTGAACAGTCAGTTCAACGATTAGTCAAATCAGTTCTTAGATCAGTTTGTATATCGGTCCCTGATCCAGTCCCTGGATCAGTTTAAAAGTCAGTTCAATAGTCATTTCAACGATTACTCAGATCAGTCCCTAGATTAGTTCAATAGTCAGGAATTCAGTCCCTGGACCAGGGACTGAATCAGTGTGACAAGGCAATTAAGTAATACTGTTTAAGGTCACCTGATTGCCCCCGGGAAGAGCTCCCTGATTATGTCAGCTAAAGGTGGATATGCCCGAGCTCCGAGGGTTATTGTGTCGCAACGAAACGTAGGGAAAAATCAACACTTGTCGGAGTTTCCGGAGTTCCCAATCGGGCTAATCTTCGAATCTTATCAGTTTATGAAAAAGCATATATCTTATATGACGCAATTATATGTTAAAAATGCAGTAAAATTTACTAATTTTAAATATATAGTGTTTATATTATTTATATAAAAGGTGGTAAAGTTATTAAATTATAAACATTAAAAATATCGAAATTACGTAATTTTTCGACCCATATATCATTACGTTAGCCCACTAAGCCGGATATTCGGACTTACCGAAAAAGGTCGATTTTTTAAAAATATTTAGTTTTAAATTTTATAAATTAAAGAAAAATTTAAATTATATAAAACAGTTTTTTTTTAATTTATAACTTTATTAATTTGAAAGTTATTTAAGTTTAAAGCTTAATTACGTAATAAAGCACTGACCACCTTTCGATCTTCATGCGAAGTGCGAAAGGATTCGAACCTGAACCTGAAAGAGTGGCCAATGCGTCGAAATATTACATAATCAGTTTGGGAAAGACCCACTATACTAGAGAGTGCACCCAATCAAAACGTTAAAAGCTAAGGGATGCATCCAATCAGGCCAGTAAGTGGATTTAAAGTTCAACGATTAGTTCGAAATTAATTACATAATCAGTTGAATAGGCAGTTCAACAGTCAATTCAATAATCGGTTCAACAGTCAGACCTTAGATTAGTTCAACAGCTAGTTTAGCAGTCAGTGGAACAGTTAGTTGAACAGTTAATTGAATAGTCAGTTGAAAAAAAGGTCGAATCGAAAGATGAGTAATCGAACATGAGAGAGATGCACCCAATCAGGTGAGCAAATGAATTTAAGGTTTGACTAGCGCCTATTTAGGTGGCCCATGCGTATCAGGACCTAATTTTCGCCAGTTGATTCAGGTCAGTTCATCGATCAGTTCAAAAGTCAGTTCAAAAGTCAGTTCAATAGTCAGTTCAATAGTCAGTCAATCAGTCCTGAATCCAGTCCCTGGATCAGTTGTTTGATTAGTTCAAAGGTAAGTTCAACGATTAGTCAGATCAGTCCCTATAGTAGTTCAACAGTCAGTAATTCAGTCCCTGGACCAGGGACTAGATCAGTTGTTTGATCAGTTCCAAAGTCAGTTCAGCAATCAGTAAATTAGTCAGCAAGTCTGGCTCGACGATAAGTCAGATAAGTCCCTGATCCTGTCCCCGATCCAGTTTCTAGATCAGTTCAACAGTAAGTAGATCGATTAGTAAACCAGTCCTTCAATTAGTTATTCGATCAGTTCAAGAACCAGTTCAACGATTAGTCGGATCAGTCTAGGGACTGGATCAGTTGTTCGATCAGTAGAACAGTCAGTAAATTAGTCAGCAAATCAGTTCAATTGTCTACTAGTAAGTCAATCCTAAATTCAGTCCTTAGATCAGTTCGAAAGTCGGTTCGAAATTCGGTTGAATGAATAGTTCGAAGATCAGTTGAAAGTAAGTAAGTCAGCATGTTGATTACTAATAAATCCTGACCTGATCTCCTCTCCCAGGTCAGGTC